TGACCATAATGAAAAAGAATTTTGTGCAAATACTGATGTTAATTTCTGACCTAGAGCTCATGTTTCTTTTGCAGAGCCTTGTCTTGTTTATGCCTGTAAAAATCTGGAATCATTTCCCAGAGATTCAAAGGAGTTACTGCAGAACTGGGTGAGTTTAAACAAAATCTGTTTGGAGATTTGAATTTAAACTAACTGGGTAAGTAAAGAGCAAAATTGTTTACAAATATTTATCCTTGGACACAATTACAATAATCCCATTTACCTATCCTTAATTAATAAATAAACCTTAAAACCTCAAACCTTGTTTTAAATTGTGGAATTATAATAATACAGTGATGGCAAATGAACTGAGTGCTCTAACAATTTACCACACTCAGGTTAGAGATTTTCACTGAATTTTTAAATCACTATTCTGCAATTTCCAAATAGCTTTTAGAAATCTCATTAAATAATATTATGAGATCAATCCATGTGCACTGAGTATATGAGTAAAAATGCTGAAGTTCTGATGGAAATGTTTTATTTAATTGGATTATACACCTGATAATAGGTGTTTTCTACAATTCTTTTAGCAACAATATATTTAGATGAGATTTAAGTAATATAAACTAAATAGTTCAATAAATTTAATGAAATCTCACAATATCTGTAACACAAAGTCTCTTTAATGGTTGCTCTATTAATGTCTGTTCTTGAAGTCCTCCCAAACGACACCAACTGTGATATTTCTATTTGTAGTGGATGTCAAAGAGATTCAATATTCCAAAGTTCATCAGCCTGGGATGAGAAAGCTGAAAATGTCATTTAATGAATTGTATATGTGCTGTCCGAGGTGTGAGGGAGGATTTGAGCAATCCTATATCGAAGGATAGAACCACACGAAAGTAGGATGAGAGAATTTGGGTTTCTTTTCTTTCTTTTTGGTTTTCTTTTTTTTTTTTTTTTGTTTTGTTTTGTTTCATTTTTGGTTTTTTGGTTGTTTTTTTTCCTGTTGTTTTTCCCCGAGAGGAAAATATTCTGCATCCATTTTTAGCACCGGATTTATCATTTCAACTTTTCAAGAGCATTTTAGGCAAACGGCTTTGCAAAGCAGGAGCCCCTGATAAGCAGGTTAAAAGCTGTAAGCATTAGGGACAGCCCGTGCTTTTATAGGACCAGACATCTCTTTGGTTAATAGATTAAAACACTGGCTTACAAGAGATGGAACACTGAGGATGAGTGAGTTCTCCTTGCTCTGGATGGATGGAAGGTTATTTGTGGCCTTTATTACAATTTTTAAGTCTCTTTTCTGCACTCACAGAAGCTTAAACCTTTTGCTGCTCCATGAACCAGAGGAGCACTGCTCTGTTTTCACCTCCTTCTGCTACTCTTGGAGACTAATCTGCAAAACCTGACAAGAAGTGCTAAAACTAATCCTAAAATGAGCAATTTATGCAATCCTTGAGGTTGGAAAAGACCCTTGAGATCACTGAACCCACTGCCAAGCCAGCACTGCCACCTTAAACCCTGTCCCAAGAGTCACATCCACAGGTCTCTGAAACCCCTACAGCGCTGGTGGCTCAACTCATGAATATAAGAGTTTTTAAAATTATATCAATGGGATCTCTCTCAAAAATACCCCACCAAAACCTAAATAAACAAAAACCCCCAAGGCCAAACAACCAAAAGGCTCCACTCCTGCACTGCCTGACGGGGCTGCAAAGGCACATGGGGCTCTCCTGAATTTGCACTGGAAACCCTGTGGCCTGGCCAAAAATGAGACTGAACCATGGTGATAAGAGAATAAAAATAACGAGGTAAATACCCTAATCAGGGAACATCCCACAAGGGGCAAACTCCTATTCCTTCAGTAACACTGAGAGATCTGATGCTCCTCTGTTTTAAATCTCCCTTCTAAGAATTTAATTTTTGGCTGATTTTTAACAAGGTGGCTGCCACGAGGCAACTGAAGAACCTGCCCAAGCCTCTGCATGAAATCTAAGGCAAATTGTAAGGAATTATTGTTGCCTGGCTGTCGCTGCTTTGGGAATTTTTATTTTTGGCTTTGTCTCCACTCCTGTACCTGACTCCTCCCCTTGTATTGTCTCATTCTAGGTCCTGACCTGCCCATCCATATGGAAATGCAACACCTTTCCAAGGCACTGGGCTTTGCTTTTCCTTGACAAATAATCAAGTTAGTGAGCCTGGATGGATAAATCACACCAGAACATGCCAGAGCACATCAGCCCAGGTGTGCCGTGTGCAGGTTAAGCAGCAAGGTGCAAAGCAGACACAATCAACTGGAAGTCAAAGAGAAGGATCTTCTTTCAGCTACACTTTTTTTAAAGGGTCTCAAATTCTTCCAATATCCACAGAAAGAGGATTTTTTTTTAAGCAACCCTCCATTGACTTCAGTGCAGCGACCAGGTGTGGCTGAAGGCAGATCTCAGCTCACAAGGGATCCCTTAGTCCAGTGGTTTCCATCCTTGTTGGATTTGGTCCATCCAAGGGACCTGCAAACTCCCATAATGTGAATTTAAACCAAAGAATTTTAGTTTTGATACCCATGGTCTTGGGATCATCACCAGCTGCAGGTCAGGGGCTCATAAACCACTGGACTAATGGTATCCAAACCATGGCTTTGGTTCAGCAGAATAAACAGTACAGAAAGGCAGGAGGATAAAAAGTAAAATAGTTGCCCCTTGGGTATTTCCTGAGACCCAGACAATGGTCATTTCACAGGAACAGAGATAAATCAGGTAAAACTCAGACCCAGGGTGCAGAGAGCCAGGAAGCAGACACGGTATCTATTTCCTGTTGTGACAGCAGTAATGTTGTCCTCTTGGTGAAGCTACAAGTAATCCCATTTTCACAAACAGGAAGGATTGTGAGGATGGAAAGAGCCTTCATGAGATCCACCTGTACTCCAGGTCTTTGCCAGATGAACCTGATTTTTCTCCAGGCAGATCAAGGCTGGTTACTGATTCTCAAGAAAGCAATGAGTTCCCTCCTCGGTCAAGTGCATTATGCCAAATTCATCCCTGGTGCCATTCTGCTTACAACAATCCTCTTGCTCCACAGATGAGCCTATTTTCTCCACTGGCCTGAAGCAGCTCTCCCTCCGTTTCTCTCTGGAGATGACTCAGGGATCTATTTTCTTCCTTATTACCGAGTTCAAGCAATTGCACATCACAGAACAAATTTATTTCATGACATTTCTGAAGCTTCTAGGCAAACTCCAATTATATTTTTTTTACCAAGCTCACTTTTTTTTTTGTTTTGTTTTGTTGTTGTTGTTGTTGTTGTTTATGATTACAGGAATAACAGCAGACGAGAAATTTGGGGCTGAACATACACACTTGCAACCCCCCAGAGCTGAAAATGCTCCTAACATTTTGTACAACCCTTGTATGCTTTTGTAACATCTGCCTGAAGTGAACTTCATCAAGATACACCACCCTGACAGAGATTTATTTGTGTTCCTCTACATCCTGCACACAACTTTATTTTTCTTTCTTTGGGGCATAGAAAAGACAAAGAATTCAAGTACTTGAAGGTTTATTTAGCTGAAAAAATTCTACTGTTTCTACACTTACACTATCCTCCCTCAATGCTTTTTGATGGGACTCTGGGAAAGAACTAAAAGGAAAACATGTTTAAAATGAAGTCAAGGAAGTTCATAGATCAGGATGCTAATCTTAATAATTTATTGTGGATGAATCCTCTTAATGTAACACCACAACATTTGTGTCTACAGAGGGCTGGCCCAAAGGTCCAGCCTGACCAGGGTCCTGTCTCAAACAGGGCCAACTGCAGAGGACTGTAGAAAATGATGAAAAAATATGAGTAGAGGATCATTTATCCCTGAATATTTTTCCAGACTCCAGCATTTTCTGCCCAGCAGCTTCATGAGTCAGAATGTTGCCTCTTAATGGATGTTGATAATGTCAATTATGCCCTTTCAAACACACACTGGAACTCCTGTTATTATCACAAGACAGTGTGGGAACACCAAAGTTGAGGAAAGAAGGTCCTAGAGCTGTTGGCAAAACTCTGGCTTTTGTTGACCATGCTCCACCAACCACACCTGGGAGAAGCCTGTGAAACCAAGGTTTTCTGGCATGGAAAGGCCTGTGCCTGTCCCAGTCCTCTCTCTTGCCCTCCAGATCTGTCCCTTACCTATCAAAGGTGGTCCCTTGGCTGTATCAGCTCCTGAGCTGTCCAAGAGAGACAGGACTGGCTGGTTCACGCTCAGCCACACAAGGACACTTATAAGATGTGCAAAGAACCCATTCCCTGTGCCAGGAAATGCTCCCTAGGGAGATGTGGCCATGGATTTACACTGGGCTGTGATGGGTCTGCAGCTAGCACTAACACACTCCATGTGGAAATCCCTGGGATAAGCAGCAATCCCTGGAACTTTAGGCAGTAATGACTAAAAGTTGTGAAGATGCGTTTTTGGATGGGTATAAAATCAGTTCTTGTTGCCCTACCAATCCAGATGAAACTGGCAGAAAAAAAAGGAACAGACTCTATGGCTATCCCTGGACAGTCCTAAATAATGGATGAACTAATCATTGCTCAGGACACACTGCTGTCAGTTCTGCTTTCCCAGTCATTCCCCATGTCCTTCAGTGGTATTTCAGGAACAATCCCAAAACACCTCCACCTTTACTCAGTGGACCCTGTAACATTCCTGCCAGGCTGACACGCATTTCCAAGTATTCCAACAATATACAACATTTCTTTTTGCACTAGTGGTGGCGTGACAAACCCTTCATTTGCTCCTCCTTTTCCATATAATGCTTACACATTATATGAAGTTGATTTGCCAGGCTTGGAAATCAACAGATGGTGATGGGCACAGAGCCGAGCTGCCCTCTGCCCATGCACATCTCCAGAAGACGTACAGATACATGGACACCAACAACCAACATGGGTAAGATGGCAAAAAATACTGGAATCTTGTTGTTTTTAGGGCAACTGGCTGGCGTACGTACGGAGCTGGACAAGGGTCATACCTTCAATGGTGATGGCTTGGTCTCCTCTCCTCTCCTGGGTCAGGGCTGCGGCGCTGTGGTGGTAAAGCTCTGCTCCACTTTTGGCAGACCCTAATCTGTTCATCAGCTGGAGAGAACGGTGCAGTGCCAAATGAAACACAGGATGGTTTTTTTTGTCGTGTTTTTAATGTAATTTTTTTGTCGTGTTTTTAATGTATTTTAATGTATTTTAAAAACCCTGCCTGTGCTACCCTTGGAAATTCAGTGCTGCCAGAAATGGGTGAAGGTGTGAGAACAGTGCCAAGCCAGAATTTGAAGAGATACTTTGCTGCACAATGGAGTTTGTGGTCTTTTACCAAAAATTATTCACACAGACAAGTTACAGCACATCTGCAAAGTTATTTACTTAATTATTGGGTGTTTGCTGTGCAGCCTGGGGTAACTCTGTCTCTATCAACAGGCCCAGATTCCTGCTGTACACACACTTAGGTGGCCATTAAAAAGAATTTTGTTTTCTGGTTATCATCCAATAATTACAGAGTTTTACTCAACAAAAGGAATACTGGACGTTAGGATCTCAGTCAATGGCAAATGCAAGGTAGTTTGGTTTTGTTAAAATTCCAGAAGAATTCTTTAAAGTATATCAAACTTCCTAAATATTTCTGGTAGCTGAACCATGCTAATTTCCTAAACAACACCAATTTCTTTTACTGCCAAGCCCTCAGAACTTCTTATGTTTTATTACAATGAATGCATAGACTATGACTAATTTTCCTAAAATATCGTACATGTTTAAAAATTTATCAGCTACTTTCATGTATGCTTGTTAAACAAAACAGGAATTTCAGTGTTTTATACTTCTATTTAGACTTAATTTCTTTATTTTGTCTCTGGAGGGTTTCTTAGTCATAATTTAAAGACAATCCAGAAACAAAATATCACATCAGAATGGTCCCAGATTTTGTAAGAAGACTTTCCTCTAGAGATCTAGATCTGAGTTTAAGCTCCAGAACAAGCTCCATCAATTCTTACTTGTACCAACAAACTCTCAGATCAGAATATTCTGGAGCTTTTGGACATTCACAATCCAGATCTAGTTCAGCCTGACTATCTATAATATTCTTATGAACAATGACTCAGCCATGGGTCTCTGCCAGTAAAATGAATTCTCCTGCCTGTATAATTTCAGATGACATTCAGATGATATTTAAATCTCTCCAAACTTACCTCACATTCATAGTGCCCCATATCTTCATTGGAAGGGTTCTTGACCACCAGGACTGCGATGCCACTCCGTGGTTCACTGAAAGTCTGGTATTTACTGGTGTCCTTCAGCAGCACCCCATCCTTGTACCACCTGAGTGGGAAAACAGGGAGTATAAGCCAGGAAAAATTGTGCATCAAGAGCTCCCCAGGATCACTGATCCATCCATCAAAAAACTCCAGAGTTGATCCTTAGACAAACATTTGGATCCTGGAAGGGAGGGCTGCAGGTGGGTAGATCACACCTGGGTATGAACCTGCACACGTTTATGAGGTTCTTCCCAAGAGATCTCCTCAGTCAGTGCTGGAAAATGGCTTTAAATGATGACAAGACAAGATTTGCTGAGCTCTTTGTCTGAATACCTGATAAAATCAAGTCAGGTCCAAGGCAGGGAGGATAAACAATGATAAAACGTTTTCTAGGGCTTTGGATTGGACAGGGTCCTCCTCAGGGTCTATCTGCAGGTATTTCTTTTCAAATTCTAGCTAGAATTAACTGCTGAGAATCTCAGGAATGTCTGGCTCATGAACAGCCAGCATTGGGATGGGGCTAAGATGGAAGACACAGTAAAGAAAGGGTCATGAACTCAAAATTACTTTTCTGACTATGCAAAATGTGAAACCAGGGTTTGTTCCCATGAGAGCTGCAGGACTGACCTGATCTGAGGCCTGGGTGCTCCTTCCACAGTGCAGGTGAACTGGACATCTTCACCCTCGACAAGATAAGCATTTCTGACCTTGTTCACAAACCGTGGGGGCACTGCAAAAAGCAAAGGTAAATGTGACTGGCAGCTGGAAATATGAACAGATAGGAAGGGCATATCCCTGACCAGATAATTCTCACTGGGCCTAAAGGATACTAAAGACCAATTTTTTTCACTTAAAAACAGTTACCTGCACCTGTATATGTTTGGGGTTTTTTTAAATATTATTCACTATACGTTGTATAGAACCTCTAGAATGTCTCAATATTTGTATCATCATAGAAACATAGAATGATTTAGGTTGAAAAAGGCCTCTGGGGTCATGGAGTCCAACCATTAACACTGCTGAGGCCAACAGTAAACCACGTCCCCAGGTGCCACATCTAAATGTTTTCTGAGCTCTTCCAGGGATGGTGACTCCACCAGTTCCTTGAGGAGCTTGTTCTGGTGGTTGACAACACTTTCGGTGAGGACATTTTCCCTAATATCCAATCCAAACCTCCCCTGGCCCAGCCTGAGGCCGTTCCCTCTCCTCCTGTCCCTGTTCCCTGGAGCAGACCCCGACCCCCCGGCTGTCCCCTCCTGTCAGGAGCTGTGCAGAGCCACAAGGTCCCCCCTGAGCCTCCTTTTCTCCAGGCTCAGCCCCTTCCCAGCTCCCTTCTTGTCCTCCAGCCCCTTCCCCAGCTCCCTTCCCTCCCCTGGACACACTCCAGCCCCTCAATGTCCTTCTGGTCATGGCAATCTCAAAACTGACACCAAGCCAGCACAGGGGACAGTCACTGCCCTGCTCCTGCTGCTCACACCATGGCTGGTACAAGTTTATTTCATAGCAGACCCCATTAAAACACTGCATCTGTGCAGGACTTTACCTTGAACAAGGATCTTTCCCAAGGTGCTGGCATTCCCAGCAGGACTGGAAGCAAAGCACATGTACTGTCCTGTGTCAGCCCCTGTCAGGTTGTCCAAGATCAGTGTGCAGGAACCATCAGGATCTTCTATTATAATGTGGTGGGGATCCACCTCCACGGGTTTTCCATCTGAAAGAGGAATTATTTCTTTTAAAATAACTTACTAGGAGTTTCCTCCTTAGGAATTTCATCCAGCTTTTCATCCTGAGAGGACTGAGAGCTGTATTATTGCAGCTGGTGTTGGTAGTTGAGGAATCAGCTCTTCATCCAGCTCTCTATAAAACATCATCCAGGGCAAAGTACTGTTGGAGGACCTCATACATCACCACTCCTCATTTAAAAGTGAAATTATCCCAGAGTATATTCTGTGCAGTCATAATTCTGCTTTTCCAGGCAAAGGAGCACATCCAAAGTGCCCAACAACATGACCTCTAGACTTGAATATCTCTAGGGGATCAGCTCTTGGATTACCTGATATCTTGGGTTTTAAGTTTTTCTGTTCTGTGTTGTGTGCAGCTTTTAGCTTTATATTAAGTGTTACTGGGATCTTTTCACAGGGTGGTGAAGACAAAACATTTCTATTCTTGCTGGAGACTCAAGGACAATCTCTTTAAACTTCAGGCCAAAGCATGAACAACATGAAAAGAGGAGGGTGGGCAAGCAGCAAGAAGGATGAAACTTCATAATTTAAAACTATTAATTGGACAGTTAAGTCCTATATGCAAATGGACTAAAACTGATAAAAAATGTGAGATCTCGTGACCAAACCCTCTTTGGCTTCCATCCTGGAGCCATCCAGGCACTGCCAGGGTGTGGCCTTTGAAGGCACCTCAATAAATATCCACTTTATTTCCCTTAACTCTGTCTAGCCTCTGCTCCAGCTCCTTAAGGCATCAACCCACTGCCCAATTATCACAGCAATATGGACAGGGAGCACGTTTGGAGGGTGCATTTCATGCCCTGCTGCTCGTACCTTTGTACCAGCTGATGGATGGCTTGGGAGCTCCTGTCACCTTGCAGGCCAGCTTGACTGTCTCTCCCAGCTCAGCTGTGCAGTCTGCCAGTTCTTCCTCAAAGTCTGGAGGGACTGAAATATCAGAGGAAGAGTGTTAGTCTGGAGGAAGGGGCTCTGTCCATGGCATGGCTGCTGCTAAGTGAGGTAAGAATAATTTTTGCAAACCTGTGAGGTTCAGAATGGAAAAACTGAACAGGAAATTTTAGCAGCTCAAGACTTAATAGGTGACATGCTCCCCTTGCTTGTCTGAGACTAAATTCAGTCTGTAGCATGTCTGTTGTTGGCTATAAAGTTAGACCATATGAAAAAAAATGGATTTGTTGCTGATCTGGAATTATTTCAGACCATGATTTCAATAAGCACATCCATTATTCAGACACCACACATCTGTCACCATTAAGGCAATTCCTCAAATAAAATGCAGCCTGGAATCCAAGCTAGCATTCTGCTGGTGTCCTTACAATAAAATCTATGCTTTCATTGAATCATAAAATTATAGAGTGGTTTGGGTTGGACGAAACCTTAAAGATAATCCCATCCCACCCCTGCCATGGGCACTTCCACTCTACCAGGCTGCTCTGAGCCCCATCCAGCCTGGCCTTGGACACTTCCAGGGATCCAGGGGCAGCCACAACTTTGGGCAACCTGTTCCTTTATTAAGTGACATTTCTTTTAAACCATTGCTACCATATGAAACCATACAAAATTATTTTGATAGACTTCCTCACCAAAACACTTTACTAAAGGCACAAAATGAAGGGCCCAGACTTGTTTGCAGTGTATATGGACTAAATCCAATATTGTTCTGGAATTTTAATATGCCAAATATCCTATAATGGACACCATTTGTAGCTGATGTCTGGAAAATAAAAAGATCTTATACCCCTACTGATAGATTTTGTGGATTGAAAATTGGTGGAATCTCAAATGACACTGAGACTGATGAAACATTAATGACCAGACAAAATTCCAAAGCAAACCCAGGTGCAAAGATAGAACAGTGTAAGCCAGGAGTCAAGTAAAGAGTCTGGAACCCAGCAAAGTCACAGGGTCTTTTGTACTGGGGTGTGTAGGAGTCTGGATCAGGGCACAACACCAACTCTCCCTGCCTTTCCTCCAGGAGAGGTGTTTCAACCCTCAGATTATCTTCTAGGCCTCTTCTGGACTCACTGCAGCAGCTCCATGTCCATTTTATTTTGGACACTGCACAGCTGGACAGAGCACTGCAGGTGGGATCCCACAAGAGCAGAGCAGAGGGACAGAATCCTGTCCCTGGACCTGCTCCCACATTTAATGACCATAACAGCTTCTCTCCCTCTTTTATAATTTCCTGAACCTTAAACCTAAGCTCTGTCTAGCCTCTAGTCTAGAACTCTGTTCTAGGTCAGCCTTCACAAGGCATCGAACCAAGGAGACCATCCAAGAAGAAAACTGGTGAGGTTTGGGTTGCCTGGTGCCCCACTTACTCCAGATGGGCTCACTGATCCTCTGCTGGATGCCCAAGATCTCCTTCACCCAGGAGTTCTTGATGTTCACGGTCCGCGCCTGCAGCAGGTACTTGCGCACCAAGTCCTCGCGCTCGTGCCAGATCTCAAAGGCCCGGTCATCCCCTTCCACCAGGTCATTCACATCTATGTTGTTCAGCTGAGTGACAGAAGGGGCAAGAAAGTCACCACAAATCCTGTGTTTTTAAGTAATTCCCAACAGCAAAAAGGGGTAATTTGTGCTTTCTTCAAAGATTTTTAGGATCGCATGATCAAGGCAACATGGCTTTGGATGAAGAGCAATCAGAACTACTTTGAGAGTTATTTCCCCTGCTATATGTGACTTTCTGGTTACCAAACTGACATTTTCTTGGGGTTAATTTTTCAGGAAAGCAATGTCCAACATTAAAAGTTATCCCAGGGGTGGAACACACTGGCCCTGAAGGGCTGGGCCCAGGCAACATGGGAAAAAATAGAGAATAGGCAATCTCTGGACAAAGCATGGAAATGTCCCCATTTTATTTTTCTTGGAAAAGAAAATCTGTCTATGAATATTGATGAGGACTTTCAGAAAGTCCTGGCTGGGCTTGGTGAAGAAATCCATGGGTTTTCTGGTTGGTTGGCTGTTTTTTATTGGAGTCAAGTATCTCCTGCCTTGTGAAAACACATTCCTCAATTTCTGGCAGTTTTAACCCTGAATGTCTGAAGATGAGTGGGTCAAATATTCTGAATTTTTCCATTTCTGAACAGGAATTGTTGCTAGAAAAGGACATAACCAGCAGAGAGAACCTGATGGAATTCAGCAAATAAGATTCCCTCTAATTCACTCCCAATATTACAAACTGCCAAAACCACAGATTTACAAATGCAAGAAAAAATTATAGGCAGCAAAATCCACATCAATATAATATATTTATGCTATTAATTAAATGAGGTAACAGAAATAAATAAATGCTTGTACTTGTAATCTCCTTGCTGCATAGTAAAAGTCCACCCTGATGGTTTCTGACGTGTTTGAGAGGTTTAAAAAAAAGATATTTTGGGATAAATGTAGATTCTACTTGTGCTTCAAATAGTTTTTGAAGCAAAGGAATAGCTCAGAAGGATTAGCAGAATGTTCAAGCTGGATATAAAAGTGAAGCTCTACTTGACAGAGAAATGCTTTATGTGAGGATAAAGTGATCAGACCTTCATGATGTTCTTGAAGATGTAGCTGTAGGTGTCAGTCTTCGTGTCTCGCTTTGGTTTGCAGATCACAATGTAATTTTTGAAGAGGAAAACATGTCTTTTGTGTCCTTTCCACGCCATTCGAGCTCCTGGAGCTCCTTCCCACACAATGAAGTGGCCCTGACAGGAAAAAGAAGGAAGAGCACATAGTGATATGTCTGGAATAATTACCACAGTTTTGTCTTATCATCATTTTTCAGCGCCCAGATAACAAATGTTTCCTGTTGCATCATCCCCTGATGTTTCTCTAGTTTATTAAAGCCCAGCAGATGGTTTCTAATGCTAAAGGTGACTCATCAGACACAGCTAGTGGTTGTCATTACATTGACATTTAAATGGTATTATTTGGTACCAGAAAAATTGACAGCTCTTTTCAGGTAGAAACAAAAATTGGAAATACTGGAAATATTAAAGGCAAATTGTATTTTGTGTGTTATACAGACACTTTATATGATTTGGTCACCCTCTCCAGAGCAGGACATTAATTTCACACAGCTTCAGGCACAGACAGCTCAATTAGTGACATGGATTTCCCCTGGCATCTCTAGGGAGAAGGAAGCACGCAAGGGGTGTGACTGGACAATTTTTGGATGCCTAAATGTGGACAAATGAATGCCCACCACAGTATCACTGTCATTTAACCTTATGTCAGTCTTCGTGTCTCGCTTTGGTTTGCAGATCACAATGTAATTTTTGAAGAGGAAAACATGTCTTTTGTGTCCTTTCCACGCCATTCGAGCTCCTGGAGCTCCTTCCCACACAATGAAGTGGCCCTGACAGGAAAAAGAAGGAAGAGCACATAGTGATATGTCTGGAATAATTACCACAGTTTTGTCTTATCATCATTTTTCAGTGCCCAGATAACAAATGTTTCCTGTTGCATCATCCCCTGTTTCTCTAGTTTATTAAAGCCCAGCAGATGTTTTCTAATGCTAAAGGTGACTCATTAGACACAGCTAGTGGTTGTCATTACATTGACATTTAAATGGTATTATTTGGTGCCAGAAAAATTGACAGCTCTTTTCAGGTAGAAATAGCCTTGGAAATATTAAAGGAAAATTGTATTTTGTGTGTTATACAGACACTTTATATGATTTGGTCACCCTCTCCAGAGCAGGACATTAATTTCACACAGCTTCAGGCACAGACAGCTCAATTAGTGACATGGATTTCCCCTGGCATCTCTAGGGAGAAGGAAGCACGCAAGGGGTGTGACTGGACAATTTTTGGATGCTTAAATGTGGACAAATGAATGCCCACCACAGTATCACTGTCATTTAACCTTACAACTCCACTCAGCAATACACTGTGATTCCCATGGAAAACACTGGATGCAGACAGGATAAATTACTTGCCTGGTAGAACACAGTAAATCTATACAGAAACAGGAATTTGAGTGAGCGTGTTGGAGGTCCTAGACTAAAGTGTCCTGACAGCTGGGTCACCTAAAAAGCCACACACCTGGTCCATGGGATAAACCTGGGGGAGCACAGGGGTCTGTTCATGCAGTAAACTCCAGAAGCTGCCCCGTGTTTTTTCCCAATAATGAGTAAAAACCTTTCTAGATCATGTAGGGGCCCAGAACAATTTTATTCCTGTTTGATGAGCATGTTAAAAAAGGCAAATAACTGCTTTATGTGTGAATTATTCCATAAGCATCCATGCTCTGGTGTTTCAAACCTTAGTGGAGCCAGAACACCCATTTTTGGACAAAAGTAAGTGAAATAAGCAAATAATCTCTTTCTACATATATACATTATATTCTATATAATTCTACAATATAATATAATGTAATAGAATGTCATGTATTGTATATTAATAATATAATATTTTTCTATTTCTATATTTAAATATACTATATAATTATTTAATAATATTTAATTCTTAATTCTATAGCAATTATAATAACCAATATATAATTACATATTATATTATTACAGTATTAATATAGTAATAATACAGTAATATATTAATATAGTAGTGAGATATGATAATTAACATAACAATTATATACAATAATTTAATAATTTAATATATCTAATAACACTATAACACAGTATAATATATCTAGTAATAAGCTAATCTAATATAATATAATTCCTAAATAACTTTCTTCTAAGAATTAAGGCTCCTTAGAAACTGGGGAAGGCACCCATGGAACCAGCAGTGACTGGGAAATTCCAGTTACCTGGCGGATGGGCTCCCCAAGGCTCTCCAGGGTCCCTGGATAATTCTCAATGAGTGAGACGTGGAGGTTGTTCTCTGCTCTCCGGGTGAGGGCAGACACAATGGCATAGGCCTGCTCCAGCAAAGTGCAGTTCTGGCTGTTTCTGGCCTTGTTTCGGATTAATTCCTGTAGGGGAATGAAGAAAATATTAGTGGATAATCAGAGAGAAAATAAGCAGTTCCTTCAGAGCCAAAGATTTTCTCAATACCTGCTCTGTCTCTTTCATCTCAGCAAATTTTATCCCACAAACTGCTTAGATAAGAAAGTCTTTTCTACCTACTCAGCAGTATTAAAGACTAACCAGTCTGTCACAGTCACATTTTCTGGAAAAATCCCTTTGCCCAGGATTCTTCTCCTGGGAAGCTGAGAAGCCTCAGAGAAAAAGGAAAACAATTCTTATTTCATCTGCTTCTCCTGTGTTTTGCTGCTTTGGAATGTGTTTGGAGATTGTTTACCCACAGGTGATTGTTTCACTGATTTCATGTGAATTGTTTTGAGTCAATGGCCAACCAGGGCCAAGCTGTGTCGAGGCTCTGGAAAGAATCACGAGTTTTCATTATTATCTTTTTGGCCTTTTGTAAGTATCCTTTCTGTATTCTTTAATATAGTCTAGTATAGTATTCTTTAATATAATATAGTATCTTAAAATAATAAATTAGCCTTCAAGAACATGGAGTCAGGTTCATTATTCCTTCCTTTGCCTGGGAACCCTGCAAACACAATACCAGTCTGGCTTTTCCTTACATCAGTTGATGTCAAGCAAAGATAAAGATGAAACAAACACCAGATATGCTTTGGTGGCTGAAAACCAAAAATTCCAAAGTGATCCTAAATGTACTCATTGCATTTCTCCTCTGCCTGCCCTCACAACAGCAGAGAACAAGGAATTCATATGGCCATGCTGAGTCAATTATTGATTAATAAAAAGAGAGGTTGGAAAAAAAGTGAAATGGCATTTTCCTTGTTCTTCCCACATTAATTCCTGTTCCACTCTTTCAGCAATGAAGGCATGGAAAATGCCTTTGCTCCTCCAAGACACCCTTAAAAACGTTGGTGTTTGTGAGCAAGACTGTGTTCAAAAGTACAAAGTTCTTCAAAATATCCAGACTGCTCCTTTATACAACACCAGAATACATAAATATTTTGCCATGGTTATTTTCTTCCTTAGTATCCTAGTGTTATTTCCCATGAAAATACTGTTTAAAATGCTGCTCTGAAATGTTTGCTTATGGTCTAAGACAGTGGGACAGATGCAATCCTGAAAGACAAAATATTTCAGGATGGTAGAATGCGGCAAAGCTTTTCAGAAAACAGGAATTTCATCTTACTATAATATCAGAATAAAACATAAGGAAAACAAGTGGTGAGTCATTATCTTAGACCTGAAAACTTCTTATTTTGGTAACATAGATGTTGCTGAGTTTGAAGCAAATTTATACCTGTCATCCAATATAATATATAGTATTATATTATATTATATTACATTATATTATATTTTTTCATATATTTAAAGATAAAACTCACTGAACTTGATGGGGTTGGATTCTGTGAACCTCCACCTGGATTTACATTCATAAAACTATTTAGAGAACACCACCACTGGTGATGATTAATCTCTTATTTACTCAAGCAGTTTTCAATTGTAGTTTTATCAGAAAGAAGTCAGGAAATAGGAAATAAAAATAAAATCTTTTTCTGCACAAGCTGCACAGAGCAGAACATAAATCTGTAAACATATCTCTTTACCTTAATTATTGTCTGGTACTGCTGGATTCTGTTTATGGGTTTTTCCAGGTAGTGCTGCAGTGGTGGGATAAGTGGCTGTGAGGGATCTTCATTAGTTAAAAATTCATCTGTGTATCTCTGAAAAAATATATGGGATAACAAGGAAAGGTTGTTATAAAAAGCAGTAGAAAAAATCCTGAGTAGCTGGAGCAGAGAAAAAATATTTGCTTATCTATATTTATGATTTATGTGGTTCTCTTGGTCTTATAATGTGGTGACCTTTAAAATGTCCCTTAATTACAATTACATAAACACAGCCACATTCATGTCTGTATAATTTTTGTAATATTAATAAATTCATAAGTATACGTAAATATGTTCCCATATTGGCCATACCAATCATAAAAAGCTAGAAAGTGAACTAAAAATCATTAGTTTTAATAATTTTTAAAGTTTAATTAATTTGAAGTTAATAAGTTTTTGCCATTATATTTAGCAAAAATATTACAAATACTTTTGAGGTTCACGTTTATGATTAACAATGACATTTCTCGATGCAGTGGGTTACAGGATGAACTTCCCACAGGTGCTTTGGCTCCTGCCTTACCTTGTAGAAATCCTGGACAGCTTTGCTGACAACAATTGACTCTGCCTGGACCCTTCCCACCAGGTACTGGATGTACCTGCTAAACTCTGCTTCGTGCTTGATGAAGCACATGGCCACGTCATCGTCAGTGTCACAGCCCTGCAGGCTCCGCAGGAACACGCTGTGGGCACAGGAGCACAGGACATCTCAGGAGAAGGGGCTGCAATGAGGCTAAAAACACAGCCCCAGCAGCCAGGCTGGGAATCAGGAGATGCCAGGTGAGCACAGGTGAAGGGAAATTGTCCTGGGGTGGAGGACATGGTTTGGGGGTATTTTATTTGCCATCTGTCAGAGGTGGGGCAGTTCTCTCTGTCCATGGGGCAGTTTTCTTTATCTCTCCCACAGCCAATCCTCCCTCCAGGAGATCTCTGCTGTCCATGGCCACTGAGTGTCCCTGCAGGGCTGATCAAATTCCAGCATCCCATGGGGAGATGCTCCGCCCAGGGCAGGAGCCAAGCATTCCTACCTGGATACAATCTGAGCCTGGAACAGCACAGCAGCCTCTGCCCACTGCATTCCCAGAGGAGCAGCTTTCTCCTGCCCTGCATTCCCAGAGGAAGAGCAGGCCCCTCTCCAGCAGCCCTGGAGCTGCAGAGGAAAACTCCAGCCTTGTGCAGGATCCCTGCTCCAGCAGAAGCACAGCTGGCACTGCAGGAGGGCTGAGCCCCCATGGGATGGGACTGTGCCACCACCCTGACCCACAGGGCTCAGCTCCTGCTCTCACTCTGGCTGTGGTTTGTTTTCTTTTTTGTACTATTGCATTTGTATTTTTCATTTCCCTATTAAAGAACTGTTCTTCCTGTTTCCATATGTTTGCCTGACAGCCCCTTAATTTCAAAAATTATAATAAATCAGAGGGGGTTTGCATTTTCCATTTCAAGGGAGGCTCCTGCCTTCCTTAGCAGACACCTGTCTTTTCAACCAAGGAAGAAATGATGGGGGGAAATCAGAGATGTTGCAGCATTAGGATTAAACTGCTCAGTGCCTCTTCACCCAGCACAATGCCATTCCTCTCAGTCAGGGCTTTGGACAATGGGCAGGAGAACAGGACAAGGGGGAATGGCTTTAAACTGACAGAGGGCTGGATTAGATGGGTTATTAGGAAGAAATTCTTCCTTGTGACAGTGGTGAGGCCCTGGCACAGATTTCCCAGAGCAGCTGTGGCTGCCCCTGGCTCCCTGGGAAGTGTCCAAGGCCAGGTTGGATGGGTCTTGGAGCACCCTGGGATAGCGGAAGGTTTTGTGAAATTCATGGATGCTGACATCAGTTTTACGTGGATTAATGTCTCCATGAAGACACCACTGAAGTGCCTGTAAGATCTTGCTGCTTTTTTAACATAATTCACTGTTTCTCAGTTAAATTCACTGAAAAGAGTAGGAAATGAGCTGGACACAGGAAGCCTTGTAGTTCTGAATGGGATTATGGAAGTCCAAACCCTACGGTATGATTTAAGCCCAGCCATCATTTACCCTCCTGAAAGAAGCATCAATTCCCTTGCACCTCAGCAGTGCCAGTGCTCCACATCAGGAATAATAGTAAGAAAAGTATTAATAATAATAGAAGTAATAATAACAGTAGTAATAGTAGTAGTAGTAATAGTAATAATAATAATAATGATAGTAATAGAAATAATAATAATAATGATGCCACTCTTTTGTCTTCAGTGAAGGCACTTGGGAATGCCCACCTGGAATGGAAGCGACCAATGTCATCAATATTCCTGAAGATGGTGGATTTCTGACTGGCAACAGCTCCTGGCACACTGGGACAGGTCTCAGTGTACCTAAGGTGATGAGTCTGGAGGAACTGTAAATCCTGAATGTAATCTTCCTCTGAGATCAACAGCTCCTGAATGAGAACACTGAAGGAGAGACAGAGAGGCAGAAAGAAGTCACAGAAAAATCATCACAATTGTCCTTGAGAGGTTTTTAGACTGTAAAGTAGGGATTTATGATCAGAGGAAGCGACTCCTGGGGTGTGTAGAAAGATCCCCTCTGGGGATGGGTGGATGGATGTGATGCCTTGAGGTTTAGCTTTCATATTTTCCAGATTCTGTACTGCATTGGTGTACAGAACTCTGAACTTCATATAAAGTGTTAGCAAGTTCTCCTCACAGTTCAGTCAGACAGAACAATCTTTCTCCAGCCCCAGAACCAAGGACACCACTGCAGCTTCAGGCCCAAACAGTGTAAACAACAGCAAATTGAGGAGAGCAAACTGGGAGGATGGGACTGCAAAACCTGAAACTGTAATTGGACAATTAACCCCAATATGGAAATGGACCAAAACTTATAAAAGTGTGAAAAATTGTGACCTGGCATCCATCTTAGGAAGAGCCACGGCCAGGCTCTTGCACTGCCCAAGGTGTATCCTTTGAAGGCCTTTTAATAAATCCCTACTTTATTCCTTTAATTCTATCTAGCCTCTGTTCCAGGTCTGTCAGCCTCTTAAGGCATCACATGGATGGATGGATGGATGGATGGATGGATGGATGGATGGATGGATGGATGGATGTGGCCAGTGCAAGATGTTCCTTCCCATGGGACTCGTTGACACTAGATGGTGTTTAAGGTCCCTTCCAACCCAGTCCATTCTAGGATTCTGTGACCTTGATTGCCGGGAATTTTCCTAAGCTGAAATCAATCACAAAATACAAGTGGCTCAAAAGGCAGGAAAATTCAAAGGTGCAAATACCAAATGACATGAGCTCACCTTAGCTTCCTTTTGTATTCATCTTCAGAAACAAACTCTCCAGGAAACTCTGGAATTTCTGTTGCTCCCCACTCTGGTGACAACTACAATATTAGGAAAAAAAATTAAAATAATTCTTGGAAGTGGGACAGTGCTTTTATCTATACTGAGAAATATCTTTATGCGTTCACAGTCCTGTTTAGTCCAACAATTACTAAACCAGTGTGAAATTTATTTTGTACTAGAGAGTTTTTAGGTCTTTCCAACCCAGAAACCCCTGCACAGACCAGAAATATTGTCTAACAAAAACATGAAAAAGTACAACTTTGTTCCAGACCCCGTCAACAACCTCCTCCGCCATCACTCCTTGCAAAAGGGATGGCTCTAAGCTGCAACAGGAACAAGAAATTTTAATGGAGAAATAGCCAAACATGATCAGTCACCTTTAATTTCTTGTCCAGATAAGCTGGAGACACCCAACCCTGTCGAGAGGGACTCGATTTCGTGGGTTTAGTCCTGACCAACCATTTCAGAGGATGAGCTGAATCCAGGACTTCCACATATTGTCCTTCCTTCAGGGTGATGGTCTCCTTGTCCGGCGCCGCGGGCACGTAGTCAGCAGTGACCATGTAGACATCAAAGATCTGCAGGCACGAAACTACAGTCACTTTCTGCTCCTATTTCTCTCATGAAGAACTTCCCAATGAGATTCCTCTGGCCAGCTCTATCCAAGGCCACAGAAAATCAAATTCTGACTTCCTGAAGTTCAGCTGTGAAAGCAAGAGCTGCCAAGTCATGGGTATGTTTTGATCATGTTGACTTGAACCACTTGTTCATGATCACAGGGTGAGCATCAGAATTTGATTCTTTGTGCTCTGTATCACAGACACAACATTTAACTACTAAATACACCTACCAAATTGAATCACATCACGAAAGAGGATGGAGATCCCTACACCACAGTAAGTTGGTCATTCTAAGTTTAGTTTTCTCCTTGTGTCCAACTTGCCCATAGAGATGTCATACCTCCCCTCTGGAATCCCCATCTTCAGATTCAGAGGAGGATTCCTGAGCAATGGATGAAGGTCTGGATCGTCCATGGCGAGGAGATGCAGAGGGAGTTCTTGACTCATCATCACTTTCTGCACCCGGTACTCGAAGTTTAGCTGAAGAGCAGAGCAACAGCAAAGTGTTTAATAAGTATCCCCAATGCAAACATCAACCAAATCTATCATAATTTTCATTCTTCCTAGGAAGAGCATTCACAGTAATATTTAGTGTGATTTCCTATTGATAATTAGGATTAAATTAATAATTTGGATGTTTTAACACATGGTGCTGCAGGCCTACTGCATGTATTGCCGCTGCACTGCAAGAATGTTTGTTAGAGAGTTAATGTTTCTATTTTAGCTTCAAGTTAAACTTTTTCTACAAGATAATCAGGGCAGACACAAACCAGAATTTTTCATCCTACTCAACAAATCACTGGATTACTGCACAGCTGTGCACAGAGTTTTCAGCTTCAATTTGATTTTAAAATTCCACTGTGAGCTAAAACTTGAATATGTAGGAAGTACAGAAAACAGGATTGCTTTCTGATTTAGGAATGATGAATATCTGAGGAACTCAAAATACATAAGATATGCAAAGTACACTTATATTTTTACAATTTAGTGTAATAGCTTTTTTCCTAGTTCAGCTTTCTAGACAGAGATGTGCGGGTTGGATGGACTCCTACTAAAATTTCTTACCCCTAAGCACTGACAAATGTTCATTTGCTTATATAGAATAACTGTCTCAAAACCCACTGTGTAAATCTCACTTATAATTAAGCAACACCTAAAAAAAGAGACTGAGCTTGTTGGGGTTTGTTTGTTTGGTTTTTTTTTTTTTTTTTTTTTTCTACCATCTTTAAACTGTGTTTTTGAGATTCCTTACCCTGAGTTATTTTTGCAGATACCATTTCTGAGATACGTGAGGTGAGTTTCTGGAAGAACTCTTCTGAGCCAACATCAGCTAATGAAATAGGGCTTTTGGGCACACCTTCTCTGCCAGCTTCAAGGTCTCCTGGAGAAAAAAGAAAAAAAGAATTTGTAATTAAGCTGGCAGTGTCATTGAAAATTCATCTCTTTTTGAGTAATAAAAGCTTCTGTGGAAGGAAGGTTTAATTTTCTTCCCTTCTCCTGTTTTTAAAACTGTGCTTGCTCTCAGTTCATCCAAATAATTCACTCTTGAACAGCGAGCAGTCCTGAAAGGTTCCAACATTTCAGACAATTTCAAGAAAAGTGGATAAAAATGAGTGGATACATAAAATACTTTGACAATATCAGCTGTAGATATGGAGGACAGGAAGAAGAGAGAGAAAACAGCTTCTCTTACCTTCAGAGGACTGAATAGTTCTGAAAAAGAAAATAAAGCAGAGTTAAAAGTTACAATAAAATGGGCAGTAAGGAGAGCTAAATGAGGAGCACATCCCCCTTCTCCCACACATCCAGCTTACCCCAGTGTGGTCATGATGGCTTCTGACACCATCACACGCTCCTGGGTCAGGACTTCAGCCTCTTTCACTGCAAGATTGGGGTTTGTCATTAGAGGACAGAAGGCTCAGAATGTCCTTTTTTAGGTATTTAGTGCAGGCACATTTTCTAGACACAGAGCACTGCAGCAGCTCCTGACCTGGGATATATATTCCCAGTCCTGTGATGGCAATGGTTTCTCCCTCCTCTCCCTGCCCATGGAAAATATGTAATTGCCCCATTTCTCCACACTGCTCAAGTTATGCTCCTACAGCTCTTGGTACAATAAAAATGTGGGATGCAAGGTAGGAACAGAAAAATGGAATCCTTCACAGCTCTGCCCAAATTCCCAGCATATATTTCTCCCCCATCTTATTGTGTTAAGAGGCCTTGGAAGCTCTACAAAAATCAAGTAACTCTAATACAATTCAAAGTACCTCAGCAGAGTGAAACACTCAATTTTTCAAAAGGTGACTTTTCCAATTGTTTTACATTGGTTTTCTTTCATTTTTTTTAAATTTGTACTTTGTTGTTCCTTAGACTTGCCTTCTGTTTACACTGAAAAGATGCTGCTGTTAATACAAGACAGAGTCAGAAATCTAAAATGTTATAGAAGAGTATAACCATTTGCAAGAGAAGCAAAATCATGGCTGCTTCTTGAGAAAATGCATTTTTTTGGGTGTGATTGGATAATTTCCTTAACAGTCACACTTGTTTTTTGGTTTTTTTTGTTTTTTTTTTTTTCCCTTAGGCACTGCATAAAAGGCAAATATAGAGAAATTGTTTGTGTTGCAGCAAAGATTTACCGTCTGCAACTTCCAGGTTGGCAGTGCAGATGGACTGGCCAGCCTTGTTGGTGGCAATGCAGGTGTAAGCTCCACTGTACTTCTTCTTGACATCCAGCAGGATCAGGCTGTGGTGCATGTTGGAGCTGGCCAGTTTGTACCCAGGAGTGTCTGGTTTGATCCACAGGATGTCTTCCCGAGACTCTTCTTTCATCCAAGTGACTGTTGGTGGTGGATGTCCTAAAGGGAAATTGGTGCAATAATCTTTAATCTTCCTGTTTGTGTTCCTCCCTTAAAATGATGAGCCTTGCTGTGAAAAAATGCTGGTTTGATCCATTTTCTGATACTTTCCTAACAATAACAGGCATAATATGCAATAAAGGAGGATAAACCATTTTACAGCATGCTCATAAAGACATCAAATCTTTTTGAAAAACCAAAATTGTCAATCACCATACAATTCTTGGTCAACATACATCATACTGCATCCGTCATACTGCAAAGTGTCATCATCCCCATTTTTACATACAGAAAAATGGAGGTGAAGAAAAATAAGATGCTTTACTGTGAAGTGTCTTTGTAAGAAATGTAAGTTGTGAGTAGAATCCCAGACTTCAGATACAGGAAAGAAGGTTAAAATTACTTGGGGGCAGAGAGAGAAGAATGTGTTGTGAAATTACATATTTCAAGTGTTATTCAGAGAGATGAGGTATCTGCTCACTTACCTTCAACTTTGACAGATAATGTGATGCTTGCACCCTTTTTCACCTTTTTGTTTGTAAATCTTTCAAGGAATCTTGGCGGTATCAGCTGCTCATGGGAATCTGGAAATAATATTATTGAAGAAGCACAGTGAGCTTAGACTGAAAAATTCCTGGGGCTTCTGTTCTCACCTGCTGTGGCTTTTCTCACCTGTTTTGGATGGCTCTTCTTTCTCATAAGGATCTGAAACACAAGGAGAAAAAAAAGAACATGGCAACTATAAATAAGTGTTAATCCAGGAGTTGCAGAAAAAGGCTCCCAAACTGATTCCAGTGGAGATATTACACAGAAATATTGGTGTGATTTGTAAGAGCGCCTAAGTTTTAATGAAATGAACTTTTAACGAGGATGGGCAAAAATAAAATACCTGTTTATGAGACAACAGTCAGACCACAGAGAAGTGGCATCATCATCTTCTTAAACAGTAAATTTATAGGTGAATAAATTAGGAACCAAGAGTAAAGCACATCATCTTTTACCTACAGACTTCCCCACCTCACCTGAATTACCTTAAGAGGTTTCCTCAGTAAAAAATAACAATACAACATGGTAAGAACCTCTGGAACAGCCCAGAACAGAGCCACACCCACCTTTGACTACCAGCCTGGCTGAGGAATACGCAGAGCCAGCAGAGTTGATGACAAATATCAAGTACTGGCCGGCGTCTGCTTTGGTGACGTCGCGGATTTCCAGGGAGTGGAATTCCTGCCTGTCAGTCTTGAGGATACGGTCTGAGGCCTTCAGGGGCTGCCCATTTTTGAACCAATAGAGACGAGGCTGAGGGTACCCTGTGAGGAGCAGTTGCAGACACAGACAAATGAACAAAATTCATTGGCAACGCTGATTTGGGAGCATCTCCAAACTGCCGGGTCCTCTGCTGTTTCAAGGGTTTAACAGGGCTCCTGTTTCAAGGGTTTAACCAATTAGGAATGCTTAAAAAGGCATTAAATTCGATTTATCAGTCAAAATTATTTTCTGTCTCCTGAGTTTCTGGCAGTCCTCATATTGTCTGCATGTGCAAATGCCTTGGAGGTTGAAAAATCAACACTGAGGTCTGATTTGAAAGGTTCACAAGGAGAAATGTTGAAGCCAAATGCATTCTTATAATTTTTATAGACAGCAACAGGAGAAAACAGGAAAATCCCTACCAGAGTCAACACCAGAGGGATGTTTTTGCAGTTCTTACATTGTAGGAGCAACCCCTTAGTGGAGGAAGGCAAGTCCATGACTGCTTAATTTATTGAAGAGAACGAAGGAGACTGACTTCATTAATATGATTACATAATTATGATTCATATAAATACATTATACTAGATATAGTTATTTATGTTATAGATATATATATGTAATATCTAATGACAGCTATTAATAATGATAACAAATAATGTCAAGTTTATTACTCTTTATTGCTCCTGTGCTCAGAGAAATCCAGAATTCAATTTTCAGAAGCACGTGCCTGTCGTTATGCCTGCATATATGGACACAAAATGAAGCTTAATCTGCCTGAGTCTGCTCCAACAGTCCCTGTTCAGCAGCATGAACACATTCCCCAGCTGGTTTGTGCAGAAATGATGCAAGGTGCTCAGCCTGGGGGCACAGCTGCAGAAGAACACCTTGGAAAACCTTGTCCAGCACTTCAACCTGATATCAGACCTGAAAAACTGACAATACCGTGGGATCCACTCACCTTTCACCTTTAGGTGAAATTTAGCCAGCGATGCTCCAGGTGCCACGTGAATATCATGAAGCTCATCAAAGATCTGGGGCAACTGCTCCTCCTCAGTGGTGGATTCCTCCTGTTCTCGGCTAAGCAGCAATTTGGATTAGAAAGAAGAAAATCAGGACTCCAGGTAAGAGTTTGGAATCAGCATGAGCTATTTTAGGTAAATTCAGTCTGTGGGTTTTGGCATCCTGAGGACAGACTCAGCACCATCTGACATTAAAAGAGTGATTCCTTGAGGAAATACCCCGGCTTGCCTGAAGGCTCCAGAGCAATTCTGCCCATGATAAATGTGCAGCTGTTGCAGTTATTGCATCTCAGCTGGGCTGGATGCTCCTTTATGGCATTAACCTGCCCTGCTCGACACAGCAAACCCAACCCTGGCATAAATATACAGATTGATCACACCGAGTCAGAGGTTAGGGCCACAATTCCATATTTTACCTTGAAATATATTCCTTGGCACTGTAATAAGATGATGTCTCAGTTGCATCTGCTGCTGTCTCATAGTCCGTGCTGGTCACTGTTAAATGGAAGATAGCTCTTGAATCATCTGAACTTTGAAATTATTTTTCTTGCTTAAATAGTTCTTACTGATCTTAGTTCCCTAACTAATTTGAGTTACTGGCAGGTGGATTTTATATTGTACTGCAGCAGGATCCCACACGTCCCTGGATTATGAAAAACACCTCTGTTCACCCCAAAAGCTTTGTTCTGAACCTCGCCTTGGAGTTAGCAAAACCCAGCTGAATCCAAAAAGTTTGCACGTGACAGTTTTGTGGCCAAAACATCTTCCTTTAAAATGTAAATAGTGTGGAGATTCTTAGTTCATTCGAAGAAACAACAGAGATAATTTCTCCCAGGCTGAACCTGAGAATTGTAGAGGAAAGAATTAAAACAATTATTAGCTCTCTTTCTGTAACCATTGTTTATAGTTATGGTTATTCACAGTGTGCTATTCATAGTCACCAACAGTGTGAGTTATTTCTACTTTGAGACCAATCAAGTACCAACTCAGCAAGTCACATTATAAAAGACCCTCTACTTTCATTAAAGTTAACCCTCTAATCCACCTGAAGACTAGAGTCTTTCTTTCCGTCCCTGACTCAACAGCATCAAATGGTGCTTTCCTTGGGGAAAAAAAAAATTAATCAGGTCTCAGCAGAACTGCTTTAATTGGTTTTACTACTGTGATTTTGAGACTTACAGTCCACACGAAGCTCAGCCTTGGTTGAAGCCACCCCCATGTTGTTCTCAGCGAGGCAGCGGTAGACGCCCATGTCCGTGGGCACCACGGCGGTGATGATCAGCTGGTGACACCCTTCCTGGTCCTCGTTGATCATGTAGTGATCGTTCTCCTCAATAGCTTTGCCGTCCTTGAACCAGCGAACCGTGGGCAGGGGTTTGCCAATGACGATGCAGTCGAAGCTCACTGGGTACCCATCCTGGACCTCTTGGTTTTGGAGCTCGGTCATGAACATGGGGGCTAAAGGTGGGGTGGTTGGAGAGAAGAAAGAAAAGTTTGGTTTTATCTAAAGATGTATTTTGGGCTGCTGCTTCCAAGACTTCTGGTTTCCAGTTTTTTAATTACAGAGTAATATCTTTTCTCTAGAAAAGAGTCAAGAAACTCCCTAGCACTATGAAGGTATTCCATCAGCACAGCTGGTACCAATACTACAGCTGCCAACTATATATTGTCCCTGCTCCTATCCTTGCCAAAATGTCTTGTCTCCCTCAGAACCATTCTAAACCCTACATAATTAATTTAAGTACCATAATCATAGTATTTATGGTCATGTTGTAGTAGGTGACATTTCTACCATGAAAAGGGGCTTCATAGATAAGTCAATACATTGTAACCCCCTCACCAGTGTGCCTCTTCTCCCTCAAAATGAAAAAGAATTTTAAAAGTCATTATTTTTTCTAAAAGTGCAAAGCTTTCATAAAAATATCTGCAACTAATTTAGAAAAAAAACAACAAACTTGCTTGAGAGTGAAAAAATTATATTGTGACCTGTTCCCACAGTCTTTTTCAAGGAATGAGCAAGATTTCCTTCCCTACCTGTGTCAGAAGTCAGCAAAGGTGGTGGAGGTCTCGCTACTGGAGGTGGAAACTTCCCAAAGGTGGGAGGTGATGCCTTCCCAATGCGCAATTCGATTTTTTTCGGGCCTTGTTCCAAGATGTCGATCTCCACTGGAATTCCCAGAGCGCCAAACATCTCTCTGAACCGCGTGGCGGCTGTTTTGGCCTCAGACATGATTTCAAACTTGATGTAGATGTACTGGTCATCCTCACGGTACGTCTGGTGGTCAACCACGTCTATGTCCCCTTCATCTGCGCTGACAAAGAGCTCTTCCTCCACATCCGAGATCTCCGTGGAGATCTTGGCCCTGAAGAGTCTGTGGAGTCTCCTTCCTGCTTTTCGGAAAGCGTCGTCCAGCTCGCTGCCGGACGAGCTCTCCGTCTCGCTGTCGGTGCTCTGCTTACTCCTCTTCTCCTTAGCAAGAACTTGAGCTTCCTGAGTGCCAACCACCACCTTAGCGCTGTGTGAGACCTTGCCAAACTTATTGGATGCCTCACAGGTGTATTTACCTGCATCCTTCCTGTCCAGGCCAGCGATAATCAAGGAGCAGGTGCCATCGCTGTAGTTGTCTATGTGGTAGTAGCGGCCATCCGAGAGCTCCTTCCCATCTTTCAGCCAGCGCACATTCATGTCAGTTTTGCTGTGGGCCACACACTCCAAGTGCAGGGTGCTTCCAGGCTCTCCAGAGAAGTCTTTGAAGGTCTCAGTAAACACTGGGCACTCTTGTTGCTTGATCTCTTTTCTGACTTTGTAGCCTTTGAAAGCGGCTTGGATCTTCACAGCCGCCTTGTTCATGGAGGGATCATCTAAATCTGGCAGCTCTGGTTCAGCTGGCTGAGCTGCTGTGGTGGTCACAGTGGTCTCCACTGTGGATGTCTCCCACTGTTTCCATAGTTTTCCTGTGGAGGTGGACTGAACCTTGCTGGTAATGCTGGTGCTCTTTTTCCCAGCTTTCTTGAGGTAGTTTACTAGGGAAGGAGTCCCAGCTCTGGACTCATCATCAGAGCTTGTGAAAGAGAAATCTGCCTCTCCTGTCCTGGCCAGCTCGTCACACGTGGAGTACTCCTCCGAGTAGTAGTGAGACATCTCTGCTTCCTCCTTCCTCAGCTTCTGAAGCTTCTCATCCTCCTCAGGCACCTCGCTGATGGAATCCAAGGTGGGCTCCCGGCTCATACGGCGCTTCTTGGCCAGGGCTTCCCACAGGAGGTGAAGATCTCCCTCCTGGGCAGCTTCAGGGGGCAGGCTGGGCTGGATGTGTCCATCCACCTGCTCTTCAGCCCGGCTGGCAGGGGGAGCTTCTCTGGCAATCTCCTTCAGCATCGACACTGTGGGAACTGCAGGGAATTAAACAGATGAGAAGTTAAATATCTGTGAGTTTTGAGAAAGCACATGGAAATGTTCTACGGGAGAGTCTCAGAGGCATTCAACTAAGCATCATACTGAGGACAACATGGGAATTTACAGAATCACAGGATGAGGAAGGTTGGAAGGAACCTTTGGATATCATCTAGTCCAACCTCCCTGCTCACACACAGTCCCCTAGATCACACTATTCAGTGTCCAGATGGATTTTGAATATCTCCAGAGAAGGAGACTTCACACCCTCTCTGGGAAGTTGATATAATTGAATCTGGTCCAGGTGAACTTGTCCTAGCTGACCATGCTTTGAGGAGGAGGATGGACCACACCATCTTCAGGAAGTCTGTCCAACCTCAACAATCCTGTGATTCTATTCATGCACTTAAAACATTACCAAACAACTTTTTAAAAAAATTATTTATTCCTTGCACATTTGGACCCAATAAATCTATTTGTGCCCTTTTAAATGTTGCAGTTGATGAAGTTGTTGTTAAGACTGCCAGTGGAGCCTGAAAAGCCACCCAGGCTCATCCAATCTCCCAGATATACAGGGCTTCCCTGTCTGTCCTGAATAGATCTCCAGTGGCTGTGCTGGGAGCTGAGACACCCATCTCACACGGACACACCTGCTTGGTTGGATGTGCCTAAGTCTGGAGGTGTCTGGGACACATTCAAGTGCCTCTACATGTTACCCAGTCTCTTTTGAGATGCTCCACGTTGTCTGGGACATCCACAGAACACCCTAAAGCATCTCAAAAGGCAACAAAAACTCACATAGAGACAATAATGCCACACCTTAAATATCTGTCTCCTGAAACTCTAATCTGAGCAACTCAAAACTATTTGGGATGCAGGAACATACTGGGCAATGCCAAACAGGAAAATAACAATTCCTTCTGGATTGTTATCATAGCTTGTAAAATAAAATTCTTTCCAGTCCAAGGTGTGGAGATGGCCCTGGATGTCCACACCAGACCTGATTTAACACCCCAGCAATGCACACTCCGTACCTTCAAGACACAGGCTGGCAACAGATTTGACTTCTGGAGAAGCCATGCAGGTGTAGCTGTCCTGATCCTCAGGTTTAAATCCACGGATAATGAGTATCTGCTTTGTTCCATCAGAGAGGATCTCGTATCTCCCTCCAGCTTTTATTTGCTCTTTTCCCTTGAACCAAGTCACTTTCTCCTCAGTTTTACTTGATAACGTGCACTCCAGGCGAGCCACCCCCCCTTCCGAGACAGATCCTCCCACCAAAGGTTGGGTGATGGTAACTGGAGGCTCTGCAATTACAGAAATAAAGTGAATTAACACAAAGAACAATCATCTGGCTTTAAGGCACTCCACTCCATAAAATATCCAAGCAACCCATCCATCATTTACAGATTTTTCAGCTGTTGTAGACTACTAAAGGGAAAAAAAAAATTAAAAGACTGGCAGCATCCAAAGTGTGCTCTTCCAAAGATAATATCAAAACAACTTTCCAAGCTCTCCCAGTGCTTAAACCAGCTCCATCTAAACACATACATGCAGAAATGGTTGCATTTTCCACATTCCTCTGTTTATTTGCTGGTCTTCATTTACCCATCATCAGTATAAAAGAAGTTCTACAGTTTTCTAGATCTTAAATGTTTTGAAGTGAAGAAGTTGTGATGTGAGACAAAAAAGAAACAATAAATGGAATGAAAAGAGATTATTCAAAAGAGGCATTCATCTCTGCCTTGAAATAAAAAAAATGTAGATATATACGCTATCTTAGGAAGAGTAAAAATTATCAAAAAGCATAAATAATTTAAACCAAAAAATTCTCTGCATTTTCTTTACTTTGGAAGGAGGTCTACCAATGGAATGCTGATTGTAGAACCATGATACCTCAAAGAAAACCACATTAAACTCAGAGATGTTGACTAGGATGTAAAACACAGTTCTGGGTTCCTAAAAGCAGCGCATCCCTCAAGGTTACTTTCCCCTCTGCACGTTTCACCAGGGTGAGGGGATTGCTGCCCAAAATGCCTGGGGTTTGTTGTTGACAAAGTCAGCATGTGCAGAGTCATCAGGGTCCATCACTGGCAGCCGTTATTGTTACCAAAAAAAGTCATTGTGTACCTGAACCTTAAGCAAAAGAGTATTTTTTTATCATTATACTCATTTTGAGGAATTTAGATGAGTGATACCAGAGAAAGAGTTGCAAGGAAAGAAAGACTGAGAGAGAGAGACTCCCCATCCCACTGAAGCTTCCAAAGTTTCACCATCAGACAGCGAAGGAACTGTGTCCCCCAGCATTTCTTTGGGGGAATTCTTGAAAAAGACACATAAAAAGCATTAAAAAGATAGGTGAAGAAGACAACATCGCTCACTCATGGTCACAGTCTTGGTTACTCCAAACACATTCCAGCATGCCCTTTTTCACTCATTCCATCCTAACTCCACCAGAAAAGACACTCGTGGTGACTGGCCAACGCATGGGTGCAGTGCAAGAAACCCATGGTGATGGGCCAGCACGTGGATGGTGCAGTGCAGGCTGCAAGACAGCTGGATGCAGTTTGGAGGAAATCAAAGAACAGTGCTAAAAACGCAGCAGCTTTTGTTCACAGCAGCCCAGAACGACTTCATTATCCCAAGCACTTCCTCCTCTATTGTGTTGGCAGCCAAGCACTGAAAGATATTGCACTGGGAGATGCCTGGGATGGGTGAAGCAGGCATGCCATGCAAAATGTAGGGTCTGCAGGAGCTTGCAGTCCTCCCTGGAGCTGTGTCCATCCTCACCTAACCGCACCATCTGGGGGAAGTGCACCGCCTCGCTGGCCCCCGCTTTATTTACGGCCGACACTCGGAATCTGTAGGGCTCCCCCGGGGCGAGGCCATCCACCGTGAGCTCCGTGTTTTGGATGAGGCCCTCTCTGCAGGACTGCCAGCCAACTCCTGGGATTTTCCTCTCCACCTTGTAGCCCAGGATGTCCTGGCTGCCGTCACCCAGCGGCTTGTGCCAGGACAGGGTGACAGAGTGGCTGCTCTGACTTAGAACTTCTGGCTCTTCGGGTGGCTCGGGGAGGGCTGGGGGCACAACAGAGGTCCTGTGATGTATGATGTGAGCAGTAACACTTCATCCTAAAACACCCCAGAGCCTTCTGCAATGTGAAGAAGACACTGCTGTCCTCCTTCCTCCCCGTGAGGAGAGAAGCGCAATGGACCGAGTATTCTCCTTGTTGTAAAGTTGAGTGTAAAGTCATCATAAAGTCATGACCGTGAGTACCTGTGCACCACTGATTTGTCCTTGTCTGCCCTGATCTATGCTGAGAAACATTCATTTTCCAACTGTCATCTCAAATAATTAACCTCTTGTATATATAATTAACCTCTTTTTCCCACCAAGCTTAGAATAAAGATAATCCTACACAGTCCATATTATCAAGGAGTTCAACTGAAAATTCCAAGCACATTTGAGCCTTGATTGTGTTTATTTTAGGTCTGGCCTTAATAGAAATCAAGTTATTATGGGACTAAAGAATAACTCAAATATTTTAATAACGAGTCATTCCACTTCTGTGTAATTGTAGTATGTGTCACAGCATCAGGCAAAAATAAATAAATATGTGATGGGAATGATCTGGAGTCCTGCTGTCCATGATCATAGAATGGTTTGGGTTGGGACCTTGAAGATCATCTAATCCCAATCCCTACACTCAGTGCACTGGAAAATGTTCCTTGCTTACATTACGCTTTGGCCTAAAAGACAGAAATAATTCTTTCAGTCTTGAGTTCAAGACATTTACTATGTAAATGACCTGCCATGACATACCAATCCAAAGAATTAAAGGCAAATATGGTCAACAGCCAGTTCTTTAACACCACAAGAACAACATAAAATCTTTTCTCTGTTGTCAGCCAAATTTCATACAGAAAAATCTGTCAACAGAAGGAGTATTGTATTTTTATTTTGAAGTTCATTAAATGTAAGTACCCAAAATTAGAAAAAGCTGATTTAAATCCATCAAACTTTTTTTTTTTTTATTGTGGTGGAAATGACTGGAATGTGTAAGAGAGATCCCTTAAGTCTCAGAAATCATTAAACAGAGATTGCCTGTAGCTATTTAAAGTATAGGTGGTCCATCAGTGACTCTTTAACATCTCAGCTACAGCTAAAATACATTTAATTATCTCATAACCATCACTGGGATGGTGCTGTGTGACCACTGCTGGGCCACTTGTCCCACTTGTCCCACTGTGGGAAGGAGCCAGATCCTGGGTGCTGAAATGGACACTGACATGGCATCATCCAACCTGCTCCATGAGGGAATTAGGGAATTATCATCTTCCCTACTTAACTCTCGTGTCTCTGGAGCAGGAGGTGTGTGCTTCATGGGTGTCCCCACTTGAGGGTTTTAATATGCTACTCATTAATGTGGAAAAATATTTGCCCTGCACATGAGCTGACTAGCAGATTTCAAAGATTCCTCTGCTGTTCTGGATGATTTTTCCACATGGATTCTAGCTCAGCTCCCTCCTGTGTCCACATTTGCCGAGAGTGAAGTTGGACTCTGAGAATACTGACTTCTGTTAGAGTTTATGTTACATTTTACAAAAGACTGCAGCTAAAGAAAGCTGGACAGCATCTCTACCATCACTAGCCTGAAACATTTTTCTTCTGATGAGGTGGATGTGGTCAAAGAGCAAGTTGCCAGTAGTATCTTCTCAGACTAAGAACACTATTTTGGTACATGTGAGGCAAAATGGAAAAAATCAGCACAAAGATTGGGAAATTCAGTGTTGTAGCTCAATACCAAAGTTTGAGACTTTGAGTGCCCCTGGGCTGGAACAACACACACTTACCAATCACAGAAAGCTTGGCTGATGAAATGGCCTCCCTGGAAGCAAAGGTCACCTCTCCAGAATGATGCAGTTGGGCTTTTTTCAGAATAAGTTTGTATTTGTTTCCATCTGCTTGTACCTCCCAGTCCTCACCCGGCTGGATCTCTGTGTCATTGCTGTACCAGGCCACTTCATTAACTGGCACAGCTTCACTCAGGACACAGCTAAATGTTGCTTTTTCCCCCAGAGACACTTCCACATCCCTGAGGGGCTGCAAGAACTGCAGGCGCCACCCTGTAGATTAAAATCAGCGATCAAGCCCTCAGTCACAGAAACAATCAGGAGATTTTGTGAATATTTGTGCTGAAGCTCTGAACAGCCAGGCCTTGGAGAGCAAGGAGGTCATTAAAAGGTTTATGTGTATTGCCAGAACAGAAGGTTTAGAATCACAGAATGGTTTGGTTTGGACTTTAAAGCCCGTCTTGCTGCATCCCCTGCCTTGGGCAGGGACACATTCCACCAGACCAGGTTGCTCCAAACCCCATCTAATCCATAAGTGGAGACTGATCTCTGCTTTTGTACTCTTATTTTCTTGTACAGAAAGGGTTTCTGGTCCCCACTGGCGTCTCCTGTAATAGCATAAAGTGAAAGGATACAGAGATAACGCTGTTGCTAATAAAACCCTCCTCTCTGAAGGCCTGAAGTGCCTATAAACACAACCAAACTCATCAGAATCATGACAGCTCTGAGACAATCATTTGCTGCTAATTCAGTGCCAACTGCTCCTGCTTATAAACCATCTCACATCCTACAGAGCAAGAAAACAAGGAAATTGTAAAGCATCACCCATTTAGGGGTGAGAGAATTGGATTTTTTTTCAGATTTTTGTTTTTCAGGGAAAACAAAAGGCTTTGGGATGACCTAATTTGTACAAAGGGTTCCTCAAGGACCATCATGTCAAGCTCCTGATATCCCAGCTTTCTCTGATTGTCATCTTTTTATGTCCCTTTGCAGCCCTATCATATATATATATATATATATATATATGATAGGGCTGCAAAGGGACATAAAAAGATGACAATCAGAGAAAGCTGGGATATCAGGAGCTTGACATGATGGTCCTTGAGGAACCCTTCCAGCTCAGGACATCCTGTGATTCTATGATGTCCTTATTCTTCAAATAGTTGCTCTTCTCACAAGCCAGCTGGGATAACCCAACAGGGTCTCTTGTCTGGAATGCTCCTCTTGAAACTGCTGCAGCAGGCTGAGGCTTTGGGATGCTCCTGGCAGACCTTGGGGAGCAAAGAGAGCTTTGCAAACACCATTTGGAAACTTGCTGCAAGGCTTGATCCCACTCACTAAGGTTCCCTCTGCCACGTGTGTTTGTGGAGAGGAGGCTCCGTGGAAGATCCTGGAGATGTTTTGCTGACTGAAGAAACAAGCAGGTGTCTGGGGAGCACGACCACGTCCCCTTCCATAAGATGCAGAAATGTGTTTCTCACAGCAAATATCACCTGTGGTACTGGAGAAGGTCCTGGTCCCACTGTCCCCTTGCTGTTGGCCAGGGCAAGGATTTTGGTGGCCCTGTTCACCTGTGCAGCTCTTTGGGACTGAGGAGCCAACGTGTGCCCTGGAACCTGCAATTCTTCACCCTTCTCCATCCTCCCCCCATCATCTGTGAGCATCACTGTAGGTCATGGAATGAATGAATTGCTGGGCAATGATGTTGTGGACTCCCAGCATGGAAAGCTGACATCTCACTTGTTACAGAATAAATCAAATTACCAACGTGCCTTAAACCAGGAGAACGAGGCACAAGGAACAAGTCAGCTTGCTCCTTGATGAAGAGCAAGCCATGGATGGCTTGCTAGACTGAAATATATTTCAAACAAAGGTTTATGCTTAAATTTGTGGACAAAATAAAGTGCATAAAATTGTCAACACAAGAATGGCTGGAATTTTAAAAGTGTTTCACTTTTCTATGAAATAGAGTGTTACTGAGCACAGTATAATTGGGGTTATCCCAATCCAGTTATAAAATATTGCTAGTGTGATTCAGGTTTGCAATTCAGGAATCTTGGCTTCATGGAAGCACAAAATATCCACATACACGTGTGTAGCTGCACGAGCTGTGGGGTTGGGCTGGATGATCTCCAGACATTTCTTCCAAAATCAGTGATGCTGTGATTCCATGAAATGGAAACATCTCAGGAGCCCATAAATTCACTGAGCAAAATACCTAACAATGCATTTATTTTTAATTTATGTTCTAGGCACACTGGATTTTTTTTTTTTTTTTTTTTTTTTTTTTTTTTTTTTTTTTTTTTTTTTTTTAACAAGTCAGCTTGCTCCTTGATGAAGAGCAAGCCATGGATGGCTTGCTAAACTGAAATATATTTCAAACAAAGGTTTATGCTTAAATTTGTGGACAAAATAAAGTGCATAAAATTGTCAACACGAGAATGGCTGGAATTTTAAAAGTGTTTCACTTTTCTATGAAATAGAGTGTTACTGAGCACGGTATAATTGGGGTTATCCCAATCCAGTTATAAAATATTGCTAGTGTGATTCAGGTTTGCAATTCAGGAATCTTGGCTTCATGGAAGCACAAAATATCCACATACACGTGTGTAGCTGCACGAGCTGTGGGGTTGGGCTGGATGATCTCCAGACATTTCTTCCAAAATCAGTGATGCTGTGATTCCATGAAATGGAAACATCTCAGGAGCCCATAAATTCACTGAGCAAAATACCTAACAATGCATATGGATGCAAACTGACACAGGACTTGTGGGGTCTGCCCACTGCGTTGTCACTGCATCATTCTATACCATGAAGAAGTGATTTCACATTTTATCTCTGCAGAGAACCAAATTTCCTGAATGTACAAGGGACACGTGATGCAGAGAAGGAGACATCAACCACTGACTACAATTCCATATTGTGGATCATTCCTGTTATGGCCCAGTTATAGCACAGCAGTAGATTTGCATAAAGATATTTTAACCCTTTATATCTCTAAATATATCCATTTTCCAAGCAGGGAATAAGCCTTAACTTTGCCTGAAAAACAACATATCTTCCCCACAGTTATAAAAGGAGTGGGTGGGAAGGAGCTTGCTTTATCAAGTCTGGAGCTCAGTGTTATTTGCAGCTTTTGGCTACCCTTACCAAATGGGGAAAATATTTATTTAACAGACCAGAAAGCTTTGCCAGTGCAGGGATGAGCTTTTAAAAACAAGGCACATTTTGTCTCTGTGTTACTGGAATGTCACACACCCATTGGTTTCCAGGAACAGCCCAAAATCCTGTCCTGGGAACATGCTGAGCTCAGCACCAGTAGCCCAGCTGTGAAGCAGCACAGTGGTAAATTTGGGAATTACCACCCCCGCAAGATTTTGTGGTATTATGGAAAAAAAAAAGCTGAAGTGGAGATATAAAGTCAGGTGCTGATGTTTATGTTCATCTCTTCTTTGATGTCAGGCGAAAGCAGCAGCCCTGACCCTGCAACCCTCCCTCACTATAAAATCCAAAAGAACCTGAGGGTGAGTGAGGAAAAAAAGTAAAAATCAGTGTGGTTGTACCCAGAAGAATTCTGGGGTGAGAGTGGGTGCCTTGCAGAGTGGGAGGGTTGCAGGGCACAGGAGGACCATGAAGGGATTTGGTAAGGGTAGCCTGGCAGGCAGAAGCACCAGCACATGGAGCAAGTCCAGAGGTGGCCACGTGTTTCTTGCTGACAGGGAAATACCTTTGACTAATAATTTAGCTGAGGATATAAGGGACCCAGCTCTGAAGGTGACAGTGCCCGAGTCGTGGCACGCCACGTCATTTAGGGTTAAAGTGTGGATCCTGCCGTCCTGCTCAGAGATTTCAGTCACCAGGTTGTTGTGGAGGGGGGTCCCATCGAGCCACCACTGCACGTTCTTCACGCCCGGGTGCGAGAGCTCGCAGGTGAACGTGGCCGACTCGCCCACAAAGACGTCTGTGCTCCTTAAACCAGACACTATCACGGCTGCTTCTTCTGCCGACAGAGCAAGAGAAGGTGCCAAAGGAAAACAAAAACAAACGCGCACGACTCGCTCCCTGCAGGGCTAACCCAAGCCCAAGCGCAGCTCCAGCAGAGTTAAACTTGTAGGGCTTTTCCAAGGGAAAAAAAGAACTAGAATTGTCTTGAAGAGGGCAAGAAACCACCTTCCACCCCTCCAGATGCTTGTAGGAGCAGCGTGTGTTTGCAAGCATAATTTCACTGGGAGGAAACTCCACTCCTTGCCCCGGTCATGCCTGGCTCTCCTGTGTGTTGCAAACATCTGTAGAAATTGTATGAGGCAGGGAGGTACTTAAAGATTTAAATGTTCACTTGGGTGCTTTAAAGGAGTAATAAGATTATCAACAATGATAGAAGCTGCAATCAGTTGTAACAAGAATTTCAGTATTTTTACGACCACTGCTCCAAGTTTTTCAGCAGTACCACCATCTGCTCTGAGACACAGTATGGTCAGTACTTTAAACTAGATTAACTTAAAAAGATGGGTCAAACCTCAGCCTGGAGGTGAGTGTTTATACCTTCGCTGGAATCAGGAAAGAAATGAATGGACTTTCTGCTGTTTGGCCAGTTACTGCCAAAGATTTTGGAGTAAGAAACCCAGGCAGAAAACCAGAGCATTTGCAGCACGTTCCACCACCTTACCTTGCACATACACAGACCCTGTGGTGATCTCGTATCCAGTGCTGCAGGTATAATCCCCACAGTCATCAGGTTCTACACCACGGATGATCAGCTCAGCCACGCTGCCCTTCAGCTTCACCTCGTACTTGTCACTGGGCTGAATGACCACCCCTCCTTTCCTCCACTCAACGGGAGCATCCGGCTTGGAGATCTCACAGTGCAAAACTGCCGTTCCCCCTTCTTCAGCCTCTACGTTTTTCAGCTCTTTGTTAAACAGCACTGGCAGTACTGCGGTGGAGAAGCAACTGCATCAGTGACAGCGCTCAGAGGTGAGAAACCTGCTTGTGACTTCTGCAGCTGGGCTGCTCCCCTCTTTCTGGACCACAGTTTTGCTTGCTGGCCACTCATGGAATGAGTTGATGATGCTGCAAAGGTGTCCAGTGCTGCTCTGGGCATCTAAAGGTCTTCACGTGGCCATACTCACCATTCCCAGTGGAAGCACACAGAGCACAACACCACCACTCACAACACCGAGTCAGAACATTTTAGGTTGGAAAAGACCTTTAAGATCAAGTCCACCCATTAACCCAGCACAGCCAAATCCACCACTAAACCACATCCCCAAGTGTCACATCTGCATATCTTTTAACTATCTCCAGGGATGGTGACTCCACTGCTTTTCTGGGCAGTCTGTGACAACGCTTGGCCACCCTTTCAGCAAAGAATTATTTCTTAATACCAAATCTAAACCCATCCTGGTGCAACTTGAGGCCATTTCCTCTCATGCTATTGCTTGTCACTTGTGAAAATAGACCAACTTTTACCTCACCACAACCTCCTGCTGGTAGTTGCAGAGAGTGAGAACATCTCCCCCAAGCCTCCTTTTCTCCAGGTTAAAAACCCCAGTTCCCTCAGCTGGCACATGAGATTTTGAGTGTTTAACCTCTGAAATCACATGCTCTGAGCAGGAGTTTGTTACAGTGACTAAATCCGCAAACTGCAAGTGTGATCTAATCTAAAAGACATGGAATTCTTAGCACAAAATGAATAAAACTGTAAAATCCCAAACCCACAGAGTTCTTAGTACAAAATGAATAAAACTGTAAAATCCAAAATAATAGAATTCTTAATACAAAATGTATAAAACTATAAAATCCAAAAACACAGCCACTAAGAAATGCAAAGAGTCACAATTCACGGACTGCTCAGGCACTAAGACATACAATGGATCAATTTAAAATGGACTTGTCCTAGGCGTGGTGAAATACCTCAGTTTGATTTCACAGAGTGTCAGTGATAACTCAGCAATAAAATTTCCATGTGGATGTGGCACTTGGGGACATGGTTTACTGGTGGACTTGGCAGTGTTGTGTTGTGTTAATGGTTGGACTCCACGATCTCAGAGATCTTTTTCAAACTAAATCAGAGAATGGTTTGGGTTGGAAGTGGTCTTAAAGATCCAGTTGGTCCCATGAGCAGGGAACCTTCCACTAGACCAGGTCTCTCAGAGCCCCATCCAGCCCGGCCTGGATGATCCCAGGATCCCCCCTGTGAAGGATGGACAAACAATCCTCATCCTACCTTTGACCTGCAGCGAAGCCGTGGTCTGCTGATCCCCCGAGTCACAGGTGTACTCTCCAGCATCCTGAGCCTCAGCCTCGTAGATGAGGAGCTCGGCTCGTGTCCCCTCCTGGCGCATCTCGTACTTGTCCCCGGGCTGCAGCACCGCGTCCCCTTTGCGCCACTCCAGGCGCGCGTGCGGCCGTGTCAGCTCGCAGTGCAGCACGGCCGTGCGCCCTTCCTCCACCTCCTCGTTCCTCAGCCACTGCTGGAACAGCACGGGCAGGCCTGGCAGGGCAAAGAGGAAATGAAAAGTGGGTGAGGCAAAAATAGAAAACGGAGGGGTGTTTTATTGTTGAGGTGTGGATAGAGGTGTTTGTGAAGTTCATGGACAGTTCTGTTTGGGTTTCCCTAAGGAGAGCATCCAGGGATGCCAAAGTCAAACCTAGACAGAGGATGAGGAGGAAGAGGAGTTAATCAGCAAGAAAAATTTGATTTCTATGTGAGCTACATTTCTCTCCCCATATCTCAGACTTCTTTTCACAAAAAATTTGCAGGTCAGTAGTTATTACTGAAGGCCAGACAGCTTTCCATCCTTGAAATAAAATCTTAGAATGGGATAAAATCACTCAAAAATATAAAAATATTAAAAAATATATTTAAAAAATATAGAAATATAAAATATACATATGTGTATATATAATATGTATAAATATATAATATATATAATATGTATTAATATACATTAGAATATATAGAACACATCAGAAAATTAGACTATATTGCATAAAATAGAATATATAGAATATGTGGACTAGTATAATATAATAATATACAAAATAGAATTATATATGCAATATATGATATAGAATATTATTACTATAGAGAATAATAGATGTAGGTTATATTAGAATATATACAGAATATATAAATCCTGTGTTACAATCCAAGGCTTCAGATCTTGCAGCCAAAGGTCAATTACAGAATAATTAAAGTTTGAAAGGACATTGGGAGGACGCCGTGGATGGAGATTCCTCCACTCCTCTGGATCTCAGTTTCAAAGTCTGACCACTCCTTCATGTTATAAGTTGGACTTTTTCTAATCTGAATTTCGCTCACTGCAGCTTGCACTTGTTGCCTGTCATCTCTTTACTGAGTTCTGCAAGAAAGTTCTGTGTCTCTCTCCTCTGTAGATCCCCACTAAGAAGCTGCAAAGAGTGAGGTCTCCCTTCCACTTTCTCTTCCCCAGTTATCAAAATCATCTGCCCTCACCTCAACTTAGACTTAGATCCCAGAATGGTTTAAATTAGAAGGTACTATCATCTTTTTCCAAACCCTGCCACTGTCAGGGTCACCTTCCACCATCCCAGGTTGCTCCAAGCCCTGTCCAACCTGGCCTTGGACACTTCCAGGGATCCAGGGGCAGCCACAGCTTCTCTGGGCCGCCTGTGCCAGGGCCTCACCATCCTCATTGTAAAATATATCTTTCTTATACCTAATCTAAATCATCTCCCTTTTGGTTTAAAGCCATTACCCCTTGTCCTATCACAACAGGGCTTGTCTATGTAATTCACATGCTCCAGCCCTCTGACAAACTTGGTGGATTCTGCTGCACTTGCTCCACTGATCAGTGTCTCTCTTGAAATAGAGAGCTCTAAAAATCGATGTTCCCTCCTCTCACCACTGCTGGGCACAGAGGAACCCTACCTTTGACCTCCAGTCTGGCCGTGGTCTTGCCAGCAGCCGTGTGGCAGCTGTACTCCCCGGAGTCGGCGCGGTTCAGGTCGCGGATGAGCAGGGTGTGCACCTTGCCCTCCTGCTGGATGCTGCACTTGTGGCTGGACTGGATCACAGTCGTGCCCTTCTTCCACTCCACAGGGACATCAGGCTTGGACACCTCGCAGGACAGGTGGGCAGTGCCACCCTCCTGCAGCTCCAGGTTGTGCAGCGCCTTCACGAAGGTGACCGGGGCAGCTGTGGGGAGAGGGGACCAGCACTGCTGCAGCATCCTCACCCAGCATCACCCCAGGGCAGAGCTGGGGGTCTGTAGTTACATTTGGAGCCAGCTCGAAGAGGAACAAACAACACAAGGCATTGGCGTGGGCCATCCTTCAAAAATCATTCTGTATATCTTAAAAGAAAGGTTTTCCGGAGCTTTCAGACTTTTTTTTTTTCTTTTGTAAATATGATCTAAAAGCATCATAAGTAGGAGATTAGTCCAGAGTATATTTTTGACACTATTCAGCATTGATTCTGACATGTGATCAGCTGCGTAGTTGGATGGTCTTCAAAGGATGTTAACGTTAATTATATTAAATAACATCAAAGGATGTTAATGGTAATTATTATGATAAATAACATCAAAGGATGTTAATCTTCATTCCATGTACAATAAAAACAACTGGAGCAACTGGCTCAGATGTACCTCTCTAAATTGCTAAATTAGATTAGCAGAATCTCCCAGAATTTCCAAGGCTCCCTAATCCCAAATACACCTCTCCAGAAGTCCAAGTAGTGCCTGCCAGTACCTGCTCAACCCCTCTTCCTGGGAGGCTGCTCACCTTCCACCTTCAGCTGCGCTGCTGATGAGTGCTGCCCCACTCTGAAACTGATGGACCCACAGTCTTCCAGGGTCACCTTCCTCAAGATCAAGCTGTGGCGTGTCCCTTGCACTCTGATCTCGTTCATTTCGTTGGATTGCAGGGGAACATCCCCCAGGAACCACTGGGCATCCTGAGCTGTTTCCCGGGACAGCCTGCACTCGAACACCGCGTCTTCTCCTTCGTACGTGGCCACGTCCCTCAGCCTCTCCACGATGGTGGCTGCTGCTTCTTCATGGAAAGGGCAACAGAGTTTGAAATCTACTTTCAATGATGCTTCCTGGGTTAAACATGTCGTTAGGCTCTTTCTTGACAGCGCTATGCTGTTGTTATTTGAGGCCCTAAATAATAAATCTGGGGGTGTTCCGCTTGGAAGAGAGGGCTTATGAGGGCTTATAAAAAAAGAGGAAGGAGGAGTTTTTATAGGGGTAGGTAGTGACAGATAAAAGGGGAATGGTTTCAAACTGAAAGAGGGCAGGGTTAGCTTAGATAAAGAAATTGTTCCCTGTGAGGATGGTGAGGCCCTGGCACAGGTTGTCCAGAGAAACTGTGGCTGCCCCTGGATCCCTGGAAGTGTCCAAGGCCAGGCTGGACAGGGCTTGGAGCAACCTGGGATAGTGGAAGGCTGGAACTAAATTATCTTGAAGATCCCTTCCAACCCAAACCATTCTGTGATTCTGAACTCATGAAAATGTAGGTACTCAGGCACATAGCAACATATTACAATGCTACAGATGCATGATTCACATCTGCATGTGTATTACAAACTTGCAAGTTATACTGTGTTGCATGCACAATAAATATTTAATGTGTGTATGATCATAACCCGTGTGCTGTGAAAAAATTGTCAAAAGATTCCCATGGGTGAAAATTAATTATCATTAAACCACAGAAGCAGTGACCAAAGAGAGGTAACAGACACAGTTCTGAGCCCTGTGAAACCTGTCTCATCTCTGAGATCCCCATTTCAGGACGAGGTTTAGCTGCCAAATTACTCAGTGCTGTGCCCCTGCCGTGGTGCCAAGCTGTGCCCAGCCCTTCCCCAAGCAAAGCCTCACCTTTCAGCTGCACTGCTGCCGTGGTTTGCTGGTCCCCTGTGTCACAGGTGTACTCCCCAGCATCAGCTTGGCTCAGGTTGTGGATGGTCAGCTCGGCCACGGCCCCCTCCTGACGCATCCTGTATTTGTCACTGGCTCGCAGCACCGTCCCCGCCTTCTTCCACTGCACAGCGGTGTTGGGTTTGGAGACCTCACAGCTCAGAGTGACAGTGCCACCTTCCTCAGCTTGTTGGTTCTGGAGTGGTTGCGTGAAGGTGACTGGAGAAGCTAAATCAAGAAAAATCAGAGGGGGAAAAATCCGTGTGTCACTGCTGACCTCGTAGTTAAGCCTTGTGTTTGATGAGACTCTGGTGCCATCCTAAAATTTGGTTCAAACTCAGTTCCAAAGTTAGTTTGAAAGCAAAACAGGGAATGACAGAGGGTGCTGTGTGGGAAATGGATTTGTATAAGATTCTCAGGGCCTGACAGAGGGCTCACACAGCGTGTGCATCCATATGCAAACTGTGAGACAAGAAATGCCGACTTAGAAATGCCATGGGATAGGGCAGACATTGCTGAGAGAGAAATGGAACTAGAAAAAAGTTTCAAAAGGCAGCCTTACAAATAAGACTGGATAATTTGGAGAAATAGAACTAGGAAAGATGCATTGCAGTAGGACCCATGAGGGGTAATTTTAGATTATTGGCTTTAGGGCATTTTCAGCATGGTGTGGCTAAAGCTGATAAGCCAAGAAACATTTATAATGTATTGTAACTAGGAAATAGTTGGCTTCTGATTGTGATGGTGTGAATTATAACATCTGTATTGTCTCACCCTTCACATGAGACTGAAAATGAAAAAAAGGTTTTTAAATGCCTCTCAGTTGCCCCAGCTCTGGGTCAGGAAAAGGGAATTGTCTGACAGTGCTGGATTTCCAGGAGCTCTGCACTCCTGAAGAATCAATGGACACTGCAGAGGAGTTTTTATAGGGGTAGGTAGTGACAGATAAAAGGGGAATGGTTTCAAACTGAAAGAGGGCAGGGTTAGCTTAGATAAAGAAATTGTTCCCTGTGAGGATGGTGAGGCCCTGGCACAGGTTGTCCAGAGAAACTGTGGCTGCCCCTGGATCCCTGGAAGTGTCCAAGGCCAGGCTGGACAGGGCTTGGAGCAACCTGGGATAGTGGAAGGCTGGAACTAAATTATCTTGAAGATCCCTTCCAACCCAAACCATTCTGTGATTCTGAACTCATGAAAATGTAGGTACTCAGGCACATAGCAACATATTACAATGCTACAGATGCATGATTCACATCTGCATGTGTATTACAAACTTGCAAGTTATACTGTGTTGCGTGCACAATAAATATTTAATGTGTGTATGATCATAACCCGTGTGCTGTGAAAAAATTGTCAAAAGATTCCCGTGGGTGAAAATTAATTATCATTAAACCACAGAAGCAGTGACCAAAGAGAGGTAACAGACACAGTTCTGAGCCCTGTGAAACCTGTCTCATCTCTGAGATCCCCATTTCAGGACGAGGTTTAGCTGCCAAATTACTCAGTGCTGTGCCCCTGCCGTGGTGCCAAGCTGTGCCCAGCCCTTCCCCAAGCAAAGCCTCACCTTTCAGCTGCACTGCTGCCGTGGTTTGCTGGTCCCCTGTGTCACAGGTGTACTCCCCAGCATCAGCTTGGCTCAGGTTGTGGATGGTCAGCTCGGCCACGGCCCCCTCCTGACGCATCCTGTATTTGTCACTGGCTCGCAGCACCGTCCCCGCCTTCTTCCACTGCACAGCGGTGTTGGGTTTGGAGACCTCACAGCTCAGAGTGACAGTGCCACCTTCCTCAGCTTGTTGGTTCTGGAGTGGTTGCGTGAAGGTGACTGGAGAAGCTAAATCAAGAAAAATCAGAGGGGGAAAAATCCGTGTGTCACTGCTGACCTCGTAGTTAAGCCTTGTGTTTGATGAGACTCTGGTGCCATCCTAAAATTTGGTTCAAACTCAGTTCCAAAGTTAGTTTGAAAGCAAAACAGGGAATGACAGAGGGTGCTGTGTGGGAAATGGATTTGTATAAGATTCTCAGGGCCTGACAGAGGGCTCACACAGCGTGTGCATCCGTATGCAAACTGTGAGACAAGAAATGCCGACTTAGAAATGCCATGGGATAGGGCAGACATTGCTGAGAGAGAAATGGAACTAGAAAAAAGTTTCAAAAGGCAGCCTTACAAATAAGACTGGATAATTTGGAGAAATAGAACTAGGAAAGATGCATTGCAGTAGGACCCATGAGGGGTAATTTTAGATGATTGGCTTTAGTGGGTCAGGAAAAGGGAATTGTCTGACAGTGCTGGATTTCCAGGAGCTCTGCACTCCTGAAGAATCAATGGACACTGCATACAGTGCTCATACGCAGAGCACCTCAAGGACTGTGCTCCTTCTTGCACAGGAATTGTCATGGATACAGGGTTTTGAGCATCTCAGTGCATGTATCTCCAAATGGGTACCAAAACCAGACCTCAAAAGCCTACTCCTGGTATCCAAGTCCTTGTGTACTTGGGAGGGCATGGAGAAACATCTTTCTATAATACTCCTTATTTGAAAACTGGACCAGCAGAGAAAGGAACCCTGGCAGTGTCTGGGCAAATGGGTCTTGACTGGTGGGTCAAGGTGGAGTTTTGATGAGTGGATTTATGAAGTGCCACATGTAGAAGTTTAGCTCCTCAGGTCCAGTTCCCTGGAAGAACCATGGTGGCTCCACACTTATTAGTATTTATATATATTTTTTTTGTTTGTTTGTTTTGTTTTTTCTTTTTCAGCCAATGGGCTCAATTGATATTTACAGTGTGACTGCACAGGCTTCCTCAGCTTTGGGTTGGAATTTTTTTTCCTGGGTTTGGAGTCTTTTTTCAAGGAGTGCTGGAGTGGTTGAGACCACACACAGAGAAACAAATTGGCCATCAGAGGACCTGCTTACAGCACCAATATTCTGGTATCCTTGAGTTGTGGAGTCAGTGTGACTGCAGGCAGGTGCATGCCCTTCACAGGAGAGCCCTCAGGGATATTTCAAAAGGTGGGATCTAACAATACCCTGGCTCATCTTTGTTTCTCCTGATCGTGCGTCTCAGAAAAAAATCATCTTGATATTGTACTTGTATCAGATCAGATGTGATAAATAACAGATATATTGTTACATTACATCTATTTTCAAGATCTTTGGCACTGGAAGCATTTAGGTGCCTTGCTCATTAGCTGGAGTTGTGTCCAAGTTTGAACAAATTCACCTGGATCACCATTTTTCCAGGCAGGACTGCAGCTCAAAGGATTAAGCATCAAAAATAGTCCTATCTTAATTTTAGCTGCAGCCCTGTTTGTCTGAGTGCCCAGAGAGACGCCACAGGGTCTCAAAGTGTGGAAGTAATTCCCACACTTGGGTCCCTGCATTTTCTTTGCTTAGACACCACAGGACTTCCAAAAGCAAAAGCACTCAGCTGCAATCAAGAACAGTAAAAAAAATCCTCTTGGCAGAGCCTAACTAAGGGAGTGGAGCAAGTTTCTTATCTTAAAAAAAAAAACGCAGCACAAGCCACCTTTAACAGTCAAAGTGGCTGTTGTTTGTTCATTTCTGTTATCACAGGTGTATTTGCCAGAGCCTTCTGGTTTTAAGTGATAAATCTTTCAAGTATGGACTGATTTTATCAGTCCTCATGGCTGATTTCATACTTGGAGCTTGGGAGGTCACCTGAGGGCCCTTTTCCCATTTCACCTCAGCACTGGGCTAGGAGAGCTGGCAGCAGAGGACAGTTGTGTCCTCCTCCTGCACTTCCCTGCTCTGCAGTTTCTCCTTAAAGACTGGAGGTGGCACTGAAATTACAAACAAAGCAAAGATTTGTTTGCTTTGCTTTGTTTGCTTTGTTTTCCAGGCTCCTTTGTCTTGGTGTTAAAGCTGCAGCTGAATGGTTGAGTATTTAAAAAATCTTCTGACTTCAATGTTATTTACTGAGGGGTTAAAAGAAGCTTCTAAGAGGGAAGAAGGATTTTGGATGGATAATGGAAGGAAGGACAGAAGGAAGGAAGAGAGAGAACGAGAGAGAGAAATCTGAGCAACCTGATCTGGTTGAATATGTAGAGAGATTGGACCAGATGGCTCTTAAAGGTCCCTCCAAATCCAAATTATTCTAGAATTCTAAAAAGGGTGATGGAAGCAATGAAAATTCCAAGGCTATCCGCCCAAGAAGCAAAGCCAAGCTAGCAATTTCTCCAGGAATCAGTGAGATTCGGGAAGATAGTGAAATGTCCCCTGTTCATCCCTAGTGATTGCAGCCACAGATGCTGTGAAGCACAAGCACCCCCAAGACACAGGGAGTGAATTTTGGCCTGGAATTTGCTGCCAGCATAAGCAAAGCACCCCCTGTTCCCACTGGCCCTGTTGCACAGCACAGGGAGCCCTCACCTTTCACCGTGAGCTCTGCTGTCGACGTGTGGGGTCCCACCCGGAAGGTGACGGTGCCAATGTCCTGCTCTGTCACCTTCCTCAGGGTCAGGGTGTGGATCTTGCCCCCTTCCACCGAGATCTCGTTCATCTCGTTGTTCTGCAGAGCCACATCCTGCAGCTTCCATTCCACGTCCCTGGCGTTCTCGTGGGAAACCTGGCACCGGAAGGTGACATCGTCCCCTTCGGCCACCACCATGTCCTTGAGGCCGCTCACGATGGTCACGTCGGGCTCTGCAAGGAGGCAGAAATGGGAAATGAAAGGGAAAACATGGATCAAATCATGGAACCGTGACCTGGAGTCACCTGCTCCACCCACTGCTCAAAGCAGGCCCAGGTTGCTTAGCACCTTGTCACAGAATCCCAGAATAATGAGGTTGGAAGAGACCTCTAAGATCATGGAGTCCAACCCATGCCCTGACACCTCAACTAGGCCATAGCACCAAGTGCCATGCCCAGTCTTCTTTTAAACACATCCAGAGATGGTGATTCCACCACCTCCCTGGGAAAGAGCATTCCAGTGCTTTATTATTCTTTCAGTGAAAAATTTTTTCCTAATATCCAACCTATACCTTCCCTGTCCTTCAAGGGTGGAGGCAGCACAGCCTCTCAAACCCCATTTCAAACTCTTTCAGTGTACTTGGCAGCAGGACAAATAACTTTTGTCATTTGTAGTAGCTTTACCATTTGTCCTTGCTGAGAGACACGTTGCACATCAGTTTTTTAAATTATGCTTGATTGGGTGAACAAGGCATGAATGCTGGTGCCAAAATCAGGATTTTGAAATTTGTTCCATTTACACTTAGATATGTATATCCAGTTACACAGGATAACATTAAAGCCTGACCCTCTCTGTTGTATTTCTGTGAACAGATTTGCATTTACTCCACGCTGATGCTCCAAACTGGCTGAGGCCCTGGCTGGCTTTATCCTCCCAGCAGGACTCACTGGATTACTGCGAGCACAGGGCTTCTGCACTGCAGTTTGCCTGGGTCCTGCTTCTAGAACACTTGTGTAAGGATCATACAGACAACCCCCAGCAGGCAGAAGCTGTAAATACCCCAAACCCACTGGGGAATACCAAAGGAATCATAAAATCACTAAGGTAGGAAAAGACCTCTAAAATCACTGAGTCAAACCATTCAAAAATCAGCCCAGTCTCCCTCTGAGCAAGCACAGTGGATATTCCTACAACTGAGGTCACCATCTGCACGAGAAATGGTGCAGCTGGGTGTGATGTGCAGGGGATCTGTGACGTGGAGTAGCCCGTGGAGATGCTGGGGGTGTTTGTTCCACACCAGTGGTCCAACCTGAGCTCTGCAGTGATATTAAGGCCAGATGCAGCTGCCATGTGACTGGAAGCTGGGGCTGGACCATCTGTTCAGTCCCATGCACATGATGTCAAGCAAATATTCCGAGCCATGAGTCACAGATTACAGCTGACTTATCCTCTCCTGTCCACCAAGTCTTTGCTTTGCTGCATCCACTGACCATAAGATTTTTTTAAATTATATCCTTCCTGTGCTCCGTGTTGATCACAATCGTGGCATTCACATTCTCTGAAAAAATTCCTTCACCCAGGATTTTTCTCCTGGGAAGCTGAGAAACCTCAGAGAAAAAGAAAACAATTCTCATCTAATTTGCTTCTCCTGTGTTTTGCTCCTTTGGAATGTGTTTGGAGATTGTTTACCCACAGGTGATTGTTTCATTGGATTCTGCTGTGAGTTGTTTTGACTCTTTGGCCAATCAGGGCCAAGCTGTGTCAAGACTCTGGAAAGAGTCACAGGTTTTCATTATTATATTTTTAGCATTCAGTAAGTATCCTTGCTGTATTCTTTAATATAGTATAGTATTATAAAGTAATAAATTAGCCTTCTGAGCACATGGAATCAGACACATCATTTCTGCCTTTGTCAGGGCTTCCCTGCAAATGCAATACACAATAACTCATTTCATGTGTGTGTAAATAACTCAACCACGTTGTGAAATCTTAGAAATCTCCTTGTTCCAACAAACAGGTCTTGCCTTTCACGGTGAGTTTGGCAGAGCTCGTCTGGTCTCCAGCCTTGCAGGAATATTCCCCAGCATCCCCAGGCTGCAGGTGGTGAACACGGAGCTCCCTGAGGGTCCCATCCTGCCACATTTCATACTTGGAGCTGGAGTGCAGCAGGATTCCATCCTTCCTCCACTCCACTTCTGCTTTGCTGACGGAAACCTCGCAGCGCAGCCTGGCTGTTCCTCCCACTTCCACCTCCTCGTTCCTCAGCTGCTGCTTCAGCTGCGGTTTGATGGCTGTAAAATGAGAAATAAATAATACATCAGCTCTCTGCTTGAATGCCAGGTCTGCACAAGTCAGCACAAGGCACCCGGGCATTGGTGCTGCAGTATAATTTTGCATTAAGTGGTGATATGATAATAAACCCATTTTTTTTCCCTATAAACAGACCTATAGTGTGTATATCCAGAGGATCAGAAAGTTCCCCAAATATTTTTATATCCTATAAAGTCCAGGGCATCCACATCACACCATTTATGCATCTGCTCAGCATATTAGAAACTCCAACACACAAAGGTTATGACTAGCAAAACCTGGCACTTTGTGTTTAAACCAGTATAAATCTTTTGACTTTTACAGAAATACTCCTCATTTTCAGCAGCTAAATAATGTAAGATTTAAAATAATTTCTGATTTCTCAGCTGTTTTTTTAAGACCCAGATCATCATCCGTGAGCTCTTCCAGATGATGCACAAATGGACATTTATTCAAGTAGATCATGCAACAGCTCAGACAACAGCTTGCCACTGATGGAAGCAAGAAGGGGATATCCATGGGGGGGTGTGTGAGCAGTTGGAAAAAGAGGAATCTCAGTGCCTGTGGTTCCAGTAAAAACACCACTGTGAGACAGGTAAAGCAATCACTGGGCTCTTTCACCCATAGTTGACCCTGTGGCTGCTTTTTGAGTTAGAGTCAGCAAAAATATATTGTTTGAAAGGTTATGGCTTAGATCAAAGCCACAAATTCCACCCAGCTTTCAGACAAACACAAACATTTCCTAGATGGTGCTGGGATGGCCCTGTTTGAGCAAGGAGGTTGGATCTGTGACCCCTTCTGTGATTCTGTGATCAATTACAGACATTATTCCTGGTTAGGTTAAACCCAGCATCCTCAGGATCTTCGAAGGTAGATTAAAAATAGCAACCTCAAAATGTTTTTTTAAAATGATGTGTGATTTTGCTGTCGATTCAAGTGAACCAGCAAAATTGCAAAGTGCCAAAAGAAATTTTGCTAGTATTTCAAAATCCCCATGACGCAGAATTCCTTGCTTTTATCTTATCAGAGGAAGGGGTCAGTGCACTGCAACTCTTTACAGGCTCAAACAGGAACCCTGTCCCACCAGATCCACTTCTCTGTACTCTGCTTTATGACTTGGCAGCTCTTTTCCTCGTTATCTTAGCTTTTGGATTAAATAACACCTTTCACACAGTTCCACCAATGCCTCTTCTCCCCCAGCCCTGGGGGTGCAATGCTAACCATTCACTCTGAGGACTGCAGTGCTCTGCTGGTCTCCTGTGTCACAAGTGTAATCAGAGGCATCCTCTGGCTCCACATTATGGATCACAAGCTCAGCTGTGCGCCCACTTAATTTAATTTGATATTTGGCACACGGGAAGAGCTCCATAGTGCCTTTCCTCCACTCCACGGCCGCGTTATCCTTTGTCAGCTCACACTGGAATTTCACTGCAGCTCCTTCTTCTGCCTCCTCATCTTTGAGCTGCTTTTGGAAAAGAACTGGCATAGCTAAAAGAGAAAAGAGAAGGATCAACAGGATCTTTTAGTGAAGCCTGGTTAACACAGGCTGACTCTTGGAGAACAAGATACTCTGCTTTTCACTGTGATATTCCTAGGTAGGACCCGTGTTTTCCTAATTTTCCTGGCACAACTAGGAGATCGTGCTGCATCAGAAGAAGCCACCTGCACCCATAACATTTATTTCCTTTGTTCCTTCACTCAAATCCTTCCCAGTGGTGAATTCATTGAAGGATTTTATCCCTGAGTTGATCTGACAATGATCTCAAGAGCAAAGAACTTCAAAATTCCGTGGACAGCCTTGAGAGGTCAAGGATGTTGTTGATGTCTTCTTAGAGTATTTGAAAGAAAAAATTTATTTTAAATAATCAAAGAACATGTCATGCAAAATTTCCAGATGCTATGCTAAATTATTGCTTTTTCTTTAATTTCTCCTGAGGCACAAAGCTTGAAAGTATTTCCTATTAGAGCCCAAAACTAAAACACAGCACTGGAAGAACAAAGCGTCATCCTCTTCCATTTTTATTTAAAATAAAAAAAAATCCTAATATATCATATGAAAAGGAAAATATTTATAGAGAATAAGAATAATACACTTAAAAATATTCCTATTGAAATGGTTGTTTTGCCTGTTGGAGGAACCTATTCCTTGAGGAGTCAGCTCACACCACGTACCTTTCACATTCAGAGCTGCCCTGGTTTCCTGATCCCCTGTGTCACAGCTGTATTCTCCTGTGTCTTCTAATCTGAGGTTGTGTATCAAGAGCTCTACCAGGCATCCCCTCTGCCTCATTTCATATTTCTGGCTGGGCTGCAGCCCCACGCCTCCTTTCCTCCATTCCACTGCAGCACTGGCTTTCGACAGCTCACAGCAGAACGTGGCTGTGCTTCCTTCCTCAAACTCCTCATTTTGTAAAGGTTGCTTAAACGTGATGGGCAGTGCTGGAAAATTGGAGAGGAAAACATTTCAGGAGTGTTTTAGTGCAAGAAGGATCCAGTCCTACCATCATCCTTCAGGTATGGTTTATTCTAATGATTCTGTAATCCTGGGGATTATGCAGCTCTCAATCTTGGCAGAACCTTTCTTGAACCACTAAAGGAACCAAGAGGTGAGGACAGGCAAAGTTAGGAAAGATCTGGTCTCAGTGGTCAACAGAATAGCCTGGTTTGGGGTCTGAAGGAGTCAGGCTTTCCTATGGAAGAGTTTCCATGCCAGCTACGGATGCTTTAGGCAAAGATCACTGGGAATGGCCCCTCTTACACAGATCCCTGTCCCTTAATAGAGGTCTGTGAGTTTGCAATATTAAACAGAGAATTTCTGCCCCAAATAAGGCTTCTATCAATGTACAAAAGATCAAGTTAGTATTGATCACTTGGTAAGAGATCACAGTGAAGTGACAAATGGAAAGGAAAATCCAGATTTCAGTAAGGATGGTACAAGGAGTGGCGGAACACAGGTGTGGATTCAAGATGTCTGCAGACAGCATTTGCACCTGAAGTTCAAAGCCTCCAGTAACAATACAGCACATTCATAGTGCTAGAATTCCCTTATCCCCTAATTAGGTGCATCTCTTACCATCCCAGGCAGGCATTACATCCAACCAGGCATCCCTTATTCCATTCTCGTATCCTGCACTGCACTCAGGGCAGCAGGTTCAGTGTCTTTTTACATCATGACAACCTTCAAAGCCAGGTTGCTTGGGGCTCTGAAAAACCTGGTGGAAGGTGTCCCTGCCCATGGCAGAGGGATGGAAATGGATGATCTTTAAGGTCCCTTCCAACCCAAACTATTTAATTACTTTAATTGCCATTAATCACTCCAGATACCGCAAGAAGAACCTTTCTACTTTGCTGTGTGCCATGCCCAAGGAGAACATTTATTCTGGCGTGGACCAGCAACAAAACAAATCAATGGCTGCAGAGAACACCAGGAAAAGCTCCTTTCACTCCACTCCTCCTGAGCCAAGGGTCACCACTGCCCCTACCATGCACGGCCAGCACAGCCGTTGTCCGCTGGTGTCCGGAGTCGCAGGTGTAAATCCCTGAATCGTCCACTTCCAGGTCATAAATGACCAATTCAGCAACACAGCCCTGCTGCTTCATCTCGTATTTCAGACCAGGGTAGAGAGTGACATCCCCTCTCCTCCACTCCACTGGAGCCTTGGGTTTGGTGAGCTCACACCTCAGGGTCACTGTGCCACTTTCTTCTGCCTCGGTGTCCTGAAGCTCTTGTTTAAAAAGGGCTGGTAGGGCTATAAAATAGAAATGTGACTTGGACCTGCTGCAGCTGGGGCTTGGGAAAAAGGAACTAGAGGGAAAATGAAAGCACCAAAAGAGGTGGTTTTTTTTCCCAGATGTCCCTAAACCTCAATGTTCCGAAGTCAAACTATTAAGCTATTTCCCCAGAGAAGTAATAGGAATATCTGCAGAGCAATAAGAAATGGATTTCAAGAAGTTATGCTTGCCATGAAATATATAGAATCTAATCTATGATCTAAAAATGGAATAAGAGTTTTCCTGCTGTAAAAGCAGCCAGCGTGCTGCCCTGATCACTGAAGAAGTGTTCTCAAGATCAGCAGGGAATTTTCAGAGTTCAGATTCTCTTCTAATACACAGACTTGCAAGGGTTCATACTCCCTCTTAAGGCAGGGAATTTTAAGGGTTCAGATGCCCTCTTAAGGCAGGCACTTGAAGGAGAGATTTTGATTATTCTGACAGCAAAATACAGAAAAAAAATGCACTTAGTTCTTGCATTGCATTTCCCATTTTCTGCCTGGCCACTCCATGAGCTGCACAGACCAGGCTACTCTGCACACCTCATGATTTACAATCTTTTCCTTAAGCAACACTAAACCACAGTTGCTATTTTGATTTTCAGAATATATTGCAGCCCTTTCTCCCTTTTAGCTTTTTACCATTGACTGTCAGCGTGGCAGTTGTCTGCTGATCCCCACACACACAGGTGTAAACTCCAGCATCCTCCTCCTCCAGCTCGTGGATAATCAGCTTTGCAACAGCACCATCCTGACTAATTTCATGTTTTCTGCTCTTTTTGAGCACCTCCTGCCCTTTCTTCCACTCCACCTCAGCAGGTTTTGTCAGCTCACACTGCAGAGCAGCTGTGCCATTTTCCACAGCTTCCAGGTCCTTCAGCTCTCTCTTGAATTCTGGAGGCAGCACTGAGGAGTAAAAGAGTTACCACAGAGAGGTGAATGTTCCTAAAAAGGCAGCTTGGTGTGTCCTGGGGGAGAGGTTTCATGGGGCAGCACCAAGCCCTGGTCCAGGTCAATGGAACACGATAGAAAAATTTCCCAGCTTCCCTGGACACTGGATCAGGGCAAGGAAAGTGAGATGAACCAGCAGAGCTGAGGGGGACAAACACCAGCAGGGAATGTTTTTTCCCAATTCTACAAAAGGAAGAAGCACAGAGAGTCCAAAGGAACCAAAAGCCAAGCAAACAGAAAGGGACAGGCACAGACCACAGAGATTTGGGCAGGTTTGGAGGGCGTTCACCCCAGGGATTACATTACCATGAACTGTTAAGGCAGCTGTGCTGATCTTGTCTCCACACACACAGGAATAGTCCCCAGTGTCACTCAGGTCCAGGCCATGGACCAGCAGCTCCACAGCACGTCCCTCCTGCCTCATGCTGTACTTGGTGCCCGAGGTGAGGATGTGCTGGCCCTTCCTCCACTGCACACGGGCAGGGGCTTTGCTCAGCTCACAGTGCAAAGTGGCTGTTCCACCTTCTACCCCTTCCTGGCTGGTCATTTCTTCTTGGAAAAACGGAGGCACAGCTGAAGGATGCAGGTAAAATGTGTTACAAACTGAGGGTGTTTCCAGGGAGGGGTGAGGAAGTGTCAGGGGAAAGGTGTGAAGGTTGTGACAGAGGAAAGTTGTCAAGGATGGGTGAGCATCAGCCACAAAGAGAGGAAAGAGAAATGAAAATATCCTAGTGGGAACAGACATCCTGATCATTTTGGATTTACCCTGGCTTCCTACAGCAAAGCTGCACAGTCCTCAACAGATTTACACCTGCTTTCTACCAGGTTCCTCCTCAGAAAAAAGCAGAATACCAGCTCTGAGCTCCTCAATTCACATGTGCTGGTGTCTTCCACAAACTTCATGGCTTTGCACTCTCTTTTCCTACTCAGAGCTGCCCTGCTGTGTTCTGACTTGACACAGCTCCTTACTCATCCTCACTCCTTCTCCCTTGAGATATCCTTGGAGAGGCACATCTGGGACTCGCAGATTCTTCTAGATCCCAAAGCAAATCTCCAGCTGCTGAATTCCAGCCTAGGTTCTTGTCTCAGAACACATTTTTCCCATCTAAAATAATTCTTTTCTTGCATCCTTGAAATAAATGTGGTGACCTTCACATATATCCCTCTATTACTAGGTGGGATAATGGGATATTTCATCTGTTTAACAAGGTTGGATCTCTCAGATCTCAAAATTATTGTCCAGTATTAGAGACTTAGTTAAAATATCCAGGCTAGAAAACAGGCTTAGCCCTGATTTGGCATGTTTCCCATTCCAGCAGTGTTAAGCTGAAACACCAGCCTTGTTTGTCCAGCAAATTGTTCTTCACACAAAGGAAGACCAGAAGGAGATTACAGAACGAATTTATTCTTTCCATAGAAAAATCAGTCTCCTTATGGAAATCTATCTTTGGGCATCAGGACAGAGATTATGGGCACAAAACCCAAAATGGACACAACTTAGTGCAGAGGAAATTATAACTAACAGAGCCTTATCCTGAATTCTCCTTATTCCCTGTATTAAAATGGTTGGTATTGAGAATTCCAGAAAGGAGCAGCAAAGAATAAACAGATTTGTGGTTTAGAGAATAAATGCAGGAAAGGAAAGACCAAAGAACAGTGGGGTTACATGGTAGGAAAGGAATGGCAGAAGGGAAAGAAGAAAGGAGAACAGGCTTGTGTTTAAGGAAAGGAAAAGGCAAAAGGATGGCACAGAGAAATGCAGACAGGTATTTTCCCATTTCCACAGCCTGCAGGTGAGGAAGGACAGGGAACATTTTCAACTGAATGGAAGTTCAGTTAATAAGGACGAAGAGACAGATGTGGAAAATTGAAGAGCTTAGAGCAGAGGACAGAGGTTTCCAGCCAGGAGAGAGGAGGTCAGGGATGGCTTTACCCTGTACTGTCAAGACAGCTGTAGTCTGGTGCTCTCCACACACACAGGTGTAGTCTCCTGCATCCTCCTCAGCTATTTCATGGATGACCAGCTCTGCCTTGAGCCCTTCCTGCCTCATTTTGTATTTCCCACTTGGTTTGAGGATCCTCTGGTCCTTGCGCCACTCCACCGGAGCAGCCTTGGAGAGCTCACAGAGCAGGGACACTTCTCCACCTTCTTCTGCTTCCTGGTCCTTCAGCTCCTCCTTAAAGAGTGGTGGCAGAGCTGGAGGATGCAACATGGACAAAGGGACAGCAGAAAACCAGAATTAAAATGCTCATTTCTGTTTTGAGATTATTTCCCCTTTTGGCTTTTTTTTTTTTTTTTTTTTTGGTCTATTATAGATATTCAAAGCCATAACCAAGCCCAGAAACTCTGGAAATGTCTTTCTTTGGGAGTAATGTGGTTTCAGTCACCCTGAGGGATTAGTTCCCTGAGGTGTTTTTCTTATTTATTGTGAAAGAACAAAACAGAAAGACCCAGACCTCAGATCAACAGCACTCACAAATAACTGCTGGATACAGAACTGTTTTACCCACACAAATGTCATTTTTTGGAGGCTGCTGTTGTTAGTTTCTGGTTTGTTTTTATTAAATTGTCACAGCCCCCATGTACATGATGGGGATATCATATCCCCATCATGTAGACAGGGCTGTGACAGTTTAATAAAAACAGACACAGATATCCAAATAAAACTACTTGTAGCTTTAAATTGAAGTTTGAAGGGCCATTACATCTAATAAGATTTTTAGATTCTTATCACTCCTCATTTTGGAAATCATAACTGAAATATGAAACAACCTACAGGAATTGAGCTCTGAAGTGAAAATGATAACACTTCTCACACTGCATGTCTGACTTCTTTAAAGACTCTGGAACCTTCAAAAAAAACCCAAAAAACCCACCAAACCATGGCCTTGACTTCTCCTTTTCCAGTTCCTGGAGAAGAGGCACCTCACAGCCCTAAACTGGGTGTTTTGGAGAAACTGTGGTGGACTGAAGTGACCTACAGAGCTGGAGCAGGAAAATGCAAATGTCCCAGAAGAGGAGACTTGCACAGAAGGAAACTTCTCATTTTCTCCTTTTAAAGGACAGATTAATAATGACCAAACAATTCACCACGAGTGACTCTTTCTCGGGAAGAAATGAGTTATAAATAGAATGAAGGAAGAGGAAGGGATAAAAACAAACTACTGATCCAGGGAAGAAACTACTACATTTCAGAATTATGTCTATCTCAAGAGGTATTTATCAATTTTAGTATGTTCTTTTTACCATGAACTGTTACGGTTGCTGTTGTCTTCTGGTCACCACACAGACAGGTGTACTCTCCAGCATCTTTTACTTCTAGGTCACAAATGACCAGCTCTGCAGTGGTGCCAGACTGTCTCATTTGATATTTGTCACTTGCTTTGAGCACTTTGGGCCCTGTTTTCCACTGCACAGGAGCTCCTTTGGTTAATTCACATCTCAGAGTCACTGATGCTCCTTCTTGGGCTTCTTCATCCTTCAGCTCCTCCTTGAAAAACACTGGCAGGGCTGGAGATGGAAAGCCAGTAGAAAGTGTATTTAAACTAAGTGTTCAGCATTGTGAATTCTCAGCTGAAGTTCAAATCTGGCCAAATCAGGGGATTGAGGTTGAGGTTATCACAACAAATGATGCCTCAGGCTTTAGCTTTTATATTTTTCACATTCTGTGCTGCTTTAGTGTGTGGGTCTGAGCTTCACATCAGGGCATGGTGAGCTCTGTGCACAGAGCAGGGAGACAAAACAATTCCTGCTCCAGCTGGGCACCAAGGACAAATGATCCAAATCTCAGCCCAAGAGCACAAACCCCGTGGGCTGGAGAGAGAAAAACAAGCAGGATGGGAGTGCAGGGGCTGAGCTGGAATTGGACAATGAACTGCAATGTGCACATGGAGCAGAGCTGATCCCAGGGAGAGACCCCGGGAGCGCTCGTGCATTTTGGGACCATTTGGGTTCATCCTGGGTGCAGCCCTGGCTGGGCTCTTGTGCTGCCCAAGGTGGATCCATGGAGGAGATCCTTGGAATCAATCCCTGCTTTATTCTTTAGCTCTGTCCAGCCTCTGTTCTAGCTCAGCCTGCACAAGGCATCACAAAGATCTGGAAAACCGAATCCAGCAGTGAGACAAGAAGTGCTGAGATGACAGGCCAAAGTACAAGATTTAAGACAGAATTAAAGGATTTCTCACAGGACAGAAAATCTCAGCTGATCTAACATTTCCTGGGTGCAATTCCCTTAAACCTACAATACAGCAGTGTGTCTGCAGGGAGAGACAGTCCTGAGCTCAGCTCCCTTTTCAGCAACACCAGACAAAAAACAAACACTAGACCAAGAGCTGGACACAAGTTAACAACAGGTGGACACTCCATGAGGGTTCAAAGGAACAGGAAATGGACAATAATCTGCATTTACCCTTCACTGTCAGAGAGGCTGTGCTCTGCTGCTCCCCACACACACAGGTGTAATCTCCTGCATCCTGCAGCTCTAGGTCACGGATTTCCAGCTCTGCCAGGGCACCCTCCTGCCTCATGATGTATTTTTCACTTGCCCTGAGTATTTTGTTCCCTTTCTTCCACGCCACAGCTGCAGCCTTGCTCAGCTCACAGCGCAGAGTGGCTGTTTGGCTTTCCGTGGCTTGCAGGTCCTTCAGGTCTTCTTTGAAAAGGGCTGGCAGGGCTGAAGGTCACAAAATGCACAGGGGACATTAAGAATGACACGTGGCACACAGGTGACAGGAGGGGTGGGGTGGTACAGAAGCAGAGAACACTTGAGGGTGGAAACAGGGTCTTTTCCTCATCATTCCAGGACATTGAACAAACCAAAAGACAGAAAGAGAAAAGCAGCCTGGATACAACCAGACCTCACAGAGTGTACAGATTTAAAGAAACAATTCAGCCACAGGTGAACACACAACCAATATCAACGACCTGGCATAGAAACCCACAATAATATAGATATATTATTTTTACCATGCACTATCAAGGCCGCTGTTGTCTCCTGCTCTCCACACACACACGTGTACTCTCCAGCATCTTTCAATTCCACATCCTGGATAAGCAGCTTCCTGACCGTGCCCTCCTGCCTCATTTTGTACTTGTCACTGGCTTTGAGCAAAGTGCTGCCCTTCCTCCACTCCACGGGGGCAGCTTTGGTCAGCTCACACCTCAGAGTGGCCGCTTGCCCCTCGGTCACCTCCTCGTCCTTCAGGCTCTCCTGGATGCCTGCAGGCAGCACTGAGGATGCAATGGGAACAGGGTTAAAGGGAGCAGCAAACACAGCCTGCAGGTGAGGGCACAGGTGTGAAAAAGTTTTACCCCTAAATCACAAAATTCATCCTTCTGGTCATGCCATGTGAGGTCAGACTCAGAGGAAATGTGCACAGATAACAAAGATGATGTTGATAAAAACAATTCAAACCATAATCCCAACAATGATGGCATCCAGATGGAGCTGGTCATTACCATGTACTGCCAAGGAAGCTGTGGACTGCTCCTCCCCACACACACAGGTGTAATCCCCAGCATCACTCTGGGTCAGACCGTGGATCACCAGCTCTGCAGTGACATCCTTCTGCCTCATTTTGTATTTCTCACTAGGTTTGAGGGCTGTGTGTCCCTTCTTCCACTCCACTGGGGCAGGTTTGGTCAGCTCACAGCGCAGAGTCACTGCTTCACCCTCCTCAGCCTCCTCATCTCTTAACTCTTCTTTGAACAGAGCAGGAAGGGCTGAGAAACAGAGCAGCAAAAGTTCTCATGACAAGCAGCTCTTGACAACCAAAATAAACAATGTCCAGCAATATCTATCCCTGCCTTTTACTGACATGAGGATCATCTCACAGAAGGAAAATGCTGATTTGTACCATAGACAAAAAGGGCGTTGTCATTTCTTTTAGCAAATATTAAAAGAATTTGCTGATTGGTTTAGAGATGTTTAGAGTGGAAAATAAACAGCAAAACTGGGGAAACTTCACGTATGGTCAAAACTGCAACTTTCTCAGTACAACCCAGCCTAGAAGATTAATACAACAGGTTACACCATGATCAGGAAAAAAGCAAAAGGAAAAAAAAAATATAACCTTTTAATTCATATTTTAAGGATGCCCTCACACCTAGCCCAGAGTTAGGATAAGACTGAAGAGAAGAATCAGAGAGAGATCCTAAAAATGCTTGGATAGGAATAAAAAGGAAAGAGAAGGATGATGCAGCAGAAATCTGCCATAATTCCCTCACCTCGGGAAGTTCGGGTGCTTCCTGACACCTCATCCCTTTGGGAACAACAAACAGAATTATTCAGACTGTAAGACTGGATGGAAATGTAGCAATATGTGGAAGCAATAGGATGGGATGACATCCACTAGGAGTGGGATGGGAACTACATTTGGATATAGAATAGCTAAGAGCTTGAGAGGATGGTCTCCAATTCCTGACCCTGACCAGAAAGAAACAACTAATTGAGAATAAGGATGTGGAGGATAATTATGCAGACATTAATGTAAATAGATCAGAAGGAAGGAAAACAACAAGGGAGATGTTGGTCTGCCTCTCTTTCAGGAATGTAAGTGATGATGAGTGAACATGGGGAAAGTTGAAGTGTTTAATTCCTTTTTCTTCATTACTTGTATTATACTTCCTTTAATTAAGGAAGTAATAGAAATTCTGGCTTGGAAGAGGGAAAAAAAAGGATTAGAGAATATTTAAATAAATATATTCTCAAAGCAGCTTGGTGTGATGAAATTTGTCCTGGAATCCTTAAGGTGCAGGGAAAACCAATTTGAGACACTGACAGTGACACCAGAGAAATCAAAGAGTGACTGATGTTCCTCAAGTACGGAAAAACAGAAACTAAGAGGTGAAAAATATATTTCAGACTGAAATACACCCATTTAGGTCTTGCTGTGTAAACTGAGATTCTAAAATCCCAGGGAGTAAAGAAAGAAAAATCACTTGTGTAAAGTCAGTGGAGCCAATAGAGCTCCAAATGTAAATGCCTGCTTTAAAATGAGCTGGAGGCCTCCCTGATTCCCATGGTCTGAGTTTGATGGATCTCCATTGATAAAAATGGGAATTTGGGAATACTTCTCAGTCTGGAAGCTGAATCCCATTCATAATGCTTGTCATAGAGAGAGAGAGAGAGAGAGCAGAGAGAGGATCCAAGGATTTATGGCCATCTCAACTTAATTCTTTGAAAAATTCACATTTGCCAAGAGCTTTTCTCTTCATGAAGGAGTGGACCAGGGTAATTTTTTCTTGGTATACATTAAGTTTCCTTGACAGCAAGACATACTATATGTTCTATATTATTATTTTTTTAGTAAAGTTCTTACTTTAATACAGGTGGAATTACTGAAGGGAAGTGCTACCATTTTGAAAGCCACAGTTACAGGATCTTCATCTGGGGTTTGCACTCACAATGAAAGAATGAACGGAGCAGAGTTTCTCACTGATCTGAGTTCAGGATTATTCAGCATTTTCTGAAGCAACTTGGACAATGAAATGCAGAGTTTCATTAATTTTGAAGATGATCTCAAGGTGGGAAGGGAGAAAGGGTAAAACCACTTCTTTAAGCTGGATTGAGATATGGAAGATTTGTGTGAAGTAGTGGTGATAAAATAGGCTTCAATTCAGAATGGGCAGATGGAAAATATTTAGGAACAGTCAAAAACACAAGAAGAAGCAGATCTGCAGTGAGGGATTTGGAGTTACAACAATTTGTGGAGAAAATTCAAGTCAAAAGGTTCAAGCCTGATGCAAATAAATCCTCATAATTGAGATGTGTAGCTTGGAGTGTGCCATGGCTTCTCAGTTTAAATTTCATGCATGTATTTCGCTGCTTCTATAAGAAGTAATTACTTAAGCCAGTTCAAGAAAGACTTTAGTTGATATGAAGAACAACTTTCTGGCAGTAATGATGGTGACTTGGGGCTCAAGGATGGATTGACCTACACAAGTTCATTTCAATTCTATTTTTCATGGTTAAATTGGAAGTGCAAGACTGAAGCAATCCATGTTTTATTGTAAAATACAAAGATGGGCAGAAAAGCAAAGAAATCATCTCCCTTAATTCAGACTTACTGGATTTCCAGGTGAGAAAGAGGCTGAAACTACTTCTGACTGTCCTGTTTTAATAGTGAAAATAAAGTTTCCCTCTCTTCCATGGGAAGTTTGCAAATTAATTTGCCTGAGGACTGTAAAATATTCTCCTACTCTAATGCTGATTATTCTGTAGTACCTGAATAAAAATCAACATTATTCTCGGTCAGAGTTACAAAGAAAATTACACCAAAACAAATTTTCTTTTCATTATTTAAAATTACTTGCCAAATCCTGATGCAACTTGAAATAAAATTGTTCTTTTAAAGAGCTGTGAATGTTCCTGCTGCTCCATCTGTCTAGGTTCAAGTCAAAAGTGAGTAAAACAGAATAAAAAAAGCACATCTGTGACATCCTTCAGCCTGTACAAAGAAATACAGCCCTGCACCAATAAGACCAAGGAGAATAAACAAGAAAAAATTTAGTAAAATCAATGGAACTACAATCATGGTTAGAATTAGACAAAAACCACAATAAAAAGAAGGAAGTCTGTTACAAACAGAATTAATGATGGCAAGATTAGAGGAAGAACTTGCAGTGTGTGAGTACTGAGGCTTGCAGAGGAGAAGGGACAACCACCACCCAAAAATGTCCCATTTCCGTGCTCTTTACCGTGCACTGTCAGTGCTGCTGTTGTCTTCTCCTCTCCACACACACAGGTGTATTCCCCAGCATCCCTGGCCTCCAGGGCATGGATCAGCAGCTGGGCCCTGCTGCCCTCCTGCCTCATTGTGTATTTTTCACCGGCTTTGAGCACTTTGTGTTTCTTTCTCCACTCCACGGAGGCAGCCCTGGACAGCTCGCACTGCAGGGTGGCTGTGGCACCTTCTGTGCCTTCTGCATCCCTCATCTCCTTCTGGAAGTGCACAGGCAGGGCTGGGGGGTTCAAAAGGAGCAGAATGTGGGACCGTGGCAGCAGCTCCAGTAACCATTTCATGTGGTCTGACAACCACAAGTGATAAGCAAAGCCTTAACCAAATAATAATCAAATCCATTAGGATTGATGGCCACTCTGAGAACCATGAGACTGGCTTTATAAATCTGGAGAACACCTCATTCATAAGTCAGAGAGGGTTTTCTATGGTGAAGTCCATGGTGTGAAGAACCACATCAGTCTCAACTTCAGACCTGCATGACTGAGACCTACTTTGGATATTGCCTGCTAGAATGGAAAATAAAGTCCAACCAAAGCATCTGAATTCTATGGAAACACAAATTGTTACTAAAAAAGTTCACAAATGAACCTATATCTGAGGCATCAGTTTCACTTTTCCATGAGGGACCTTTAAAAGGTTCTTTCCAACCCAAACTATTCTTTAGTTTCACCTCCTACAGTGGTCTAGCAGTGCTTGACCACTAAATTTTACTGAAACACTGATAGCTGTCTCAAAAACATCTGATCAAAAAATCTTCTCAGCTTTATGATTGCAACATCTTTACAATCAATATCACAATAATGTGATTTTCCATTTCTCAGTTCCTACTGCTGAACATAGGGATCAAAAAAATGAGTTAGCACCAGGATGAATATCTGCAATTTTTGCCAGAAAGCATCTGAATTCTATGGAAACACAAATTGTTACTAAAAAAGTTCACAAATGAACCTATATCTGAGGCATCAGTTTCACTTTTCCATGAGGGACCTTTAAAAGGTTCTTTCCAACCCAAACTATTCTTTAGTTTCACCTCCTACAGTGGTCTAGCAGTGCTTGACCACTAAATTTTACTGAAACACTGATAGCTGTCTCAAAAACATCTCATAAAAAAATCTTCTCAGCTTTATGATTGCAACATCTTTACAACCAATATCACAATAATGTGATTTTCCATTTCTCAGTTCCTACTGCTGAACATAGGGATCAAAAAATGAGTTAGCGCCAGGGTGAATATCTGCAATTTTTGCCAGGAACCTCCAACCTGTGCCTGACACCGACCAAAGCATCCAGGAATGTATTCCCATGTCCTACCAGATTTTGCTAAACTCATCAGAAACAGAGCTGCACTTTCAAATCTAACACCCCTACACTCTTTAAAAAACCCAAGAAAACTGAAAACCATCTCTAATTTATGATGTATTTCCATTTTGTTTTTATTTTTACCATTGACTTTGAGCGCAGCCGTGGTTTCCTGCTCTCCACAAGAGCACGTGTAATCTCCAGCATCTCCCAGGACTAAATCATGGATCACCAGCTCAGCCACCGTGCCCTGGCATCTCATGGTGAACTTGTCACTTGTCCCCAGGGTTTTGTCTCCTTTCCTCCACGCCACGGCAGCTCCAGCCTTGCTCAGCTCACAGCAGAAAGTGGCCGTGCCATTTTCTGTGCCTTCCACGTTCTTCAGCTCTTTCTTAAAGTGAGGAGGGAGGGCTGAAGATCACAGGTGAAAGAGAGCACTTTAAAATCGAGCAAGCACCGTGTCTTGACTGCTCCACTGGATTAAAACACTTCAAAATGTTTTAGAATGTACAGAACCTGGGAGCAAAGGATGATTTCAGGGCATCCCTGACTCGTGCTTTGAAAGATATCACATTCACAGAATTCACAGAATTCAGCATCTCACAATGACTTGGAAATCAATGTTGATTTATAACAACTCTGTAACCATAAAAGAGTGAGTTTGGACAGCTGGAAAACACCTTATTCATAAATCAGAGGGTGTTTTTAATTATATGAGACATGGCATGACATGGAGAACCACACCAGTCTCAACCTCTCTACTCTCACTGATTTGGAAATCTATAAAACTAAAATATCAGTACTGGAAGGAATGTTTTAAAAGCTTTTTGAGATATAACAACAGAAAGCTGATCCCAAGATTTCAAGGAGCTATGCACTGCTCTTTCTCAAAACCAGATGAAGAATTAAAATGAACACCACATTGTTTAAAATTAAAATTTCATCACTTTTCAACTTCATCCAAGAAAAGCAAGTGAAATCTCAGTGATATGCCCTAAAGAAATTAATCAGTGAAAATACTCCAAAATGCTATTTCTGACTTCATCAAGCTTTTCATTATCCACTTCCAGCTTCCATCATCAGGAAAGAACAGGGACTGAAAAGAATCGGTGATGCTGTTTATCAGTCCCAAAGGAAGGGCCTTCAGTGGAAGATACTCCCAGTGGTTGGAACAGCTGCCACATTTTAAAATAACAGAAGGGATCAGGAGCAGATTGTGATTCCACAGGAGAATCACAGATGACAATGCAGAAAATTCCTCTTAACCCAGATATTTTACCATGCACTGTCAGGGAAGCTGTGGTCGTCTTGTCCCCACACACACAGGTGTAATCTCCTGCATCTCCTTCCTCCAGGCTGTGGATGGTCAGCTCAGCAGTGGTGTCCTTCAGCCTCATTTTGTATTTTTCACTGGGTCTGAGCACCTCCTGCCCCCTCCTCCACTCCACCGGGGTGGGTTTGCTCAGCTCACACTGCAGAACAGCCGTTCTGTTTTCTGTGCCTTCCACATTGACAAGATCTCTTTTGAACAGTGCAGGCAGAGCTATGGGGTGTAACATAAACAGAGAGGACATCAAAACCATTAAGCAGACCTTGGGGAGCTCAGGGCTGGGGCCTGTGGCCAGTCCTTCACCGTTACAGGAAAACAAATCAGTCTGGAAAGCTGCCCCTAACAGAAAACTACTGCAGGATCCCACTGGGATAATTTCCACCATGACCTGCCTCTAACATTAACATGTTCATATTCACCACTTCACAGCTGATTCCAATACTCCTGTCTACCTATTTCACTCTGAAATAATCTGTCTTGAACACTAATGACCTGAATTCTGATTAAAAGTCACCAGCCAGGGTGACAGCACTGCTGGAGATCCCTGCCTTTCCTAACATCATAATTTATATTTCTGGTTCAGGAAAAAAAAAAACAAAAAACCAGTAATATAGCTGCAGGTGCATCTTTAACCCAAAATTTCCAAGGATATCACAACACTAATATCAGGACTACAGGGATTTTTTTAGCAGCATTCAACAAGTTGTCTTATGATGTGCCACTAAAATAAAATGGAAGCGACTTGTAGAGGGATGAAAATGATAGGTCAAAAGAGGGGAGGAACAGAAATTCCCCCAGCTGGGAGAAAGAAGATGAAGAAAAAGTGTGCAGAAAATCTGGGAGAATAGTTTTGCCTCCTCAATTTCCCCTTGTCCTTGGCAGCTTTTTATCCATAAGAGATGTCTCAAATAAAAGCTGTTCTTCCAACTATGGGAGCCGTACATGAACTGCTCCTTCTGGAGGGGCAACCAGAGCTCATCACCATTCACCATGGCAGAGCCAGGAACAAAATTCCCCCCATTATTCCCTAAGTCAGGACCTGCAGAATAATGCTGAGTGGTGGGGATTTATTTAAGTACCATTTTCTCAGCAGAATATACCATGATCCTGCAGAAGAGGAGGGTGGTCACCCATTCCAGAATGGAAAAACCTCTCACTGACTGAGCTCAGCAGATTTAAAGAACTTTCCTTCAGGTTAAGCATGGAAATCCACTGATGTCAGGGAGACACAATGAGAAAACCCCTGAGAACAATCTTCTTCTGGAGGTCTGCTCACTCTTGCTCCCTGAGATGAGAAATTCTCACAGCTTTTTTTTACTCTGATATAAAGCCATCAGTTCCAAACTGACAGACAATGGGAGATGGAATGAAACAGCACCAGCAAACCAGGAAAATGCTGCAGAATCAAAACACCAAAGCAAGTGGGAGGGAGAGAGAGAAAAGGGATGTCCTTGAGGTTCTGCTATCCCAACGGAGAACGGCTTTTTTACCGTGGACTGTCAAGACAGCCGAGGTCTTCTGGTCTCCACAAACACAGGTGTATTCTCCTGTATCTTCCACCTCCAGATCTCGGATCAGCAGCTCTGCAGCTGTATCTTCCTGTCTCATCCTGTACTTTTCACTTGGTTTGAGTGCCTTGTCCCCTTTTTTCCACTCCACCGGGACGCCCACCTTGCTCAGCTCGCAGTGCAGAGTGGCTGTAGCACCGTCTGTGGCTTCCCTGTTCTTCAGCCCTTCCTTGAAAAATGCAGGCAAAGCTGAAGGACAGCAATATCAGCAGTGAGATGTAGCACTCCAAAGAGTTAAAATTATGTTTAAGTTTCCTTTTCCCTCTTATCTTGAACTTGATTTATCAACACAAGAATAGAGATTCTCATGGGTCTCCATGAATCAGCGTTGGGAAAGAAATGCCATCACTAGGAGAGGATTTAATGCTTGCAGTAATCCATAGAGGTATTTTACACAAATCAATACAAATAGAGGTCAAAACACCATTTTTTTTCCCTGTGAAATTTCAAGCAAAAAGAACAACATTTTGAAATTTCTGGAAAGAAAATAGTTTTCTTTTATGACATTTTAAACTACAATGGGAGGATGTTTGCTGTTTCCACATACTTAAGCAAACAAAGAGACATTTTACACTTCAAAAAAATGAAACACTGGAGTTTCATTTTAAATGTCAGTTTGAAATGAAATTGTTCATTTCAATACATGGTGGGAAAACAAGCATTTTCACCTGAACTGACATACCCTTCAAAGATGTCAGGTTCAGTGAAAATCAAAGTTCTCCCTGAGAATGATTGTCCTTTAGAAGTCCTGGGCTTGTTTTACACAGAACACCAACTGAATTCCATGACAACTGGGCTGTAAGCATAAAAGCACTTTGTTGTCTCAGGAATGGAGTACGGGCATAAGATTCCATGGAGTAACCTAACCTTTTGGAATTTTACAAAACCTTGAAATCCCTAAGATATAATCCTTTTGTTCTTGACCACAACAGGGGGTCTAGTAAAGGACCTTTCACAGGAAAAGCAAAATGAAGGCCCCTAATTAAAAGAGTGGCAGCAACCCTGGTTGCCTTGCTCTGAGCTTGGACACCGATATCCCTCTTGTGCCACAAATTCCAGCTGCACAGATGCCAATGGATGCACTTCACTGGCATTGGTGAGCTGTGGATAAAGGTTTGGCTGAAGAAGGAGATGGGATGGCAACCAGGGGTCTGCCCAAAGGAACAGAGAAACCAGGGTAGTTACTTTCAGGATGTGTCTTGTTTTGTTTGTTTTACCATGAACTGTTAAAACTGCCATGGTCTGCTGGTCTCCACACACACAGGAATAATTCCCAGCATCCGCTGTGTCTAGATTTTGGATCATAAGCTCAGCCACGACACCTTCCCGCCTCATTCTGTATTTGTCACTTGGCTTGAGGGTCTTGAAGCCCTTCTTCCACTCCACGTTAGCAGCAGCCTTGTTCAGCTCACAGCTCAGGGAGACACTTTTACCCTCAGTGGCTTCTTTGTCCGTGAGCCCCTTGGTGAAAAGAGCAGGCAGGACTGCAGAGCAAACACGGACATGGCATCAACCCTGGGAAAGCCTGAATCCATTACTTAATCCCTCTCTTATCTCCCTGGAGCCACCAGACCTTCTTGATCTCCTCCAGGATTTAGTTCCTCTGCAATTTTTCTCCAGCCTCTAACCCTTCAAAAGGGTTAACCCTTCAAAAGATAATTCAGCCTAATTTTTTTTGCTGTCCTCAAGATTTAAAACTTTCTTTAAATTCAAGTCTATCTGCAAATTAGTTGACAAATCAACTACCCTTTACTTTATAGACGATAAAATCAAAGACATAAAATTAGAGGCTGTATTTCAATATGAGACCCAGAGCATTTTGCTTCCCTGGAGAAAAGCAGGAGTTCTACAGAAGGGCCTCATTCATGGCACTGTCTGAATTTTTATAAAAAAGAGTCCCTTAAAGCAGAGCAGTTGCAAACATGCTGTCAGGTTTTTGCAGAAATATTTGCTTAGGAAGTATTAAGCCAAAATTGGTGGAAAACAAAAAGAGCTGGGAATAGCAGGAGCATTAAAAGCCTATTTTTTATTAAGACTGTTCTTGTGTATCATCATACATTGATGAAAACTTGTTCCTCTTAGGAGCAACAAGTGCCACATTCTAAGCCATGAAAAATCAATATTATTCCCACTTTTAGGTCAGTTCCTATGGGAAAACTTCTAAACAAGAAGCTATTCTGGACTAGGGAGGTTGTGTTGAGTTGGGGACCTCTTCTCCACTTCTCTTTTGACTAAAGCACCTTGGAAGCACATCAAGAAGGTATCAGGTGAAAGGAGAAAAAGAGAGAAAGAAGAAAGGATAGGAAGATTAATCAGCAGAAAGGAGGATTGGAAGTACACAGGGATCAGAGGAAGCAGAAGTAAGACAGGAAGAGATCTTGGAATTACACAGGTTGACTTGGAACATGCGCTGAGAATTTCTTTTTTACCATTTACTGCCAGAGCAGCCGTAGTCTGTCGGTCTCCACACACACAGCTGTAATCCCCAGCATCTGCCAAATCCAAATCCTGGATTGTCAGCTCCACAAAGGGACCTTCCTGCTCTATTTTGTACTTTTCACTCGGCTTGAGCACCGTATTCCCCTTTTTCCACTCAACTGGGGCTGATTTGCTCAGTTTGCAGTGCAAAGTGACTGCCTCTCCCTCTGTAGCTTCCTTGTTCATCAGTTCTTCTTGGAAGAGGATAGGCAAGGCTGAAGGATGCAATACCAACAGAGAAGGAATCAGCACCAGAATGAAATTAACTGGAGTTACTGGGCTGCAGTGTGTGCACTCAATCAAGAATGCTCTGTTTCTATGTGGGTACAACTGAAAAACGGGTTAAAACCTCCTAGAGGAGAGAGAAATAAATTAAACAATATACAACATACAGCTGCTGTCTCAAGGCAAAAAAAAAGCACAAGGGAATATTCCCTATTAGGGCGACTCTGGCACTACAGAGCCAAGAATATGAAAACCCTAAGGAATCACACTCTGCTTGACCAGGAATGCTGCCAAAACTGCTACGTTTGGGGCATAAAGAGAAACGTGGGTAGGAGGGTTACCATTCACTCTCAAAGCAGCTGTGCTCTCCTGCTCTCCACACACGCAGGTGTAGCTCCCAGCATCCGTCAGGTCGAGGTCTTGGATAACCAGCTCGACGAAGCGCCCTTCCCGCCGCGTTTTGTACTTCCCGTTTGGGACCAGCGCCTTCCCGTCCTTCCTCCACTGCACGGAGCCGCCCGGCCGGCTCAGCTCGCACTGCAGCGTCGCCGTCCCGCTCTCCGTGGCCTCCTCATTCCTCAGCTCTTGCTTGAAATGGACTGGCAGGGCTGGGAGATGCAGAAGGGAAAGGGATTGCCACCCTAGACCCCGCTCAGAGGATGAGTTGTGATTTATCGCGTGCCTACCTGAGCCTTACTCCAGCACCCTTATCCCTTAAGCTCATCCTGTCTTTTTTCATGGCTGGGGAAAGAAATTCTCTACTGAATTGTTCTGTGGGAATCAACAAAACCATGATCTTGATTGGCTGAGATCATGCATAAAGAGATGAGGCAGTCATATTTTCTGGAAAAATCCCTTCGCCCAGGATTCTTCTCCTGGGAAGCTGAGAAGCCTCAGAGAAAAAGAAAAACAATATTATCTTATTTGTTTCTCCTGTGTTTTGCTGCTTTGGAATGTGGCTGGAGATTGTTTATCCAACAGGTGATTGTTTCATTGTTTTCCTGTGAATTGTTTTGACTCAATGGCCAATCAGTGCCAAGCTGTGTTGAGGCTCTGGAAAGAGCCATGTGTTTTCATTATTATCGTTTTAGTGTAAGTATGCTTTCTGTATTCTTTAGTATAGTGTAGTATAGTATTCTTTAATATATTATCATAAAATAATAAATTAGCTTTCTGAGAACATGGAGTCAGATTCATTATTCCTTCCTGCAACGGGGCACCCTGCAAATACAATACTTAAGCACATCCTGTCTTTTTTCATAGGTGGTAAAAGAAATTCTCTATTGAATTGTTCTGTGGGAATCAACAAAACCATGATCTTCATTGGCTGAGATCATGCATAAAGAGAGACAAACTCATTCTCATCATTACACATGATGAACCCTCTGAAACAGAAAATCCTAAGGAATCTTATGTTTCCATGCTAATTCAGGAAAACACACATGCAGGACAACATCCTTCACTCAAGGGAAGGTGAGAAGACAACACAACACACACACATCCAACATGGGGTACAATGAAATGGAGATGGGGGACAGGAGTGACACGAGCAAGTGGATGGAAAAAGCAGTGGAATCAGGACGTGAAGGAAGCTGTTGTGAGGGAACATACAGAGAGGAGGAGGAAAAAGGTGGACAAAAACATTCCAGAGTTTCATAGGTTATTTCTGCCTTTTTACCATTCACTGACAAAGCTGCTGTGGTTTTTTGGTTCCCCACTAGACAGGAATAGTCTCCAGCATCCTTTGGCTCCAGGTCGTGGATCACCAGCTCAGCCACGGTGCCCTCCTGCCTCATCTTGTACTTGTTACTGGCCCGGAGAAGAGTTTGCCCCTTCCTCCACTCCACGGGGGCCTCTGCGCCCAGCTGGCACCTCAGGGTGGCTGTCCCACCTTCCACAGCTTCCACGGGCTTCAGCTCTTCCTTGAAGAGCACGGACACAGCTGAGGAGTGAAGCATTCTCAGTTTACTTCAGGCGCATCGTCACCACATGGTGACCTCACACAGGACTTAAAGGCAACACAAATTCAAATTCTCTTGGCACACAAAGCAAAGAAGCTCTGACCTACCTGCACCTCCAGGAGTCTGCTGATATTTACAGAAGAAACAAGAGTTTCGGACAAAATGAAAAAAAGAACAATTATTTCCTAATAATTAGAATACCAAAATAATTATCCTTCTGCTGCCCAGAGTTGGTCACAGACATGTAAAATCTTGTTGAGAAAGTGGAGAGAAGAATGGGACATTCTTCCATAAAAGGTGTAGTTGAGACCCTTCCTGCCTCTTGGCTTAGAGCTTGGACAGTCGCCTCTATCCAAAGCATAAGAAACATTTCATATGGAAGAAAAGATATTATTTCATCAAGAACCTTTGATTGATACATTTTAGCATGAAGTTATCATCCCAAAAAAGAAAGAACATAACGGACCCAGCCAGAGCTCTATCCTTGGATAGTCACCTCTATCCAAAGCATAAGAAACATTTCACAGGGAAGAAAAGATATTATTTTATCAAGTACCTTTGATTGACATATTTTTAGCATGAAGTTATCATCCCAAAAAAGAAAGAACATAACGGACCCAGCCAGAGCTGCCTTTTGTTTGTGCTGATCCTTGTTCTCCTGAACACTCTGAAAGTGCTCAGGGTTAGCAGGACCATGGCAAGAACAACAACAAAGGGTCACAAGCAGGTGTCTCATTCCTACCATGGATTTGGACTTGGGCTGTGGTCTGCTGGTCTCCAGTGTCACAGGTGTATCTTCCCGCATCTTCTGGCTCTGCATTATGAATCACCAGCTCTGCCACTGTCCCCTTCTGCTTCATTTCATATTTGGCACTTGCCTGGAGCGTGGCTTCTCCCTTCTTCCACACCACGGTGGCATCAGCTTTTGTGAGTTCACAGCGCAAGGAGACGGATTTCCCTTCTTCCACAGCCGTGTTCTCCAGGGCTTGTTTGAAAAGCACAGGCACAGCTGGAACACAGAGCCAGGGGTTAGGACAGGCCCTCCTGAACTGCTCTACATCAAATCCCTCCATGAGAGCTGTCACCTCTTAAATCCAGGCCTTTTCCAAGTGAGCAGAGCAGCCCTAGCCCTCCATTTGCTGTGTGGCACAAGGCGATTCCGCCTGGGAGCAGGAATAAATCTCTCCCTCTCATGTTACCATCTCACTGTGGATTCCTAGAAATGTGGGGCAAGTTTCTTTTATTTTTAAAAAGGACCTTTTCAGATTCCTCTGGGAACCATCACCTAATGAATTCCCTGCTCCTGCAGGGCTCTGAAATAACTTTCGTATCCTATATTTCTCATGTTTTCTGCTCCAGCACACATTACTAAAGGCAGTGTATTTGTTTAAGGGCAGTGGAGAGTGGAAATGACACCTATGAGTCTTTGAAAGGATGTTTTGGGGAGTCTGGAGTCTATTAATTACTTGATCACCTTCAATTTTCCAGGGACTGGATTCCTGTTTCCACATCCTTATGCTCCAGTACTAGTGGTCTCCAGCTCCAGTTTTAATCACAGCCATGTAAAGCAGCTGATAGGGCAGGAACTACAGCACAGAGAAAATTAATCCTCTGCACTTAATTTACCTTTTTTTCCCCCAGTGGACAGTTACAGATTGAAAACCCCAAGCAAAGAATATGAAATCACATGAATGAAATACCTCCAGGTGCCTACAAGGGTGCAATATTACCTTTAAATTTTACTTATTAAAGATGGCGCTGCCACAAAGAAAAAAGAAATGTTCTGTGATTTTTGTTTAATGGATCTAATGAAGTGTTATGCAATTTTTGTTAATGGATCTATTAAGCACCTGATTAAGTGTGGCAATGTCTCAAATTGTACCCACCATTCACTTTGACCTGAGCAGTGGTTTTCAGTTCCCCAGCACTGCAGGTGTAGTCCCCAGCATCTACAGACTTCACATCTCGAATTATGAGCTCTGCCACAGTCCCATGCTGCTTAAATTCATACTTCTCACTGGCATAGAGAACAGTGTCTCCCTTCATCCACTTCACTGGGGTACCAGGTTTGCTGAGCTCACAGGTCAGCCTGACCTGCTTTCCTTCTTTGGCTTCTTCGTTTTGGAGCTCTTGCTTGAAGAGAACTGGTGTTTCTGAAAAAAGGAGTAACACAAATGTTAAAAGAAACATGTGAGGCTGGAAATTACTTTTCTGTTTTAGTGTCAGACTTTGTTTTTGAGACAGAAAACCACAGGAATGAAAAAGCATTAGCAAAGAGTAAACAGATGCTGACATCTCACATCTGGCTGCCAGCACTTTACAGTAGAAAAAAACCCAAAACCTGAGGCCAGCTGTTTATTTTCTTTTTAACCACTATCTGCACTGCTGAAGATGCTGCTGCTCTTACTGTTTTCATAATTAATGTCAGTGGCAGATGCTGCACTGCAGTTGATGACACAAACTGTGCTGCAGATGGCTGCTCAGAGCTGGACCACCAGCACAAAAAACATAAAACTTGACTGAGGTCAGCTCACACACAACACAGAGCACACAGAGGAATGGCAAAGCACTTTCTGTCATGACCAGCAGTATTGATTTCTCATCACAAAAAACCCCTACAGTGTATTTTTATTTTTTTTTTTTATCCAGCATTAGCACAGATTTAAAACCAGCACAGAGCAAACACAGAGAGGGAAGCACAGCTGGACGTGGCAGAGTCCCTGTGGAGATTCCCCTGCAGGCTCTGTCACAGCCTGGGATTCAAGGCTGTAAGGTGAGCTTGTGCAGGGAAGGCACTTTTGGGGGAAAAATAAACTCAACTGAAATGTTCAGATAAGGAAAAAATAAATTCTTCTTGAATTATGCTGTCTTAAGAATATACAAGCCAGCTACTGACCTGTGATGCACTAAACCTGTGGCTGTTGGAAATCTACACCCTATTATCCTGTTCCACTTTTATCTCCAATTTGGGACACTCAGTGTCACATGACTACTGAATTTCTATTTTCTCTTTCTGCCTTCTGCTGTTCTGATGTGACTCTGACAGATAAAGGAAAGTTTCCCAACAGTGAAATTCCTTGTAGACATCCTTATGACTTGACTCCTTGACCTCAGTCCATGTGTTTAAATCCTACATCCATCCACACCCTTCTCTGTGAGGGGAAAAATGGGGCTGTTGTGGGAGCATTACAAATGTGGTTCTTTTCTAACAGAAAATTGTTCATCCAGATCCTACTGGAGTCAACACAGATCTTTGTTTTGTAATGGATATTGGGAAAATATCCTTGTGCTACAGAAAGACAGAAAATCGGGATCATTAACAATGATCTTCATTGCATCATCCAGGTTTTCTCTTTCTTGCACAGCCTCAGGTTGGTTCTTTGTGCTCTAGAAAAATCCTGTGAGCAGCTTGTCCTCCTGCTTGGTGCTCTGTGGTTCAGGTTGACCATTCCAGCAACCCAAATACTTTTTTTGTTCATGCTGACTTCCCTAATGCAGATGCAGCTTCTGATCAGTCCATGCCAGGTGTGCAACAGCAGCTGCACACAGGACATCCTCTGGTCTGGATAAACACAGCCTGTGCCTATAAAATCCTCCCTGGACCTGCTCAAACCTGCCAGGGGGGTGATTTAACTCACAGAGAGATTTAACTTACAGAGGCAGGAGCAATTATAAGGTGATATTTGGTGGGCCTGGTTCTGACCTGGGTGAGACCCAACGCATACCCAGCTCAGAGTTAAAAGACTCACCCAAGAACAGAATATTTTGGTTTTGCCTCAGCTCAGACAACAGCCCTTTAGATTATAGAATCATAGAACATTTAGGGTTGGAAGGGACCTTTAAAGCTCATCTATTCCAACCCCCTGCCATGCCCCCAGACATCTCCAACCAGGCAGCTTAGAACTCAAACCAACTTGATCTTGAACGTTTCCAGGGATGGAGAATCCACCACCTCTCTGGCAAACTCCTACAGTGTTTTACCACCCTCATTGCAAAAAACTTCTTCCTTACATCTGCTTAAATTAACCCTCTTTGCCTTTAAACCATCTCCTCACATCCTATCAAGCAGGAGAGCACCTCCTGCCCGGTGATGCTCTTTGGGTGCATTGCTCTGAATAAATCTGGCTGCCTAAAGCAATTGGACTGACAAATGTGGGGCTGTGAGCTCCCTCCCTGGGGAGAGCCATCACTGGAGACAGCTCCAGGAGGTGATCCATCCTTTCTGTGGATTGCCTCTCAGCCTGGGGTGTTCTCCTGTGTTGAGGTGAACACCCCGTATGTGGAGACTCAAGGCTTGACTCCATTTCAGAAGGCTGATTTATTATGTTATATATTATACTAAAATACTACATTAAAACTATACTAAAAGAACAGAGAGAAAAGAAAGATCAGAAGGCTACAAAGAACAAGAATAGAATAGAATGCATAACAAAATCCTGTGACTGCTCACAGCCTCGGCACAGGTGGCTGTGGTTGGTCATCAATTGAAAACAATCCACATGGACCAATGGAAGATGCACCTGTGGCATTCCACAGCAGCACATAGTTATTGTTTACATTTCTTTCCTGAGGCTGCTCAGAAGGGAAAAAATCCTAGAAAAGGATTTTTAATAAAATATCATAACTACACTCCTGCTGCTCTCTTTTTGGGGTTTGGAATGAGATGATCTGTAATGTACCTTCCAACCCAAACCATTCTAGAATTCCATAATTCTCAGAGGCACTAAAGCTTCCCAGAGCTAGAGCCAGGTCAGATGAAGGATTCTCCTCATTCACATTCTGCCACCTCTCTGGCAGCTCTTCCAGATGACTTGATGAGAACCCCTCAGTGCACACCACAATGTTCCTTCTCAGTGTCGTTTCATGTTTTTAATTCCAATTAATTACTTTGGGCTCAGTGTTAGGGCCCAAATCACCCCAGAAGTTCTTACCCCTGACAGTCATAACTGCACCCCTTTTGGCTGCTCCAGCCTCACACTCACATCTGTCACTGTCTCTTTCTTCTGCCCTGCAAATGACAAGCTTGGCTTCAAACCCTGACTGCCTGACGTTACATTTGGAAGAATTCCCAAGGCTCTTCCCATCTTTGCACCACTTCTCAGGGCTGTCTGAGCTGGAGGTTTCACACTGAAGGCTCACATCCTCTCCCTCAGTCACTTCAGTGTCAACCAGCTCCTTTGTGGAGACAAAGGGCTTCTCCAGATTCATATAAAAAACCAGGTGACATGGTTCAGAAGAGGTGTGGATTCTCAGATGACAAGTAATCTGTGAGATTTGGATCCAGGATCGCTTGTATGAAATCTATAGGTCAGGGTTAGTAACAAATAATCTGGTGTTTGTGACTATAAAGCCCTCAGGAAGGCAGCAGTGATTTTGCAAACTGTTGTTTAGCTGTTAAATTATATCTGGGAGAAACTGAGAAGAAAAGATTACTGCTAAAGAACATAAATATATAGCCTTTTGCAAATAAAACCTTTCATTTTCCCTCAAGATAAAGAAATCCATTTGCGTTTCTGCAGCTTAGCAAAATTTGGGCAAATTTACAACTTTTGTAAAAAGAAAATTTCTTTGAAACAAATGTGGTTATTCTGGAAAAAATGAGATTATGGTCTGGCACAGTGGAGACTGTGTGTTTAACATCTGGGCCACGAGAAGTATTTATATTTCCAGTAAGGAAACATCTCTCCAATCCCACATTCTTGGGCTGTCTGCCATTCACTTCATTCATTTATCTTTGCTACCAAACACTGCAGTTTTACCTCAGTTTAAGTCCTCCAGAGAAAACAATCCATTGCCAACAATGAATAGCAGGGAACACATGCAATGTTGCCTTTCAAAAAATGAAAACTTTATGAATTTAAAACTTACTGGGTGCCCTTTTCTTTTATTGAATTAATTGATTTCTCCTCATGAATCATCACCTTATCAGCTTGAGAAAAACTGAATGAGGCATCCACTGTACCATCACAGCATTATAATATTCCCATCTAAATCTAATAAACCCTCCAAGAGTTGTCCAAGATTACAAAGGGTTCATTCTCCAGCCATAATTTCATTATATAATTAATGTTATTCTTGAAAATGCACAGATATACAATGATGGTGCTACATTTGCAGCATTTTTGCTCCTTTTTTTACCACCTACCCACATTAACCCCACTTATTTCCACTCATCATTTCCTCTCCTACAGTTGTGATGATGGATTTACCTTTAACAACCAAACTGGCAGAGGTTTTCTTATCACCAGCTTCAAATGTAATGACCCCCGAGTCCTTCAGTGAGAGCTTTTTCAGCGTTAGCAGGTGATATCCACCAGGCTGGGACTGGATCTCATTAAGTTCATTGGTATGGAGTGGGGTTTTATCCAAAAACCACTGCACTCTGCTATAGTCTACGGGAGAGATTCTGCACTTGAACATGGCAGATTCTCCTTCTAACACAGTGACATCCTCCAGGTCTTCCGTTATTAGCACTTTCTGGCCTGAAAGGAACATAAATACATCAATTACTGGAACCTTCAGTTTCTGGCGTGAAAATCGACGTGGGAAAGCTCCCAAGATTTCCCACGTGAGCATTTCAAGTAAGGAACACGTTCATGACAGAGAAGATTGAAACAGAATTCCCCCAATATTGACACAAAACCCACTCATGGGAAGATAATATTTACAGGACACACATCAAAATAGGCAAAGACAACTTTGAAGCACCAGAAAACATAAAGCAGAACAAGTAGCCAGTACAATGCAAATTTTCTTCTAATGAAATCCCTGGAAAGGTTGGAAGGATGAGACCCTGACAGTGTTACTGGGCTCTAAACATCAGCAAGAAATGATCTCTCCCTTGACAACCTGCCTGATTTTCTACAGCAAAAATAACTTCCTTTCCATGGGATAGAGCCACTGATCCCACACCTTCTTTGAGTTCAGTCCAACCATAAACACAGTGGGAAATGGAGAAAATGTCTGAGTGTGGATTTGGTTAAAAAAAAACCAAAACATCTGCCCTGACAACCTCCCTGTACAGACACATACATCCCTAACTAAAAATAAATATATAAATATAAACACACATACAAAGATAAACCTCACTATAAATATATATAAAATAAGGTCAGCATTGTATACAAAAATATCTCTGATGTTCCTCCTACTCATAAAACCAGCACAGGATTTTTTCACTTTGATGTTCATGACAGAGAAGTGGTTTTTTTCCATTCAGAAAAAGCTGGTATCAAAAACCTCAGAGTGAATTCAGACAGCTCAGAGCCTGAGATTAGGATGTGGGTTAAACCCATTTCTTTGCTTCCTGAGGATGCTGTAGCAGATCATCAGAGGAGGAGGATGACTTTACCCCATTGTCTTTAAAAACTACAATAATAAGTAAGTGAACACTGCTGTTGTACCTCCATCTGATTATTCTTAAATCATGCAGGGTTAGGTGGGATATGGGGAAGGAATTCTTCCCTGTAAGGGTGGGGAGGCCCTGGGAAGCTGTGGCTGCCCCTGGATCCCTGGAAGTGTCCAAGGCCAGGACAGACAGGGCTTGGAGCAGCCTGGGACAGTGGAAGGTGTCCCTGCCCATGGCAGGGGTGTGGGACTGGATGATCTTTAAGGTCCCTCCCAACCCAACCCACTCCATTATTCCATAGACCATTCTATTTTTCCAGCACCTTTTAGGAACCACTCCTTGGAAGAGGAATGAAGGGGTAGGGAGAAAAGCCTGAGGGCAGGATAATTTTCCCTCATCCACCAGCAGGCACTGTGGATCACATCCATTTTATATTCACACAGGAACACCAATCTGTCCCCTCACTTGAGCCTTTAAATCACACCCAAAATACTCCAGGGGTAATTGCTTCCAACTGCTCTGCATGTCCAGCTCTACATTCCCATGTTTTTGGCCACGTGTTCCTGCCATCCTGAGTGAGACAGAGCCAGAAATCTGCAGCTCTGCCACCCTGCTGAGATACAGCTCTGCCTGTGCATGTTTCCCATGGCAGAAAAGGGATGTAAATCACATTCTTCTCATCCATACCTTGCACAGTTAGCTTGGCTCTGGACTGGGCATCCCCAATGTCACAACTGTAAGTGTCACTGTCGCTTTTCTCCAGGTTCTTTATGGTCAGCTGGAGGACTTGTCCTTTCTGTGTGATCTCGTATTTCCTGCCAGCCCTGAGCTCAGCGATGCCTTTCCTCCAGACCACAGAGGATGCAGCTCTCTCACTCTGGCACACAAAAACTGCAGTTCCACTTTCATCCACTTTCAGGTCTGAGAGTTCTTTGACGAAATAATTAGGTTTTTCTGGAAGGAAAAAGAAATAATTTTAAAAGATGACCAAGACAGATTTGTCACCCAAACTAATCCTGAGCATCCAGAATCATCTTGGATCCTCTCTGCTCTGACTCAAAGAATCATCAAAAAAATAAACATAGAATCATTTAAGCTGAAAAAGACCTTAAGATCACCAAGTCAAACTATTAACTTAATTAAACCATACTCCAAATAACCACATCTACACATCTTTTAAATCCTCTCTCTAGTGGTGACTATACCACTTCCCTGGGCATCTTCTTCCAATGTCTGACCACCCGTTCCATGAAGAAATTTCTTCTCACATCCAATCTAAAACTTGAGACCATTTCCTCTCATCCCATCCGATGGAAGGATTCTAAGATCACCAGGTCCCCTCCTGTCACAGGACATAGCAGGTGAAATACCAGGGAAGTTTAATGCCATGGTCCATGGACTGATGAGGTCTCCTTTTGCAAACAACTTTCATCACTCATATTCAAAATAGAATTATTCAAATTGCCGGTTTTGATTGGCTGGTTACAGAGCCCATAAGATTTTTCAGCATCCAAAAGGTGCTTTTTTCATATCTAATTTTTTTAAGCTTTTAATCAATGATTTTTTTTTTTTAAACTAAAATTTTCTTCTCCTCCATCTGCCTCGGCAGGATAAATCTAAGGTTGTAGATATTTACACCCAACCTCTGAACCTGCCAGCTGCTCTGCACCCTTCAGCTGACCTTGCACTGTGATCCTGGCTGTTGTTTTGGAGGTCTCAGTCTCACAGGTGTATTCCCCACTGTCCTTGACTGTGGAGTCTCGGATGATGAGAGTGGCCCGTGTCCCCTCTTGCTGCAGGTCGTATTTCTGGCTTTTCCTGATTGCTTTGCCATCCTTGTACCACCTGATGGTCACATCAGCTTTGGACAGCTCACAGCTCAGGTTGATGTCCTGCCCTGCTGGTGATGTTTTATCCTCCAGCTGTTTTGTAACCTCTGTAGGTTTTTCTGCAGAGATTTAAAAAAAAAAAAAAAAAGGAATCTTTGAATTAAAATAATTTCTGTATGGTTGGGCTTCTTTGCAATTCAAATCATAGAATCCCAGAATGGTTTGGATTGGAAAGGATCCCAAAGATCATCCCATTCCACCCCCTGCCATGGGCAGGGACACCTTCCACTATCCCAGGCTGCTCCAAGCCCTGTCTGTCCTGGCCTTGGACACTTCCAGGGATCCAGGGGCAGCCACAGCCTCCCTGGGCAACCTGTGCAAGGTTGGAAGATGATGGAAGGTTCCTTCCAACCCAAACCATTCTGGGATTTCCTGGCTCTATGGAAAAGGACTAACTGCAGATTATGAACCATGTCTGAAAATTACTAATTTCTTCTCTCCACTGACCATCTGGGAGCCTTGGGTGATTGTCTCTGATGCACAGTCTGGGCTGTAATTATCTGTACACACTACCTAGTGTAGCCAGTTCTCAAATATCTATTAAAAGTTTCAGCAGTTCACTTGGTTTTAAGGGAAAATCTCAGCTCTTCAAGGTTCACAGGGAAGGTTGCTCTTGACTCAGATCATAATGAGTGTTTGCTGGCAAACCTTATGAAAATTCATCCATGGTTTTTCTGATCCTGTTACCTTTCACAACCAGGGAAGCCTTGGAGGTGAGACCACGGGCAGTGAAGATGACTTCCCCAGTGTCACCAGGAATCACATTTTTGATACTCAGTGTGTATTTCCGACCAGCATTGGAGGCTTTAAACCTCCCCCCACTTTCTACTTTTCTCCCGTTCAGCATCCAGTTGAAGTCATCAATACTTTCGTGGGACAAAATGCACTCAAAAGTGCAATCTTCTCCTTCCTGGATTTCAGTGTTCTTGAGCCTTTTGGTGATGCCAATGTTCAGTTCTGGAGAACAAAAATTACATTAATGCAAATTAAAAATGCTTTTATGATAGATATGAGTATAGTAATGGCGTTTTTAACTCATGAGAGGGATTTATCTGCTAGATTGGCAGGACACCACTGTATTCCTCACAGATGGCTGTGACATGGGAAGGATTTTTCAGGCTCAGAATCATCTCAAAGTTGTACAAAAAGAGAAATGTGAATCTCCTGGTTCTTTTCCTGCTCAGGAAGGACTGAATGAAGAACAGCTCCATGGGGAAGATTCAAGATTTAATGAATTAGAGAAGAGAAAAGCTGTCAGAAAAGAAGCCTCTGGGACAATGGGTGAAGTTCTCCTCCATGCTGACAGAAGAAATGTTTGAGATTTTTTACTTGTTACTCCTGGTGTTCAGACCAGGCAAATTCAAAATTTTTTCTCATTAACATTATGAGTTTGAAAGCCATGAACAATTCTTTGTCCTTCACGCCGACACAAGGATTAGAGGACAGGCTGAACAGCTGGGTTCCTCAACAGATATTGTCCTGCTTTTGTGTTCCTACAATGGACTCTGAGTCAACAACTCAAAATATGAAATAGGCTGCTTGGGGGATTTTTTTGTTGTTAGTTGGGATTTTTTTGTATAAATTTTTGCTTTTCTGGGAGGATTTCTGCACTTTAGGGATGTTCAGGAAGAAAATATTGTCACTACATTCCTGACACCTGATTTTCACTTAGAAACCCCAGATAAACTTAGACCAAAATTGACAGGGATTGTTCAGACATCACAGTATTATGTGAGATTTGTTCAGTAACAGGTGAGAGCCCAAGGGACCAAGCCCACGTATATTTTTAACACCCCGTGAGAGGCCACTGTCTACAACACTTACCCTGAACGCTGACCTTTGATTTGGCAACATCAGTGCCGATGTCACAGGTGTATAACCCCGCATCTGTCTTTTCAAGGTCATGGATAAGGAGGCAGAGGGTCTTCCCAGACTGTATCTCCTCATACTTCTTGCTAGAAGTGATCTTCACACCATCCTTTTTCCAAACAGGTTTGACCTTCTCTTTGGAGACTTCACATTCCAGTTTGATCACTCCTCGCTCCTCACCAAAAACATCATCCAAGGACTTCATGAAGACAGCAGGTTTCTCTGAAGGTCAAGAGGCAAAACAGAGAACAACCAGGATGTTTGGGACACTTTCAGTTGTTATCAAATATTTAGAGACATTAATAAACCCTTGGCAATATTGCTAATACCAATGCAGAACCAAACCAGTATCACCCTCCAGCACCCTCAATTCCTTCATCCTGCTCTCAATCCTTCATCCTGCTCCAAATCCCTTCATCCCAAGATTGTGTTGATATGAGGGGTTGCCCTGATCTAAGTGCAGCACCTCGCACTGGCCTTGTTGAACCTCAAGAGGTTCACATGGTCTCAGTTCTCGAGCGTGTCCATGTCCCTCTGGATGTCATCTCGACCCTCAGGCCTGTCACCTGCCCCACTCAGGTGGTAGTCCCCTGCACACTTGCTGAGGGTGCCCAAGAATGTGTTAAACCACAAAAACTCAGTTGTGTGACTGAGCTTTCAGACACATGAAGGACAGCAGGAAACTGTCTTGTCATGGCTGATTGAATCCAGCTCCAGACCTGATGTATTAAAAACCGCAGAATTACAGAATATCCTGAGCTGGAAGGGATCCACAAGGACCATCCAGTCCAACACCTGTCCCTGCACAGACATCCCAACAACCCCACACTGTCCCTGAGAGCATTGTCAAGCACTTCTGGAGCTTTGGCAGCCTTGGGACCATGATCACGCCCTGAGGAGCCTTTCCAGTGCCCACCACCCTCTGGGGGAAGAACCTTTTCCTGAAATTCAACATGAACCTCCCATGGCTCAGGCCCAGTTGTTTTCTCAAGTCCTGCCACTGGCCACCAGAGTGAGGAGGGGTTCTGGTCTATCTTGAAGTCCAGGAAACTTCCTCCATGAATGAGGGTCAGAGAGCCAGTGCTGTCCTGGGGGTCAGGGCACCCCAGAGCAGACAGAAATATTCCTGGTGCCCTGGGCTTCCACACACCATCATCATCATAAAACAGTTGTTATCACAAACACTTTCATGGAGTTTATTAGATGATTTATTCTGGTCTCCTGCACACCTTTGGTCACCATGTTTTGCTTACTTGGTTCTGCACTTGCTCCAACAGAAAAAAAAAAAATCTACTAAAAAGACTAATTACAGTTGTCTAGAACCCTCAGTTCTCTTTTTATATATAAATCAGTTTGGAGGTTTTGTTTGTGTTTTATTTAAAAATAAGTAATTTTTTTCTAAAATGATGTTACACTGACCCTAAGCATCCCACAGAGCTCCAATCCCAGTGTGCTTGTCACTGGACACACAAACACATTTTAACCAAATTGTCCCTCATTTCCAGGGAATCTGTGACACAGAGGATGAGATGAAGACAATTATTTTGGCCACAAAGGAAAAGTACAAAGAGGTTAAGCAAGTTTCTCAGGTTTAGGGAGCAGGAGGATTTTGATTCTTTTCTTTCCCAGTCCTTAAGCAGAGATTTCTCCTTGCAGCTTCTCTGCTCACGGAATTTTGTTTTCAAGAATGAGATAATTCAGAAGAGGGTTTGGAACTATTACTTTTTTCTTTTTTTTTTTTTTAAATATATATATTTGTTTGGATAGAATGGAGTCACAGAATCATTTAGGTTGGAAAAGACCTCTAAGTGAGCCAAACCATTCCCTCAGCACTGCCAAGGTCACCATGAAACCACATCCCCAAAACTTTTCAATCCCTCCAGATATGCTGACATCACCACTGCCCTGAGTATTTAATTTCCATGTCTGACAACACATTCAATGAAGAACCTCTGCAAAGCCAAACTGCTACCAAGAGCTGCTCCCTGGACTTTTGGAAATGATTCTGTAGCTCAGCTCCAAGTCTATCTAGAAGTGACACAGTGAACATCTCTTCTTGCAGTGTCACCTGAGGGGAAGAACTGGCTAAAAACAGTTCCATGCCCAGATGGGGTAGAACATCACTATGAATAATAATTGTATTCAGACACATAATAGTAGCTATAAAATATATTTATAGCAGGTAGACGAATGTATACAGATGTATAAAAATACAAATGTATAACAATGGCAGATAGAGAAGCTGACTCAGACGTCAGAAAATGAAAACCACAGCCAAGATCACCAGAACTGGAGGCCTGTAGCAGTTTAACACAAAGGATATTTTTAGGTGAAAGACCCAGAGGTCTAATTCCTTGTATGAAATGGACAATGATGTGCCCTGACAAATGTTAATTTGTGCCTTACCCAGATGTTGCCCTCCCACACGCATTACCAACTTCACAGATGGATTTCAGGACTGTGGAATCAGCACTTTGCTTGTGACGCTGCATTTACATAAAATTAGAAGATAACTGCGGGAATCTACCTCTCCTCAGGAGGAGGAACCTTGAGTGAAACAGACAACCATAAAGACCAGCACCAGGCCAGCCCTGCTGCTGCAAACCTCTCGTACCTTCAACGCTCAGCGTGGCTTCGGTCTCGGCGATCCCAGCCCTGCACTTGTACACGCCAGCATCCTCAGGCTTTACCTTCATGATCTTCAGCTCTGCTGAGTACTGGTCCCTCTTGATTTTGTACTTCTCCGAGGGCTCAATGAGCACTTGGCCCTTGAACCACTTGACGTGCTTTGGGGAAGGCCTGAAGTCACAGGACAGGATGACCGAGTGTCGCTCCAGGACGGTCTTGTCCTCCAGCTTCCTGGTGATCTGGATGTGGTAATCTGCCAGGCAAGGGTGGGGAGGAAGAATGGATCAATCTAAAGAAGGGGAAGGCTTTAATCTGTATTTCATGCCCATTAATTTCATATATGACTTTCTGTTTCGTGAACTGCTCAGGTCCTGCTACAAGTGTGTCTAACAGAACTCATGTGCTTTGAAGCTACAACAGCACAACGATCTATCAGGAAAGCTGATTTCTGTAAGATAATACTGTGTATTAACCACCAAATTCATGGTCCTCTTCTGGCTTGGTGCTTGCTTAATTTCTCTCTAATTGAGGTTTTCATTCAAGTAAGGGCAAATGAAAGACAAAACAAGGACTTCAGGATGTGATTGAAGAGATTTACCATGGTGACAGCAGAAGATAAAAAGCCTTGAGGCTTTGTGCTACATCAAGTCAATGACAAAATGAATTAAGTAAATGAGCTATCAAATATGTCTAGTTCAGAAATGGGACAAAATAAACTCTCCTGGCAAATTTGATCTGTTTTGTCCTCCTTGGTAAAGTCAAGAGAATAAAAATAAATCAGAAACCAGCTTTAACTTGATAGATTTGAATACCAGAGACACCAAAGTCATTTAATCAGATCCCTTCCTAAGTCTTTTCTGGCTCAGTTGGTGCATCCAGCATTGCTACCAACAACTTGCAGCTGGGAACCAAACAGATTTTCCAGGTACACATGCATTTCCAAGAACCCAGCCCAGAATAGAGAATATTTATGACAAATTACTTTCCAGGTACTGTGAGAGGGAAGATCTTGGTTCTGATTGACGTGATATATATTAAAAATCACATTACCTCTGACGAGCAGGTTTGCCGTGGATTTGGATTTGCCAATAGAGAACTGGATGGTGCCTGTCATATCAACACTTGTTCTTATTATTGTCAGCCTGTGGATGGTGCCCTCCTGCTGCATGATGATGTTTCTGCCAGCCTGCAAGGCTGCTCCCTTCAGGAACCACTTGGCAGGTTTCACAGATGGAATGGATGTCTCACATTCAAAATTGGCTTCTTCAGGCTCAGTCACGTCCTCATCACACAATTCTTTTACAATATTAATGGCTTGCTCTGGATGGAACAAGAGAGCAGGGATTTAGTAGCCATGAAAGCTTTTCCATTATCGGCCTGAACAGTCAAGACATCTTTTCTGCACTTATGAACTCAAAAGGCTGCTTTTATTCTGTATGAAAGCAAACACATATTGCTGGTCATAGGCCAGAAAGTGAATGTATATCTCCTGATTCCTAGTCCTAATTCTAAAGTCACCTTCCTACCCTGATATCAAACATGTAGTGCTATAAAATGGAAAAGAAGGTTCATTGGAATGCAGATGTTGATGAAAGGAGCTGCAACATTGATCTGAAAAACAGACTTTATCCAATACATTTGATAAATGTCTCTGGAATGGGAATTCCCTCATTCTCCTTAGGAGAATATACCACATATTAATTTTTCAGCATGTTCCTGTGTGTAAAAGGAGTGAACACCAATGGACTTCAGAATAAATAAGATTAATTAAAATTCATTTTTATGCAGTTTTGTGTTTCCAAAGTAAACAACAAATGAGTCAGCCCATCGTCTCCCAGAGCATTGTAGAGGTGAAAAAAAGAGGTTTTCTACCTTCAACAAAGAAATTAGCACTGGTTTTGTCATCGAAGGCATCACAGGTGTACGTGTCCTCATCCTCGTAGTCGGCGTCGTTGATGACGAGTTTCCGATAGACGCCCTCGCTCACGATCTCGTATTTTTTACCGGGGTGAATTTCCACATCCTTTTTGAACCACCTGACCTTGGCATTGGCTCGGGACACCTGGCACTCCAGGACGCCCCGGTGCTTCCACAGGGCAATCTTATCCCGCAAGGGCTTCACGATTTTTATGGGCAGCTCTAGGAGGGCAAAGAAAATGCAGTAATCAGTACTGTCTCCTTTGCTCTCATTAGCAATATTATCTTTATGTTCAGTAATTTGTATGGTGACAGGAATCCCCACTATGCTGAGCACTAAATTAACAAGTTTAATTAGTATTTTACCTCTGTATTTTACCACTGGAGTGGCTGAACTGCAGAAGTAACAGGTGGTTTTCCTCAACACCTCACAGCAGTGCTACAGCAAAACCAGGGACTGATCTCCAGTTTCCTGAGCTCCTCAGCAGTGAGTTAATTCAAACATCTTCCTTTTCTCTCCTATCACATTGTTTCAGTTAAATACACCCAAAAACGCTGGAGTTCATTACAACATACGCCAGAAAGTGAAAATGCAAGAAAAAGTCAAGCTACAGCCTTTTGTGCCTCAAATTTCACAAAGACCTTAAATGTCTAAAGGTGCAAATCCAACCTCCTGAGAAAATTTAACTGGAATTAAGCCAAAATAAACTCCTAGCTGATATTTACCAGACAGCAAAGTAGGCAGTTTTTCTTTCTCTGAACACTGTAGGACTTTTTTAACCTTCACATGCAAACTGAGGGAAGTGAACTGGTTTGTAACGAGAAAGAGCAGAAGCAGTGCTGGCACAAACAGCAGAATTACCTTTTACAGTCAGGTGAGCACGAGATTCTGCCTTTTCTGCTACGAATTTGATCTCAGCCGCATCCTCGACCTGGACACGTGTGTACGTCAGGGAATACGTCTTTCCTGGGAACACACACAAAAACAGACACAGCTCAGCTACCCCAGAGCAAAACCCTATTTTCTAGTCTCCCATCCAGCCCCTCCTCCAACCCACCCCCATTCTGTGGTAGTTCCAGTTGTTGGTTTCTCTGTGACTGGATTGAAGGCACTTGAGACACCATTTCATGTTCAGACTCAAGTGTTCATTATTTCTTATCAGTAAAACAGTCTCGCTACTGTGAGCTCGGCAGCTTTTCATGAGAAGGCACAAAATGGCCACAATCTCTTGTTCCAAGGTCTTTTAAGACTAAACTATCCAATTAAGAACTGACTCCTAGGTTATTTTCCCTTTTAACCCAATAACTGATCCCAAAGAGCCCCAATGTGGACTTTTCTGCCCAAGTACAAAATGCCACCCAAACCCATGAAGAAGAAGGAAGAAGCAGCATGAAGAAGAAACCCAGGACAACACCCTGTGCCCTCCATCTTGCTCCCATCCACAACACACTAAAAATCCCAAACCCTAAATATCTCACCAAGTGACACACCTACACTGCTCTCCATAATCTATTTTATACTTTTGTGGGTTCTGGTCTATCTTGAAGTCCAGGAAACTTTCTCCATGAATGAGGGTCAGAGTCAGTGCTCCCCTGAGGGTCAGGGCACCCCAGAGCAGAGAAATATTCCCAGTGCCCTGGGTTTCCACACCATTCCAAAATCCCCTTTTCTTTCCTCTTACCATCCTGCCGCATTTTGATGTTGTCAGAAGTCTTCAGCTTGTTGTCATTTTTGTACCACTGGGTTTCCACCTCGTCGTGTGAGATCTCACAGATGAAAGATGCACTCTCATATTCGTTCACTTCCACATCTTCCAGTGGTTTTACAATCTTGACATCTCGGGCTGGGAAGTCATAAAGGCAAATATTCATTTGGGGGTTTCTCCATAAGTAAGTATGGTGTGTTTACTTTCTGCATAATTACATGGGAAAAAATGGGATTGTGTTTTATTCTAGACCAGCCTTTCTTCCTGGGTAATTTCTCTCTTCAACACAGTGAATACTTCTTATGGCTGAAGCTTACTGTATGAGGATTTTATGGATGCTGGAACTTCATGCAGGTATTAATGAAAGAAATACACACATTAATGAAAGCAAATTTGCCAAGAAAAACTAAACACAAGTCTACAATCCTAGGTCATTATAAACTTGCCTTATTCATGCTTCTCTGCATGCTCTCCTCTGTTTTACATAGGAGATATCTTTTTTCAGTCTCCTGACCTGAGTATAATCCTCTTTAACTCTGCACTGTGGCACTCCTTTTGTCAGAACTGATCTATTTATCTGTGCTACTGCAGCCCTTTATTTTTTTTAAAGAGAAGGCCTTGACACACCTTGGATCAGCCTCAGGAGCTGAGCTGAAATGCAAACAACAACCCATCCCAACCCCAAAACCAGGGAGAAAAGGGGGAGTCCAACAGAGCCATGGGGCAGATGCCCATGAAGACACTGCAGAACCCAAGCAGCCACATGAGGACAGTATCTAGCAGGCAATGAGAAAGATGCTCTGTCTTTCACTAAGAAAGAGCTGATCTGTTTTTCAGATGCCCCTTTAGAAAATAACATTTGTCAGGGCACAGCAGAGCTGTCTGTTGAGTAACTTGCCTTTATCTCAGAGCTTATCTCAGGTGCTTCAGAGCCTGGTGACAAAAGACACCTGGTGCTTCATCAGCTGCAGAGTGCACCACTCAGATGGAAAAACTGCCTCGAGCAGAGAGGAGAGGTACAGGCAGAAATAACCACCCTTTCCTTAGCATTTACAACCTAAAAATGAGGGCACTTCTTGAGCTCATACCCAAAGCTTGTCCAGTCCCTGGTCAGGCAAAGTCCCCCTGTGACAATGGTGCCACCAAACCACATCAGCACCAGCCACTGAATCCCTGCTTTGGGCCAGGCTGTCCAGTATTTCCTGATGTGCCAATCCAGAAACACCATTCAGATTCCAAAGAATATAAATAACTTATGAGAAATGGAAAACTGAGTTAGGACCTCTTCCAAAAATACTGCAAGGATAGAGCAAGCACAGGACATCTTTGCCAGCATTTCCCCACCAGGAAGAGAAACTTAACTAAAATGAGCAATTGTGAAAAATGAACACTCCACAAATAATTTCTTTCTGTGTAGGCAAAAATACTGCAGTAAATGTATTTTCCTACTTCAGCCAAACATACCATGAACCTTTAGAGTAGCTGATGTCTTGTCTTCAGCTGCTTGACATGTATAGGTTCCCTGGTCTTCATATTCACACTTGTGAATAATGAGGCTTCTCTTATTTCCTTGGGAGATAATCCCAATGTTTTTACTTTGCCGGATCTCCTTCCCATCCTGGAAGGGGAAAAAAATCAAAGCAGATCACCCTCAACTCCTGTAGATCTGCAGTGAGCAGAACAGATATTCAGATCTGTGTTTATTCATCCTTCTCATTGGATTGAATGGAAAACTCCTGTAGATCTGCAGTGAGCAGAACAGATATTCAGATATGTGTTAATTTCATCCTTCTTATTGGACTGAATGGAAATCTGTGTTTAAAGGAACATGTGTTGAATATTCATCACAGGGCAAAGATTTCAGGAAGTTGGAATAGTTGAAGAATACACAGAAATTTTGGCTTAGAACACCATGCAGGGTTGGCAGTAAGTCCCTTCAGACATAAATGGTTTTAAACTAAAAGAGGCTCAAATTTAGACTGGAAATAAGGAAGAAGCTTTTCACAATGAGGGTGGCCAAACACTGGCACAGGTATCCCAGAGAGGTGGTGGATGCCCCATCCCTGGAAACATTCAAGAGCAGGTTAAACAGGGCTCTGAGCAACATGATCTGGGTGCAGGTGTCCCCGCTCATGGCAGGAGGTTGGAAATGAGATGACCCTTCCAGCCCAAATTCTACCCTGAAGAACTGCTGCTACCCCAAATCAAGGAAAGTATCATCAGCTGAGCCCCAAGGGAGGTGGATGAAATGCCAGTGCTGATCCCCAAAATGACTGTGTAGGGAAAGGGAACTGGATTGTCACTGACAAAGGAAATTGAGGCTTCCCTTTATATCCCATTTCCCAAAAAGGCTGTAAATCCTGGGTGAATAATGCTTGGTGTGGAGTGAAGCACGAGACTACAAATCTGTAACAGCAGTGCTCACATTCTGTGCAAGAATAGAAAAGTTTAACTTTCAATCCAATATACCAATACAGTAAATAAAAACCTGAGAGTGATAAATTGGCAGAATAAATGAACATAAGGACAAGAGAGCAATGCTAAGAGCTTTACTGCAAAGGCTCAGGCTCATATTCCCTGGAAGTAGAATTAAAGGCTCCCATTCCCTTCCAAAGAAGTCAAAAATTAAAATATCACAATCCATTAAGTGCTGTACCTTGAACCACTTCACACTGGCATTGGGTTTGGACAGCTCACACTCGAATGTGGCCTTGAGCTTCTGAGTTACACTGACATCTGCCAAAGGTTTGCTGATCCTCACAGGCAATTCTGGGAAAGAAAGACAAATGGGGAATGGGGTCAAGCACTGATGGGTAGGTTTTCATGATAAATAAAATTTATATTGGTTTGGCTACTTTATCATTCCCTCCCACTTTGTCATTTTTCTGTGGACAGTGATGCCATAACAACCCTGTTGACATCAGAAGGAAACATTCCTGTGCTTTACATCCCTTGCAGTGACCAGGAAAATTTGTTGCCCTCTTAAATTTGCTGTCCAGGTGAGGAGAAGACAATTGCACCCACCCCAAGCAGGGCTGGAGCCTTCTGTGCCTGTGTACCTTTCACAGTGAGCCTCCCTGATGAGTTAATGCCCTCTGCTTTGAAGGAGATGAGTCCTGCATCTTCCAGAGCCACCGAGGAGAGAGTCAGGGAGTGTTTCTTGCCCAGGACACCGAAGCTGACGTTGGGTGCAGGTTTCAGACGAACACCATCCTTCTGCCAGGTCCCCTCCACGTCCTCGTGGGACACCTCCACCTCGAAGGTGACAGTCCCCTTCTCAGCCACCTCCAGGGGCTGAAGGCCTTTCACCAGCTTGATCTGCCTCACTGGAAAACAACATGGAAAAGTTGCAGATCTCACACCTGTGAAATAGCCTGAGGCCTTCCAAAATGGATTTTTTCCCCCATATTATGTATTATTATATAATAATATAGAATTGTAATAATTATTATTATATATTATTGCTCATGCACCTGCCAATTAGCTGGTGCCCATTAAACAACCACTTTTACAGGAAATAAAACCTGTCCATGACCACAATTCTAACATAGCAGCTATTTTTCAAATGGATGCTTTCATGAGACAAACAGGCCAAGCAAATATCACAGAAAACACCACTGGTCCCTTTTCTATCGAAGTCTCTCAGATTCTAGTAAAAGAAAGACAAATAATTCCACAGTAATACTGTGCAGTCCTTCCATTAGGATAAAACAAGGATGGGAGGAAAAAGCTATAGTAAAAGGAAAAAAAAAGTCCCATGACTGGTGCAAAAATTGCTGATATCTCACAGGCTGGTGGCCAAAACCTCCATGGTTTATGTGGATATTTCCTGTTCCTGTGACAAGACACCCATGCCCTGTCATCCAGTACAATAGATTTAGTGTTTAAATTTGTATCACCACTAAAAGTAATTAAGTTGCCAGTTAAAAAACCCCAAAAACATGATGAGGGCTGAAGACCTCTCCAGACAACCTATTCAGTCATCTGACCATTAAAAGGTTTTTTAGAATATAACATGGATCTTTCTCACTGCACCTGAAGTCCATTATTTCCTGGCATCATGGAGATTGTTCCCTTCCACTTTGTAAGACATCAAACACCCAAAAGACTGTTTTCAAGTCCTTCCTCACCTATTATTTAGAACCAGCCCAGCACCAGTTGGCAAGGATTTTATGGACAAAACTAGACAGTCCTTGAAGTACTTAAATCCTGATGTCAAATATCCTATGACAATTATTAAAAAAAAAAATACAAATAGGAAAGGGACAGAAGTACAGGGCTATGGATGAGGCACCATTCATTCACCCAAGAGTGAAACACCCTCAAGGAGAAGATGTGCTTTTGTAGTTTTTTAGACTTTGACTGAATACAAAGAGACATTCTGAACGAGGTGGTTTGCAGAGAAAAATCAGGGCAATGGATAGCTGAAGAGGGATTTTTGGTAAAAAATGATACTGAGGACAAACACAAAGCATATCAGGGAGTGAGAAAGAGAGGAAAGAGAAGAATCTTTCAAGCAGCTTAAAGGTCAAAGCTGGTGGGATGAGATGGAGGAACCAGTCAGACATTCTCTGTTCACGGCTTAGCTTTCACCTCCTTGTGGCCAAGGTGTCATTTGACTGGTGGCCAAGCCCACGGCTTTGTCCCTGTGTCCCCATGATAATGCAGAGACCAGAATCCGCCTCCAAACCCTGCCTGGGGTATTTATAGAACTGAGGGTCACTGAACTCACTTTCCACATTGATCTTGGCTTGGGTCTTGTCGTCGGGGCTCTCGCAGCAGTAGAAGCCCCGGTCTGCAAAGGAGATGTCCTTGACCACCAAGGTGTGCTTTGTTCCCTCAGCTTTGATCTCTATTTTGTCACTGGGCTTCAGCACAAGGCTGTTCCTCATCCACTTCACCTCTGCAGGCTTGGTCAGCTCTACCTCCAGGGTCACTGTCTCCCTCTCCTCAACTGTTTTGGGTTCCAGCTTCTTCTTGAAGGAGATTGAGGCCTCTGCAAGAGAGGAAATATTAGTAGGAATGTAGAAGATCCAGAAAAGAGGCTTTGAAAGAAAATTAAGCCAGTGGCTCATATACCTCCAAACCCAAAGCATTCTGGGCACTCCTATTTAATGATACTAAAGCAGAAATTCTCTGCTGCTAACGTAATTAATTAGAGGGAAAGCCACATAAAACAACATCACCATAGAATGGCTTGGGTTGGAAAGGTCCTTAAAGACCATCTAATTCCAAGCCTGTGTCGTGGGCAGGGTGACATTTCCAGCCTGTCAAAGGGGCACTGCTACCCCTTACCTCTGACTCTGAGGTTGGCTGTGCTTTCCACGCCCTCAGCATTGGCAGTGATTTCAGCTGCATCTTCCAGTGTCAGGTCAGTGATGGTGAGGCTGTGGTTGGTGTCCTTCTGAGAGATCACGTACTTCTTGCTGGCTTCAATCTTGGCACCATTCCTGAGCCAGGTGACCACAGCATCACTGGGGGAGACAGTGCACTTGAACACAGCCTCTTTTCCTTCCTCAGACACCACGCTGTTGAGACTTGTGACGAATTTCACCACTCTGGGAGCTGATGGATAGAGGTAAAACATTCAGGAGCATGTCCTTCAGGCATGGCAAGAGCACCTCCCAACATCCAAAAGCTTCCATGAATTTGTTGGAAGCAGCAATTTGAGTACAGCATAATACTGTACTCAAATAATCCAGGAAACTTAGTAAATACAATAATAAATAATCAGTAAATACTGTAATAAATACTCAGTAAATGCAATAAGTGATCACAATAGTGGATCATCATATTTCCCGTGTCTGAGTAAATTTTTTGTACAAAGAGAAGGGAAGAAAAAAGGGAAAATAATCCCATATTTTATTTGGGAAAATTAATTCCAGCCTCAAATGCAATATGAAGGTCAATATTAAGAGACCTGAGCCAGGTCTCACAATCATGTCTTTCACAAATAGAGGTTCCATTGACACTGGGAGGGGAGCTCTGTATTTTGTTCTCAACACAGGAGTCACCCCAGACACATGGAAAAAATCAACTTTGCAGGGTTCTAACAGCTGAGGACAAAACCCAGGGATCTCTCCACACTGTCCCCATTAGAGACATACGTTTGGGGACGATGGTGATGCTGCTCTTGTCATCCCTGGACTCGCAGGAATATTCTCCCTCGTCCTCAGCCCGGATCCCCGTTATCGTCAGGGTCCGTTTGATCCCCTCCTCATGGATCTGGAAACGCTTGCTGGCCTTGATCTCCACACCATTCCTGCTCCACGTCACCTTCCCTTTGGCGTGGCTCAGCTCACAGCTCAGGGACACGCTGCCACCAATCTCAGCTTTCACGGCCTCCAGCTTCTTGGCAAACTTCACCGGGATTTCTGAGATCCAGGAGAAGGGAAAAGTGTGAGTCAGGAAAAGAGAAGAAACCTGTTCTAAGAAACTGGTTCTGCCCAACCGTGGGAATAAATAAATATAGAAATATAGTGGCCCTAAGTATTTTGGGAGACAAAATCTAACCAGAAATGTGGAAATTCAGGCAGATTCCTTTGACATGATATTTTCAGATCCCTGTCATTCTATAGGAGGACACAGAAACAGGAGGGGAGCAAAGACCAGAAGTACCCATCATAAGCTTCCATGTTCAAAATGCAAAAGACGAAACTTGGAAATTTGGAAGCTGGAGAACTTTGCCAGCCCATGGTGGGGCATCCAGAGAAGGTGCAACAAGCCTTGAGGTTGGAACAGTTTCCGGAAGAGTTTGGATTTCACCTCCATCCCACCATGAGGGAAGTGCAGCTGCTGGGCTGGGCTGTGACCTGGGCACTGCTCACCTTTCACCTGGACTCTGAATTCCTGCTTGTCATCCTTTGTCTGGCAGGTGTAGAGGGCAGAGTCTGTGCTCTCAGCTGCGTTCACTGTCAGCGTCCTGGATGCCCCCTCACTTTTGATCACACATTTCTTGCTCGCCTTGATTTCTGTGCCGTCCTTGAACCACCTCACTGCAGCGGTTTCAGGCGTGACTGAGGTTGTCAGTGTGATGCTTTCATGTTCTTGAACAATGAGAGGCTCTTTCTGGACAACTTTCTTTTCAAATTTAGCCTCTGGTTCTAGAAAAGATAATAAACCAGGAAAATCAACAACTTTATGCTCAAATCCTTGAGCATAAAGCACTCAAAAAAAAAAAAAAAAAGCAGTTAAAAAAAGTAGTTAAAAAAAAAACATAAAATGAAGCAGTTTTATATTGCTCTCTCTTCAAGACTCACACCACCAGCTCATCCATACTCTCTAATAATCCAGGGAAATATGGCTCAATATTTGTGGCCGGTATAATCTTTTCCTGAGCAGGAAGAGAGAAAATGGTCTCTCAGACAACCCAGAGCTTTTGTTTAGAAAACAAACAGAGAAAAGAAAATGAAAATATTTATATTTTATCTGCTGCCCATAAAAAGCTTGTTTCTTAGAAGTAAAATTACCTATATAATTCTTTCCCTTCCCCTTTTTAGGATCTTAAATAAAATTAAGAAGAGACATTAAAGGGCTGAATTTGTGGCCTGTTTTCTATTTGCTCCACTGGGTAAGAGGGCTGGAACTCGATCTTCAAGATTCCTTACAACCCAAACCATTCTGTGATTCCAGTCCCTTCTTCTTGGCCTCCTTTCTATCTTGTACAAACTTTTGCCACAAAACCAGGCATTTTTGGAGCCCACACAAGCAGCAGACCAGGTTTTCTGAGTCACTTTTCTCCACAGCTCTACTGCTACTCTGCAAACTTCCCACGTCTACTTCCAACTCCCCACCACCGAAAGAGGTTGGGTGAGATGGTGTGTGAAAGAGACAAGCAAAAAGCTATGTAGCATTTCCAGACCCCCAAAAAGGTCCAGGATTTCCCACCTCTACACTGCTAGATTAAGAATTAATGTGTCATGTGGCTCACTGGTGTTTCTCCAGAGGAGACAGAGACTGCTGCATTGGGAATATCCAGTTTTCCTCTTAAGCCACAGGGACAGGTTCTTCCCACCACAAAGTGAGCACTCACCAGTTGGTTCCAGTTTGAAGGTCATCTTCTGGCCTGCAGCCTCACAGATGTATTCCCCAGCATCCTTCTTCTCCAGCTGCTCCACCACCAGGCGCCGGGACTTGCCCAAGGTCTCTATTTTGAATTTCCGAGAGGAAACGAGCAGTTTTCCATCCTTGTACCACTTCACTTCAGTTGTATCCTGTGCTACCTCACACACGAGGGTGGCACTTTCTGTCAGGACAGCCTTCACCTCCTTCTGGACCTTTTCCTGGTTTATAAATGCAGGTTTGGGCTCTGAGCACAGAAAAAGAAGAAAATCATTGTTGATGGGTTAAAATTAGATTAATCTTACAGATTTCTGTGGAGAGGTTTGGAAAATATTTAGGATGCCACTTGCCAAAACCAATTGCCATCACTGAGCATTGTCTACCCTTCTGTGGGGTGGAGTTGCCACTTGGAAAATTGGGAACTAAGAACCTAGGAACGGAAAGGACCAAGAGGAGCCTTCACATCAAACCCACAGTTGCAAGTCACTAGGTAAAAATATATTTCATTCAAACTTTCCCAAAGAACATCTGTCCTGCATATCGCTATAAACTCCCAAATTCCTTTTACTTAAGATCTTACACACAATAAAGCAATTTCTTGGAATATTTCACAGCCAAGGGGCATTTAGCACCTGGCAGGAATAGTAACACCTCTCAAAAAACTGAGATGTCAATAACACAACAGCCAAAAAAAAAAAAAAAAAGTGCTATTTACAATCTGCTGGTGATACTGCAAATGACAAAACATATTCCAGCCTCTAAATCAGCTAAAATGGAATTGAAAGACTGACAAGGAAGGGATTCTGCAATGACTCTTTGCTTTCAAGAAGTTCAATGTACAAGAATCACCCTTTGGGATCACAGGAATGGAAGGGATCATCAATTATCTCTATTATATTTATAACTGCAACTGTTGGACCTGCTAAGAATGAGACAGAGCTTGTACCATGCTAAAGCCAAATATTCCCATTTCCACAAATCCAGGCAACCAAGAACAGAAAATCAGATGAACCCTGCAGGCTGCAACAAAACCCAGACTATTGCAACTGAGTCACGGTGGCGTAGTTATTCCAATTATTGCTGTATTGGCCTCTACTGTATTCTCACAAAGAATCTTCTCCTACCTGTGACATCAATCCTGAAGGGGAGTTTTTGGCCAGCAGCCTCGCAGGTGTACTCCCCTGCATCTTTCTTCTCCACCTGACCCACCACCAGACGACGCGATTTGCCCTCGGACTCCACCTTGAACTTCTTGCTGGAGGTGATGAGTTTCCCATCCTTGTACCACTTCACCTCCGTTTTCTCCTGGGCCACCTCGCAGCTCAGCGTGGCATTTTCTGACAGTGCAGCCTTCACCTCTTTCTGCACCTTCTCCTTGTTTGTAAACACAACTTCTGGCTCTGGAAAGAGAGAGAGAAAACCAGACGTTCTCCAAAATATGATGTTGCTCAATCCCCTTATTGTGGCTAACAGGTAACACTGGAAAAAATGCCCCTCTGACATGACAGTGCACATCTAAGTCCATCAGAAGAACATACAAAGGACCTTGTGGTGGGTTTTTGCCTGTTTGGGGTTTTTTTCTTCAGTAATCTCTCTATGGTTCATAAGAACATTGACCGGCAGGACCCAGCCAAGGCAGGACATGTTTTGGTTCAATTAATTGCAAACTATCAAATTTTCAGAGGAAGGAGCTGTTCCGTGCTGCATTATAGTCCCCATAAAATTGATTTCTTTGATTCTCAGCAGATGTTTCTGCTTCTTCTTAGATCATTTTGTGACGTGAGAAATGTGCTTGACCAGCAATGACACATCCAGGACCCTGTTATTTGTTCTCAGTGCAACCTTGGGAAAAGCTCAGCTCATCTCAAAGCCAAATGGTGAAGTCCCCTTGTCCTCCAGAGACATATCAGTCACACAATTTGGAATTGGATTGGGAAGCTGTAAGGGAGCTGGGAAGCTGAATCTATTCTACCTCTCTACAGCCCCAGTAGGGAAATAAAACTGGAATGAGTCTCCATGACACCTTCTTTCCTTACTTGCCATTTTCTTGACACCTTAAGGACCTTAATAATATTAAGATCTACTTCCATGACTCTCTTCATGCTGAAATAAGCACTTCCAAGGGGAAGAAAAGGAGTGTAGACATTGGACAGGCTTTCCACCATGACCCTGCACTGAGAACGAGCTGTGGTGCAGAGTTGCTCTCATTGTACCAAGATGGAAAGGAGGAGATGCACAATCAGTACCTTCTTTTTTACAGCCCTTTCCCTGATGTCTAGCTTCCAAAATTTTCCAGGGATTCAGCTCCCCATTTTAAGGATTTTAAATGTTTTACAAAGAATATATGAAGAAAACTTGTATTTGTACGCATCCTAGGCCATGCCAACAATGTACTCCAAAAATTCGAAGCGTAACTCGAGGAAGAATTATAAAATAATGTTAATTTTTCTAAAGATTCTAGAAATAAGACTGGCGGGCCAAAACCAAGATAGTGTTGGGAAAACAAACTTCGTGAGCCCATTCTGTGTCTGTATCTTTATTTTCCACCTGTTCTCAAGATATGTCATCCCCAATTATTTTCTTCTAATGAATGAAAATTAGCCAGCCCCAACTGTATTTGCACCATGCCATGGTCAAAAATAAATCTAATGTATGAACTCTTCAATTTACTTTAAATTCATCAGGATCTAACTGAAGGATGTCAAGATTAACAGCTGTCTTGAATATCAAGGTGAAAAGAGCTGGTTTCCTCATTTCCTGCTTCTGAGAACAGTTCTGGCATTTCCATCCATTTGACAAAGGCCATAACATAAAGGTTTCCTCTATAATAAACTGTATTTTGGAAAAGAGCTTTCACAAGAGAACGCCTGCACTCAGATTTGCTGCGTCCTTTGATTACTCCAGTAATTACTGCATTCTCAGTTTGCTATCAGTGCATCTCCCCAAGATTCCCAGGCAAATTCCCCAGTGATCTTCACCCTGACCTGAATTTGGGGCTGCAGAAATCCATTGCCTGCTTAGCTTCCAAGAAACAAAAACAGATCTAACAGCATGAACAGAATTTAATGAGTAAACCAACACCAGTTAAGTTCTGGCTCTGTCACAGTTGAGATGGAGCTTGAAAAGCCATATAACTTTCTCCTCCTTCAGTTTTTCAGGATGTAAAACAGGGATGCAGCACATTCTCTCACCTTTGACATCAATCTTGAAGGTGAGTTTTTGGCCAGCAGCCTCGCAGGTGTACTCCCCTGCATCTTTCTTCTCCACCTGACCCACCACCAGACGACGCGATTTGCCCTCGGACTCCACCTTGAACTTCTTGCTGGAGGTGATGAGTTTCCCATCCTTGTACCACTTCACCTCCGTTTTCTCCTGGGCCACCTCGCAGCTCAGCGTGGCATTTTCTGACAGTGCAGCCTTCACCTCTTTCTGCACCTTCTCCTTGTGGATAAAGGCATCTTCTGCCTCTGAAATCGAGAAACATAATGGGGAAAATACACAAGATGTAAATGTCTTCTGTCAAGAAGTTCTTACTTGTGTGAGTGCAGATGCTCTGCAGGATCTTGGACTTGGCAGTGCGACCTGGTTAACGTAAGAGATTTGATAACAGGATGCCTTGGCAAAAGCAAATGGAACTTTGAAAATTAGACCTAGATTGCAAGAAGATTGAATCAGGCAGGTTTACTGGAAGAAGAAAATCCCATTAAACTCTGCAAGCAAGAGATGTTGTTATATGCATAAGGCTGTGTAAGTGATTTTAACCTAATCATTGCAGTACACATTACTAGTCCCCCTGAAATAGTATATAAGCATTTGTAACCCACAATAAAATTGGATTCTGATCACTGAGTCAATCTCCCTATCTCTCCATTGCTGACAGGAATCTAGCTTAGGGCTCTGAATTTGAGCTCCTCTGTTTATATTGGCTGTAGAAGGAGTTTGAGGAGATGCTGTTGTCATTTAGAAGGCATGTGGCCTGTGCTGGGTGATGCAAAGCTGCTCAAAGGGACATGTCAGCAGCATTTTGATATCTGAAAGGGTTCAAGCACACACAAAGCTTTGCATTCAAAACTGATTGCAAAAATATTAATATTTAATCTTCCATCTACAACTCTGAGTGTGAATATGCAGAGTGCATTCAATAGGTTATAAAACAAGTCTGAGTCAATGAGGGCTGTATTTAAAATGTCAGGTTAGCAGAGCAGGAATATTCCAGACTCATCTCACTTGTCCTTTACATTCTTGACCTTTCATATAAACCATTTTTATACTGATATGAAGTGTGACTAAAACTTTTAATCAGCTTCCAAAGTGATTTACGCCAGTTGATCATTTCTTTTAAAAACTTATTTTAAATTTAAACAACTATTCTGTGAAGATGACATTTCCAGCCTTAAATGAAACTGGTCAGTGGAAATGAGGAAAAACACTTTCAGAACACAGAATTTTCACTGATTTAAAATATTATTTCCACTGCATACCCTGAATCCTTAAATACTGAAATTTCAGAATCACTTCTTTTTCTGCATGTCCAACTCTGTCCCAAGGTGTGCAGCAGCTGATTTTTTTTTTTATTAACCCAAAAACTACAGTGGCATCCCAAAACCCAACACTGAGCATCTAACCTCCAACCTGTCCTTAAACAGAGAAAACTTTGTGCTACCAGTGGAGTACAGGAACCTTGAAGAGCTTTCCAAGTGCAATGGCACCAGGATAAATAAAGACCCAGAAATCTGCTGCACTTTGGGATAAACCAGTAAGAGAAGGATTTCTGCTGCAGAAGAGCCAACCACTCCGAGTACGCATAATCCCTCCTGACTTTCACACTGGATCATTTTCCAGCCAGTGCTGGACTCGCACCTCGTGTTACAGCTGCTCCCATGAGCAATACAGCAACGGTAGCTAAGGCAGGCTGATGGCACAGGGCAAGGGGTCACATTACCCCGTGCCACCATGAGGTCACCTCGCTGGAAAGAGAGCTGGAAACCTTTCTGAGGCAGACAGCCCCCTCAGAGAGAGAGGTTCATGTGCACAACACCAAATTTCTGTTTTCTGACTACGCCTCTGCAGTAATGTATGAACCAGTGTCAGCAGCGAACAATGAATTTGGTTTATAACAATTTTGCCTGGAGAAGCTGTGGCTGCCCCATCCCTGGAAGTGTTCCAGGCCAGGCTGGATGGGGCTTGGAACAGGCTGGGATGGTGGGAGGTGTCCCTGCCCGTGGCAGGGGGTGGGAACGAGGTGATCTTTAAGGTCCCTTCCAACTCAAATTACTCAGTGTTTTTATGATGGTCTATCAATGTCCATATTCAATTTTCTCTGGAGGACACCTCTCAAATCTATACTTAATTATCCTTCCCTCCTTCCCTATCCTCCAGTGAAACTGGCAGCTCCCTCAGCCAAAGAATGAGCTACACAAAGAATGAAAAAGAGCCAAAATGCCCCAGCTCACAGCCTGGGTACCCCACACACACAGTGGAATCAATAGATTCCCAACACAGTTGTGCCTCTATACTGCTGATAAAATGCCAAACCTCTGTTTGGTGCTATAAAAAAAAAAGAGGTGAAAATGGCTTCCCTGATCTGATCACCTCTGCATATGAGACAAGAATTTTAATATTAAAAAAGAGGGATTTGGCTGTAAAAATGGCGTAGTGCTATAAATATCAAAACAAACAACCCCTTTCTTAACATCAAATTCAGAAATGATCACTCAGAATGTAGCTGGTGTCCATGGCTGCCTGGAGCCTGAGATAAAATTCACCAGATATCTTGTAAAATATACTGAGACCAAAGAAATCACAGAATCATTTAGGCTGGAAAAAACTTGGAAGATCATTGTGTCCAGCTGTTCCCCCAGCACTGCCAGGTCCCCAGGTGCCACATCCACACAGCTTTTTAATCCATCCAGGGATGGGGACTCCACCACTTCTCTGAGCAGCCTGTTCCATTGCCCGACAACCTTTTGGATAAGAACTTTTTTCTAATATTGAACCTAAGCCTCTGGTGGAACTTGAGACCATTCACCCTTCTCCTAGCACTTGCAAAAAAAGATGAAGGAAAACTGTGATTGTCATGGAAGAATAACATGACAGGAAGAGGAAAACCAGTACTGGTGATCAAATTTGAAGACATTTTGCAAAACAGTGCCTGCTATTGAGAAATATATTTGAATATATTAAGAAATCTTGTTCACTTCCTCAGCTGAAGGAGATATACAGGGAGGTGAGGAGCTGACATGAGGATATGACCAGGTCAGCTCCAGATCTCCCCAGTCCTACACAACCTCACTGAAACAGCAGCTTAGACCAGCACCAGAAAGTACTTTAACAGCTTTTCTAACATTGTGTCAGAGAAAACGGGGGAAAACACCCACATACAAAGAAAAGCAACCCAAAATGTGTCTCCCACCTGTGACATCAATCTTGAAGGTGAGTTTTTGGCCAGCAGCCTCACAGGTGTACTCCCCTGCATCTTTCTTCTCCACCTGACCCACCACCAGACGACGCGATTTGCCCTCGGACTCCACCTTGAACTTCTTGCTGGAGGTGATGAGTTTCCCATCCTTGTACCACTTCACCTCCGTTTTCTCCTGGGCCACCTCGCAGCTCAGCATGGCATTTTCTGACTGTGCAGCCTTCACCTCTTTCTGCACCTTCTCCTTGTTTGTAAACACAACCTCTGTCTCTGTAAGGAAACCCCAACAGTCACACGCGGCTTTTTGCAGTCATTGTCTCTGGTGTTTAATGAAGTTTCTCCCATTTCACTGCACTTGCCCCCAGAGGTAATATCGTGATGTGCAAGAAAGCACCTTCATCTCTGTCTCACTAGGTGAATAGGAATGGGAATTTGATGGGAATTCTGGGGTAATGTTAAAAACTCACGGTTTTAGGACAGATTTAAATGTAGGACTTGGAGCACCAAATTGTATAGCCTGAACCCTCCTCCCTCTTCTCTCTTTTTCTCTCCCTATGTCTCTCCAAGATTCTAGTGAAAGAGAAGGGAACAGCACTTCTATCCTTATGTCCATGAACCACTGCTCTTTTTTTGCCTATTGGGACAATTTCATTGTTCTCCACCTAATCAAGGAATCATGGAATGGTTTGTTGGAAGGGACCTTAAAGATGATCACAATCCAGCCCACCTGCCATGGGCAGGTTCCACCAGACCCCATTCTCCAAGCCCCATCCAGGGTTTAAGGGATGGGATCTAATCAGAGCTCTTCAAAACACCTTCCCCTTCCCCTTTATCCATCCCTCTGCTATGAACTCACACTATTTTCCCATGAGAGTTTTTCTGTGGACACACCAGCTAATTGTGAGAGGATAAGGAATTTCCATCCTTTCCTATGATATTTTTTCTTTTTGTGGTCACAACCAGTCATGGATGCAGAACCACGTGTATAAAATATTGCTATGAAAGTTGCCAAGAAAAATCAAATATGATGGCTGAGATCTTTCACCCTGCGGAGATTGTGAGATGATCCTCTGGATGCAAGACACCACTGGAAATTGAATTCTCCTTTACCTTTGGAATTCCTGGCACTTCCTCACCTCTGACTTTGACTTGGAATGTTGTTCTGTCGTCCTTTGTCTCACAGGTGTAGCTGCCTTGGTCTTGCTGTGTCACCTTCTTGATGATGAGCTTGCGTTGTGTCCCCTGGCAGACGATTGTTGTCCTCTGGTCCTGCTTCACCTCAGTCTGATCCTTCCTCCACACCACGGCCCCACCCGCAGCTGACACCTCACACACCAGCTCCAGGCTCTCAGAAGGACTGACTGATACTTCTGGAGTCGTTTTGGGCTTGTTGACAAAAGTAACAGCTTCATCTGGAGTGGGAAAGAGAAAATGGTTTGTGCCTTGGTGCAGGTTTATCTGCACAAAGTTAGCAAACAGTGGTTATTGATTGTTATTCCATTATCACACACAGCTGATGCCTCTCTGACAGATGGTGCAAACCCCTCTGATCTCCCGATAATTGCTCTCAATTACAGTGAAATCCCCTTCATCTGCCCTACATCCTCCTGGATCTTTCAAATCAAACTGAGACGCCCTCAAGCTGTTCACACTTCCTTTACCACTCCTTGATTCTGAAGTCAAGCAAGCTCTGGGGCATATGTGTTGATGTCTGAGGGCAGAAACAGCTTTGAAAAGACCTGGGAAGTCTCAGAAAATCTAGTTAGAGGCAATGAGGAGCCTTTTTTTAATGTTTCTGAGCCCATTCCTGCACCTCCTTGTTCACAGTACCAATCCTACTGGACTAATTCTCCTGGCCAGGGCACATATGGGATAATCTCACTGATAAAATATTCACCAAGTTATGAATAAGCTCTGAGCAACCTGGTCTGGTGGAAGACATCCCTGCCCATGGCAGGGGGTTAGAAGGAGATGGTTTTTAAGGTCCTTTCCAACCTAAACCATTCCATATTTCTATGAACATAGGAGTCAATAATCTCATATATTTTGGCTGAAACTGATCTTCCTAGCAGAGAACTCAGAACTGCTCATACAACTCAGTGGAGGTTCCTGCGTGGATAGCTGAGCTCCAGCCCTGCTGGCAGCACAGATATGGGCTGGGCAAACACAGGGTATTTGTCATGTAGGCAGCAACAACATAACATTTTTATCAATTAATACTCTTTATAAAGGTAAAAATCAAAGATTGCCTGTCTTTGAAGGCAATCAAGTGAAGACAGAGAACTTGGTGTAAAATGTGAGCAAACCTCAACACACCCTGTCCCTAAGCCAGGGGGCAATATCTGATGGGCACGTCAGGTATTTCAGAGCCTTTGTTCCAGCCCTGGCCTGAAGAGCAGGCTGAGCGCTGTCCCTTGGAGCCAGCCTCAGCTCAGTATTGCATTTCCTGTAGCACCAACTGCTGCTTTCCATCACTGAGTACCCCAAGGACAATTGCCATGCCAGGCAAGTACTTAATTAAAATTTGCATTCATTAGGGCTGACGTATCCTTCAACAATTAGCTGGCCCAAGGAGGATGGTCCCTCCAGATTCCTGCTGTTCCAGGTTATTGGGGTGTCTCATGACCCTCAAGGCAGGCTGATCCCCTGCCCTGAGACCATCCCCTGAGTGTGCAGCTTCTCAGCACTCTGGAAAATGTTTATGGTGACACATGAAACAAGGAGGAGGAAGCTGTCCGGGCTATGGTGTTGTCACCAGGTTGTAACCCAATCTTGCTCACCAAAAATTTGTGGGGCTAGAACATAGCATAACTTCAAACTGCCAGAGGGCAGGGTTAGATGGAATATTAAGAATAAATTCTTCCCTGGGAGGGTGGTGAGGCCCTGGCACAAGTTTCCAGAGAAACTGTGGCTGCCCCTGGATCCCTGGAAGTGTCCAAGGCCAGGATGGACAGAGCTTGGAGAAACCTGGGATAGTGGGAGGTGTCCCTGCCCATGGCAGGGATTTCTACAGCTGTCACTTACAGTAATTTTGGAGATAGTGAGTTTTTTGGTGCATAATATTCTTTTATCTTTGGGGTTTGCTACATGAATATTCTGAAAAGATGTCTATTTTAGCATGCTTCTAAAATCCAAGGAAAAACACACTTCCAGTAATATAAACCACTCATAATTGAGACCTCAGAGGTATCATAGTTTAGGTATGTATAAATGGAATTGGAAATGTTCTCTTGGTTCTACTTCTTAATTAATTTTTCCTAGTTGACTTGCATTATGTATACATACCAACTAATTAGTATCTCACTTTAGTCAGTTTTTATGGGGTTGGACAGGGCTTGGAGCAACCTGGGATAGTGGAAGGCGTCCCTGCCCATGGCAGGGGGTGGAACTGGATGAGCTTCAAGCTCCCAACCCAAACCTTTCTGTGATTCTAGGATTTAGCAGACACCAGTTTTCTTTGCCTCAGCCATGTGATAGGAGTTACAGGTGAGATGCACCCAACCTGCCCATGGCCAGCAAAAAGTTTATACCAAGCTCAGACAATCCTCTGTACCTGATGCCCAGACAAAAGCACAACCAGAACACTTCTAAAATACAGCTTTGGCAGCTCTAATCAGACAGTATAAATCAGATTGCACAAACTGCCTTTTGAGAAGTCAGTTTGGGCAGAGCCTGGTTTCAGACCAGTTTTTCAATGAGTAGAGTCAGGGGCTGGGAATTACACTCCAAGAGAAATTGCATGATGTTGCATTCTCAGAAGAGAGCTGGAGGTGAGATGCAGAGTGAATACCTGAGCAAACACCAGCTGGAAACTGGAAGCACTCCCTCCAGCTCACTAAATCCTGCAGCAATCCCTCCAGACAAGTGCTGTCCTAAATTAATCAGCTTTGCTGAGTCTTTAGTTAGCTCATCACAGCATCACAGTAACGTGGATATTCTGTTACAGGTCACAAGCACTCAGTTGTGACTTCTCTTGAATTGCATTGTACTGCAGACATGCCAGAGGAAGCTTTCGGGAGAGTTTCAATCTTAAATTCAGGAACAGGTTAAAAATTAGGTTCCAGGCACAAGCCAGAAAATCCCATTTAGAAGAAAAGTTCCCACAAGCATGCAACTCGAATCAGTTCAGTTTCACAGATATTGAATTTCATTGGTGAGTTCTTGTGTCATTTTATCCTCTGGCTCCATCCTGGGCTGGAATGCAGTGGTGACAAGCATTTCTCCTCTGGGTTTGGCCTGACAACCACGTGCTTTGTGTGATGGGCACGTGACACTGGCTAATGGAGTCACAGCACCACAGTGAGCGATCCCTGAGATCATAGTGTCCTTCAGGAACGGCAGGAGATGTTTAACTCTCAAAATCAGGAATTAAACTTGTCAAAGGAGGGCACATGGCTCTCACAGCAGGGCTTTGAACCCCTGTCTGAGGCGGTCCTAAGATGATGCACAGGCTGAGCTGAAAGAATAGAGGCCAGATGTGGCTGCCAGCTGTTCAGCCAGCACCCTGTTTGGGTTGTGCTCCAGCCCTGGAAAAAGCTTGAGCTGACTCAGATAAATCACAGCACCACTGTATTATTTGCCCATACTCTGGGTTTGCACCAGGATCACAGCAAGGGTCAGAACCTCTCAAAATGTTCTGCAACCTTGGCCCAAAAATCTGTCAATTTGTAAGGCAGGACAAGTCTAAAGAACAAAATCCTGCGTTTCTCACGCAGACTCTGATCCCATACTTGCAGTACAAGCTTACCTGAGACTTTTAAATCAAAAGTAAGGGTGTCATCCCCGATTTTGCAGGTGTAAGTTCCTTCATCTTCTTTTGTCACAGCCGAAGCCACAAGCTTGTGCAGTTTTCCTTTGTCTTCCATGGTGAATTTCTTGCTGGCTGTGATCTCCTTCCCATCCTTGTACCACTTCACCATGATGTTGGCCTCGGAGGTCTCAGACAAAAACTCAGCCCGTTTCCCAGCAATGGCCTTGACAACTCCTCCAGTCTTCTCTTTGTTTACAAAGTTTGCAAGTGCTGAAACAAAACAGGGACACAGCTCTGGTAAAGAATTCTGTGCACAGCAGGAAAAATGTACATTGACATCTACATTAGGTATTCATTTATCATAAAACAAAATATATTTATTTAATTATGGATCTAATCACTAGATTGCAAAGCAGAAGCAGACAAATTTCCAACTATATTCCTGATTATCCTGTGTCCAAAAAGCAGAGCACATAGATGGCACAAGAGGCTGAGTCAAGGAGAAGAAGCCTCAGGAAACAGAGCTTGAAAATAATATTTTAAAGGGAGGTGAGAAAAGAAATAAACTGAAGGTAAAGCCAGGAAGGTTATTCAATCATTATATTGCAACTACCTGGCAAGTAAATTGACTCTAGAAGAGATTAAAATATAACCTAGACAAAATAAATTACATAAAATTAATAACCTATATAGATACCTCATAGGACCAAATTTAAAAAAAATTTATTCCTGGGAATTAACTGGAGCATAGAAAATAAACAATAAATCTGGCATCATATTAACGTGGAGTGAAATAATTGAGTCACCAATTGCCTCAAAGCAAAAGATTAAAATCCACACCAATATCCAAAATGAAACGGGAGGGAAGGGAAGGGAAGGGCACTGCTAAGGCATTCTTTCCCCAGCACTACTGAAACTCAGTCCACAGGTTCAAGGTTGTGGGAGGAAGAAGAGGGAGATGAGTTCATTCATCCCTTTCCCTTCCTCAGAAAACCAGAGTGAAAAATACAACCAGAGCAGCCCGAAGGAGCCATCTCAGATGTCCCTTGTCACCAAGGGAGGTCATGTGTCAGAGGGTGCCTGGCAGGGGGGCTCAGGGCAGTGCAGGGACTGCAGTGACAAATGGCACAAGTGCATTTCTGGCTGGTTTGGGCAGGAGGTCCAGGCAGTGACACAGTGGCCGTGGCTTGGCACAGTGGCCCCTCAGCAGCCACGTGATGCCCACATGCCATTTCCAGCTGACCTGCTCCTCAAATGATCCCCTGTGGCTGATAAAAGGTGTAGATGCTGGAAGGTAAAATGTTGATACAGCATTTGTGAGGCTTATCCCAACAAGGATGAGGGGTACCAAAGGTGATTCACCAGGAATCAAGCTGCAAGCAGCAGGCTTTAAATCACAGCTTGTCAACGCAGATTTTAAAATAATAACATTGATCACTCATTTGATAGGCACACCACAGTGAAAACCACATGGAAACATCCATCAAGTAATTCAAGTAAATGTGGGCAGAACTGTCAGCATGAAAAATGATGCTAAAGAGGCAGAGCAAGAGAGGAACAAAAATCAAAATCAAGAGCAGGTGCCAGCTGTAGACAGAAATTCCTCTCCATATAGATTTAGTCACATTTTGATTTTTTTTTTCAGCTCTCTCAAGTTTGCTCTTTGAAATGACCAAACAAGTTGTCAAATATTAAAAAAAAACCACTATATTCTCCGACTTTGTGGTTTCTACAGAGACCAGGGAGGGTGAGGTGCCAGCAGAACATGATGATGAAACACCTCAGACTCACTCTGTGCAGGAGCTGTGATCATGCCTGGGAGGAAGGTGAGGGTGAGCTGTGGGACAAAGCATGGAACTCAAATGTCTTTACAGGGTGAATTTGCCAGTTCAAAGAAAAAATAGGTTCTGAAATCCCTCCAGTCTTGTTAGAAACAATACAAAGTTTAAATTTTTTTATATAACTTCAGTCAGGGCTTTTTGTTCACCTTTGCCCTGGGGGAAAGGGATTGAAGTTTCTTTTCACAGGACTGTATCACCACTTGAGGCCTGATGGGTTTAACACCTCAACAGACCGGGGTTAGCACAGGAGATATAAAAAAGATAACAACCATTAATGAACATCAACTCCAGACAGCACCCCTGGCATGGCTGGAGACACCTGGTCTCAGAAAAGATCAACAAGAGAACAGAAAATGAGAACCTAATTAGCATTGAAGGCAAAGGGAACCAATAGGAAAGCAAATACTAAACACTGCAGAATTTGGGACCAATGAACATTGAACCAATTGATTTCTCTGGGTTTTGATCGTATAAGTAAGTGAAAAATCTAGTAAACATTGTGTGTGATGGCATGATTTCCTCTGCTCAACCTCGGCAATGTGTGAATTAAATTATTTCTGTTGCACATCCTGCAGAGAAATAAAGTGATGCCTTGATTATCTAACACTGAAAAATATTGTTGAAGAGTTTTTGCTTTTCCCTCACTTTTGGTGACAGTCTGACAACAGGCTGGACCGGCTTGGAGTGAGACTTTGTGCTCTGAACCTCAGAAGACACCTGATCCATGTGAGGAACAGTCTGGGGGTTTTAGGCAAAACCTGGTCCCCTTCAAGGCAGAGACAGCTTTGCTCTAGTTCATAAAATCCTGCACAGATGGGAAGGTTTGCAAGAAGGAGGCTTAATGCTGTTGGTTTCAGAGTAAAGGTAGAGACTGCCAGGAAAGGAAGAAGAGCCAAAAAAATAGAGCAGCTGTAAAACAGTGCTGGTTAAGAAATACCAAAACAAAGTGCCACCTTGCTGTTTTTCTGCACCTCTGAGCACCTTGTAAACAGGAAGGGGTTAAGCCATCCAGCGTGCCTGTAAAGGTCTTTTCCCTTATCCACCACAGAAAAGTATTGACAGAAAAGAACAAAAAAACCTCAAACAAATAACAAAACAAAAAAGAAACAAACAAAAAACCACCAAAACAAACAAACAAAAAAGCAAATCCCACAATGCCAAGATGATTTTGTGCAATCAGAACTGAAGTTCCCTTCAATGACTTGTCTGATGTCACACAGCAAGTGTGGGACAGACACAGGATCCTGTGTCATGTCCTGCCCCTGGGGCTGGATTTCTTCATCTCAGGAGCACTTTTCCCTACCCACCACTCATCCTCATGAAATTACACCAAATTCCCTGGAATATGAAGATGCCAATTGGAGTGAAAGCACAGCTCTTACCACCTGGCCAGTTCTGTATTTGCTCCCCAGGTTCTGCTGTAGGACACATAATCAAGGCTGGATGTTAATGGGCAATTACCAAACTCCCTCTGGAGTCTCCCTTTGTGTCCCTGATGGCTCCACTGGTTTAGGGCAGGAACATCATCAGTGCAGAGCAGCCCAGGCAGTCACTCACCTTTCACTGAGAGCTGATAAACCATTTTATCCCCTTCACAGACACACTCGTAGGCTCCAGCGTCCTCCTCAGCAGTGCTGCGGATTTTCAGGATGTGCCTCTTCCCCACAGTTTGGAACTCATATTTTTCACTGGCCTTGAGCTCCTTCCCATCTTTCATCCACTTCACAGTGGCCTCTGTGTCTGAAAGCTCAGCCTGGAGTTTGGCTTCCTCCCGCAGCCGAGCTGAGACTTTTTCTACGTCTTTGGTCTTGTTGGTGAATCTCACTGCAGCTCCTGCCAGGACAAGAGGCTTTGTTATTTCGAGTTATATCATGATAACTTATCCCTGATACAGGTGTGCTGTAGTCTGTGAGATCTCTGAAGGTGTTAGATCCTGTTCCTGCCCTCACGCTCTGTTGGAACCCTGGCTGCTGAGAATTCCAGACTTTCTGTGCTGCCAGGCACTGACCCCCAAGAGAACACTGCATTGACCTGAGGCCGTGGAGAAGCTTCCAAAATGGAATGACAGAACTGGGATTGTGGGTGTGGAGTTGGAATAGAAGTGTGTGATATCACAGGGTGGGAAACTCAGAGTTTAAGGGTTTAGAATATAGTAATAGATATAAAGCAAGACAGGGGTTTTGGGGTAGAGGTTGGTCCTCCTTCTTCACCTTCTTCTCCATGGGTTTGGGTGGTTTTGTGTACTTGGATAAAAAAGTCCTCCTTGCAGGCCATGGTTGGTTGGTTATTGGGTTAAAAGTAAAGATAATTTAGATGTTATTTATTAATTGGAGAGTTGATCCTTAAAAGGTCTTGTAGAGAGAGAGAGATGGGGCTCCATTTTTAGCTTGTTAGAGAAAAATACTGTAGAACTCAGAGTTTGTGAGACTAACAACACTCATGCCAATACTGTGCATTCTTTCCCAATTCAGAAAACTTGATCTGTTTTTATTGCTGGAGTCACTAAGAGAAAAAAAAAATCAACACTTTTTTTCCTACTGATAAATAATACTCTAAACATGCTTCTGCAGAGATCTTCCAAGCCACACATCCTTCCAGAATAAATGGTTCATTATGAATTCATTATGTTTTGCCTTGCAATGTGGTAGGTACAGATGTTACAGTCATTTCATAGAGGAAACCTTAATCTTAAATCAAGTTCCAGCATACTAACTTTATATCCCACACATGGTGGACTAAAAAACCTACAAGAAAAGTTTTTTTAGAAATTAATGCTCTTTTGAAAGATTATTACAGTCAAAGAGACTGGTCAAAGCTAAAGCTGAAATTGCAACTTTAAGGTGAATTAGTGGTAGATTTGGGGACAGAATCCACTGACAGATGGTTGTGAATGACAGAAATTTGACAGAAATTCGTGAGATGATGTGAAGCAATCTAGTTCAGCTGGCCAGATCAACTCCCTCTGAGCTGCGAGGTCATTACCAGGACACACATTAATCACATGACACAATTTCAGGTGCTTTCCACAGACCAAGGAAAGCCTCCAGCCCCAGTTTTAATCCTCAGTTCCCAGCAACTACCCCCTGACTGGGAGAAGGATGGACAGCAATGACAATAAATACCTCTCACTCTCATCTTGGTGCTGGTCTCAACGTCATTGGCAACAAACTTCACTTCTGCCCCGTCATCTTTCCTGGTGACATTTTTTATGAGCAGGGTGTGAGTGGTTTGGGTTCTGTTGATGATGTAGGTCTCACTTTCCTGTAAGACTTTGCCATTCAGGTACCAGGTGCCAGAACATGTCTTGGTCAGATCAACAGTGAACAGGGCATCCCCTCCAGGTGCAACTTCAGCTGTTGTCAGGGGGTTCTTCACAGCCAGGACGGGTTCTAGGGAAGAACAGCACACACCTCTGAGAACAAGACTGTCGTGGAGGATAACTCATCTTAGGAACCAAATTGTCAGGGAAAACAAGACGTGAGAATTAATTATTGCAGCTTTATAAAATTCTCATGCAGTGAAGGAAATGCATGGTTGGTCTAAAGGATTTGTTTCCTTCTGCTGCAGGTAACTGATCTCTGGAGTCCTGTTTTTACAGGTCTAGAAAAACAGGTGCATTTTACTGACTTTTTTTTAATCCCTAAAATGTATAAAGGCATAGGCCAGAAACACCTAAGTCCCTTACAAGTGTGTTGTTTATTGAATAGCTAATATTATTCTTAGATTTCAGAAAGAGGGACCTCTAGATATCCCTACGAGTCAGTTCTAGATATTCTAGAGCAATACAGGCATGTTCAGACAGCAAGGGACAAGGATGACACAACCACAAGTCACACTATGATCAAAGTTTCTGTGGGTCTTCAATATCTGTACAGATATCTTCTAGTTGTAGTGATTCAAAGGAAGAAGAAATCCCATTGCACCCAATGATTCTATGGGCACATTGGCACACTAGAAATAAAGAAAAACCCCTGGATTTCTCCTAGAAACTTTAGATTAAACACAGACTGGCTAGAACTTTTTCATGATGGTATGATCACCCATAAATATTCTCTAGGTGCAAGATCGATATCTCATGTCTATATATTGAAAATTGTACCATAAGGCCATCTCAAGTTTTCCTTTCATTGCAGGTGCAGAAGAAGCATTTACAGGTTTAAGGTCCATAGCAGGGAGCCCTGCCTCCTCCACAGCCTGATGTGGGATACTGGAACATGAACACACCCACGGCTCCACCACAGAAACCCAACCACCCTCACTGGGATGGGTTTGGACTTTTTCCTTCCTCCCTTTGGCGAAGGTCAGTGGTTGGCGTGAAGCAGGAGAACCAGCAGTGAAGGCAAAGAGGATTTGCTGGGCTGTTTCTCCATCCTCAAAGTCACGGGAAATGTTTTGAAAGCACCCACGTGCCCGACCACCCTGTTTTGTGCCGGTTTCGTGCTCACCAAGGTGCAAGCTCCCAGGGAATTCCAGGTAGGGGCTCTGTCCATAGGCATTGACAGCAGACACTCTGAACTGGTAGTCAGCCTCTTCTGCCAGGTTGCTCACTGTGAGCTCGGGGCTGGGGACGTGGGACTCATGGCACCTCACCCAGGTGAAGCCGGTGAGTTTCTTGCGCTCCACAATGTAGCCGTCGACTGGAACGGGCCGCTCCATCCTCGGAGGGGACCACGCCAGTGTCACTGAGGTTTCTGTTTTATTTTTCACCACAGGGTCAGCTGGGGGTTGGGTGGGAGGTTTTTTGGGAGCTGCGCAAGGGAAGGAAACAAAACAAAACAGAGCAGTAAGTTATATTAGAGGAGAAAAGCCAAAATAGTTACGCTGGGCTAAAAGTTCGTCTTGCTTAATAAACCTCCATAAAACATTGGTGTGAGATGGAAAAGCAAGAGAATGGATGGACGATGCTTTGAGGCTGTTTTAAACAAACATCACAGAATCATTATCATTCCAGATCGAGTTCCAACTTTGATGTCCACTACTGGTACTGCACAGCTAAACATATGTGATTTCTACACAATATTAAAACTGTCATCACAATCAGAGAGTCTTCAACAAACATTTTGTAGGCTTAAATCTTCAGTGCTGGATACAGACACATATTTCTGCCCTTCACAGCTCTTGGGCAAAGCAGACTAACACTCAGCTCCTTATTTTCACTCAGAAGATGGGTAAAACCATCAGTAAAGATTGTTCAAATCTTTAAAGAATTATGGAGAGCCTGGCTTGTTACACAGGCTTGGATGCTCCCTGCAGCCTCCTGCATCTGGGTATCTGTCCTGCTCCTGAATTTTATGTTACCCCCACTCAGAAGCCGTAACTTTGTCTCCCAAGAGTGACATCATTTGGGATCTTTATTTTACTAATTTATGCAGAACCAGCTTCTGGGACTGGGGAATTTCCTTCAAAAGGAAATGACAAAGATGTGTCCCCACCATGAGAACCTACTATTGAGGAGATGTGGCTATTTTATGGTACCTGAGGCTACAAATGTATTCCTGCAGGTATTTGCATAATGAATATTTATTTTCACCCTTTTATTCCTCTTGAATCCTTTAGAGAAGGCTCAAGTCCCATCAGGATTATTCACTATGTGCTGCCACTTATATGGTCAAGAGGAATTACCTGATGTGCTCTAGTTACACCTCTACTGGCATGGCCCAGGATTAATTTCATTTAATTTTGGCTATCTGAAAGGTGTCTGGGTTAAGTCAGTCAACCAGACTCCAGCTGTGATCCCACGAAAAGCACACTCAGCAGCAATTAATCCAGTTTAAAGAAGGTGTGGGAAGTGAGTGAAACAATCACACAGTGGATATACTCAAGAATTCCTGACTGTAGATGGAGTCTGTTGATGAGCCTAAACTAAAAACTGAGCTCTGGGACAACTGATCTCCTTCCTGCCTCAGTTTCCCCATCTTTAAAATGGGAATGGTTTTACATAATTTGCATTATTTTTCATCTTGCATTACCATTACAAGAGGACAAATAATACACAAACATTGCCTGTACATTATAAAATATATCAGAGCAGCCACCACCAATCTCACCCAGCTAATTGAAAGAGATGTGGACATAGCACAGAGGATTCTCCAGGCAGTAAATCTGATATGCACAAAGTGTAAAAATAGGAAATCTCAAGGCGATACGCTTTTCCTTCCTTACAGAAATAGACACAGAAGTGGTTTGGGGTGCACAGTTACCAGCCTGTCAGTAACTGCTGGTCACAGATAGATGTCAAAGGTCCCATTAGGGTAACATTAAGCTGAATGCTAAGCCCTGGAATGGGATCTCTTGACCTTGCCATCAGAAATGGTAATGCAATGTTTTCTTCAGCAATACCTGTGGGAAGGCAGATCCTTATAATTTCTATTCCAGGAATCAACCCTTTCTTCATAATTTAAACAGCAGTGGCTGAAATCAAACTGAACTTTGTTGTTCCCATTGCATAGGTGCTTGTTTGGATGTTACAGCTTTACAAATACCATAGAAACTGTCACAAAGCCAAATGTGACACTTTCCTCAATTTCTCCTCATTTTAATTCAGTGGCTTCAGAATGCCCAAACCAAGTTTGGATAACACAGCAGTTACATATCTGTAAAATAAAACATTCCTTTTTGCCACTGAGTGATTGCAGCGGTGAGAGAAAAAATAATTACTCTTCCCAAATTGTGACTGGAGTGGGTGATTTGTTCATATATGATCCAGAACTGCAACAGAGCTAGAAATCATATGTATTGATGTCTTAAATAAAGCAGATTTTGCCTAGGAAATGCAGTGTCATCAAAATAATACCAAATAAAATTAGGCAACTTCACCAAAATTTCATTTCAGGTCCAGTCTTGACAATGTTGCACCTGCTGCTACTGCTCTGTCAAGTAAGATAAGTTTGTGCCATGCTTTTTCCCCAACACTGCTCTTACCCAGAGAAACCATGGATGTTCCACCCCTGGAAGTGTTCAAGGCCAGGCTGGACAAGGCCCTGACAATCTCGGTCTGATGGAAAGTGTCCCTGCCCATGGCATGGGGTGAAATGAGGTGATCCCATCCAACCCAATCCATTCCATGACAGATATTCTCCCTGTTTGGATCCCTCCAAACACCTCACTACACTCACAGACAGGTTGGCTTTTTGTGGCAGACATCAAACCTCCAGCTGGTTTTGGACACCAAAATTATCACGGTAGTACTCAACAACGGTGCCATGGGAAGACACAACACCAAGGCCAAACAAAAGAGAAGCTTACTGGTCACAGTGAACTGGGTGGAAGTCCTGTTTGGATCCCTCCAAACACCTCACTACACTCACAGGTTGCCTTTTTGTGGCAGACATCAAACCTTCAGCTGGTTTTGGACACCAAAATTATCACGGTGGTACTCAAAACAACAACAGTGCCAAGGGAAGACACAACACCAAGGCCAAACAAAAGAGAAGCTTACTGGTCACATTGAACTGGGTGGAAGTCCTGTTTGGATCCCTCCAAACACCTCACTACACTCACAGACAGGTTGCCTTTTTGTGGCAGACATCAAACCTTCAGCTGGTTTTGGACACCAAAATTATCACGGTGGTACTCAAAACAACAACAGTGCCATGGGAAGACACAACACCAAGGCCAAACAAAAGAGAAGCTTACTGGTCACAGTGAACTGGGTGGAAGTCCTGCTTTCATCAGCCAGGAAGGCAATCTCTCCAGCATCTTCCACCTTGCACTCCCGGATGGTCATGGTGTGCTGTTTGCCAGAGCACGTGATGGAGATTCGGTCGCTGGGTTTCACTTCCTCTCTGTTCTTCAGCCACCTGACGTTCTGGCAGTCGTTGTCCAGCTCCACGCAGAAGGTGGCCGTGTCGTTGATGAAGACAGCAGTTTTCCGTGGGAGTTTTTTAATGATGTTCCCTTCAGATAACAAAATAATTGTAGTCAGTAAATGGCAGATATTAAACGCTTTGGACCATCCAGACTGAAATAGGACTAGCCCACACCAAATCAAAATATTATAGATACCATGCAGGCACCTGAAATTAAATTTCAAGGCTCTGAGTCACACAGAGTAGATGACCCCAAGGACTCATTTTGGCCTTCAAAGAGAGAAAAGCAAATCTTTTTTGAATTGCAGTCATTCAGGTTTCTTGTCTACCAAGCAAAACCAGATGCTGGGTAAATACAAAATATACACAGCCTTGCAAGAGAAGAGATTTGACAGCTTTCATTTTCCACATATGCTGGGAATTCTAATTAAAATTATGCTGAAGTAGGTCAGTCTAAAGCCAGACAGGTCTCTCCTCTGCCTTTAGGATTTCATCTCCATCAAAGTCATATAACCAACATGGCAGACACACAAGTTACCCAAATTAATGAGAAAGACACTGAAAAGCTCAGGTTTCTTCTCAGTATCAGCAGAGAAATTCACATTGAATGAATTTATGTCCTTTCCAAGTGACTGTGATTATCATCACTTACTAGGACAACCTCAAAGCTATAAGATGTGAATATCCACAGAAAAGATTGGCCAAACCATAAGGAGACCACCCCAAATGATCGACAGTGACTGGCTCCAGCTCCAGGGTAGTCCCTGAGAGGTGAAAGAGGATTTGCTCAGGCAGATCACCCAGAGCTGTTTAATGAACAGCATTGCTGAACTCCTTCATAAAATAACAGATCAGGCACAGCTTTCACCACAAGATTCCAAGACTTGATTCTCTGCTTATCCTCCTTGACCTCTCTGCCCTCAGCACTGTCCTCATCCCACAGTTCTTTACCTCTGGCCAAGCTCTCACACTGTCCCAGTCCCACCTTGCTCCCTCCAATTCCCTCCCAGGGCAGGCACAAGGCTCCCCCAGGGAGGCTCTGCCTCCTTTCCCTCCAGAAAGCTCCACCTGGCTCAGTCACTCTCTTTTGGATGGAACATACCATTACAGCACAAACAAGTGAAAAAATACCAGCTGTCCTACTGGGAGCAACACACAGGAGTGGGCTGGTCCAGAACAGAAGGTGCAAAAAAAGATGTCAGTCTGAACCCTCCCAAGTCTCTGGACTAAATTTTCCCTTCTGCATTCACCTCTGTGCACTCCCAGCTCTTTACTGGTGGTACAAAAAGGAATTTGCATGAGGATGCTCATCACCCAGCTGTCATGTAGCAATTTATGTATGAAGAACTCCTTCTGGTTTCACTGGGAGTATACTCAGGCTTCAAATGAGTCAGGACAAGATTAATCCTGTAGTTGTGGCAGCCTCCAGTGCCTGCAGCTCTGGGGTTTGTGTCTACTCACTGAGAGACACCCTCACCATACCAACTACACCTACTCCCACTCCAGTCTGAACCACCAGACTCAGGACACTTGGGCATGGCCATCCACACTTTGTCCTTTCCTTGTCCCCTTCCAAAACTCCAGAGAACAGCTCCAACTCCCAGGGGTCTGGAGCTGTGTTTTCCAATCTAAACCATCCTGGTGTTGACTACAGCCTGCACCACACATCTGGCCACAGCTGCTAAACCTCCTTTTCATAGTGGTCAGCACCACTCCTGGACAAGAGTCACCACTCTGTTCACTGGGCACCAGACAAGATGGGTGTGACAGTGCCAGGGGACACATCTGATGCTTGGGGTTATGTTAAGGTGATGCCTTAGGATGCAGCTTTTATGTTTTTCAGATCCTGTACTGCTTTAGGGTATAACTCTAAAACTCCACAGCCTGTCAGCTGCTGTTCTCCTGTTTTATTCAGATAAAACAATTCCTCTCTGGGCCTGAAACTCAGGGGCACCTTACTGTCTTGGGCCCTGAAAGAGGTAAACAGCAGTGAAGTCCGCTCAAGCTGCACCAAGGGAAGTTTAGGTTGGATATCAGGAAAAAGTTTTTCACAGAAAGAGTGATAAAGTTGTGGAATGGCTGCCCGGGGAGGTGGTGCAGTCACCATCCCTGGTGTGTTTAACAAAGCCTGGATGTGGCACTGGGGGCCAGGGTTCAGCTGAGGTGCTGGGGCTGGGTTGGACTTGATGACCTTGAAGGTCTCTTCCAACCTGCTCATTCTGGGAATTCTGTGAATTTTGTGAACTGGGGGGAGAAAAATTGTAGTAAATTACTTCATTACCTGAAGCTGTAATTGGAGGATGAACCCCTGGTATGTAAATGGACCAAACTTATAACTGCATGAAAAACCCATGACCATTGTCCATCCTGGGTGTAGCCCCTCTCAGAGGTTTCTAAGGTGAACCTATTGAAGGCCTTCAATAAATACCCACTTTTATTCTCTTAATCTTTCAGGTAGCCACTCCAAGGCATCAAAGAGCAGTCTACAGGGCCAGACCACAGCTGGAGAAAGCTTCTTTCAGCATGGGCTCCCACTGGGTGACATCTTGTACAACACAGCCTGTCCCTGCTGTGTGGCCCTGTGTCCAGAGGCACCCTGGCAGGAGCCCCAGGGACACACTGACCACATTTTCACACCACAAGGGACTCTGATCCTCTTCAGTATTCACTTGGACATGGCAAATCCTGCTCACAAGGCCAAACCTGGAGTCTCACGTGTGAATTCCACACTTTTGGCCAATCTGAAATACCAAGAGCTGTACCTATAGCAATGTGACCCCTGTTGACAGAGTGACAAAACTCTTTGTCCCCTTGAAAAGGAAATAAGCCCAGAAGTTTCTATCCTCAATTAGGTGAAAAGACATCTCATAGGACCTGGGGGACTTCACCTCAAACTTAAGGATAGCCAATTGGACAGGAGCCAAAAAGTCCCACCTGAGCAATTTACAAGAAAAAGAAGAGAACAAAGAAACTAATCACTTTTGTGGGGTGTTTTACCAGAGGCAAAGACCTCTTGCCCTGGCTCGGTTTTTCTGTGTAAAGAGCTTTGTTATTTTGCCTTTTATTAAAACCTTTTTGTTTCCAACACTACCACAGAAGTCGTTTGTAGCCATGACATTTTATGAAACATTCTTTGCTAGGATTTTTCTCCTATTCTAGCTGAGAAGCCTCAGAAAAGAAATGTAAACAATTAACTATCTGATGGCTGTAGAATGTGGTCTGTACATGGTTTACCAACAGGTACATCTTTGATTGGTTCTTGAGTTGTTTCTACTTAATAACCAATCAAAGATGCAGCTGTATCAGACTCTGAGAGTCACAAGCTTTTGTTATCATTCCTCTCCTCTTTCTAGCCTTCTGATGGATCCTTTCTCTCTATTCTTTTAGTATAGTTTTAGTATAGCATTTTAATATAATATATATCATAATATAATAAATCAGCCTTCTGAAACATGGAGTCAAGATTCTCCTCTCTTCACTCGTCCTGGCACCCTCGAACACCACCATAGTCATCCTGCTAAGGTAGCTGAGCTATCTTGGGTGTGATATAGACCTCCAAGAGCTTATGAGACCTGGCTCGAGGAGACCCATATTTCACTTACCTTGGACAGAGAGCTCTGCAATGGTCCTGCTCCCTTCCTTCATCTCACAGATGTAAACAGCATCATCATCCGTGGTGACGTTCTGGACGGTGAGCCGGCGGTAGGTGCCCTCCTCCTCGATGTTGTACTTCTTGCTCTGCTGCAGCTTGGTCTCCTCCTTGAACCAAGCTGTCTCTGTCCCAGCAACGGGCACTTCGCACTGGAAGGTGGCAGATTCCTTCTCCCTCACTTCAAGATCCTTCAGTTTCGCCTTGAAGGGGATGGTGGGTTCTGAAGAGGGTAAAAAGTGGAAGGAGAAATAAGAGTTTATGATGGGAGTAGGTTTAGATGGGAATTTAGGAAGAAATTCTTCTCCGTTAGGGTGGTGAGACTTTAAGACACATTGCCCAGAGAAGCTGTGACTGCCCCATCCCTGGAAGTGGTCAAGGCCAGGCTGGAGTAAAAGGCCTTAAAAGGAATCCTTCTGGAATTAGTTTAATGACAGACAAGCTGGTCATGGGACAGAACACAGGGCAGAAATTCCAGGTGGGAGTGAGCAGCTGATGCAAGAACCAATGATTTAAAGGTCTTACAGCAGAAATCAGCTCAGCAGAGTGATGTGAAAGGGCACAGAGAGCTGTGAGGTGGCTGTGCACAGTCAGATGTGCACAAAGGAGGAGTTTTCTGTTCTCCCCACCAGCCCCAAAGGCTCCGTATCAGCTTTTGCCAACAACAATAAAAGAAACAGAGAATGAGCCCCAGTCTCCCAACTGCCTCAGCCCTCCTGCAGCAGTGGGGCTGCAGTGCTCTGGCTGTGGGCCAAACCCAAGCATAGATCAAACCCACAAAGCAGCTGCATGACAGTGAGGGAAGTCATTTCATGAGCTGAACAATGTCAAATTCCAGCGACAGCTGCGCTGTGACATCACCCTGCTACCCCAGCCCTAAAGTGGGCAAAGAGGAGCTGGACTGAAGAGGACAGCCAGCAGTCAGGGCCACGGGACTGGTGCCACAGTCGTGTCACACACTTGGATTAGCCAGTGCTGAAACATTGCTCATGCTTCGTGAGAGATCATGCCTGGATATGTACCTTCACCTCCCAGTAATGGCTGTCCCAGCTCCCAGCTGGTTTTTGTGACTCCATCCCACCTCACCACCCTCACAGTAAAGAATTTCTTCCTAATATCTGATAAAAAGCTCCCCTCTTTCAGTTTAAATAAGGTACCAGACTCTAAAGGCTTGACAGAACACCTGGAGGGAGCAATGCTATGGACTACCTTTGTTATCCTGAGGCTAAAACCTGACTGAGAACCCATACAATATGTCCAGGAACAGGAAGGTGACACGAACCATGGCAACTTGGAATTTTTTTTTAAAAATTTTATGCCTAAATGCACCACAGTTTAAGGCAAGTCAAAGTCTTGCCTTGAAAAGCCTTTAGCTATGGTTACACAGATCTGCTCTGCCCACACCCCAGATGGTGATTAGCCTTTTTTCTCTTTCCTGATTTTTTTTTTCTTTTCAGGGTTAAATAAGATATTATGATGAAATTCTTTATTCTGAGGGTAGGGATGCCCTGGCACAGAGCAGCTGTGGCTGTCCCTGGATCCCTGAAGTGTCCAAGGCCAGGCTGGATAGGGCTTGGAGCACCCTGGGAACATGGAAGGTGTCCATGGCAGGGGCTGGAAGGAGATGAGGTTTAAGGTCTCTTCCAAGCCAAACCATTCTGGGATTGTGTGAGGCCAAGCAAGCTTTGATCAGAAGGATGCAGCCCTCTGGCAGGAGGGAGGCTGGAGCTGCCACTGGGAACAGGCAGACCTGCACAAGGGCCAAAAAGAAACACAAGCTGCACCTGAGAGGCACACAAGTGTATTGCCATACTTGGAGCAGCTGGCCATATCATTAACCCCTCTCCCTTTACAGTCACTAAGCAGTACCTAAAGTGTAAAAAAAAAATAAATAAACTATTCCAGGAATAAGCTCTTAAAGGTTCAAGCACAGCAGGGTTGGTTGGCTCTCAGGAGCATGTTGCAGTAACAGCACGGCTCTCCCAGCCAGGGAAAGGCAGTGCAAGGCTATCTTTGGCAGCTTGGGGTCACAGATATCCTCTGAAAACAACTCTGCTTTCGTCCTGCTGACATGTGCACACACGTCTTATCTCCCTCTGAATGGAGCTTCGGAGCAGGAGCAGCTGATAAACTGAATTGAAGCCTGGGATGAACCCTTCTGGAGATGTCAGAGTGGTTCCAAAGCCCACCAGCCTCCTCCTCCTGAGCATACCTCCATGCTCTTTACAAGGTCTAGAATGTGTCTGGTCAGGCAGAGGGGGTAGATTTGGGTCAGGGGACTACAGAAGGACCAGAGGTCTCCTGAGAGCAGGCATCCCAAATCATCTGGCCCATAACCAGCACCACACCCAGGTCAGAGAGGTGCAAATAAGACAGAAAATAAGAGAGCTGCCAAAACCTGCCCCCTGGGAAAAATGTGAGAGCCACAGCAGAGCAAAACACTGAGGGAGCACAGGGCAAGAGCAGCTCATGGAATTCACAGGAAACTGCAAGAACTTTGATCAGAGACTCATTTTATTGCTTATACTGAGGAGATATTTCTCCAGTCTGTCCTAGGCTTTTTTGTTTGCTCCACAGCAAGCAAACTGGCAGTGAGAGGATGTTATTTTTAAAAAGCAAGTCCTGCTAACACATATTTTGCTAAGAATAGGTGCAGCCTGCAAAGAAGCCCAATGTTTTCTTAACCTTATCAAGGCGCATCTGCCCTCTGGACCTCACTTTTTCACTTGCCTACGCTTCCTCTTTCTTATTGCTGGAATTCTCACATTTATTATTCCAGAGGCAAGTTTTCCCTCTGCCTAATGAAAATTATCCAGGAAAGGTAAGAATATGGAAAATCCTCCCAGTAAGAGCTGGCTAAATGTGGATTGACAAACTTCCACCATCTTCAGCCTTTGGTCTTCCTAGTTACTGTGCTTTCCAAATTTCCTTTCTACCTCCTCATTTCTCAAGTTGCAATTCTCTTTCAGATCTCCAACGTGACTGTCATGACAGTGACCATCCAAAATCCCATCTGATCAGAGGGAGAATAAGGTGGCCTCAGCACCAGGGTGTTTTTCCCATCTCCATCCTGTTTGGCTTGCAACCTTTAACCTTCCCATCCAGTATCTGGTTACTTTATTCAGAGACTCCAGTGAACACGGCTTGGCCCAGGGTGAAGACCTGAATTCTGTTCTCACCAGCTTTACACATGGCCTAGGGAAATCTCCAAAGCCTTCAGCAAACCCAAGCTGGTTATTTATGTTCCTCCCATCCTCCCCACTCCTTGATTTGTTAAAGGTTTCTTCTTGGGCACAATTTCCCCAATTCCTTTTACAGCTCACATCTCAGATTGTGATTTTATCTCTGTTCCAGACACATTTCTGAATCGAATCAAGATTCAGTTTTCCTTATTTAGGAGAGTGATTCTCTGCCCTGTAGCCTTTCTTTGTTTAAGTCTGATTCACTAAATCTCATTTAGGAACAGCTCAAAAATCCTTTTTCTTTTTTCCAGCTCAGTGATCTTTAAGGCACAGGCTCAGCAAAGCATTCACAAATGTTGGGTTCCTGGGTCCTTAGGTCCCTAGGAAGTAGATTGACAGAATATAGGAGGCTTTCTATGGATGTCCCATCCCTGGAAGTGTTCAAGGCCAGTTTGAACAGGGCCCTGAGCAACCCGATCTAGTGAGTGGCATCCCTGCCCATAGCAGGGGGTTGGAACCACTCTGATCCTATGATTCTAGGGATGGCTGCTTGGAGAATTCAACCTCTCCTACATGGCTGAGCAAAGAGAAGTTTGCAGGGCAAGATGATCTCCCTCCCTAAGCCTGATAGCAGATGAACTGATGGCATCACCAGTGACACAAACAACAGAATTAAAAGCTTTTTTCATCTGCTGCATGATTCTGACCTGTCTTGGGAGGGCTGAGAAGATCTTCTGGTGACACAAAAGAGAGTCATTTATCAGGGCCTAATTATAACCAATACACGTAGATTTTCCATGGCAGCCTTGGCCTGGACAGGGAGCCAAACGTGGTACAGCATAAAAAATAAACAATCCATAAACATTTCCACTTCAGCCTCCTGACTCACAGGCAGCCCTGGACAATGGACACGGATCAATAACACTTTCTCATGGGGTTTGCTCCCAGACTGGCTGCTTCCCTTGCTTTCCCCACCTCCTTTGGAACAGGTTGCAGCCATGAGAGCACTAGGAGAAGCACAGGCAGAGCAGGGGGTTTGCTTTTGCAAGGTTTTGGGCAGGGAATTGAGCTTGATCCCTCCTCAAAATGATCCCCCACCCAAGGGCCAGGATTGATCTTCACCTCTGAGTCCCAGCTCATGAGGTAATCACAGCTTTATGGAACAGGACAAATGTCCTTCCCCACGCCACTCAGCACCTCCGAGGGACAGCAAGGGGTGGGACAAGTGCCAGTGAGTTCCACGGATCAGGTGTCACTGATGGGCACAGGGACTGAGCCACTTTCCAAAAAAGGGAAAACAGAAAACCAAATAACACTTGAGAGCCTTGAAGATGAGTACAAAACACAGACAATTCCTACTTGATTGTATTTCTAATTTACTTTGTTGCCAGTGAAAAATCATCAGTTTTACCACTCAAGTGGAAAAACCTTTTGTCTCTGACAGCTCATTTACAGGTGCTGCCTGGGTTGCAAACTGCCTGCTGTCCCCTTGCCAAATGGGAGAGCAGGTGGAAAATTTAGAGCTTCCTGGATTGTTCAAGACCAGGTTGGATGGGGCTTGGAGCAACCTGGTTAGGTGGAAGGTGTCCCTTCCATGGCAGGAGGTTGGAATGAGGTGATTTTTAAGATCTCCTCTAATCCAAACCATTCTGGGGTTCTGTAAAAACTGTGTGTCACATTTTGGTTGCCATTCTGAAGAACTAGGACTGACCTTCACAAGGGTGGAGTGACCCTCTAAAGGCAAGTTCTTCACCACTGACTATGGCAAACAAAGGCATCTTGTGTCTGGGAGGTTTTCTAGGAGCATTCAAGGAACACAGACTATCCAGCAACCCAAGCTGGGAAAAAGCTGAAGAACCTGGCAAGAACCAGGCTGCTGGTGGGTCACCGTACAGGAAAACTGAGCTGGACTGTAATTAGAGTTGGAGTAGGTCCCCCAGGGGATCCGAGGCAGCCTGACATGCTCATCTTGTAGGGAGGGGTTTCCACCACTACTACAAATGGCATGTCTGAGTAAACCCCACGGTGAACACAAACCCAGATGTGATTAAAGCCTGGAGGGTGAGACAGGGCATTGGCAGTCACTGACCCAGAGCATGGGAATGGATCTCTCACGTCACTGTGAAACCAGGACTGCCAGGAGCCTTAGGGATCTGGTGCATCCCAGCTGCCCCACCACCGGCTGATGCCTTGTGCAGGCTGACCTAGAACAGAGACTAGATGGAGCTAAAGAAGGAAGTAGGGATTTATTAGGAGGCTTCAATAGATCCACCTTGGGCAGCACAAGAGCCCAGCCAGGGCTACACCCCAGGCAAACTTAAAATGTTTACGAAATGGACAACTGGTCACAGGGTCTAACACTTCTATAAATTTTGTTTCATTAGCATATTGGAGCCAATTGTCCAATTCCAGCTGCAGCCTATACAGTCCCATCCTGCTTGTTTTTCTCTCTCCAGCCCACGGGGTTTGTGCTCCTGGGCTGAGATTTGGATCATTTGTCCTTGGTGCCCAGCTGGAGCAGGAATTGTTTTGTCTCCCTGCTCTGTGCACAGAGCTCACCATGCCCTGATATGAAGCCCAGACCCACACACTAAAGCAGCACATCTGAAAATATAAATGCTAAAACCTGAGGCATCACAGCCAGTTCTGCCTCATCCACCCCTACCTGGCGCCTCTATACTGCCCTTCCTAAGAACTCTGTCCCCAGGTCATCTATTCATGTGCACAAGCCCTTTCCACCAGGAGAGCTTTATTCACACCTAACACACTCCCCTGCAGCAGTTTGGAGGCAGAAGTTTTGTTCAAACCCCCACCCCAGTTCAAGGGCGTGTCCTTGCAGACACATCCTCCCTGGTGAGAACCACAGCCACCCACCTTTGACAGTGACAAGCACAGAGCTGTAGGTCTGCCCCGCCAGGTTGGAGGCCGTGCAGGTGTACAGCCCGTTGTCCGTCTGCTTACAGAAGAGAATCTTCAGCACAAAGTTCTCCTGGTCGTCCTCATAGATGACGTGCCGCCGGCCTTCCGAAATGACCTCGTTGTCCTTCTTCCACACAATCACGGGCTTGGGCTCTCCCGTCACGTAGCAGCTCAGCTTGGCGTGCTTGCCCTCCGTCACGCTGCAGGTGCGCGTCAGCGCCCCGAACGTGGCGTTGCGGGCCCCTTTGGTCAGCCCCGCCGCCCGCTCGTAGTCCCGGGACAGGCTGAGGCCGATGCTGGACAGCCCTTCCACCGCGGAGTAGGCCTGGGCAGAGGCCGAGTCCAGAGTCCCGTGGGAGATGTCCATCTTCCTGATCTCCTCCCGCCTCTTCTGCAGGTGGGACAGCAAGGAGGCCGTCTTGCCGCAGGTGCTGTCGCTGCCCGGGTTGGAGGAGCCGTGCGTTTCCACCACCAGCGCGGCCGAGGCGCTGGCGGAGCCGATGAGGTTCTCTGCCCGGCAGGTGTAGGTGCCACTGTCCCCCAGCTGGGCACACTGGATGGTGAGAGCGTTGGACTCCCCAGCAGACTCGATCTGGAAGCGTCCGGCGTCTGCTTTGTTCCTCAGGTATCTCCCGTCCTTCTCCCAGTTCACCGAGAGGGGAGGACTGCCCTGGACTTTGCATTTGAACATGACGTCTTCTCCCAAGGTTACTTTGATGTTGGTAGGTTTCTGGATGAAGTAAGGAGCTGACTCTGTGACCGTGGTCTCCTCTCCCACTTTGATGCTGACAGCAGCAAAAGCCTCCCCGATGGTGTTCTTGGCCCGGCAGATGTACTGGCCGCTGTCCTCCAGGCTCAGGTCGTAGATGGTTAGCCGGTACAAATCCCCATCCTCTGTGGTTTTAAACCTTCCCCCAGACTGGACTGGAAGTTTATCCTTTTCCCAGCTCACCACTGGGATGGGGTTTCCAATGATCTGGCAGCTCAGGGTGGCATCCTTCCCCACAGACACCATGAAGGCCTTGGGCCGGGTGAGGAAGCGCGGGACCCCGCTGAGCGAGCTGTAATCCATCCTGGCTGCCTTCCTGCAGGGGGACAGAGAAAAGTGTCAGCACAGAGCAGGGCAAAGGCTGCAGCCAAAGAATCACTGAACTCCTGTGGTGTCAGGGTTTGTCACCTGGAACGCCCACGTTTTCAATGCCCTTCTCATTTCAGCTGAGAAGGCCTTGGAATATTATTGGTCTTGAGGATTTCTTACATTTGAGGTTAACAAACTGCTGCATAAGGCAGCTCACTCCTCCACAGAGCCTCTGGGCAAAACAGAACTCTTTGGGCTGTTCATACAGCAGGGACACGACGATGCCTTTCATCTGGGGCACTCAGAAAGTGACCTGCACTACAGCTGCGTGACACATGGGCTGGTTCTGCAGCCACAAGGAACAAACTGGACACCACATTCTGAGAGATGGGTCTGCCCATCCAGATACTGCCTCCATCTCCGAATCTGGGTTGGAAGGGACCTTGAAGATCACCTCATTCCAACCCCCTGCCATGGGTAGGGATGTCACCTCCTAGACCAGGTTTTCCAAGAAGATTTGAGTGCACCATTTCTCTTCAAGCTGTTTAACTTCTTTGGCATCATGCTGCTCCTGTCTGACTACAGGAATGGTCCTACTCCAGGTGAGCACATCCCTGCTTTTTTCACCTTCAAAGTGCTGCACACAGAAGGACCAGGGCTCTGGGTGCTGTAACTCAGAAAGGAAATCAAACCCAGCCAGTGAGACAGAAATATCCTTCTTAATCCTGCAGCAGTTTGGCTTCCCTGCTGGCCACACACCCACCCACTCTCTCACCCAATGGCAGGTGCTCTCGCCATCTCCAGCAGAAATCAATAGGAGCAGGCCAAAACCCTGCTTTAATTTCTTAAATCACCATTTCTCCATCCTCTTCCAGCTCCTGTTAGTGCATTTTTGTTAATGCACAAATCACTGATGGCATCAGGGACTGAGGGTTGGATCAATTTGCTGCATGACCTTGGGAAAAATCACTTCTTTTCCCAATTTCTTGTCTCCCCTCCCACTTCATATCAAGAGAGGGATGGGCTAGCAAATAACTGTGTGCTTGCAAGGTATTTGCTGAGGTAAATGACAAATTGTGCATGAAAATTAATAACAGATTACAAATTTAATTCAATTTATGCTGCTGGGGATTGGAAAATACAAGTTACCACTAAATCCATATACTGGAAAAGGGATGTCACAAAAATACAAAACGGTATTTGTTAGGAGAGCTCAAGAAACTGTTGGAAAACTGCCTCAGGCACAGGGTGGGATTCTTGGGGTTGTCCTGAGCAAGGCCAGGAGCTGGACTCAATGGTCTCTGTGGGTCCCTTTCAGCTCAGGATATTCCATGATTTTGGGATCATTATTACAATTCCAGATGGTGTCACTGAGCCAAACTTCAAACTTGATCTGGGTCACAGTCCTAAGGCAAAACCAAATGTAATCTTTCTACATTTAACAGAAAATATGCACCATGTCCTGTCCTATCCTGTGTCTCCCACTCCAAAGAACACACCAAAATGACAAGGAGCAATCAAAGACTTTTCCTTTTAGATGAGATTGATCCTTTCTAAGTTAATTCAATATTGGTTGCTTTTGTTTCCTGGTATTGAGCAAATTTCATTATTGTGCCACAAATCTTTAGAAAATAAAGAAACAAATTTCAAACATTAAATCTGAGAGGGGGGGAATAAGTAACAGAGAAAATTTACTTTTAGTAAATGCTAAGAGGGTAAAGAATGATCGACTTGCAGTCATCAGTGCCAAGACCAACTGACTTTCAGACCTTCAATACACAGATTTTTTTTTCTCTTGATCTCAAACTTGTCTAGAAATCTGTGAATTAGTTTCAACTTTTCTGAACCCTCTTACTACCTCCAGCCTCTGCCCTCAGCTGAGCTTTAAAACGTGTTTTCAGAAATGCTTGTGCAGCTGCAAGCAGAGAAGCTGCATGAATGGTTAGAAGGGGCAGATAGGAGCCTGGGGCTTGAGCCAAAGTACACTGAAGTCAGTGGAAATTTCCACTGAAGTCAATTGATTGACAATCAGTCTCCTGCTCATTTGGGGAAGGACCATTTCAATGCTCAGAAAGAGATGCTGAGGCTCAGCTCAACTCTGGAGGGCCCAGCAGGACCATTCACTGCATTAACTAAGAGTTAACAATCAAAACACAGACTCAGAGCTCATGTCCTAATATTTCCCAGCCATTAGCTTGAATTTCAGGCTGCACTGTGCCATCAAAGCACTAGGATTCACCTTCAGAAGACACTGCCACATCTCACCCTTCCTGGATTCACAGTGTGTCAAACAGATGCATCACTCTGACTTATTCCCAGCTTTGTAGTGTCAAAAAAGAGCAGAAAAATAGAGTTGCTTCACTTCTCCATCAAACTGGGCTCTGCAGTTTGGCTCTGCACATGAACAAGTGCCTGGAGCACTGAGGTGGCTGCAGAGACATGAGAGGAGCTGCTTGGGAGCCAGCCAGGGACCTCTCAGCAGCCAGGGGCTTCCCTCAACCCACCTGCATGCTGCTTCCATCACCTGGGCCCCAGGACACCTTTCTGGGCAGGAGGAGCAGGGTGAGGGCTCTCAAAGCCTGGCTCTCACAGGAGCAGGAATGCTGCTCTCTTCCTATAGTGCATCCTTCTCTCCCTGCTAAGCTCTGCCCAAACACAGACCCCCCAGATGCTGCCTGGTACCTCAGAGTCAGGAACAGCCAAAAAACAGTCAGGAACAGCCAAAAAACTGGCAAAAAACACCACACACCTGTTGGCTTTGCTCCTGAACCAAACTGGTGCAGTAAATCCATCCAAGATGCTTCTTCCCAGTGGCTTCAAGGTCCAGCCTCCCTCTCCCATGGCTCCCAAAAATTCATCTGGTGTTTGCAACTCCTCCCCATCCAGTACAAGATCCTGTGTCCACAGACCTCCTAGTGTGGGGTGAAAACCCACATCCCCTGCTCTTACCTACACCTCCAGCAGCTTTCACCATGTGCCCTCACACTTGAAGGTTTTTTACACCATTATGAATGGCCAGAATGCCAGAATAAAACCCAGGGATCAGTGAAAACCGTGTGTGCTCATCATTATTTAAGATATTCTTCTAACATGGAAAGAAAAAACAGGGTTAATTCCTTGCTCTGCTGCTGGCTTTCTTTTATAATTATGAGATAGATACTCCATTTCTTGTATCTTTAGCCCCCATCTGAAAAAGAGGGGGGAAAACTTGTTTTATGGGTGTGGAGAGCATGAAATGCAGTAAGAGGCATGAAATCCTAACCTGCAGCAAGGATGAGGCTGTGCATGTATCTAACACATCTAACAAGTTAGACAGGCTGCACAAGATAAATTACATTAAATTTAAATGAAATGGGATAAATTTAAATGAAATGGGATAAATTACATTATCCCATTTCAAATGGGATAAAACACATCACACTGGATTATGATGATAAATAGATTTAGGAGTCAGGAGAGGACAGACTTGTGAATGTACTGAAAGGAAAAGATTTAATATTGCTACTCTGTAACTTGTGAATCAACTTATTCAATAATTATTCTGATTTCAATTATTTACATGTTCATTCAAACTTCAAAAAAGTCCAGTAAGTCTGAAACTTAAAAAAAATAAAATAGTAACTCTCTGCAAGTGCCAGGACAGCTCCCTTGGAAGGAACAGGACCAGCAACAAAGCATGAATAAACCTAGTCAATGCAAATGCCCTTTCCAATAAATCTCAGACATTTGCCAGTGTCACATTTCCCCATGTAATCCCTCTGTGATTTATCATTTGCAGCAGAGATCACATTCCCATCTGGGGCATTTCTGAGCACGCCAAAGGCAAACTGGCAGCACTCATAATTTTGCTTATGTCTTTATTCATTCGGATTTTCCCTGGTTTGTGTTTGGGGAAAGAGGCAGGACTGCACAGAGCTGTCAGATAAATAAATAAATCACTGCCCTGGAGCCAAGATGCAGCTGGTCCAGGCCTCCTGCCCACTCCTGTGCCACCCCTGCCAGTGCTTCCCATGGACAGGGGAATGAGTGCCTTGCAGTGGGACCCACCAGAGAGCTGTTCAGTTCCTGCTGGAGTGCTCAGAAGTGGAACTCCTCAGGAGGTGGAGAGCCCTGATGGTGGTTCCACCGAATCCCAGAGTGGTTTGGGTTGGAAGGGACCTTAGAGACCCATGGTCCACCCATGGTAGACCCTCCTCTTCCACCCCTGCCATGGCAGGGACACCTTCCACCATCCCAGGGTGCTCCAAGCCCCATCCAACCCAGCCTGGGACAGTTCCAGGGGTCCAGGGGCAGCCACAGCTGCTCTGGGAAACCTGTGCCAGGACCTCACCACCCTCAGAATAAAGAATTTCTTCCTAATATCCAACCCAACCTTGCCCTCTGGCAGTGGGAAGACATTCCTCCTTATCCTTTCACCACATCCCTTGTTCCAGGTCCCTCTCCAGCTCTCCTGGAGCCCCTTTAGGCCCTGGAAGAGGCTCTGAGTTCTCTCTGGAGCCTTCTCTCCTCCAGGCTGGATACCTCAGCTCTCCCAGCCTGGCTCCATCCCAGTCTCCTGGGATTCACTGCTGATCTGCACCTGGAAAACCTTCCACAGCCTCTGAGAAGGCAGAGGTGCCCCCATGGTGAACTGTCCCCCAAGCTGTCAGCAGCCTGTGGTGGAGATCTTGGTGTGAGAGAGGACAGGGGGAACACGTTATTCTCTGTCCAAGCCTTTCCATTCAAGGATTAGAAAAAGAATCCTGTCCACTCAGGGCAAGGACCAAAAAGCACCGTGCAATCCATCCCATAAAACATTCCCGAGACAAAGGTGGTCATAAGTAGCAAAATTGGAGACTTTGGGACATAATTACACCTAAGGGATCACCAAGGTCCAAACAGAGATCAGAAGCACAGAATTTCTCTCAACACCACATTAAGCCCTATCATGACCCTTTTTGCTCATTTCCTCAATCCTCTTTTACCCTTTCTTTGCCCAAGTCAAAAATACATTGATTTGAGGTATTTTTCTTGCCTTTGAAGTTTATGTTTCCTGAACTTCCTCTGCAATGCTAAATTCTAATCCTCTCACTCTTTTTCCTGCCAGGAAAGACAGGATTTATAGGGAACCTCCTGTGTCTGAATCCTGAGCTTTCAAAGAACATCACTGAGAATGAAAGCTCCAGATAAAAATCAAGGCAGCACCGGTATTACTGCAGTTTACGTTACTTATCTGCTTGTATTGTTCCATCTAAAAACATCAGGAAATGGAATCCGTGGGTGGGAAGGGAAGTCGATGAGTTGTTAAATGGGAAGTTTGGGTTTCCTTTGATGTTTAAAACCCTGCTGAGGGAAAACAGCACTAACCCATCTGCCCTCCCAGGGAATGGACAACTTTGGAGTAGCACAAGTGTTGGGTGTCAGCTGCAGGCTGGGTGACATCAGCCGGGCTCTGGTGGGTGCCTGAGAGCCGTCCCAGCAGACAGGGAGCTCTGGGGGTGAAATGCACACCAGCACGCCCAGTGCTGCCCGTTCCACCCCTAAATCAGGGCTCAGAGCTCTAATCCAGGGAGGCGGGATTTATCCCCTTCCACCGGAGCAGCAACGGTATCTGTGCCTCAGGAGCTGGGCTCAGGGCTTAGCTTGGGCTACTCTGAATTCCACTTCAGTGAGGGAGAAGCGATTTTGGCATGTCCAAAGGTCACTGGATGAGCAGATGGGAGAGGTTTCTGTGGGGGATCCGTCGCCGGAGGTGTCGGACACAGAGAACCCGCGGCGCACGAAACCCTTTGCAAGGAGCTTCTAACTGGACCCAGAGTAAGGCTTGTCTGCATTCCCTCCCATCCACAGCCTCCATCCTAAACCAAAATCCATGGGAGATGTTGAGGGAAAGCTCCTGGCAGGCCAGGGGCTGACATGGTGTTAAACACGGTGAGCAGCCCTCAGGGAAAAGGAGAAGCTCGAGACAATTCTGACCTTCAGGGTAGGGCTGAAACGCACCAAGTGCCTCAGAGGGACCTGCATCCCCTCATGCTCCCCCTGCTAATCCCTTACCAATAACCTGGGTGTTCCCAACGATTGGTAGCCAACAAGGGTTCAGACGTTTAGAGAATTCCAGCGAGGAGCAAGAACAAATCACGTGGTTTGTGCATGTCACCAGGCTCAGACACCTTCCAGCCATGTTAGCAGCACACTTCATAAAAATCACAACAGATTCAAGCCACTTAAGTGATTTTTATGGTTAAAACACTTTTTATCTTTCTTCTCTACAGAGGCAGAACTTTCTTAGAAAACTCACCCCACTTTCAACCACCTGGCCAGAAACCATTTTCCATCAACACCCTAACAGCTCCAAGAAACTCCATGTAGGGAAGGGAGTTCATCCTCCTTGGGCTTTACTGCAACGTGGGGACTTCACATTCCACCTATGATGGAGCTACAAAACCACCCCTGAAACATCCAGAGGCCTAAAACTGCACAGAGCAGCCCCTCAGGACTCCACAGCAGCCACTTTTCCTTCTGTTTTTCTGAGCCTCCCAAGGCTGCTCTGACAATAGCAAAAGGCCAAAGCACCAGAGAGGTCTGGGCACATTGTGATACTCACTCCAGTTCTGTGGGGCTGAGAATAAAGGAGACAAATGCAGAGAAAACACACAAATTCTGGGGTTTCAATCCAGGAGACAGAAAAGGAGTGACGTAAATCTAGAAACTTCATCACAAATTTCACCCAGCTGCATTTTGCTTTACACACAGGCCTGGAGAGAAGCAACCGTGAGAGAATCCCAGGAAAAAACCAGTCTTGCAAAGCTAGAAACGCTCCTGGTTCAGCCCATGTGATTTCCTACACGAGGGAGTTGCAGGATCACGGCTCCCATATGGACAAAGAATTCCCTTGGTGACAATCAGCCGTGGCTCCGACCTAAGCCCTTGTATTTTAACAAGTGGACGTCATTGTCATTACAGTCACTCCACCCCATTGAGCTGTAGGGCCCAAAATAGCCTCAGCTGTCGAGCTCCATCTCTGCCTATCTCCCCTCAGAACCATTTGGAGAAATGGGAGGAGGGTGGAGGGCTGCAGAGTGAACCTGTATTGACACCAGAGAGGAGCTCAGAGAGGAAAAAAGTCCTGGCTGAAGAGAAAAGCTGCACTGAGATGATGCCCTGGAAATAAAGCTTTCTGAAATGTTCCTTTCTGACACCTCTCCGTGTGCTTTCCAGGCTCTCCATTCCCAGTGGTGTCTCAGATTTGGGGACAAAGTGTATCAAGTTGAGTCTACAGCTCTAAACCTGATTTTTTTTCACTTTCCTCCTCTGGAGGCTGATCTTTGCTCAGAAGTAATTAAGCAGAACAATCCACATTTGGCTCAGAGCAAAGGAAGGATGGATTTACTACCTGCAAATTCAGCTCCATCCCCAAATATGTTTAATTTAAAAAAAAAACATCCTCAGGCATGGCACAAAAACAACCTCACCCCTCCCTCAGCTACCAACAACCTTCTCCACTTCCTGCTGGGCATCAGCATCCCCAAATCCACCTCTCCTTAGCTGAAGGCTTCGGTCTTACCTGGAGTCTTGTCTGAGTCTGAGGAGGACAAAGCTCTGGGCAGAGGAAGAAAAAGCCGATTCCTACTGAGATGAAAGGAGGGGGAAGAGGGAAGAGGGGAACAGAGGACATGGGGAGACCATGCTGGCTTGGGTTCCCCCCCTCTTTCCCCTCCAGGAAATAAAACAGAAACCCCAGCGACGGCAGGGACGTGCAGCAGAAGGTCCCCCCAAGTCCCCCTGCAGTGGCTCTGCTGCCCAGGGTTAGGCTGTGCCACCCCCCTGACCCTCCTCTGGGTCGTCCTCCTCCAGTCAAATCGCTGACGTGCTTTCTCCTTCCCTCCACAGCCCAGCTCCAAAATAGCTCTGGGTGTCATTTACCGGGGAGATTAAATTTCCTGCAGCACACAGGGGAAAGGGCAGCGCTGTGGGGACTCGCTGCCACAGCCCAGCAACAGCAGGGGGGCAAAAACCCCATCAGGAGAGGGTGTTTGGGTGGGATGGGGGACAAGAGACATTCCTCAAGGGTCCATCCCACAGCCAGGTGCTGAATGTGACGTGGGGACTCGGGAACGGGCGGCTGCTGAGTTATCAGTGCTGCACACTGGACAGGAATTCTGTCCCAAAGGCATCAAATCAATAATAGGTTTATTTATAACCTCGCAGGCAGGAGCTGTTACAATGGCAAATCAACAGCAAGTCAATAATCCTAAGTGTTTCTCTGCCCCTTCACCTTGTATATACATACATATAGGTTATATGAGGTTATATACATATAGGTTATATATGGGTTTTATATTTCCCCACCTTTTTGCCTCATGAATACAAACTGAGTGCAAAAAAATCACCTGAGCTGCCAATCCATCACAGCTCAGAAGCTCAAGACCATAATTTCTATGTTTGCAAGTCAAATTTCTAGTTTTTAAAAACAATTTCTTTGGGGTCCATGCCAATTCTTATTGGCAATCGCAGTATTTTAAATTTAAAACTGATTTCTGCTAATAGTTAAAGAGCTACAACAGAGCCCAGCAGGCTGCCCCACAACCACTTCAGCTCTGTGTAAATATCAGGAGTGAACTCAAGATATGCTTATTTTTGGCAGTAAACAAAGCAGATAAGGTGCTGCATAGCCAAGGCCCTGAAGACACGGTGATAGGTTGTGTTAAATCACTTTTCAGGGCATAAAACCACCACCAGGGCAGCAAAAGGGAGTTATAGCTGGGATTTTGAAAGCAGGGCTTGAAGAGAATCACAGAATTCCAGAATGGTTTGGGGTGGAAGGGAGCTTAAAGATCATCTTGTTTCATTCCCCAGGAATTGTCCAAGGCCAGGCTGGACAGGGTTTGGAGCAATTTGGGATAGCTGGAGGTGTCCTTACCCATGCAGGGGGTGGAATGAGATGAGGTTTAAGGTCCCTCACAGCCCAAACTGTTCTGTGATTCTGTCCAAATTAATAAGATCATTGGACTGAGGAGAAAAAAATATTTAAGGTGCTACCTGAACGCCCTGTGCATTGGCTGAGGGACTTTATCCAATGTTCAGCTCTGTGAAAAACTCATCCCCTCTTAAAGACAGTGCCCACTGTGCTCGTTCTGCCCTCTCTTCTGAAGGTGGATTAAAGTTTTAGCTGTAGGACTTAGAGAGGCTTCCCAAAGACACAGGAATGTGCCCAGGGTGTGTTAGCAGCAGCTCTCAGCAGGATTCTCTTTGACTTAGCAGGATTTGATTTCTGACCAGGCACTGCTCTGCAAACTGGACATCAGCAGACTCCAAGGTCTGTCCCCAGCTGATGCCTCAGGTTTGAGCTTTTCTATTTTCAGATTCTGTGCTGCTTTAGTGTGTGGGTCTGAGCTTCACATCAGGGCATGGTGAGCTCTGTGCACAGAGCAGGGAGACAAAACAATTCCTGCTCCAGCTGGGCACCAAGGACAAATGATCCAAATCTCAGCCCAGGAGCACAAACCCCGTGGGCTGGAGAGAGAAAAACAAGCAGGATGGGAGTGCAGGGACTGAGCTGGAATGGGACAATGAACTGCAATGTGCACATGGAGCAGAGCTGATCCCAGGGAGAGACCCCGGGAGCGCTCGTGCATTTTGGGGCCATTTGGGTTCAATTTGGGGGCAGCCCTGGCTGGGCTCTTGTGCTGCCCAAGGTGGAGCCATGGAGGAGATCCTTGGAATCAATGCCTGCTTTATTCTGGAACTCCATCCAGCCTCTGCTCTGGGGCAGCCTGAGCGCTCGTGCATTTTGGGACCATTTGGGTTCATCTTGGGTGCAGCCCTGGCTGGGCTCTTGTGCTGCCCAAGGTGGATCCATGGAGGAGATCCTTTGAATCAATCTCTGATTTATTCTTTAGCTCTGTCCAGTCTCTGTTCCAGGTTAGCCTGCAGAAGGCATCACAACTGTAATTTGGAATAACCCAGTGTCCATCTGGAGCAAACCAAAGGAAATTTGCTGTTCCCCAGCCCTCCATGACACCACCTTCCATTTCCCTGCCCTACGCAATTGCCAGAGGCACCAGGTAGATTTTTATGGGATTAAACGAGCAGCGCCTTTCCTTTAACATCTTGGTGACTTTGAGGAAGATCTCAGAGACTTTATGATCTTCACCTTGGGTTTTTTTTTTTGGTAAAGGACCACCTGTATGTACCAGAAGTGCACAGTGACTCCACCAATGCCCTGGGCAGCCTGTGACAGTGCTCAGCAACATCTCCAGGGAAGAAATTTTCCCCAATATTCAAACTAAACCTCCCCTGGCACAACTTGAGGTCGTTCCCTCTCCTCCTGTCCCTGTTCCCTGGAGCAGAGCCTGATCCCCCCACTGTCCCCTCCTGCCAGGAGCTGTGCAGAGCCACAAGGTCCCCCCTTGAGCCTCCTTTTCTCCTCCTTTTTTTGCCCTAATTCTCTTGACATAAGTTGGGTTGTCTGAGCTACCCCTACAAGTCACTAAAAATTAAAAAGAGAAAAATATCTCCAGTCCCCATGAGTTATTAACTTATTCAGGAACTACAACTTGTCATGGGTTTAAAAGAAAGGAGCATCTTAAAGGGATGAGCTAATAAAAGTTCCAGCCTATAGAGAGAACAGTGAAAGGCTTGAAAAACACCCTGAACTTGGATGAAGACAAATAAAATATCATCAGGCACAACACTAGTCCCCTCCTCTTTGAAATAAAAACTGAGGGTTTTCCATAGATGTGTTTTCAACAAACATCAGGATGATGTGCTTGAAACAGAAACTTGGGCAGTTTTAAAACACAGAAAAATCTTTCCTTGCCCTTGAAAACTGTATTGTGGAGCTCCAAACCTGCCCATCTGAACAGTTCAGTTGGAAATAAGAGGATGCCAAGCAGAATTAACCAGAGTTTACAGGCACCAAACAAGCTGTGTTTGGGCTTTCTCCAGGAAATCAATTTAAATTATTTGAATTATAATAACTAGCAAGGCCTGAGGCGTTACATCTTATTTCAATATTCCTCTGAACAATGAGATTTTTTGCATAAAAAGGCATGTTTCTGTAAAAAAAAAAAAAAAAAAAAATTATTCCTGCTTCTCTCTGTGGGGGAATTTAATTTGATTTTCCCCCATTTGATACTGCACAAGAATTTAAAAGCTGACACCATTTATTTCTCCTCAGTATGTTTACCTAGATTTTACAACTAAAAAACCCTGATGTGTTGTCTCCCAATCTAGCACTGTTAGAAAAAGAAAATTAAATAAAAATCAATGCTAATAAAAACTTCACACAGAAACATGTTACAGAAAATGAGACTTTTTTCCCCTACCACATTTAATTCTGATGGGAAGAGCACCTAATTCTGAATTAAACCTCACAAGAAATTCCCTAAGGCACATCTATCACGAGGGAACACATTCCCCTAAAAAGCTTACTTATATCTGGCAATGTTAATTGAGAAAGTCATGGAGGACACAGAAAATTAATATATAGAGGCAAATTATGTATTACATTGATTTAAAAAAGAACAGAGGAAGTGGGTTAATTTTTGCTCAATTCCTAACTGCATTTTTTTTTCCTTAAAATGCATTTTTTTTCAGAATTTCAGGACAAAAAAATAATTTAACAAACAAGGCTGAAGTGACACATCTTGCCAAGATTTCCAAAAAAACTTATCAATGCTCCTTTTTCTTTTATGCTTTCCTGAGCTTCTCTGCTCTCAACATTAAACCTTTTTCTATATTGCTAATAAAATACCTAAATTTAAAAATTCCTGCTGTGATTTAACCCTGTATATCTCAAACGTTTTGTCAGGATGCCTGCAGATGTTGGAGGAGTGGACACATTTGTGCGTCCCATTGTGGAGTTTTCCCCATTTCAAAACAACTGAGGAGTTGCTGATCCCACCTTTGCTTCCCAGTAATTCCCAAATCTTCCCAGAGCTGCACCTGAGCAGCATTTTCCTGGCATTAAGAATTAGACTGAAAAAATAAAAATTAAAAAAAAAATTGAAATTAAACATTAAAAAATATATTTCCTGAATTTTGTGTTGGTGGAAGTCTAAACCTGGCTGAAGAAGCCTCAAGGGACTCTGCCAAAATCAGATTTTCAATAAAAGTATGGTCTGGTGGTAAAATCTGTGTGGCTCTGTTGGGCCAATCCTTCCATTTTGACATTAAACTTCAATAACAACACAGTAAATCAAGCTCTGCACCACAACCCAAAACTGTCTACAGGTCTCTCACAGGAGAGAGTGCCAAGTTTATTTCCTACAGGATGAAAAAAGAATTTCTTGCTGGTAGAAATGCACATTTTACAAATTCTTTTGCACTGAGGGTGGTGTAATTGCCATAGAAAAACACCACACTTGGTATAAAAATGGGTTTTTGTCCACAGAAGATGTGGGTGGACTCCCCATCCCTGGAAGGGTTCAAGGCCAGGTTGGATTGGGCTCTGAGCAACCTGAGAAATATTTCTATTAAAAAAAACAAATAAATAAACAATCACAGCACAAAGCAAATAAAAGCCCACAAACAAAAAAGAACACACAAAAAAAAAAACCCAAAACAAACAAAAAATAACACCCCAAAAAAAAAAAAAACAACAAACCCAAATCGAAAAAACAAATAAATAAACAATCACAGCACAAAGCAAATAAAAGCCCACAAACAAAAAAGAACACACAAAAAAAAAAACCCAAATCAAACAAACAAACACTGAAAAAAATTTAAAAATACCCAAAAAAAAACAACAAACCCAAAACAAAAAACCCAGAGAATGCCAGAGTGGTTTGGGCTGGAAAGGACTCATGTTCTATTAAAAAACCCAAACAAATAAACAATCACAGCACAAAGCAAACAAAAACCCACCAACAAAAAAAAAGAAAACAAAAAACCCTGAAACAAACACCAAGAAAGTTTTCAAAAATACCAAAAAACCCCCAACCAACCGAAAACAAAACACCAAACAAAAAATCCAAACAGAATCCCAGAGTGGGTTGGGTTGGAAAGGACCCAAACAACCTGAGAAATAGTTCTATTAAAAAACCCAAACAAATCAACAATCACATCACAAAACAAACAAAAACCCACAAACAAAAGACCAAAACAAACACTGAAAAAAATATAAAAATACCCAAAAAATCCCACCCCAAAACAAACGAAAAAGATACCCAAGAAAACCCAACACAAAAAAACATAAACAAAAAACCGCAACAAAGAATCCCAGAGTGGTTTGGGTTGGAAAGGACCCTAAAAACCTCATTTTCCACCCCTTCTTTCCACCCTCCACTACCCCAGGTGGCTCCAAACCCAATCCAACCCTCCCCATGTTAAAAAACCACTCAGCCAACAGCAGGACACCAGGAGTCTGTGGCTGATTTGCCTTTTGAAACGTCTTTTCCTCAAGAAACTTCATCCCTTTCAGAGAGTTACCTGCACAGAATGTCCATTTTTGGGGTCTGAAGCAGCACCACGGGCTCTCCATGGTCTCACTCATCCATCCCTTCCCAGGTTCCAGCCAAGGATGCTGTGTCAGCACGGGAAAAACGGGATCATTCCCTCATCCCAGACACTGCCCAGCGACTCAGCTCATCCCACTCTTTGTGCCTGTCCAGCACTGGCCATTCTGGGAATCAGCAGAGAAACCACTTCCCTTTCTGCCAATACCCCACGAGCAGTGGCAGTGACTGCTTTACCCAAAAATAAAGATTTCATGGCCACATTGTTATTGGATGAGTTCTGCTTTCCAGAGAATTCCAAACTCAGTGCACATCCTGTTTGTGACTCACCTTGGAAAAGCCAGTAGAGTTGTTTGAGCTGCAAATTCTTCCAGCACCCCTGAGGGATCAATCCCAGTACAATCCAATCAATCCCAGTACAATCCCAATACAATCCAACCACCAGCAGTGCCTCTGTGCAAAGCTCAATCTGTCAGAGATGTGACATTCTCAGCAAAGGGGCTATGAAGACTGATACACACTGATACTGATTCCTTGATACACAAAGGAAAAATTGGGTAAAAGGCTGACAACCAGGTTGTTTTTATTAATAAAACTATTTTAAATATTTTATTTGCATGAAAATGACCTTGAAATTTTTTTACATTAAGAAAACTATCTTAAATATTTTAGTTGCATGAAAATTACGTTGAATTATTTTTTACATTATTTGAACTTAAATATTTTTTTGCTTGGGTTATTTTTTGGTTTTGTTTTTTTTCATTACCCTCTGGAAGGCAGACAAAGATCCCTCAGGAAAGAGAGAAGGAGCAAGCACCAAGGTTTTTATTCAAGTGTGCTCTCCTCAAAGGGCCCCATTCATCTAATTATGGATATTTATATCATTATTTATACAACTACTGGCTGTAGTCAGTGTCACTCACAGATCTTTAGTGTGATTACCTCCCAGCAGGATGCACATCCACACTTGAAAAATACAAAGTGCTTGCACAATGGATTTATAATCCTAGAAAGGCAATTCCTTTCCACATCACAACAGAATTCAGCCCTTAAATGTTCCTCAGCTGGAGCACAAATCAATCATTTAGAAGATGATTAAGCACCCAGGAAAGCTTTCACTCACACATATTTACACCCCAGCTTTGCTTTGCTTCACAAGTGCTGCCAGAAGTTGTCTTTAAAATCCAACTTGGACACTCAGCCTGAATTTTGAAGTGGTTCTGATTAAAGCAAAATGTAACTTTGCTTATGATAAATGATGCTGAACAGAGGGAAAAGAGTTCTCTCAGCTTAGCAGTGGCTTCAGCTGAGCTGCACCCACCCTGGGACAGAAAGAGCTGCACACTGGAAAATTATTGTAAATCAAGTACACGTAGTTCTTAGTATAAAATGTTCAATCCCTCTTAAAGAGCTGTTTGTTCTTCTGGGCATTAGATTTTAAAGGAGTTACCTGCAGCCATTGCAGTGCCAGGGATCTACCAGGATAACAAATCCATCTTTTCTATTAACATGTCCTTCACAACAGGTCAGACATCTGTTGAAAATTGATTTATGGATTCCAGAATGAAGAAAGCAACACCCCATCAATTCAGCCAATCCTCTAAACCCACTCATTTCTGTTTAGACTTCTGATACATCATCACCTATCTTATTTTTCAAATCTAAGTGATTCCAGTCCCTCCTGCTCGGGGGGAAATCCCCGAGCTCCCAGGGTCACACTGGTACAATTATATTGATTAAACTCCAGCAGACCTTGAGCTCTTCCCTATTTGCTTCAAGAATGGACGAGCCACCCTGAAACCCACGAAGAACAAAAGGAACTCTGTCATTCACCAGGTTCTGGAGCACAGCAAGAAGAGAGATCAGGAACAGCTCCTGGGAGGGGGATGCTGGATTATTCCCTTTTCTGACCCAGAGCTGGGGCAACTGAGAGGTGTTTTAAACACTTTCATTCCATTTTCAGTCTCATGTGAAGGGTGAGACAATACAGATGTTATAATTCACACCATCACAATCAGAAGCCAACTATTTCCTAATTACAATACATTATAAAAGTTTCTTGGTCTATCAGCTTTAGCCACACCATGCTGAAAATGCCTTAAATCATCTAAAATTACCCCTCATGGATCCTACTGCAATGCATCTTTCCTAGTTCTATTTCTCCAAAGTATCCAGTTTTATTTGCAAGGCCATCCTTTGAAGCTTGTTCCTGGTTCCATTCCTCTCTCAGCAATGTCTGTCCATTCCATGGCATTTCCAAGTCAGCATTTCTCATCTCAGGGCTTGCACAGAGATGCACACACTGTGTGAGCCTTCTGTCAGGCTTTGAGAATTCCCTACAAACCCATTTCCCACAGGAGGAAGCTGTGGATTTACAGCAGAGGATGAGCTGAAGAACTGGGAATGCAACAGCGCCTGAGACTCAAAGCTCACCAGAGGACATTTCATCTTCTAATTATTGATGAGATTATTGATGATCCCTGGACAGGGCTTGGAGCAGCCTGGGATAGTGGGAGGTGTCCCTGCCATGGCAGGGGTGGAAAAAGCTGAGCTTTACGGTCCCTCCCAACCCAAACCAGTCTGGGATTTAACCAAGGGACTTCTCACAGCTCTGAAATCCATCTACATCTCCCAAACCAACATTTGTCAGCAAAGCTAAAGATCTGTGTTATCATAAATTCTTTCTGTAAATCAGAATGCCCCCACAGCTCCTTCAGTCATGACCTACCCCAGGCACAAACATCTGGGAATTCTGTACCACAAGCAACAGCAGATTTTTTTTTTTTTCAATTTACCTAAATTCCCTGCTTTTGCAACCCAACACTCTTAAATTAAATATTTATCTAAGCAACCTGATTCATCAGCTCCAAATCCAAGGTCTCCCCAGTAAGTGGAGAGAACTGATACTGTGGAAACCCAGATTTTATTTTTTCTATGGCACTATTATTCAAATCAGAACAGCACTCCTGAATTTCACAGCTTCACAAAGCCCAGCCCACCACACAAACGTGGATTTAGAACACTTTTGATTAATATTACTTAAAAACCGACATAAAACACTGCATGTGACCAGACTGATCTGGGAAGAACACATTTCCCTGTGCCTGCTTTCCAAAGCATCTCCAGTGGCCAGCTGCCAGCACAGCCCCACTAAAATAGCTGCATTTATTCCATCGCAGGTGTTTTGGAACAAGTATCAAAGCAACCAAGCTGCACTCAAACAAAAGCAGAGATCCCCCCCAGGGCAGGGATGTTTCTCTCATGATCTGCTCTGGAAATCCCCTTCTCTCTGCAAAAGGAGGAAAAAAGAGGAGGTTTCTTGGCAGGGTCTCCAAAATTCATTTATAAAGCATGTGTCCAATCAGCAGCAACAGCAGAGACCTGCTCAGAAGGGGTAATTTGGGATATTTGATGTGTACAGCTCAGCTGAAGACTGAAACACCTCAAAATTACATCTTTAGGTTATCCAAAGCACCATTTTATAATGTTTCATACGCTTTATAACTACTCCACCAACGAAAAACAATCAATTATTTTTTTTTTTCTGCCTGTTACCAGGAAAGAAAAAATGCTTTTAAACTCTACAGCAAGGAACTTTTTCCAGTCAAGGTTTAGAACATCACACTCAACTCCACAGGACAAACCAAATTCTGTTGTTACCTGTGCAATTCTTGACTCGTGCTTCAGATCTCTGCCAACAAAAGCAGACCTGGGTCATTTGTCAATTGATTTTGAGAAAAATGCTAAGTTCATCCCAATTCCTCCATAACATCCCTTGAAGTCCTCACTAAACTCTTCCCTTTATTCTCAATTACCTGATGCAAATCTGACTTGTCTGTGTGATCCAAGAGATCCCTCAGCCCCAAGTTCAACAAGTGCCCAAACTTCCCCTTCTTCCAGAATTAAGGCAATTAATTCTTCCAGAATTAAGGCAACAAAACCAGTCACAAAAAAACACAAAGGATTTTAATTTCTGTCATGAACACAGAACAGGTCTTCTCAAGGCAGAATTACCAAACTGAAATTCAGCAGCTGAGAAACAGTGTGAGTTGATCTAAACAAGCTGTCACCATTTATTAGGGACATCCACACAACACAGGTGATTATTTAAATAAAAGGAATCAAACCACACACATAGAAAATACCAGAAAAATTACACTGGCCATGACTTATTACAGAATTCTCCTATTTCTGAAGGCTCTCACACATGTGACACAAACCCCAGCAGTTCAGCACAGGTGGACATAACAAGGCATCCTGGTGTTCCACAATAAAAAAAAAAAAACAAAATAAAAATAAAAGGAAAAGCAAATGAAATTCCCAAGTTAAGGTGCACAACACCCTGTGGCATCAGACACATCTGTGAAGGGCAATTTTAAGGATGTTACACAAGAGGTAGAAGTAAGATTTTTTTGCAGCGTTCAAACATCCACAGTTGTTTTACAGAAACACTTAACTAAGCCTAAATTGATAAATGATTAAAATCTTGCATAATCAACGAGTTTTTTTAAGCTAAGTTCTAATTTCACATATTTTTGTTGGGCCCAACCAAACTGTCCTTCAGTAATATTTCACTAGCAGTGTAAAATGGGGTATTTTAAGGAAATGAGTTAGACCAACACACAGGCAAATGATACACTTCAGACACCAAACAGTAATATTAAAATATAGACACTATTCATCTTTGTATATCTGTCATAAAAAATAAAAGGAAACTTATTTTTTCCCCATCTATATATTGGAAACAGCCTAATTCTGTGAAAAAACTATGCTCATTAAGGACCTGTTGTGCATAAACAAGTTGTGTTTTATTCAGTAAAAAACAAAGCAATCTTTGTCTGGCAATGATTTTTACTCTGATTTATTCTCTCTCTAACCAGTGCTTTTTTGTTTTAACACACTATATGCAAATATTTTCCTTTTTAAAGCTCATTTGGCAACAAGCAAAGAGGATTTTTAACTCTAGCTCCTCAATTTGTTTAGAAGTTGCTCCTAACCCAATATATTTTCAGTCTCTAACAGCACAGGCATGTACATTAAACACATTATTTTGCACCTTTGATTACAGTATTGCTAACAAAGAAAAATAAGGACTTTCCATTCTACAGCACTGATAAATTTGCTTGGCAAAGTTATTCTTTTATTTTAGAACATTACAAAGCAGTTCTCTACCAAAAAAAAAAAAGAAAAAAAATAATTGATAAAAAAACCAAGACATCTCAAGTGCTACAAACCAAAATAAAAAAACCCCAAAAAGTGCTGGTGAGTGCCATGGATAAACTGCACAGGGAATAATAAACCAAGGTCCCAGCATGGTTAAGGCTCTATTTCCCTTGAAGCAGAACAGGAGAAAACAAGGTGCAAAAATTCCCAGAAACTCCCCAGGTCCTGCAGCAGGTGCATTCCTCAGCTTTAAGAGAAATCCCAATTATCCAGGCTCATTCCAAGAATCCTTGTAAAAGAGGCTGGGAGCTCATCCCTCCAGAGTTTCTTGATAAAAGTTCAAGGTGAGCCACTGAGCTCCTGAACTCAAGGCAAAGCAACAAAGCCAAATCAGGACTGAAATCCCTTAAAAGCTGCGGCTTCAATGGAAGCAGGACCACAGGCAGCTCTTCAGCAGCCCAGTTGTTCAAAAAATAACAATTAAAATAAATATTCCACAGTCAACTGCCCTCATATTGACTGATGGGAAGTGCTCCCTGCTCCTGTTCAATCCACAAACACTAAATAATCAATAACTCAAAAGTTTTTCCACTTTAACGACTCCATTAGGAAAAATAAATGAATAAATCTGTAGCAGACTGTGGCCATAAAGAATTGAACTCTTAGTTTTGCAGCTAAGAGCACATATCCTGCCACAGAAATAAAGATCTAAAGAACAAAATCCCCAAAGCCCACTGCTTTGGGCTGTGCCACCATGCAGCATTTGTGAAAATTGCAGCTCTCAACCAAAGAACGGGCCAAAAAAAAAAAAAAAAAAAAGAAAAATAATTCCAATACCCAGCTTCCAGAGCAGGTAAAAATAGAATTAAAAAAAATAATAAGCATATAGGCTTAAGGTCTGTTTGTTGCATAATTTTTACGGTGTTTCAACAAAACAAAAATCCAACTTCCTGCAGAATCAGAGCTAAGACTCAGTAAATATCCCACAGAGCCAAGGTGGGTTCTGCCACTGCAGGAAGAACAGACATGAGCCACAGCCAAACCCCTCCTGTGCTCAGCTCTCCTTGCTCTTTGCCACCTCCCAAGTCTAGGAAAGCTGAGCTTAAATCCTGCCAGGAGAGGAGCTGATGCTTCAAGTCCCTTCAAGCCCTCCTGACCGTGGAAGGCAAAAAGAGAATTCCCCACTGGAATTTGGGCTCCTTCCTTCTTCAAGGTCCCTTTTCCTCCTTTTTATCCCCCCCAAAAAAGGGGCTGCAGGTCAAAGACAGTGCCAGGAAGCTGGGCTCTGGAAAAGTGCAAAAATCTGGGGTGTCCCCACGGTTCTCTGCAAACAGAAATCCCTCAGCAAAATCCCCACCAAATCCCCACCTTAAAACACTGATTTCCTTCAAAAAGAAATAACCACGAGAGACTTAGCACGAACCAGAGCACAGTTCTGACTAAGGCAAACCATTCCCAAACTTCACATACCCAGGTACAGACAAAAATATTGGTGGTGGTGGTAAATTCCAGCAGCAAAGGAAAAAAAAAATATTCAGTTTGGAAAGGATAAAAATGCAATAGCAGCAGTTTGGGAATTAAAGTCACCCACTCTTGAAAAGGCCACAGCAAGACAAGCAGCATGAACTTAAATAACCTCCCTGCATGCTGCTCTAATGGGAATAACTAATTAATACCAATTTCTGAGTTTTAGTTTATGCAAATAGCATCAGAGCAATTTAACTGCCAGAAGGACCCTGTGGGTACAGAAAAACAGAGGTACAAAACTTATAACCAGAAAAAAAAAATAATAAAAGAGTTAAAAAATAAAGTCAAAATAAATAATTAAGAGTTCTTCCCTGCTGCTGGCCTCCCTTCTGGGAATTAATAAGGATGAATCATCAAAAACCTTCAGTAATTTGCACAGAATGCAGAAATAATTGCAATTCTTAAGTCTGTGTTGTACTGGACTATGAATTTGGGATTTGAAAGCATTAAAGATTCAATAATAACTATCAAAAAGCACCCTGATAATGATCCTGACTCAAAAAGGGACAGCTGAGTGCTCCATTTATTTAAACTGCAGCAATCCAGTGTCCCTGCCACCAGGACTGGCTACAACTCTGCCACCTTCACCCTAAATTTAAAAAGTATAAATCAAAACAGGGGAAAAAAAACCCCCAAATAATAAATCTCATGAAAGCTGAGTGGAAGGGTGGAGGTGGGGGAAAAAGGGAATAAACTGAATTTTACCTGATAGCTTCTCAAAATGAGGAGGGAAAGGGACATTTTTTTTTTTTTTCTCTCTGTAAACATCAAAACTAACTCCAAACCAAAACCACCTCTTTGGCTTAAATGTGTCCCAAAACCTCAATTCTGCTTTCCCTGAAGTCAGTAAAACGTGAATACAATTACTCCCTAAAGCCACAAGCATTACACTTGTGCTTATTCACACCCAAAACTCAGTGCAAGACTTGCAGAATCTGTGCCTTGCTGCCAAATTAAACACCAGGCAGCAAAAATGATGTTCTGACTGACAGAGCTGCTGCAACTTTACAAAATAAAGTGGTTTTTTTTCCCTTAAAATGCAAAAGGTTTCGTAATAAAACAACAGAAGTGGAGCATTCTGAAATTAGGAGCTGAAGACAAAACTCATTCTAGGTCTGATGCTGTCCATGACCAATGAATTTAAAGAAAAGGGCACTAAATAATTAATAAAACTTATTTTTGCAAATAAAAGCTTATTTTTGTTTGAAGAGCTGGAGTTTTTGTGAAGAAAAGTGAGCGAGGCCAAGTGAAACAGGAGCACCTGACCTGGGCACAGGATCCAGGGGGACATTCCAGAGCCACAGAGCTCCTTCAGGAACCCAGCCTGGAGCAGCTCCCGAGTGCAATTAACATAATTAACAACATGAGTTGATTGCAGCCACGTGGAACCCTTTAAAATGCATTTTTTTTTTTAAACTGAAATTGGAACCAGAAGTGACCACACAGCTTTTTAACACGCTGGAAAAAATCAGATTGTTAAAGGCACATTAACTATGAGCTAATTACGAGCATTAATTAACACATGAGCAGTACAATAAGAACCAGTTATACCCTAAATATTCACCACTACAAAACAACCCTGGCTGTGTAAACAGAAAAAAAGCCCCAAGATCCAGACTCTGAAATTCTGATTTCCTGTCAGCGCAGCACAGCAACGGTAAATTAATTTTAATTTGGGTAATTAAACCCCCAAATCACCCAAGAACTGAAATACTGCAAACTCCACTTTGAAGCTGTGGAGCACAATCAGTTTCACAAATGCAGATTGAACCTTCTTAAATTACTTTGTGCAAATAAATTCCATGTACACAGAGAGAAAACACACCAAAATAACTGGTACCTGTTTTTTAGGCTAAGGTTTGAAATAGTCTTTAAGCAAAGTTCACTTTCTTTAGGGGAAAAAAAACCATGATTTTGCTATACTAATTATCTGATTTCTATCTACTTTTGCTTTTAAACGTCACTCAGTGGATTACAATGAGGCCTGGGTAAATTTTAGCTACAAATCTCCAAGCCTCAATAGAGTTAAGGATGGCACTACTGAGACAAGATCTGCTCTAGAAACATCCACGCATCCAGAACTACACAACTGCATTTGGAACAATTCTGCAAGTACAAATACGTATGAGAACAGCTCTATAATTACCCACAAAAATGTCAAATTTGACACTGAACACCACATGACATAAAAATCTTCATTTTAGTCCTTCAAATTTTGCTTATATCCCCAACTTGATTCACTTTTAACCCAAGAACTGCTCTCCAAAGCTGTTCATTAATATCCTGATACTCAAGAACCTTAATTATTAGTACATGTTAGGAGACTGTGGAACAGTAAGACAGTTGTTAAAGCATTAAAATATTCCTAAATGCCCTAAGATCACAGCTTGAATTAATTAGTCTTTACTAGTTTTCACCCTGAACAACCACACACTGATTGTCTAAGCCACACAATGGAGACTAATTAACAGCAATTAAATATATTAAACCTTCCACACCAAAAAAAACGATCAGTGAAAGAGCTTTGGTAACCTAGTACATAATTAGCTTTGTGTAAATATTTTGCAAACATCCCTCTCCCAAAAAATCCCTATATACCACGTGTATATTTATATAATAATATACAGAGTTCCTGAGTAAAGCATTAAATCTGATTATTCGGAAGATTTGGCAAAATATTTAACTTCATATTACTCAAATTTTTTTAAAAATAAACATTTAGCGAAGACATTAAAATAAATATGGAATGTGTCTGAAAAAAATTGTAGTACCAAGAACATATATTAGTAACAAATAATCAGTAACAAATAATAGGTTTTTTATATAAGTGCATACTATGTTATATTGTTACTGGTTTTAAACCCACTGAGGAACCAATAAATCTAATTTCTAATCCTGAGCAAGTTTTCTATCACCTGCTAATGAGCACTTCCATGCAGCTCACACTGCAAAGCTACAAAAATCCACTTTTTTAGTGGAAAAACCCAAGTGGAAATTCTATGGAAAAGCTCAGCTCACATTGACTTTGCTGGAAACTGAACTGGCAACACAAAACCCTCTCAAAACCAGCACTGGGCACTGATTATTCCTGTCAAACAGAGACAACCTGTCCCAAAAAACACCACCACAGCAGCACGGATTGCTCTGACACAGTGATGGGGTGCGAACTACTCAGTGATCACTTTGGCTCTGGAAAGAACTACACATGGTGCAAAAAATGAAAATAAAACAAACCCTGAATGACTATTGAGTACCTTCAAATATCCTAAATTGTCTCATTAACCAAAAAAAAAAAGGTAATTAAGTTCTACCAGACTCTGGTTGCTCAGGTCCTGGCTGGACTCAGGAAAGCTCAGCTCTTGTTCAGCTCCTCTGAGCATTAAAATTCTCAGCAGCAGACACCTGCAATATTCAACTGCATCAACACCACCACAAGCCATGTCTCTCCACACCACAGTACCACAGCACTGACCAGGCACCTTAATTAACCCTTTTTTTTAAATTAACCCCTTCCTGACATGCAGTGAAATCCACCTCTGGCAGTGCTGGGCAGGACCTGAGCCCTTCCCTCCCCATCCTCCGCTTTCCGTTTATTATCGCCGGTCACTCCAAAACCTTCCTCGCTTCCTCAGCTTCTTCACTTCCTCTGCTTTCCTGCTCCAGGCTGCTTTTTTCCTGGCTGCTCGTGCTTGGAGGACAAAGCTGTTGCAGGAGCAGTTGTTGGTTTCCGTGTCCGGCTGGAGGGGATTTGGGCAGAGCCAGCTGCAGCGCGCACCAGAGCGCGGTGCGAGCTCGGCGCGTGGCACCAGCCAGGGCTCGCAGGGCAGCTGCCAGGGCCAGCACATCTGCAACGACAGCACAAACACATCACTGGACAGGCCTGGAAATGTCATTGCCAGGCTCTGGTTTCTCTTTCTCTGTCGAGGTCAGGATTGAAGGCACTTGAGACGATAGAGTGCGTTTAGCTTAGATGTTTATTTTTTCTTGTCTATGTTACAGTGTCACAGCAGTGAGTTCTACAGCCTTTCACTAACAAGGCACAAAATGGCTAACTGTCGCTTGTTACAAGGTCTTTTAAGTATAAACTATCCAATTAAGAAATGACACCTCAATTATGTTTACTTTTAACCCAATAACTAATCACTCGAAATCCGCAATGTGACTTTTCTGTCCAATTACATAAAACCACCCAAACCCATGGAGAAGAAGGTGAAGAACGAGGACCAGCCTCCACCCCAAAACCTCCATCTAGCTTTATCTATATTACTGTATTCTAAACCCTTAAACTCTGAGTTTCCCAGCCTGTGATATCTCACACTTCTATTCAAGCTCCACACCCACCATCCCAGTTCTGTCATTCCATTTTGGAAGCTTCTCCACAGCCTCAGGTCAGTGCAGTGTTCTCTTGGGAGTCAGTGCCTGGCAGCACAGAAAGTCTATAACTCCCAGCACCCAGAACTCCCAACACATTATTAATTTTATTTTTTTTAACTGCATAAATTCATTCAACTCCCAGCCCTGAGCAAACCCTGCTCAAGGAGCGGCTGAGCTGCACCGGTAATGACAGCTGCAACATCTCACATGAATTGTCTGTGCAAAAAGGGTCCAAAATGCTGCAAAAGGATCCAAAATACTGGTGGACACCAGGCAAACTAGTCTGCTGAGGCTGCAGGCAGTTTTTTGATTTTGCAGGAAGTGAACGTTGATTTTTGGATTGGTGAGTGAAACCACAAAGATCTGGTCAAATACAGAAATGAATTCTTAAGGCAGCTCCACAGGGGATTTGTTTGCAACTGCAAACCCTGCAAGGCCAGGGACTGCAAGGCTGCACATTTCCAGCCACACCTGCTGACACTGCAACCTTTCAGACAGAAATGTTGATGAAATGTGGGACTAAGTGAACCAAGCTGCTCCTACACTTCTCTGGGAATTCAGGAGGGGAGGGGGCCTCACCAAAACCTGGGACTCAATAGGAGGGACCAGGACCTGGTGATGCCATAACTCATTGTAAGAGATGACAGAGCTGTTATTTGTAGTGTTGGCAATATTAGATGCGGTATTGGAATTAAGATCTAATCATAATCATCCACTTAACCACTCTGTCCTACTTCTCCTGCCTGGCCAAGAACCTTCCTTCTACTACTCCTGACTCCCACCTGGAGTTAAAGTCACGTGAAAGTTTTAGGAGTAATTTTAAAAGTCACTTTGCATATAGGTCTGTTGTTTTAAGGGCATGACATTTTACATTTTAATTTTTGATACCTGAACTGCAAAAGCAAAACATTTTGATTCTCTTTCTTGCTTATCAGAAGAGCAGCTATTCCACAGCCAAAGGAACCTCACTGTCCACTTCACTTCAGCACTAAGGAGTGAATTCCTCTTTTGTTCTGAGACCCAGGTGTTTTCTGAAGGAAAATAATATGATCTTTAACCCCAGACCATAAATTGCAACATTTACTGCTGCTACAAGTTATTCTGGCTTTACTTCAACAGAATTTGGGAAACGTGGAATGTCATTCCTGGTGGCTTTGTATTTAGGTAAGGTAGATAATTGTTCTGCACAACACTGCAAAATTTTTTATTATTTTATAAGCTGAAGAGAAAACAAAGTTTAGCCATACCAGCAAATAATTCTACCTGCTTAAAAACAGCACACTTTTGCTTTTAGGACCACCACTTATGGTTATATCATGTCACTGAAGAGTTTTTACAGTTGTCCTCTAGTCAAGAGGAAAAAACTTCAAATATCTTAAAATCTTAACAGCAAAAAAAAAAAAAAAATAGAACTCAAAGTAATTTAAAGACTTAAAAAGTAACAAGAGCCTATTTGCAAACTTCCTTGCTGAAGTGACAAGAATTGCTGGGTATTGCAAATTTACATTTTTAAGTGGAACATACTCACGACTAAAGCCCTGGAAAAGCTCTGAGGGCTGCAGGAAAGGGCAGCATTACCTTTCTCGTTGCTGTAGCGTGGCCCCCCATGGCTCTGGGGGTTTGCAGCATTCCCAATCTCATCCTTCCGACGTGCCTGGGTCACCTGAATGGCTTCCAGGTGCAGCTCCAAGGTCCTGGAGATGTTCCTGTGCAGGGGAGCACCACAAAGCCTCTCCATTCTTCCTATCAGGGCGAGCACCTGGCAGAAAACTCAAACTATTGTTTCATGTCCTTGCTTGCTGTACTATTGTGACTTTTCTACTTTCTGCTCCAAGTTCTCTGCTCTTTCTGTTCCTGAGGCCTGCTTTCACAGCTTTCTGAAAGCCTTCTCACCTTTACTAGCTCCCACAATCCCCCTCTCTCCCAAATTTAGTAAACACTATCACAAAGATCAAACAGCAACAGCACATCCCTTCATTATACAGAACTTCTCACCATATAAAAGAAAGATGTACTGTCCCAGTGGGGAGCAAAACTAGAAGCAGACCTCTAATAGAAACCACATCAGAACCCACCACTCTAAAGCTATCATAGAAAACTGATAACCCTATTTAAATTAATTAGTAAACTTGAGCAAAGAAAAACCTAAGTACCCTTGAAAATTTAGTAAAAAAAAAAAATTGCAAAAAAATCAAATCACACCCCACAAATAGTCCTGTATTCATCACCCACAAAAAGACTTCTAACTCCTACAGATTACTTCATAACCTAAAGAAAATCAATAAAGCAATCAAAAACATGACACTCCTCCAACCCAGACTTCCCTGTCAATCGGTAACTCCCAGAAGCTAACCTCTGGTTACCTTCAATTTAAAATACTATTTTCATAGCTTAAAAGACCACTATTTTCATCAGTTTAAAAGACTGTTTTTTCAACATACCACCCCAAAGTTCACCCTTTCAGTTCACAGACTGGGTTGGAAGAGACCTTTAAGACCACAGAGTCCAACCCACGCCCCAACACCTCAACTGAGCCGCTGCGCTGCGCTCCGCCTGTCAGCCAACAGCTCGGTATCAGCCAACTCAACCACCAGTTCCAACCATCAGCCAAAGAAAACCGCCGTAAAACCACCAAACCCGCTGAGGCTGATGAGTAAACAATCAAATCCCAGGAGAGCTGCAGCCCCTGCAGGCGTACCCGGGCGCGCTCCCGGGCCTGGTCAGCGAGCAGGCGATCCACGCGGGATGGATTCGCGGCGAGCCGCGGCACGGGGCTGGGCACGGAGCTGGGCTGCCCTGGGAAGCGTCTTGCAAGGTCAGCCTCAGCCTGAAAGGGAAAGAATTTGTCAGGGTGATGGCTTGAAGGGAGTACGGTGTCCTCAGTCTGGCGCTGTTTGGCATTTTCAAGAGGATTAGGAGTGAGCGCACAGTCGACTTCTGAGTGCACTGACAGAAAAACATTCCCAAATCTCACAGGATCCCACAGTGGTTTGGGCTGGAAGGGACCTTAAAGCTCATTTTATTCCAGCCCCCACCATGAACACCTTCCACCATCCCAGGTTGCTCCAAGCTCCCTCCATCCTGGCCGTGAACACTTCCAGGGATCCAGGGCCAGCCACAGCTTCTCTGGGATATCTGTGCCAGGGCCTCCCCACATTCACAGGGAAGAATTCCTTCCTTTTTCCATGAGGGAAACACTAAACCACTGCTGGTTTAATCCCAAACTCCCTGGACATGGATTTGCAACAGAATGATTTGGATTGGGAAAGGACCTGCAACTTCCACCATCCCAGGCTGCTCCAAGCCCCATCCAGCCTGGCCTTGGACATTTCCAGGGATCCAGGGGCAGCCACATCTGCTCTGGGCACCCTGTGCCAGGGCCTGCCCACCCTTATGGCAAAAATTTCTTCCCAAATCTAATCTAACCCTGCCCTCTTTTGGTTTGAAGTCATTCCCCTTGACCTATCACTACATGCCCTTGTCAGAAGTCCCTCTCCAGCTTCCCTGCAGGAATATTTCTCTAATTCAGCTCTCCCTCAGAGCTCAACACCTCTCACTGCTTCTCTCCAATGTTATTATTTTAAAAAATAACCATATTATGATTATTTACACATATCATGATTATTTAAAAGAAGAACCAGGTGATAGCAGCAGCATAAATCACATCCCAAGTGCATCAGGATGAACCCACATTTAACATCAACTGATACCAGCTCTTTAACCCAGAAAATATTTTTCCTTTAACAGAGAAAATCTTTAACTCAACAGCCAAACTTCCACTGAGAAAGAGAGGCTTTGCCAGGGTCTAACACATACAGTGAATAAACAGCACCAAAGCTATTTTTGTGTAGAAAATTCTTACATTTGAGTAAAAAAGACACAGCTAGCAGTAGATTCCTTATCTCATTCCTTCTCCAGGGTACCATGGATGCAGGAGAGAGGGTTCAGGTGCTGCACTGCAGTTCAAGGCAAGCCTCACACTGTGCATATTTGTACTGAAAGTATGTGGTGAAGTCCTTCTCTTTTTGTTTTACTTCCACATTATTTATTCCCTGCCCTGGCCTATCATGGATTACAAGAGCTGACTCCACCAGCATTCACCATCTGAGGAGCCCCCACAGCTGAGGATGGAAATAAAAAGGGGTTTTCCAGGTCTACTTTGCTCAGACACCTTTACCCAGGGACCAGGAGGCTTCTCACACATGGCAGTAGCACCCAGTGCATAATTAGAACCAGGGATTATGGGCAATTTATTTTCTGAGACCTGGCATAAAATTCAGGGATTTGACCCCTCTTGGGAAAGCTCTTCCTGCTTCTTTAGAGCACAGAGCTTTAATTCCCAAGTGCAAAACCCTCATCATCAGCGTGATCCTTCCCCTGCCAACAGTTCTGGGAGCGAGTGTGAAGCTGGAAAGTGACCATAATGAGAAGAGCATAAACTGGAATTCCCTTTGGGAACAAAAAAAAATATTGTAGGTTTTCTCTACAGACACACAGAGGATGCCCAGGATTAGTTACTTCATTTTAACTACAGCCAGAGACTTACTACAAGAAAAAAGAAAGAAAAATCAGAAGAAGAGAAAGCTGTGATTGTATCATGGACAGTAAAAACCAAACCAAAAAAAAAAAGAGACCAAAACCCCCAACAAACCAAAGAAAAACCATAAAACTTTCTCTCTTACAACCAGCCAAGTCTTTATCAGGAATCATCACCAGCTGTGTTTTACCTTTTTCCTCTCCTTCTCCAAAGCTCTCCACTGCTCGGAACACTCCTCCAGCCGGACGTGGAGCTCGTTAGCGGGGCCACTGCGGCTCCTGGGAGGTCTGAACTTGTGAAATGGGGCTGGAAAGGCAAAGCAGGGCGCAGGGACATCTCCAGGGAACAGCTCACTCATGAAGGGACTCAAGGGGTTGAAGTCGTCGCAGTGGAAAAGATCAACGAGGTCCGAGAACGGAAACGACGGTGGAGGGAAATTGAAAGTGTTGGCTGGTGGAAACAGTTGGTGATTAAATGGAGGGAAGCTGGGATTCTGCTTAAAATCAGACATGAATGGGAACGAAGGAAGCAGAGAAGGATTGATGAAATCTGACAAGCTGCCACCACTCTGCTCGTGCTTTTTCGGAAACGCGGCGAAAGGCTGGCGGTTTGGGGCCGTAGATCCCAAAGGAGGGATCCAATTCCTTCTACCTCTTCTGTCATCTTTACTGCCACTTTCCTGGCTCTGCCTCTTCGGGAACCTGTGGTATTTCTCAGCAGGGTCTTCACCTGCAGCCTTCTGCTGCACCAGCCAGTCGGGTGAAAAACGGACGGGGAATTTGCGGCGCCGCCCGTCCTTGCTGACCCCGGCATCCTCCCGGTGCCTTCCAACGGGTCTCACCTGCTTCTGGCTCTCCGAGGTGAAATGAGGAACCCCCAAGGGGCTGGAAACTCCATCTGAGGTCTGTAACCTCCCATCTTTCCTGGGAGGGAGGATGGGAAGGAGCTGGGAGAAGTAGGAGGGCTGTGTGAAAGGCTGGTGGGTGGGAGAGCCCCCAGACATGGTGGAAACCCCTGATGAGGACTGGGGGCTCGTTGCCATTTGTTTTCCATATGGAATTTCAGATGCAGCTGCCAGGCTGCTCCCATCCAGCCACGCACACCCCTGGTATGAGGAGTAATTGCCATTTTGCACAGTGTTTTTCACAGATAACTCATATTCAGCTGCTTGAGGAGAGCTTTCCTTAGGGCCCATATTCACATTACACTCATTATTATTATTATTATTGAAAACATTCCCCAAAGTAAAGCCACAACGGCCATTTTGCACATGGCTTTCCTGGGGTTTTCTGCTTGCTCCTCCAGAAAATGTGTTTTCCTTAGGGGGTGGGTTGAAAAAATGAAGGGATGGATGGAGAGGTGACTGCAGTTTGGGAGCAGCTGAGAAGTTCTCATATCTCTTAGAGAACAAGTGGCTGTCCTGGGGTACTTTATCCCAAGAGTTATCACCACCAGGCTGATTGGAAAGATCAGGGGAATACTTAGTTTGTCCTTGAGCGTAATTTTGCAGAGCTTTTCCTCTTTTCCAGAACTCCTTCTGGGTGCTGGGGCTTTCTTTCATCCTGTTCCGAGGAGAAAAAGGGCTAAAACTGGACCCACATTTTTCAAAACCTCCGTTTAATCTCCCATGGTCATAAGTGCACAAATGCTGGTTCCAGCCCCCGTTTGGGAAGGAAAACCCTTCCTGGGGAGCTGTGGTGCTGTTCTGCAAGGAGGAATTGCCAGGGTTCCTCAGGGCATTGCTGGGATGAGCACGGGGAGAGAGCCAAGACTCGAGGAGCTGAAGGTCCCCCAAACCTCTGTGCAGCATCTCCACCTCAGGAGGCTCCTGCAGGGCTCCCTGATGGCAGCTGGAGCCCAGCAGGTTGGGAAAATCCTTGCTTTGGACCCAGTGCTGAGCTGGGAACTCCCCGCTGCTGCCCACATCAGGTGCCCACACAGGGGGGAACAACCTGGATAGAGAATTCCTGGAACAGAGTTAAAGCAACCTCCCGTCAGGATTTAAAACATTCCTGGCTTTAAAACAACTCACACATAACGTGTTACATTATTGGCCAGACAGGCACAGCTCTCCCCAAAAACAGGAGGAATATTCCCACTGCAGCTGAGCAAGGGCTCTGTGAAATCTCATCACCCACACTGTTTATTCTGCACCTTCAGAAATGCAGAGTTTATTTGGATTTATTAAATGTCTCAGATTCCACTGTATTCAGTCAGCTCCCTGCTGGTTAAAATGAATTATCATCCTTCTTTTCCCCCTCCTCAAATGCTGTAAAGCTGATGGAAAACTTTAAAAAATGTGCATTTTTAACAGTTCAGTATTGTTTAACTGGCAAATGAAGTGAAGACACTTCCACATTTTAAAGGGCTGTCATTACTCAACTCTGAAATAATTAAAAATGAGCATCATATCTGTGTGACAATGGGCATAAAAACCAGCACAGAAATGATAAAAACCCTCAGAACAAACTCACCAGTCTGTAGCTGGCTCTGGCTTGTTTGGCTCCTCTAAAATGCTCGACACCAGCCCAAACACATCTGGGCCATTGCCAGAGTAAGAAAGATTTATTGGTGCCCTGAAAAAAAAAAAAAAAAAAAAACAAAAAAAACCACCAAAGTAAAAGTTTTAAATAAGTAAAACTTATTTAAAGTTTTCTCCTAAACAAAACAGACAAAAATAAGATTAAAACTTGATTTTAGCAGCATTTTTCAGTTGTAAAAAAAAAAAAAAAACCAAAAAAAACCACTAAAGTAAAAGTTTTAAATAAGTAAGACTTATTTAAATTTTCTCCCAAACAAAACAGACAAAAAGAAGATTAAAACTTGATTTTAGCAGCATTTTTCAGTTGTTTTGAATTTAATGTGTCCTCAGCATCCCTCTACAGAAATCCTTTCCTGCATTTGTGGATTCTATTGCCCAAATAAAGTAGAATTATTTTCCTTCTAGTTTCACCAGACACTTTCCAAGCAGCAAAAATTTTCCTCTCTTTCCAATAAAAAAAACTGTTTTATGGACATTCCTTCCAACCTTGACTGTCTTGTTTAGAGCATAAATAGGATCAATATTCTCAAAGTCTGGAGCACTCTAATTTACCTACTGCCAAATAATTCAATACCTATTCTGTTAACCTCAAAAAAAATATAATAAATAAATATATAGATATCAAATATAAATTATATATACTTAAATTGAACCACTTTTTAATCCACTTTTGGACAGGTCAAAATTTTACTAAATATTTCTGGTAAGCACCCAAGGTTTCCAACAATTTTTAAACAAAAATTAAACTTTTTACTTCAGGCACGAGATGAGATTTTTATGGAGTTGTTTGGAATGACTCCTCCTCACAAGTTAATAATAAAGCTTTCCTTCCCCCTCTATCCTCATTGTTTTGCTCCAATAAACTTCCCTCCCCACCTGGAATCCTTTCAGGGTTCCTGAAGATCTCTGAGATTTCCTGGTCCCACCTTTCCCAAACCCCCCTGGGATGCCACGTAACTGCTCACTGACTTTGCTGATTAACAGAGACCATAAAATATGGGACAAACTCATTAAAAAAACCACATTTTAATCCCAGTGAGAACCACACCCTACTGGCTTTTCAGACCTCACCAGTTTCACCTCTAAACTCATCCCTGATTTACCCCACGACTGCTCAGCTCCTCTCTGAGGAACCTGGATTTAATTTAAGATGCACAGAAGTGCAAAGACTCTTGAAAATAAATGTTTTGTGAATGCAGAATTGATATTTGATAACCAGATCTTTTCTGGGTCTTGGTCAAATAAAGTTTTTTTCTTTTCCTATTTTTTTTTTTTTTAGGGAGACCTCAAGGAATCCTGAATATCCACAGGCTCAGAATGGATGCAGACATGGATTAACCCTAAATCCATAACTTTTTTGTTTTTTTTAAAGCTTGCAATAATTTTAATTAGCAAATTAGCCTTGTATATTTTAATTAGCAAATTGCCACTCCTTGCTTAAAATTAAGCCTCACAGCTGACACGAAAGCTGTGTGATCTTTTATTCAAACTGACACTTCCCACTGAAAACCAGCAAAAGAATTAAGGTTTTTTGCCATCCATTATCTTCTTTAACTGTTACCTTTCAGCACCTTGTGAGCCAGTGGACTCCACTTTCTCCCCACCTTAGATTTTGTCTTTCTTATCAAGCAAATGATACAAAAAAATGCACTGAGGTATTAGAAATGCTCATTAAAAGAGCATTTTCTCATCAGAAGCTGCTGTGTCAGTCTCTACCACCCAATTCCCTCCAAAAAAAGGCAATATTCTGTCACCACCACTTGGCTTTAGGATGGAAAAAAGAAACCCCAGCACAGCTTTTTTTATCACAACCTCAGTAACAACCACCACAGAACAAAGAAAATCTGAATTTCCAGAGATGCCTGAAACTCTCCCCAAAAAACATCCAGGATTCGTTCTGTAACACAAGAATCCCAGTGACCCAGAAGCCCCAAGGCCACAGCAGGGATGCTGATACCTTTTTTTTGGGCACTCCTGGAAGGCAGTTTGGGATCCAAAATCCTCAGCACATCCCAGCCAGTCCCTGCACAGCTGGGAGGGCTCCGGGGGCGTGGGGGGACTGGGGACTGCTGCCAGGAATGGGGAGAACAACTGGGTGTCCATGGTTTGCTTCCTGCTGTTCACCTGCACGGAACAGAGAAAAAAATGGTTTTTAATGTCAGGTGTTCATCTGGTGAGCAGGAAAGGCAGCAAAGCAAAGCTTTGCTGTTGTTTCCTGAAATAAATTAATTTTTCAGCACTGCCTAACGCAGCCACGACAGAAGGATCAAGTCTAAATCACGTTCCCCTCCTTGCCTTAAATTAACCCAAATCTGTCTTCTAAAAACAAATATGCAAATTAAGAGTGGACTCACTGCACAGCAATAGGAATTCTCCACAGGTTTCACATTTTAGGTGTTGGTGTGGCACCTTCACAGCTCAGACCCTCCTGCTCCACGAGACTGGGAATGCCCCCGTGCCAGGCAAACACATCCCCTCTGGAAAACAAGAGACAACATCTCTGCTATACCCAAAAAACACAAAATATTCCAGTGAAGAGGGGAGGGGCGTCAGGGAACTCCACAGAGCAAAATGGGGGTAAAGAAAAGTAACCCAATACTGCTGCAGAAAGGAATATCACAAATAAGTTATTTGTTCTGAGGTTATTGATGTCAACAAAGACTTGGGCAGGTGATATTTGAGGCTTCTTCCAACCTGGAACTCTCTGAATTTAATTTACAATTAATCCTTGTCCCACACTCAGATCTCACTTCCTGGGGATTTTCTGAGCAGGTTGGTAGAAATATTCTCTGGTCGGGTGTGTTCCAACCAAGAGCAGGGCAGAACAACCCTGCAGTGAATGTTTTTAAATAAATAAGTAAATAAAAAGTTCACACTGAGAGTTCATCACTTGCTACAAACTGATTTTGCACACCCAAACCAATCCCTGTTAAATAACAGAATTAGAGACACCAGGACCCCGTGGAGGCCACACAAATATCCTGTAAAATTCCATATAAACAGCATGGAACACATCAACAGCCTGGCAGTACTTATTCAACAGGCCAAAATCCCACAAGAACTGAGCAGCAAACCCACAGCCCCTGGTCCTGTCTGGGCTACCAGGGAGCAGCAGACAGAGAGAAATTCCTGCTCCTTGGCCAGAGAATAAAAAACTTGTGCACAGATTAAAAATAGGGCCCGTAACAAATGGATTTATGTTTTATTTCCAGAGCCATTCATCACTGCTGATGGGAGTTGTGCAGGACAATGTGTCTGAAGCCCAGGAGAAGAGGGACTTCATGTACCCTAGATAAGGCTCAGTGCTTCCAGAACACTGGAGCCTGTGCTGCCCCCAGGAAAACACTAATTCTGCTCTGGGGTTTACATAGGAACCACTAACAAGTGCAGGAAAAAAAAAATCAATCTCAAAATTAAAAATCAATTCATTAAATGCTGCCCTTTTTTTTTTTTTTTTTTTTTTTTTTTAAAGGCGGGGGGGAAAATCAGATTATAACTCCCAGAGTCTTCAGTAGGGTTTTTACTTTATTCCCCTGCAAATCCTGGGAAAGCCACTGATCTTAATAAATCACCTTCGAAAAACAACAATAAAAACCTATATCTAAAGCCCAGACAGGTTTTCTGGACTCATTTTTTTCATTCAAACAGTGAAAGAACAGGCAAAAAAAAGTATTTACCAAAACCATTCACTATTTCCAAAAGCCTCAAGCAGTTCTTTGTACTTAAATTCTCTTCCAAAGTTTCTTTTGAGGAGAAATACATGAGCACAACTTCATCAGCAAAATGTTAATATTTCAGGCATAAACATAAATGAAATTAAATAGCACCAAAGTTGTGGTATCTTGACATGAAAAAAAAGGAGATATTTAGATCAGACATTGAGAGAAAGTTGTTCCCTGTCAGGGTGGGGAGGCCCTGGCACAGATTCCCAGAGAAGCTGTGGCTGCCCCTGGATCCCTGGAAGTGTCCAAGGCCAGGCTGGAGCAGCCTGGGACAGTGTGAGGTGTCCCTGCCCATGGCAGAGGGGAGGAATGAGATGATTTTTAAGGTCCCTCCCAACCCAAACCATTCTGGGATTCTGTGATCTGCAAGATCAGTGAAAGATGTGTCCAAGACATTTTCCACACAGAGGCTTCCAGAAGGGCAGCTGGAAACAAGAGACCTGCAACTTGTGAAAATCCTCTCTGTGCCAGGATTCCACAGCAGGACACTGGAACCCTGGCTGGAACCATGGAACCCTGGCTGCTGAGAATTCCAGACTTTCTGTGCTGCCAGGCCCTGACCCCCAACTTGTGAAAATCCTCTCTGTGCCAGGATTCCACAGCAGGACACTGGAACCCTGGCTGGAACCATGGAACCCTGGCTGCTGAGAATTCGTGGGAAACTCAGAGTTTAAGGGTTTAGAATACAGTAATATAGATAAAGCAAGATGGAGGTTTTGGGGTGGAGGCTGCTCCTTCTTCTCCTTCTTCTTTCTTCTTCCCCTTCTCCATGGTTTTGGGTGGTTTTGTGTAATTGGATAAAAAGCCCCCATTGCAGCCACGGGTGGTTGGTTATTGGGTTAAAAGTGAAAATAATTGAGGTGTCATTTGTTAATTGGACAGTTGATCCTTCAAAGGCCTTGCAGAGAGAGATGGGCTCCATTTTTAGTTTGTCAGAGTGCAGTGCTGCAGAGCTCAGGGTTTGTGAGACTGTGACATGGATCAGAACTGATAAACATCTGAGTCACAACAAGAAATACCGACTCACGCATTTAATCCTAGCCCTGGCAGAAAAATAAGTTAAGACTTGACAATTACAGACAGGGATACAAAACAAATGGATTTTGAAATCCTTTTTGTTCAGCCCGGTGGGATCAGGAGGCAAAAGGCAGCACTTCCTCAGGTTCCTCTGGAAAAAGGGAGTGAATCCAGATGTTCCTAAAAGAAAACCAGGAATGCACTGAAACGGGGCTAAGCCACATCACAGGGGAGAAATCCAGATGGGAATTAACCTGGATTTTCTAAGGAAGTCTATAAAGTCCACAGCTGAAAGTTGGGAGGGTGTGGTGGGGTAAAGGAACTCAACACCAACTGAATTTATTCTCCTTTTTCCTCCTGCACTTCCCACTCCTGGATTAGGCAGAGGGTCCTGACCCAGGTTACAGCCAGGTTTGGAATTCCTGTAATTCCTGTTAATCTGAGTTTATAGGATCTCTTGGAATATGCAGGGAAAATCAGTAGAAAAGATGAGATTTTGGTGTAGATACTGATCTGTCTGTATGAAAATATTTCAAATTTTTCAATATTTCAAATACTGAATTATTGCAATACTTCATACAATGATTTTCTTTTTTTGCTTTGAATATCACAATTTAATGTTCTCACAATGGAGAAAATAAAACAAATTATGGAATATTACAGGATAAAAAGGTGTTAAAGCTTTTTTAAAAAATTTTCAATTGTCAATGAAAAATTGTTTTAGAAGTTTGCAGAAATTATTTCATTTCTCACCCCCCCGAGTTTATGTGTCTTGACTTGAAACAGATTGAGAAATAAATGGGAAAAGTCAAAATTCCCAATAATGTCAACTTTCTTCCAACAGAGTACAGACATTTATGATTTCATACTTCAGGAAATGCTCTTTGTCTCAAGCTTGGAAAAATGGCTTTAATGTTTTTTCCTGATCACTTATTTTAGGGAAATTAAAAAGTTCACACTGAGAGTTCATCACTTGCTACAAACTGATTTTGCACACCCAAACCAATCCCTGTTAAATAACAGAATTAGAGACACCAGGACCCCGTGGAGGCCACACAAATATCCTGTAAAATTCCATATAAACAGCATGGAACACATCAACAGCCTGGCAGTACTTATTCAACAGGCCAAAATCCCACAAGAACTGAGCAGCAAACCCACAGCCCCTGGTCCTGTCTGGGCTACCAGGGAGCAGCAGACAGAGAGAAATTCCTGCTCTCGGCCAGAGAATAAAAAAACTTGTGCACAGATTAAAAATAGGGCCCGTAACAAATGGATTTATGTTTTATTTTCAGAGCCATTCATCACTGCTGATGGGAGTTGTGCAGGACAATGTGTCTGAAGCCCATAAAAATTTTTTTTTTTTTTTTTTTTTTTTTTTTTTTTTTTTTTTTTAAAGGCGGGGGGGAAAATCAGATTATAACTCCCAGAGTCTTCAGTAGGGTTTTTACTTTATTCCCCTGCAAATCCTGGGAAAGCCACTGATCTTAATAAATCACCTTCGAAAAACAACAATAAAAACCTATATCTAAAGCCCAGACAGGTTTTCTTTTTTTTTTTTTTTTTTTTTTTTTTTAAAGGCGGGGGGGAAAATCAGATTATAACTCCCAGAGTCTTCAGTAGGGTTTTTACTTTATTCCCCTGCAAATCCTGGGAAAGCCACTGATCTTAATAAATCACCTTCGAAAAACAACAATAAAAACCTATATCTAAAGCCCAGACAGGTTTTCTGGACTCTTTTTTCATTCAAACAGTGAAAGAACAGGCAAAAAAAAGTATTTACCAAAACCATTCACTATTTCCAAAAGCCTCAAGCAGTTCTTTGTACTTAAATTCTCTTCCAAAGTTTCTTTTGAGGAGAAATACATGAGCACAACTTCATCAGCAAAATGTTAATATTTCAGGCATAAACATAAATGAAATTAAATAGCACCAAAGCTATTTTTGTGGTATCTTGACATGAAAAAAAAGGAGATATTTAGATCAGACATTGAGAGAAAGTTGTTCCCTGTCAGGGTGGGGAGGCCCTGGCACAGATTCCCAGAGAAGCTGTGGCTGCCCCTGGATCCCTGGAAGTGTCCAAGGCCAGGCTGGAGCAGCCTGGGACAGTGTGAGGTGTCCCTGCCCATGGCAGAGGGGAGGAATGAGATGATTTTTAAGGTCCCTCCCAACCCAAACCATTCTGGGATTCTGTGATCTGCAAGATCAGTGTGAGATGTGTCCAAGACATTTTCCACACAGAGGCTTCCAGAAGGGCAGCTGGAAACAAGAGACCTGCAACTTGTGAAAATCCTCTCTGTGCCAGGATTCCACAGCAGGACACTGGAACCCTGGCTGGAACCATGGAACCCTGGCTGCTGAGAATTCCAGACTTTCTGTGCTGCCAGGCCCTGACCCCCAAGAGAACACTGCACTGACCTGAGGCTGTGGAGAAGCTTCCAAAATGGAATGACAGAACTGGGATTGTGGGTGTGGAGTTTGAATAGAAGTGTGTGATATCACAGGCTGGGAAACTCAGAGTTTAAGGGTTTAGAATACAGTAATATAGATAAAGCAAGATGGAGGTTTTGGGGTGGAGGCTTCTCCTTCTCCTTCTCCTCCTTCTCCATGGGTTTGGGTGGTTTTGTGTAATTGGATAAAAAGCCCCCATTGCAGCCACGGGTGGTTGGTTATTGGGTTAAAAGTGAAAATAATTTGGGTGTCATTTGTTAATTGGACAGTTGATCCTTCAAAGGCCTTGCAGAGAGAGATGGGCTCCATTTTTAGTTTGTCAGAGTGCAGTGCTGCAGAACTCAGGGTTTGTGAGACTGTGACATGGATCAGAACTGATAAACATCTGAGTCCCAGCAAGAAATACTGTCTCACATTTAATCCTGACCCTGGCAGAAAAGCAAAAGAATGGACAGACACTCCCATGTTGCTCCTCATCACTGGAAAGGTTTTGCTCCCAGAGTTGTCCAGCACAGCCCTGGCAGCAGTTCAGGACTTGTGGCTGTCATTCCAAGATGCCAGGAGCTGCTGGCAGAGAAGGGGAGACCCCTTGGGCAACCTGGAAGAAGTTTTAGGAATTTTCATGGAGAATCCTAAATTATGCCAGGGTTATGAACGTCTGGGGGACTGAAACAGAATGATTTGGGAATGGACCTGCAACTTCCACCAGACCAGGTTGCTCCAAACCTCATCCAGCCTGGCCTTGGACACTTCCAGGGATCCAGGGGCAGCCACAGCTTCTCTGGGAATCTGCTCCAGGGCCTCACCACTCTTCAGGAAGGATTTCCTCCTCTTTAGAGGTGAGAAGAGCTTCTGACTCATCTCAGACTTAAATTTCTCTGAGAAAATATTTTATAAACTGAAAAATAACGTAACCACAGCTAAATATTGCTCCATTGTACAATCAGAAGAAACTGCTTTTACTGACACGAAATCCCACCTGACAGAGCTCTTGATTTTCCAAAAAAAAGCATTGAAATTAGCCAAAAGCCTTTTTAGAGCCAGTTATCCTAAAGCTGCAGGATCTCCCTGCCCCAGAGCACTGCAAGAACTTCACTGATAACAACAGTAAACAACAGCACTGCAGCATTATCACATCCACACTGAGGGTATTCTGCTCTCATTTCTTGGCAGGGGAAGCATTTCCTGTTTATTCCTTGGGGTTTGTTTCTTGGCAGGATAAAACAAGCACAAAAAGCACTGTTTTGGGGCTTTTTAAAAGACTTTTAGTAATTCCCACCTATGGATATCTTAATCTGTAGCACACTGGGACTGCCTGACTCATTCAGGGTGCACTGCCAGAAACCACTGGGTAAAAAAATAATTTAAAAAAAAAACCAAAAAATCAGAAATCTTTAAATTTCTTTCTTGGGTTTCCCGGGAAATGAACCAGCAGAAGTCAACAGGCAAAAAGGATATAAAAAAAAATCAAATTCAGGGGAGAAAATAGGTCAGTTACTCAGACCTCTTAATATTAGGGATAAAACTATAAAAATAGCAGATTACTGAAGACTTCCCTCTAAATCCTGAGCTCACATCATCAAAAAGATTTGTCACAGCAGCAAAAGGAAAGGTTTCTTTTCAGCAGCCAAAGAATCAAGAAACTTTTTTTTCTCCAAGGAAAAGGATCCAAGTCTGCCAGACTCCTCCAGGCTGGGTCAAAAGCACCTTAAAAATGCACATTTTAAGGATGGGGAATAAGGTGTGTGTGGGAATAAGGGTAAATAAAATACATTTTAAGGTGTGAATAAATAAATAAATAATAATAAATTAATTAAAATAATAAATTTATGAGGTGCTTGTTCAATACCTGGGTTCTGTTGCCAAATTGCAATTAAGAATATCCAGAGGCTCACAGGCCATTTGTTTGTTTTAACACGAGAATCTAAATACTCATTTCATACTAACCAAGATTTTTGGGGATTTTTTTTTTTTTTGTTGTTTTTTGGGTCCAAGTTAACTTCAGCAGCTGCTCTTCAGGACTTTGTGCTGAGTCTGACAAGGACAAGAAGAGCTTGGGAGGATCTGCATGACCAGAGGATGACTCTCACACAACCAGGGCCAGCTGCTCCATCTGGGATGTAACATTCCCTCCAGCTGCTGAGGTTGTTATGTAACTGTGCTTACTCACTAGAAAACAAACACCTCACACAAGTTTTTATTTCTGCTGCCTGTAAAAACTCAGTTTTGGACTCACCTGTGGCTGGCAATGCCCAGGGGTGGCACCTGGACCACGTCCTTGGCATCAGCACCCAGGTTCTCTGCTCTGGAGCGTGCAGCATCGCGTGCAGGCTGGAATCAAGGCTCCTAAGCACCAGCTTCTCCTGTTCAAAAGCAATAAAAAACCCAAAAAAAAAAGCAATTACCAGGTCTGTCAGAGCTGTATTTATACACAAAACTCATTTCTAGCTCCTCCTCACTTGCTCCTCCAGTGCAGCCATCCCTACCCCAAGGCCAGATGGGGAAGTCCATCCTGCCAGGGAAGGGGTGATAATTCACTCGTGGGGAATTTTGGGGGGAATTTTGGAAGGAATTTTATCATTGCTGTTGCTTTTAATGCAGGGATGGGGCTATTTTTGGGCTAAGATTTATTGCTCAGATAAACATGAGTCTCAGAGGCTGTGAGATTTTAGAGGAGCAAGCAGTCAGCCATAGCTCAGAGTAGTCATAATTTCTTTGTTACAAGACAATAAAGAACTTTCTAAACTAATAGACAGTTGCTATAGGGTTTATTTTGCTTTTCTGACCTATCACCTTTACTCACTTCTACTGCCCTGTGGATACTTTTGTCCAATGGGCTTTTGTTTCACATGCATAAATACATTTCTATTATAACTTCTAAACTCTCAGCTCACTCCACACAACCCCATCTCTACATTATATAAACATCTTAACCCTTCACCATCTTATCCACACAATTTCTCACTTATTTAAAGCATATTTTCTTACAACTATAGAAACATAAGTTTATGATTTTTCTACTCAATATCTGTGTATTATATTTCTACATCAATCCAAACTTCTGCCAAAGCTACAAATCAAGCCCTTCAGTGTCCGTAGAAGTTTCTGTTTTTCCAATTCCCAGAGAATTTGAGATGGGATTTATGAATTGTTGTTGGTGATGTGATTTATTTTTCTTATCTTTTGCATAGATAGGAAGGGTGAGGTGGGTTTACATCTTTACTGTACGGTTTAGAAGGTTACAAGACCCTTAGTTACCAAACTTTTTAAGGAGTTATTGACTAATAAAACACTGCTAACAAGGCTATTTATGTTTTTAACTTAAATGCATGAACCTGAAATGCAAGGAACTCTCAAAACTTTAGACCTGAAAGCCAAAGCTTAGAATTAAACCCAGGATTTCATCAGAGACCTTGGAAAAGGCTCCCAAATTTAGGTGCTAGACAGGAGGATGTGGATTTACAGATTAAAGCAGACATATGTTAAACTAAGTAGAGGAAGTTTAGAGTTTTCAAGTTTAAGATATAGGAAAAAAAAAGTAGTTACAGATGTAAACAAGAAGTTTATAATACAATACTGTAAGTTTGTGTGTTATAACATGATTGGTTAAGAAACTTACACTGTAGCATGGGCCCATAAGATGAAATATTTACAGAGTAAAATCTATCAAAAACAAATATCCTTGGCATAAATATCCTATTTGCAGTGTTTTATTGGTCAAAAATTCCTTTAAAAGTCTTGTAATTAAGAGTCTTGTGACTTTCTGACCATGCAGTGAAGATGTGAGCTGAACTCGCCCTTCCTGCCTATGGAAGAAAGGAGAATAAACTGCATCATCAAACACAATCCCTGCATTCAAATACAATTATTCAAACAGATCATCAAGTATGTCTCAAATGCCTTCCAAAATTCCCCACAAGTGAATTATCAGAGCCAGGCATTGGATCAGATGGCAGGGATGGTGGGATCCACCATCACTGGTGCAATCACCAGCAGTGCTCAGAAGGGGTCTGAACGTGGCTCGTGGGGACAGCGTTTGACTCGATGACCTGAGAGGTCTTTTCCAACCTGAACAATTCCCTGCTCCCAAGAGCACTCCAGGTGGAACGTTCTGATGCCAAAATCCTTCTGCTTTCACCTATTACAGCACAACCTCCCTAAGGGACTGTCCCCTGCCACACGTGTGACACTTCCCAGGACACAGCAATGTCCCAATGCCCTGCACAAACCTAAGGCTTCATTTCCCCTGCCACAAAGCTTTGACTGAGTGAAGTTCAGTGCAGCTTTTATGGTTAAGATAAATTAGGATAAATTTCGCAGCAGCCACGTTATGATAAATTCTCCAAACCTGACAAAGCAGCTGCTCCTGTCCTAAAGGAAGGAGATGATGTCAGACTGTTGGAACCCTGGCTGCTGAGAATTCCAGACTTTCTGTGGATTTTCTGTGCTCAGTGTCAGTGGCTGCCACAGTCAGATGTTTCTTGCACTAGTGCTAAATAAAAAGTGGATTTCAGGGAGGAAATGGGGAAGGCCTGAGAACTTCTTCCTACATTACAAGCTCCAGAATCAGGTGCCAAGTTTGAACTCCCAAGACCCAAGTTTCTCTCTAACACATTTTTTTTTTTTTAACTTATTTTATATTTAGGCCTATCTGCTTGACAAAGCTGCATGGCAGAGAGGTTTTGGGGCTAAGAGGTTCCAACCAGCTCCTCAATTCCATCCTTGAGAAAAGGCAGTGATACCTTTGTCAGGTGCCTCTTCCTGAGCCAAAAACCCCCCACCCAAACACACAGAACACTTCTGCAACATTTATATTGAAGCTTCTAACTCATAACCTCTCCACTGACTGAAATTCTTGCTTTATTAAAAAAAAATAATAATTTTCCAGCAGTTCATTTAGTTTAAAAGAATGGCTGAGCGGGGCTTGGTTTCTATCTCAAAAAGTTACTAATATTGTTTTTAATGATAGATCTTACAGCTCTACACACTCCTGATTGTTGTCCAAAGCCACAAGTACTCTGAACACTCCAGTCCCACTATTTCTAAGTATTTCACTCAGAGGTTTTACTCTGAAGTTTCACTTTTTTGCTCCATGCAAATATAAGGGAATGTAATTTACCTTCACTTACAACTTCTGTCACACTCCATTATCTCCTGGTAGTCCCAGGAAACACAAGGGAATATTAAACAAACAGGTAATGAGATTTTACTGCACTTCCACTCACTTTAAAGTCAAATAATCCAAAGGCACTACAAGTGCCTGATTTGTAGATAATGGCCTGTGCTGTAAAACAGGATCACTGGTACTAAAATAAACCTTTTTGTTCAGGAATATAAAATTCCAGCTGGAGTTACAAAATATTTCTCCCAATTAATTCTGACCTATCCAGTACAGTTTAAACTCCACTAAATCAAACTCTTTCCAAATATATCTTAAAGCACACAAAAATGTTGAAATTATCCTTTGCTGAATGGGGAAAACCCACAATTACTGAAGTTACAAACTGGTGCAACATGTGGACAAACATATAGAACTTTTTAATCAGCTGCACAAGGATCAGGACACACTATTATATAAAAGTTTGTGTCTTAATTTCATTAGACTATTTGAATTAGATATAAACCACTTTCCTACTTGACCTCCCTTTGTGAAATTAAAGACATAATTAGGTGTCCTCAGGACTACAAAGCACTGTCACAACATCCCTCCAAACACCTAAACTGTTTCTACAGAGAAACAGACGAGTTTTTAATGTTTTAATTACCTGGTTGTGAAGTTACTACACATCTCAGGGGAGAGATGACAGCGAGCATTCCCAAATTTCCTATTCACTTTGAGAAAGACTTTTAAAATCTCCTGCTAGGACACTCTGGTGCTCAGCACCATGAGATACTTGGAGAAATCTGGGTTTTATAGGCACTGGCATCAAAATAACATTCAAAATGCCACAATGGCCATGCAGAGAGTGGTTTCAGCAGGAATTGCTGGGAAAGGGAGACGAAAGCTTCCAAATTTTCCAGCCCTGAAAACCCTGGAGAAACTGAGCCTCCTGAAAGCACTGAGAAGCCACTGAACACTATCAGGAAAGTAACTCGCCACACTTTTCTTTAAACTACAACAACCTCAGCCAATGTTGCAGTGCAAAAATCACTGTCCTGGGTGGGTTCCCAGGTGTTCAAACCACCAGCATCCCTCTGGACACCCCGAGTTTGTTATCCCCTCCAGACACCCTGAGTTATCCTCTGGGCAGCCCAAGCATCCCTGGACACCCTGGGCATCCCTCCAGGCACCCCAAGGATCCCTCTGGACACCCCGAGTTTGTTATCCCCTCCAGACACCCCAAATTATCCTTCGGCCAGCCCGAGCATCCCTCCGGGCACCGCAGGTTACCTGTCTGGGCACCCCGAGTTTGTCAGCCCCCCGGACACCCCTTAAAGCACACAAAAATGTTGAAATTATCCTTTGCTGAATGGGGAAAACCCACAATTACTGAAGTTACAAACTGGTGCAACATGTGGACAAACATATAGAACTTTTTAATCAGCTGCACAAGGATCAGGACACACTATTATATAAAAGTTTGTGTCTTAATTTCATTAGACTATTTGAATTAGATATAAACCACTTTCCTACTTGACCTCCCTTTGTGAAATTAAAGACATAATTAGGTGTCCTCAGGACTACAAAGCACTGTCACAACATCCCTCCAAACACCTAAACTGTTTCTACAGAGAAACAGACGAGTTTTTAATGTTTTAATTACCTGGTTGTGAAGTTACTACACATCTCAGGGGAGAGATGACAGCGAGCATTCCCAAATTTCCTATTCACTTTGAGAAAGACTTTTAAAATCTCCTGCTAGGACACTCTGGTGCTCAGCACCATGAGATACTTGGAGAAATCTGGGTTTTATAGGCACTGGCATCAAAATAACATTCAAAATGCCACAATGGCCATGCAGAGAGTGGTTTCAGCAGGAATTGCTGGGAAAGGGAGACGAAAGCTTCCAAATTTTCCAGCCCTGAAAACCCTGGAGAAACTGAGCCTCCTGAAAGCACTGAGAAGCCACTGAACACTATCAGGAAAGTAACTTGCCACACTTTTCTTTAAACTACAACAACCTCAGCCAATGTTGCAGTGCAAAAATCACTGTCCTGGGTGGGTTCCCAGGTGTTCAAACCACCAGCATCCCTCTGGACACCCCGAGTTTGTTATCCCCTCCAGACACCCTGAGTTATCCTCTGGGCAGCCCAAGCATCCCTGGACACCCTGGGCATCCCTCCAGGCACCCCGAGCATACATCCAGGCATCCCAAGGATCCCTCTGGACACCCCAAGTTTGTTATCCCCTCCAGACACCCCAAATTATCCTTCGGCCAGCCCGAGCATCCCTCCGGGCACCGCAGGTTACTGTCTGGGCACCCCGAGTTTGTCAGCCCCCCGGACATCCCGAGTTATCCTCTGGGCAACCAAAGCATCCATTCAGGCACCCCAAGTTATCCCTCCGGACATCCCGAGTTTGTTATTCCCCACGCAGCCCAAGCACCCTCCGGACATCCTGAAGTTAGTTATCCCCTCCGGACACCCCAAATTATCCTCCGGGCAACCAAAGCATCCCTCTGGACACCCCGAGTTATCCTCTGGGCAGCCCAAGCATCCATTCAGGCACCCCAAGTTATCCCTCCGGACATCCCGAGTTTGTTATTCCCCAGGCAGAACAAGCATCCTGCGGACATCCTGAGTTAGTTATCCCCTCCGGACACCCCAAATTATCCTCTGGGCAGCCCAAGCATCACTCTGAACACCCCGAGTTAGTTATCCGCCCCGGACATCCCGAATTATCCTTCAGGCACCCCAAGTTATCCCTCCGGACACCCCGAGCATCCCTCCCGGAGGCGCAGAAACCTCATCCCGCATCCAGAGCCAACTTGCACCGAGACCAACCCGCGCAGCTATCGGTCCCCACCTGCCATTCCCCGGCAGCTTTCCCTGCCCCCGGCAGAGATCAGCGGGGAAGGAGCGGCCGGAGCCGAGCCTGGCGGGGAAGGAGCGGCCGGAGCAGCCGGAGCCGAGCCCGGCGGGGAAGGAGCGGCCGGAGCCGAGCCCGTCCTCGGCAGAGATCCCCGGGAAGGAGCGGCGGGAGCCGAGCCCGGCCCGGCGCTGCCGTGCGGATCCCGCTCCCCCGCGGTTGCCACACGCACTCTGTTGCCAGGCTGTGGCGAAGCGTCTCCTCCACCCTCGCGGAGCCGCGGGACGACGCGGAAAGCGCCGGGAAAGCCTCGGGAACGCGGCGGGCTCGGGGAGCGGCCCCGCGGTGTCACCGCGGTGTCACCCCTGTGGCTGCCCGGGGATCGGGCTGCGGGATCGGGCTGCGGGAGAGCGGAGGAGCCGGGCTCACCTTCGGGGCTGCCGCTGCCCAGCCGGGCCGGCCGAGGAGCGCTGATGTCACCGCGGGGCCGCGAGGCGCGGGGACGCTGGGAATTGCAGTCCGCTCCCGAGGGCCTATATAAGTATAAATATATATAAAACTGTGTGTATATATGTATATATATTTAAACTATATATGCATATATATTTAAAATATATATATGAATGTATAAGTATATATATTTATATGTGTGTGAAAGTACACATATAAAAGTATATAAGTATAAATATATATAAATATGTGTGTATATATGTCTGTATATTTAAAGTATATATGTGTGTAAAAGTACATATATATATAATTATGTAATAATGAAAGTATATTATCAAAGTATGTGTATATATGTACATACAGTTAAACTATTTAGGTATATATTAAAAAGTATATATATAAATGTATATATATTTATGTGTGTAAAAGTACATTTATTAAAGTATGTAAGTATAAATATATATATAAAAGTTTGTGTGTATGTATATTAAAACTATATAGATATGTGGGAAAGTGTGTATATATAAACAAGAATATCAGTATAAAAGTATAAAGTATATAAATTAAAGTACATATAAATAAGTGGATATATTCATTTATATATACTATATATATTTTAATATATAAGTATATAGGTATCACTATTTATATTAGTATATATTCATGTATACATACAATATTTATATACTTATATATGAAATAATATAAATAAACAGATATACATATAATAAAAGCATATTTCTATATTAGTATATATATTAGTGTATTTGTACCATACTTATTGAGTAATAAACTATATATTTGAATATTTCAAACCCATTTAAGCTGTAATCAGGAAGCACAACCCAGTAAGGAAATGTTAATTGCTTTAATGAACATAGAAATATAGAATTACATCATATTTCACAGTAAAACGATTCTACACCTCTTGTATCTCTGGGGGTTTGGCATCTCAGATAATTCATCAGAATTAATGTGGCTTTGGTGGTGGTGGCACTTCTGTTCCTCACTGAAAGTAGCACTAAAAAGAATTTAAAATGAAGTTTATTTTAAGTAAAGGCTTCCTTCCATGCTAAACTGATTTGCATTTTCCCCTTTTTCAAGTATCTTGGTGACAGTTGTATTTTATCATCTTTTAAACATTATTTTTCCTTAATAAATTCATGGTTTTCCCACAATTCTTTGCCTGAGATTATAAATCCTCATTGTCCCCCCACATCAATTTATTTTTAGCCCTACCAAAAAAACAAACAAAAAAAAAGCAAATGTGATTTCAGCAAATAAATGTGTCCAGAGACAATGGCAATGGCAAACGGATCCATCTTCATTTTTCTGAAGAAAATGGCACAAAACCCAGTTAAAATGCAATTTAATTGGGTGGCTGGGAAGTGGAGTCCATCACCAGTCAGGAATTATTAATCTTGAGACTGGAAAAAAGAGAAACTGCTAAATTCCCACTAAATTTAAAAAGAAAAACCACCAAAAAAATTCAAAACAATTACAAAAGCTGCCTTTGACATACATTTATTTAAGTTAAACTCCAAAATATGAATAAAACTGCTCTAATAAAACAGAATGTGAGTGGCACACAGCACACAACCTTCCCCAAATATTAAATTTCTTCCCTGCAGCTTTTCTGACACAGCAATAAGTAGGAAATGAGATCAGCTCTAAAAACCCAACTTTTATTTGCTGAGTTGCTGTTCCCCCTCTGGTTTGTCCCAAAACTTCCAGTGGCATTCCCAGACACCCTCCAGCTGCCAAGCCAGCACAACTGGAGAATAAAATAATATCTAAAACTGAAACAAGAAGCTTTTATATTCATTTCCACTTTTTTTCTTTTTTTTTTCCCTCAAAACCCTGAAAAATCAAAAAAAAAAATCTCAGGCAGGGATGAAGGAAAAGAGAGAAAACCCAAATATTTCCAGAGTTGTGGAAGCAGAGCACTGAAGCACAAACTCTGATTTTAGTGGTGGGAGGAGAGAGCAGAATTCCACACTCCTTTGGATTGGATGGACAGAGGGAAAGAGAGGAAATCCAGACTCAAATCCACAAAAACAGTTCAGGCAGAAATTATTTCTGCTGGCTCAAGAACAGGTTACAGCAAAAAAAGAAAAAAAAAACACAAGACTTTTCCTTGCAGGGGTCACAGTCTAAAAAAGCGAAATACCGCACAGGGAAAGGGTTGGGGAAAAAAAGGATTTAAAGCCAAAATGTAGCATTTGTCTTTGTTTCTATCCAGCAGAAACTGTGCTCCCAAAAATAATAAATAATTAGAACTAGCAGGAGTTACATCCTCCTCTGAAAATTACATTCAAAATGCCACAATGGCCATGCAGAGAGTGGTTTCTGCAGGAGTTGTTGGGAAAAGGGGGTGAAAGCTGCCAAATTTTCCAGCCCTAAAAACCCTGGGGAAATTGAATCTCCTGGAAAAGCAGTACCAAGGCAGGACGTGAGGAATAAATCCAATTTGTGGCTCTTGTCTGGGCAGTTTTTGGACACTCCCTGAAGGCCTGAAAGGGCTCAGCACTGCCTGAGCAGCAGGAAAAAACAATCAAAATATTGATTTAAGCTACAAATATTGGTGAGGGCTTCTTAAAGTCATCCAGAGTGAAGATGCTCACCCAAAATCTGGGCACAGCAGTGGGAATCCCTATGAGTAATTATGTTTTTAATAGGGAATAGCAGTGATTTTAGCAACCTGCAGTAGAATATATTTATATATCTATATATGTTATATTATATATATTTATATAATATATATAAAATATATATATGTATAGATATAATAGAGAATATATAGAATATATATAGAATATATAGTAGAATATATAGACTACATATAGAATGATATATAGAATATATAATATATAGTAGAATGTATATGTCTATATATAAAATATATTTATATTTATAGTGTATTTATATTTATATAAAATAGAGGAGACTGAAGTATAAGCAGTCATTTTTCTGGACTCCTCACCACACCAAGGCAACTTTTTTCTTGGCATTTTACTATGACAGGGAAGGTAAAAAAATGTAACAATGAAGACAAGCACTGCTCCTAAAAATTTTTTTTTTAAATTAAATTAAAGGCAGAAAAAAAGAGGAAAACTTTTTCCTGACCTGAACCATTTCATGTATTCCCCTCTGCAATGTCTGGCAGCAACTCCTGTCTTATCCCACTGGGGTTTCAGGTTATTCCAACTGTTTACTCCACTCTCTTCCATCAGAAAGCATCACTGAGGCAGAGGAAGGGGAAACTGAGGCAGCAAGGGGGGACCCACAGAAAAAGGGGATTCAGGAAGGGCCCCACATTTTCCAGCTGTTGGATTGAGGCTGGAATCTGAGCAGGTCACCTGAGAGCCCTCCTTGGGCTCCGTGTTGGTGCTCAGGAAAAATATGCAGGACTGGGCACTTGGATTTATTGAACTTCATCTTACTGGACTCTGCCCATCCATCCAACCCTTCCAGGTCTCCCTGCAGAGTCCTTCTCCCTTCCAGTTTCCTCACTGGAAAGGTCAAACCCTGAACAGGCTTGCCAAGAGAAGTGGAGTCACCATCCCTGAAAGTGGCCAAAAAATGGGTGGATGTGGCACCTGGGGACGTGGATTAGTGGTGGAAGTGCTGTTAATGATTGGAGTTGATCATCCAAGAAGTCTTTTCCAGCCTGAATAATTCCATGGCTCTCAGAGAGGAAAAATCCCTGCAAAATCAACTCTTGCACCCTCCAGCCCCAAATTCACGTGGCTCCAATCATTAAAGGTGGAGAAGGCTGTGAGGGAAAATTAAAAAAGGGTAACATGGACTGGGGCTGCTCCCCTCCATTTCTACCTCATTTTTTTTATTTTCCAGAAGCCATCAAACACCTCTTGACCCCAGCACCACCTTCTCATGTGTCACCTTGTGTCACCTGCAGCTGCTGGCAGCAACAAAAGCCTTTCAAACGCTGTGAAGAAGACAAAAGAAATGTGTGTCCGAGGCAGAAAAGATGCAGGGCTTCCCCAAACAGAGGAGTTTATTCAGTGTTTGTTCAGGCTCTGCTCACCCCAGGACAATAAAACCATTCTGAGCAGCCTTTGCACAATGAGGGGCAGAGGAAAAGCTGCTTCGGGCCGAGATGGACAGCACAGCCTCATCTTTGTGGCCTCTGAAGGGTCCAATTTCATTTATTTTCCCAGCAGAAAGACTCTGATACCAATCCCTGACCAGACCAACAGTCTAAGGCATGGTTCTGGTCAGCAAGCAACCTGAAAGTGCATTTATTCTGTTTTATGTCTTCACACCAAGCAAAAAAAAAGCATCTTCTCTTTCAGATGAGTCCCATTTAAATCAGAGGTAATAATTAATGAGGTACTCCACAGCATCATTTCACAGCAACCATAGAGTTTTAATCAATATAAGCATTTTTTTACAGACAAATTCCTTTCACAGTAACACTGAAACAGAGGCAAAATGTGATTTTGGACGGGTTTTGTTACAAATATTCATGCAAAGGCTTTTTTCTCTTTTTGTTTTGGACAAAATAGGATCTCACCTGGGCATCTCTCTCATTGTGTCATGGATTAATTACAATACAAAAATAAAAAAGGGTTCCTATAAATCACTGCAGGCTGACAGGGTCAGGAGGCACAGAGTTGGTTTGCTTTGGAATAAGAGACGAATATGTTGCAGCAAGAAGAAAAATGGGAAAAGCAGAGGTGTGTTGGCAGCCAGAAAAAATGCAGCAAAGAAATGCCAAGGCATTGGGCTGCTCTGAAAACCCAGGGGGTGGTGGATGGAGAAAACCCCAGCTTGCAGGTGGCAGCAGGGACAGTGTGAGGGGCACAGAAAGAGCCAGAACATGGTGAAAATCTTTCCTCAGCAAGGCCAGGCTAAGCCAGCACATGTGGCACTGAAAATATCCTTTTCCTGTCCCAAAAAATGGTTTGAGTGAAGGGAGTCAGAGAAACTGGCCTGCTCCCTCCACTGGCACCAACGCAGGAGACAGGACAGGAGGTTTGAGACCTTTTTTTCCCATGAGTTAAAATCAAGGTCTGACAGGTGAAGCACAAGATGTTCATCTTTTTGAACACAATTCCAGTAGTGGGAAGAAACACCAGCCCCATCAGCAAGTTGAAGAAGCTCAATGCAAGGAGCAATGTGTAGCAAAAAATTTCAGCCTGAGAATATATCTTAATAAGAGCAGCATGACCTCCATTCAAAAAAACCTAACAGAATTATAATGGTTATTATTCAGAATGGTTATTCTGAACTGAAAAAATCAGTGCATGGAACAGGGAAACTCCTGATCCCATTGCTTGGGAGAGCACAGTCTGAGGGAGTGAGTGTCGACCATCCAGAGTCCAACCCAGCAACACAGGGCACGCCCTAAAGAGGGTCCAACCCAACAACTCATGGCACCCCTAAAAAAGTAGGGATTACCCTCAGGAAAAGCTCCCTGGATTTGTCTCCCCACGGCAGATCCACCCCAGTGATCTGCCACAGCTTTGGGTTCCCGCTGTTTATCCCAATTTGAGGAATCCTGCAAGACCCCTCCCCTGAACAGCAGCATTCCCAAATCCCCAAGCCAACCTCTCCCTAAACTGCTCCCTCACCTACTTAGCAGCACCTTTCGGCCACCACTCGGGCGTGGTGGCTCTGAGCTCCACCCTGTCCCCTGCCAGGGGGACGCAGAGCGGCTCGTGGAGGTGAGCCAGCCTCAGCAGGGCTATGCCCAGCTCTCCTCCTCCAGCACGGAACTTCCCAGCACGTTTCCCTGCCTGGGTGAGGATCTCGGCACCCTCAGGAATGCCGGCACGGGGAAGGGGCCCCGGGAAGCTGACGGGCAGCAGGCGCTTGCGGATCACGCCCATGTGGTGCGTCCTGGCCGTCAGCTCCTGCCCGATGTAGCAGCCCTTGGTGAAGCTGATGCCGTTCATGAAGGCCAGGTTGGATTCCAGGGGGAGGGCCACTCCAGGGGGGAGATCTTTCACCCCTTCGGGGATTCCTAGGGAGAGAACAAAGGCAGCAGGTTGGTGCCTTGTGTGATCTGACCTAGAGCAGAGGCTAGGCTGAGCTAGAATGGAAATAATAAAGAATAGAAAGAATAAAGCAGGGATTGATTCAAAGGATCTCCTCCATGGATCCACCTTGGGCAGCACAAGAGCCCAGCCAGGGCTGCACCCAAGATGAACCCAAATGGTCCCAAAATGCACGAGCGCTCACGGGGTCTCTCCCTGGGATCAGCTCTGCTCCATGTGCACATTGCAGTTCAGTGTCCAATTCCAGCTCAGCCCCTGCACTCCCATCCTGCTTGCTTTTCTCTCTCCAGCCCACGGGGTTTGTGCTCCTGGGCTGAGATTTGGATCATTTGTCCTTGGTGCCCAGCTGGAGCAGGAATTGTTTTGTCTCCCTGCTCTGTGCACAGAGCTCACCATGCCCTGATGTGAAGCTCAGACCCACACACTAAAGCAGCACAGAATGTGAAAATAGAAAATCTAAAACCTGAGGCATCAAGGTAAACACTGCTGCTCGTTAGATTTGTGCTCTGAGTTGTCTGGCTTGTTCTCAGTTTGATTTTCCAACCCAGAGAGATCCCAGTTTCAGCACAGGACCATCATCTTTCCCTCCTTCCCATCTTTCCCAATTAATTTAATCCTTTACCAGCATGGACACACTAAAATCAAAGGCACTGGGGCTCCCAGGACTGAGATTCCTGTCCGCTCTCCTTGGCCTCAGAGTTAACTCAGCAAATCCAGCCACAAAGTTTTTAGGAAGCCAAGTCTGGGTGTTTCCTTTTCCTTCCTCAGCATCAAGCAAATGCCTGAGCTGTGTGTCATCTCAAAATAATCAAAATTACTCCAACCACAGAAGCTTCTCTCTAAGAAAATGAATAATCCTGGCTTTCTTCTAGCATTCCTGACCAATCCCCATAATCTGAGTAAGAGAAAATTATACCCAGACATTTCCACCAGACAGAATTATAACCACCAGCTCACTTCAATACTCAAAACAGCAATTAATACATCTATTAATGAACAAATTAAATGCATTAAAACATGAGAATGAAGGGTTTATAACTTATTACTGCCTTAAATCAGCATGTGGACTCCCAAAAGCCATAGTGCAAAACAGGGCTTGGCTTTACCTTGTTTATACCTGTGCCTGTGGTAATCCTCAACGTCTCCAACTTGGCTCCCAGGAATAATCTCTGACACATTTGCTCCTTTCTTTGCAATCAGTCTCCAGCCCATGACTTCTGCCCTGGGGTCAGGGGTTAGGAGCAGAGCCTGGTCTGCACATTTTGGGAGGGAACCGGTGTCCCCAGGGAGGACAGCCCACAGGGAGAGGTCGGGGCAGGGGGCGATGGTGACTTTCCTGCGGATCTTGTAGACTTTCAGGTGTTGCTGGATGGAGTCCAGAACGCTGCTGTCGCACTCCAGCAGGATGTGAGGCTCCTCTGCTGTGCTCCCGTGGAGCCTAAAAACAAAATATCACACCCCCAAGGTCAGGGAAACAAACACCCACAGCAGCGGGAGCCAAAGCTGTGGGATTTTATTTGGATTTTTATTTGGGTCGTGGTGCAAATCCAGAATTCCACGCAGGGATTTTTGGATTTGCAGAGAAACCCAGAAATTTCTGTTCCAAGTTTCTGGATGGCACAGAGGGAGCAGCACCCACATCCCGCAGTGAAATAAATACCTGAGCTGTTCCAGCCACCTGCTGTGGCCTCCCTAGCAAACACTGCCCTCACTTCTCCCAGGGGCAGAAACACGCCTGCCCACGTGGAATTCTCTATCCTCACCCACAGTGAAGGGAGTTTCAGCTGGCTTTGTTCAGCTGTGCCTTCCACTGTCACACAATCCCAGGATGGATTTGGGTTGGGAGGGACCTTAAAGCTCATCCAGTGCCACCCCTGCCATGGCAGGGACACCTTCCACTGTCCCAGGCTGCTCCAAACCAAATCCAGCCTGGCCTTGGGCACTGCCAGGGATTCATGGGCAGCCACAGCTTCTCTGGGAACCTGTGCCAGGGCCTCAGCACCCTCACAGGGAAGAATTTCTTCCCAAAATCCCGTCCGTGCCGCTGGCAGGGCTCTGAGCTCTCTCCTCTCCAGGTGAGCACCCTCAGCGCTCCCAGCCCGGCCCCAGATGGGGATATCGCACCCATCACACTCCTCTGCCGCGGTGATCCCCAGGGGCTGCACTGAGCGATGGCACACCCACGGAGGAAGCGCGTTTTTGCACATTAATTTTGACATTTTGGCTTTTAAGCCGAAAACGTCACGAAGCAGAGAACCCCCTGCCACCCCGTCAATGGCCTCTCCCTCCTCTCCCCCCCCCCCCCCCCGCGGCCGCGCCGCTTGGTCTCACCTGTACAGGATGACGTCATACAGGCAGCGGCCCTGCACGTTCAGCGCGTGCGCGTAGAGCGCGGTGGGGGCGTCGCCCTCCACTACCAGCTGCGTGACGTCATTGGTGAGCAGCCCCTGCAGGAACACGGCGGCCTCGGCGCCCCTCACGCCCAGCAGCGCCCGCCCCAGCGGGAAACAGGCGGCGGCCGCGCCCCGCTGGCCCTGGCACCACCGGCGCAGCCCGGGCGCCGTTAATGCCCTCACCAACATGGCGGCGCCGTCACAGAATCCCCCCACAGCCGCCGCCCGCTGCCTCCGCCGCCGCCATCTTGTGTGTGTCTGCTGGGAGGGCGACACCTGCTGGCGGGGCCGGAACGCCGCGGGACCGCCCCCTTTCTGTAGCCACGCCCTCTATCCCTCTGGACCACGCCCCTCCAATGCAGTCAGATGGGCGCTGGCCACGCCCATCTCCGCATAGCCACGCCCCTTCGTCTTGGCCACGCCCCCGGTGGCGAGCGGCGCTCCCCGCGATCCCGAAGGAGGAATTTGGGAATCCCCCCGGCCTTCCCCGGGATCCCCGGCCATGGAGCGAGCAGGGAACAGCCCAGAGCGCTCCCACGTCGGGGGCTGCCCAGCCCGGCTCTCCGTGTCCCGGCTGCTCCCGTTGAATTGGAGATTCAGCCAAGCTGGAAAGGACCTGCGGGGCCACCGTGTCCAGCCGTGCCAACCGGAGCATGGCACGGCCGGTCATTCCTTAAGCACCTCCGTTCCTGGCCCTGAAATCCACGGGGTGCTGCAAACAGAGAGGGCACAGCGCCATTCTCCCCCTCCAGGGACATTTTGGCTGTCAGGGTGGAAAAGAGACTCCAAAGGTTCTGGTTTGTTTCCAGCTGCCCTCCATCCTCTTTTAACACCCTTGGAGAAACTGTCAGCGGTACCGGATTGGGGTAAATTAAACGTTTATTATAACGGAGTAAATCATAATGTTTGGCAGCGTATAATGTTTGGCAATTACAAAATTTGGCAGTTTAGCAGGAATTGCTGCTAAGCAGTGCATGGGAATAAAACCATGGAATAATGGAGTGGCTTGAAAGGTCATTAAGTCCAGCACCCTGCAAGGAGCAGGGGCATGTCCAATCCATCAGGTTGCTCAGTGTAAACTGATCCTGAACATTTCCCGGGATGGGGAAACCCTCCCTCCCTGTGTTAAACCCCCCAGTTCAGCGCTGTTTCGCTCCCCCTGGAATGCTCACTGGCGCTCTGGGCAGTGGTTCCTGCAGTGCCCGGCTAGCCCCGGCTCTCGTTCTGCTGGAATTCACCCCACAGTCCCAGGGACAGCCCTGAGTCACCGCTGCCATTCCCGATCCCCCTTTCCCAGTGGCTGCCGCTCGGTTTGAGCCCATCCTGCCCCTTCCCGCTGCCACCCGCAGCTCTCCGGGCAGGGGGAGGCAGAGAGAAGGGGCACGATGGGGAATCTGCCCCCCAGTGACCCCCCTAAAACCTCCAGGACAGGCACAGCAGCACAAACCCACCCTGAGTGAAGGGAGGCTCATTTTCCAGGAGCTGGAAACGCTCTGGGTGGATGCAGGGCTGGGCTCTCCCCTTGTGCCCCTCAGTGATAAGCTTATCACACATCCCCAGGGTGTCCGGGCAGCGCTGAGACGTGTGGGGTGTTCACCCTGGAATCCATTCCCCGCTGGAATTCCAGCTGGCCCTGCAGCTGGAGAAATAAAGATGTGACAGAGGTGACCTTGGCACATGTTCTCTGCCTGCCCCTGGCACCAGCTGTGTGTCACAAAGGGGCTGAGGACACCTGCCTGGCTCTGGGGCAGCTGGAGCAGCAGAGAGCTGGTGCCCAGGCTGGTTCTTTTCTCTCCCTGGAAATGGGAATGTGCCCAGAGCAGGAGCTGGGTTTGCTTTCTGAAGGAGAAAGAGGAAAGTCCCAAATCTGGAAGCATAGCTGGGCTGGAACTCCAGAGTCCAAGAAGCATCATGGACCCACATCTGGATCCAGCTTTGTGGGTTTTTCACCTGTTCCACATCCCTGCTTCACCCACCAAGCTGTGGGGATGGTCAGTGGCCACAGGTGTGCTGTATCAAACCCCACAGAGGTATTTGAAAGGGCAGCAAGGGGAATAAAAGTGAAAATGGAAAACAATCAGGCAACCAGTTCGAGTCTTTATTTGTTTTACCACTTCCTACTGCTTCTATTCCCTCCCCTCTGGGTTTGCTTTTCTCATGGAGTTATTCAGTTATTACGTGCAAAAATGCATGTTTGAGTCCAGAATTTATTGGCTAATCAAGTAATTTTGAAATATTTCAGTGTCAGAAACTACAACTCTGCCAATTTGGTGCATTAAATCAGCTCAGGGGATGGTTTGGGACAATCCATGGTGTCAGTGAGACCTGCAACCCCTGGAGCCCTGGGAAGGTTTCTGCCATCCCTCAGTGAGTGTGTGCCTGTCTTCACTGAAAATGGGGGGCCTGGAGCCTGGTGGGAGGGACAACACAATTCCCAGAGCTTCCATGACTTTAATTTCTACTGGAAAGTGTGAAATTCTAGTGGGAATCCACTAGAATTCCATAACTAGTGGGAAACCTCTGGTGGCAGAGGGTTGGAACAAGGTGATCTTTAAGGTCTTTTCCAACCCAAACCATCCTGGGATTCTGGTGCTGTCCCTGATGGATCACCCCCACCAGGTTTGTCATTGCTAGGGGTGTTTGTGGAAGGAGAGCTGGTGGCACAGGGTGACAGGACACAAATTCCCACCTCTCAGCCAGTGAGATGTGTCAGGGTGGCTCAGGATCCCTTCCCACAAAGGACAGAGGTTCCCCTCCTGTCCCTCAGCAGCCCCTGGGTGCTTGCTCAAGCTGCCAGCAGCCTCCTGCTCCATCAGATTTCCATTCTCTGCTCTCCCACTGCCTGAAACCCTGGGCAGCTCGAGGCTCCCACTTGTGAGGGCTCATCCTTGGCATTTAATTATCAATAACTCATCCTCACCAGGGATAACCTCTGCAGCCACCCTGCAGGGTAATAATAAACTAATTTTCTGCCATAATAAACTCATTTTCTCCAGCTTTTTCTCGGGGTTTTAAGCACAAATCCTCATTCACAAACCCACGTGAGCTGCAATTATCCCTCCCAAACCCTGTGCATTAAATATTCTGGGAGGTCAGCCACGGGCAGCTGGGACACAGGGCTGTGGCAAACCATAGCAGCACTCCTGGGACAATATCCCACAGCCTTGGAGAGGAAAACAGGCATTGTGGCAGCCCGGGCAATTCAAAATTAGTGATGATAGGAGGGAATTGCAAGTACAACAGGCAGGAACAGAGCAAAGTGGAAGCTGAGCTTGGAGGGAGTGAGTTTGTGCATCAAAAATTTGGCTGCTCTGAAAGGAGGGTGGGCACCACTCTTTTCTCCCAAGGAACAAGTGACAGAGGAAACAGCCTCAAGTTGCACTGGGAGAGCTTTAGATTGGATATTAGGGAAAATTTCTTCACTGAGAGTGTGCCCAGGCTTTGGAACAAGCTACCCAGGGAAGTGGTGGGAAATATTTAAAAACCTAAAAAAATGTGTGGATGTGGCACCTGGGGATAGGGTTTGGTGGTTGTGGTGCTGGGTTCATGGTTGGATTCAAACTTGAGGAAACAGCCTCAAGTTGCACTGGGAGAGCTTTAGATTGGATATTAGGGAAAATTTCTTCACTGAGAGTGTGCCCAGGCTTTGGAACAAGCTACCCAGGGAAGTGGTGGGAAATATTTAAAAACCTAAAAAAATGTGTGGATGTGGCACCTGGGGATAGGGTTTGGTGGTTGTGGTGCTGGGTTCATGGTTGGATTCAAACTTAGAGGACTTTTCCAGCCTTGAGGGCTCTGTGATTCCTGCTGCTGGGACTGAGGGGAAGGGACAGCTGCTGCTGCGTTTCCCTGGTGTGGCTTTGTGATGGGTGTTTCACTCCAGGTGAGAGTAAAAAGGAGTAAGTCATTGTTGTGCTGTACTAAAGTCTTTGTTTTATATTAAGTCTTTTGAAGGTGAGACTTCTAAGGGGATTTATTGTTATTTTTGGTATGGTAGCAGTAGTGAAATATTAATAATTGAGTGGGATTTTGAGTAGGTAAGAGCCAAGCTTACATTTTGTCTGGGGCAGGGTAACCTTACAGAAATACCACAGTCCCATGGTAGAATTGTTACTATGAGCAAAAAGGCCTCTGCTCTCTGCTCCAGCTTTTTAGAGCAAGGCACTTAGTCTAAGTTTCTACCAAAAGCTAAAATCTACATTCTAAATTTGTATTTCTATTTTACTTTGTAGCTCCATATATCTCAGTTTCTCCATGGTTTCAGGTCAATCCCTGTGCCTAAATTTCCCTCTGGGCCTGTGCCCCTGAGGGGTTTGCATTCCACCACCCTGGGAGGAGGGATTGGGAGCTAGGGGGATGCTGTGGCTGGAATTCTGGAGTTCTGTCTGCAGGAGGAGAAGCCATGGGTGCTGTGATCCCAGAGAGAACTGGAGAGCCACTGGCAATTTCACTCTGCATTTCCCAAGGAATGGGAGGGGTTGTGTGTGTCGTTCACATTCTCTGGAAAAAATCCCTTCACCCAGGGTGTTTCTCCTGGGAAGCTGAGAAGCCTCAGAGAAAAAGGAAAACAATTCTGATCTCATTTGCTTCTCCTGTGTTGTGCTCATGTGGAATGTGTTTGGAGATTGTTTACCCACACTGGTTTCATGTAAGTTGTTTTGACTCTTTGGCCAATCAGTGCCAAGCTGTGCTGAGACTCAGAAATAGTCACGAGTTCTCATTATTATCATTTTAACATTCAGTAAGTATCCTTTCTGTATTCTTCAGTATAGTATTAATATAATATAGTATTATAAAATATTAAATTAGCCTTCTGAGAACATGGAGTCAGATTCATCTCTTCCCTCATCCTGGGACCCTCACAAACACCACCCAGAATTTTTTCCCTGAGGACATTTGGGAGGGGCTGTGTGTGACCAGTGCCTGTGGTTTAACGGGAGCAGCAACACCGAGGTGCTTGGGAAGACTCACAAAGTGCTCTCCCATCATCTGCTCAGCCTGAATCATCGGTTTCTCCCAGATTCTCCCAAGTTTTCTTGCCTTTGAAAGCCCAGGCTTCCCTCAGCAGTGCCTGAGGGATCTGCAGTGATTCATCAGGGAGACAACGAGTCCCAAACAACGCCAAGGTCAAACGCTTCTTAAGGCAAAACTATTCTGGGATGATTTGTAGCCATAGCAGGGAAAACAGAGCTCTACATGGCTAAAGCAGGCAAATTATGGATGGAGAAGGATTTCTTCTCATCACTCAGAGCCCTGCTCAAGCAAGCACCACACGCTTCACGTACTGTAACAAAATGTAAGTTTTATTCCATGTTATTAGTAATGGATGTGGAATAGCCACAGTTGAGTTGGACTGATGTCCCTTTTGACCAGTGTTTCATATTCTAACTACAGCCCAGATGTAACATTTACACTGAAAAATACTTACAGATTCGACCTCATACTCCAAAAATTTCTAGTACAAATACAGTTAGTACATTAAAAAAAAATAACAACAAAAAAAAAAAAAGAAAAAAGAAAAAAACCCACCAATCCCAGACACTTTGTAACAGCACAAACTGGTTATGGCCTTGAGTTTAGTTCAAGTATTTCCCAGTGGAATGCTATGCAAGCAAGAAGGTAATCTGGCTTTTGTGGGACATTCCTGGCCCTGAATGGTAAGGAGAGAAATATAAGTGTGGGCACTTTATCTGAGCAAGTTTAGCAAGAGAGTCAACATTTGTGATTAGTTCAGCCACGAAGCTAAACCTGCCTTGCGTGTGGACAAAACTGCTACCTGGAGAAAAGGCAAAAATAAAAGCAAAGCATTAATTATACCATTGGCATTTCTTCTGTGGCTGATGCTCCACCCTCTAAACAAATTTCCTCGAGCTGCTGGTTGAGTTAGGAACTGTTGTGGTGGGGATTTTGCTTGTGGCTGTGAATATTTTGCTGCTCTATCCTTTTCCTGCCCCCACTGACAGGATGAAAGAAGGGATTGCTGCTCCTGCCCGGAAAGGAGTCATTTCTGCAGAGTCATCATTGCATTTGGTCACCTCTGTGGCAGTGACTCAGTGGAGAAACCCAACATCCTAAAGGGTTTCTAGGTCACAGAGTGGAGGAGGAAGGGGGAAAACAAGCAAACCAGTATATATAGAAATAATAGTAATAATAATAGTAATAATCTTTCTCTTCCTAGGGCTGCCTGATCCATGCTGGCTCCTGTGTGTGGCCCAGATGGGATCTGGGAGAGCTGGAATCCCTCCTCCCCAGGCTCAGAGAATCAGCAATGTCCTCCAGGCTGGCTGGGACCTCACAGGCAACTCTGCATCCCACCCAGGCACCCAGCTGGGAACACACCCTGTGCTTGAGTCCCTGGCAAAACTCTTGGAAAACATGGGAAAGCAGGATCAGCTCCCTTTGGGAAGGGATGTTATGCAGGGAAATACTCCAGGCCTGAGGGATGAGCAGGGCTGGGAGTGGTCAGCCCGTGTCCCTGCCCAGCGAGGGGTTATTGATCCCCCAAGAGTCTGCCCTGGCTCTGGTACCCATCAATACTGCAGTTATTGACTCTCCCTGCAGAAAACAGCCTGTGCATGTGAGATGTGAGGGTGACACCAGCTGGGGAGAGGCTCCAAACCCTCTCTGCAGGACCCAGGGGTCACTCAGAGCCCCCCTGGCTCACTGTGTGACAATAAAAAGGGGGTTTGAAGGAGGGCAGGAAGAATCTGACTGTACAACCACACATCTGGAAAGGGAGCAGTGGGATTTTGGGGAGGAGCAGAGTGCAGGAAGAGGAGAAGGGAGGGAAGGTGGCACGAGGAGCAGCACTGCCACACTGCTGGCAAGATGTGAGGTGGCTGCTGTTGGTCCAAAGATACCAGAGAAAACCACGCTAGAAAATCAGCCCTTGCAGAAAGGATGGTGAGACTGGAGGTGTTCAGCTTAAAGCACATTGGAGGGTGAAAACAGTCTCCAAACAGCCAAAATATGCAGAGGTTAAAGGCATGAGACTTCTCCATGTCTCCAAGGGGCTGCAGAGAGGGGGTTCATGTCACCCTTCAGGAGTCATTTGATGGTGGCAAGCTGGCAAGAAGATCCATGGTCTTTTCCCACCCTGCTGCTCTGAAGCTGGAATCTCCCCTCCTGTTGGGGTATTGCAGGTGCAGCCCTGCTGTGCTGACTGGGTTTAATGGGTTCATCAGATCTCTGTGAGCAGTTTTGGGGGGTTTTAACTTAAAATCTGCCCCTGGCTTTCCCCACGGTGAGGCGTTGGCCAAGATCTTTTCCTGGAGCGAGAGCGAGGGAGTCACATTCCTATCCCTGGTGTGGTGACTCAGGGGGGGATCTGCAGGTCAGCAGGAGCTGAGGGGCAGATCTGAGTCACCAGCAAGTGCTCAGGCCATGAATGGTGCTGAGGCAGAGAGGGGCAGGAGAAACCCAAAATCCCAAGTCCTGCACGGGGCGGTGCCTTCCAGCATCGTGTGGGAAGCACAAGTTTATCTGGGGCTGTGGGACTGTTGCTCATGGAAAAGGAATCAGAAGAACCCAGCCATGGTTATCCTCAGCGTTTCCATCCCTCCCTTGGGATCACAGCTTTAAATACACACAGCTTCCCATGGGACACAGGGCTGGGAATGAAGGAGAAGCCCCACTGATGTAGGGGACAAGCTGGTGCCCTGCACAGCTGCAGCGACCAGAGAACAAATTTCCAGCCAGGATCACCTCTCTCCTCCCCAGCAGCCTGGGCTGTGGCCCTGCAGGCATTTTTTCCAGGTTTCAGCAGCCCTGTGAGCACCCAGCCTCTCCTGCAGTGCCCAGCACATCCCCAGCCAGCAGAGAGCACATTCCCACACACAGGACAAGGACAAACAGAGCAGCTGGATATGTTTATCTCCACACCACCGTGGTGTGACCCTTTTGAGCCTTTCCTGCAGAATTCCCAGCAGAAGGGGATGGATGGATGGCACTACTGGCTGCTGCTGTGCTGATCCTCCTCCTGGATCCAGTTACCCCTTTGTGAGGACAAGATCTCAAGCTGCAAGAGCAAACAGCATTCCAGGCATTTTACCAATGCCTTCAGCAGGACCAGGAGCAGGCCTGGAAGGTTCCTCAGACAGATACACAAAGCCACAAAGCTGAATATTTGCTGCTGGATACCTTGTAGGATGTTTCTCTGCTTTCTTTTTAATTCCACTTTTTTTTTTTTTTTTTGTGCATCACACAGCTCAGCTGAAGTTCCCAGGAAATGAAGGGCACATCCAAATTCCCTGCCTGTTCCCAAGAATGCCCAAAGGGCTGGACACTTGAGGAACAGGCATCCTCAGGGCCGTTAGGGACTGACCTCAAGGACATGGGAGTGATGTCCAGAGAAAAGTCAGGAATATCCCATGGATAAGAAATCCTGGCATAGCCCGAGGGAACAGCTTGGCACGGGGACAGTGCAGTGCTCAGGGAGAATTTACTTCTTTTGCAATAGGTTTGATCTTGAAGGCTCTGCCTGTCTGGGTTCTCTGTGGGGGAGATGAAACCCCCCCTCTGACAAAGAACAGCAGGAGCCTTGGAGCTCAGCAGCTTGATTTTAACACGCACCCAAAATACTGTAAGTGCATGAAAACCACCCTAAAGTCAAGCCCAGCTGAAAAAAATCCACATAAACTCAGGAAACACTTCCTTCTATCATCCTGGCCCTGTCCCCACTGAAGCCAGACCTTCTGCAGAGCCCCCCCAGCAAGTGTGGGAACCCTCCCAATTCCCCAGGTGGAGCTGGAGGCTAAAAGCCCCAGGATGAGATCAGCCCCAGCCCTGGAGCAGCTGGGTTTTCTCAGGGGAGGTGGAAGGCTGTAGGAGGAGCAGAGGGTTGATATTACATTTACACCTAACTCTCTATGTCTATGCTCACACACACGTGTTCATAGTGTCTGTATCTACACATGGACACACATACACCCCAGAGACACACTATGCATAGATCTTCCTCCTGCCACTATTTGTAAGGGCTTGATTAATCAGAAAAACAAATTTGCCAACAGCGCTTTTCCTCAATTAATCAGAAAAACAAATTTGCCGACGCTGATCATCTAAAATTCAGCAAGTAAAGGAGCCTAAACCCTTTACACTTCTGTTTTCCTGGTTGCATAAAGGCACTTTCTGATGATGTGAAGCAGCAGTTTGTAAAAACCCTGTTAACTGCAACAATTCCCATCACATCTGTAGCAAGGCTACACAGGCACCAGTAGGATGCAATGTCACTGCTCGCTGCTGCTCCGGAGGGTTTGGAGCAGAGGAAGAGAAGATGAAACCTTCAGCCCTGTGATGGTTTTAGGTCTCCCTGTGTGAGGCAGTCACCCCAGACCTGACTTGGGTGCCAGCTCTGGCTCACAGCATCCAATGAGGCATTCCCTGGCATCTGCCAGCCCAGGCAGGCCATCAGCTGTGAGCCTGCCACGAAGGTCCCTGCAACATGTCAGTGGTTTTCTTACCAAAGGATCAGGAATTAATTTGATTAAGGGTGTTTAGTAATTAAACACTGCCTGGCCTGCGGCACTCGAGCCTTGCCGTGCGGGAGGGTGGCTGATCCCTGCCAGCCTGACTTCCCTCCTGAGCCACCAGCAGCTCCTCTTCCCACCACAGCACATTGTCCAGTCTCTGCTGGGGGCTCTGGTGCTGAGCCAGGGGCTGGGAGGTGGGGTGGGTTTGCTGTTACTCACTGGAGGTTCCCAGCTGGAGAACACGTTGGAAACAGGGAAGAAATGTCTTTTGTTAACTGGAAGACAGCACTGAATTGGTCCGAAACTCCTTTTACTCTCTTGACTTCCACACAAAAACCGCGCCCTGCCAAACAAACGCGAGATAACACCGAAAACCAGAAACGAACCAAAATAAAAACCCCGCTCACGCCGCCCTCTCTCCTTCCTGACCGAGTTATATCCACACGGACGTCTTCCCATCTTTACTGCTGGAGCTGCCTTTCTCCAGCGAGGCCTTGGGTTTAGCACCTTGTTTCTCCTGGGCGGTGTTGGCCCTGTTCTGCTCCACCACGGTGCCCCCCGAGGCGGGGCTGCTGGTCCGAGAGGGCTGCGTGTTGGCCTGGGTGCTGCTGTAGCTCTGGAAGGCGATGTCCAGCTGCTCCTGGGCCACCCGCAGGTGCTTGTGCAGCGTGGACAGATCCGCTGGCAGGTTCTCGTCGGGGCTGGTGCACTGCTGCTCCTGAGCCACGTTGGCCAAGTTCTGCTCGTGGGCCATCAGGCTGTTGGGGATCTTGGTGGACTTCTCGGATTTGACGACCAGGTTGTACTCGGGAGGGCAGGAGATGTTCTTGGGGTAGGCGTAGTTGTAGGGGGGCTGCCGGAAGCTGTTGATTTTCCGGTTGCGGATGGCGTCGCGGATGGTCCCGAACCCCAGGTGGAACATCTCGCACATGTTCAGCAGCAGGCACAGGCAGCTCACCACGTACATCACCAGCAGGAAGATGGTTTTCTCCGTGGGCCGGGACACAAAGCAGTCCACGGTGTGGGGACAAGGGACCCTGTTGCAGACGTAATAAGCTTCCACCTCGAAACCGTAGAGCAAATACTGCCCTATCAAAAAGCAAACCTCGAAGGAAGCCCGAGTGAGGAGCTGGAAGACGTAGATTTTCATCAGTCCCTCCTGCTGGATGCGCCTCCTCCCGTCGTGCTTCTGCTGCTCCTTGCACTTGGGCTTGGCCTTGGCCTTCTCGTGCTCGGCCGCGTCGTCGGAGATCATGGGCTCCTCCTCGTCGGCCTCCATGGCGTCCTCCATGTTGCGCACGGCCTGCCAGTTGAGGGCAAACTGCTTCTTCTTCTTGAACCCCTTGAACTTCTTCTCCTCCTCGGCCGAGCGGGCGATCCTGTGGATGGCGTAGCCCAGGTACATGACGGAGGGCGTGGAGATCACGATGATCTGGAAGACCCAGAACCTGACGTGCGACAGCGGCGCGAAGGCGTCGTAGCAGACGTTGTCGCAGCCCGGCTGCTTGGTGTTGCAGGTGAACTTGCTCTGCTCATCGGAGTAGATGGACTCGCCCCCCACCGCCGTCAGCACGATGCGGAAGACGATGAGCACGGTGAGCCAGACCTTCCCCACGAAGGTGGAGTGATTGTGAATCTCTTCTAGCAGGCGGGTGAGGAAGCTCCAGCTCATGTTGGTCATAAGGGCTGCTCAGTTATGACCTGCAGGGAGAGGGGGAGATAAAAAACAGGGATGTGAGGTCACATCTTGTGCCAGCTGGACAACCAGAGCAGTGACTGACCCTCGTGCTGGGCACTGGTGAGGCCACACCTTGAATCCTGGGGTCAGTTTTGGGCTCCTCGTGACAAAGAAAGACACTGAGGGGCTGGAGTGTGTCCAGAGATGGGAATGGAGCTGGGAAGGGTCTGGAGCACCAGGAGCGGCTGAGGGAGCTGGGAAGGGGCTCAGCCTGGAGAAAAGGAGGCTCAGGGGGGACCTTGTGGCTCTGCACAGCTCCTGCCACGAGGGGACAGCCGGGGGGGGGTCGGGCTGTGCTCCAGGGAACAGGGACAGGAGGAGAGGGAACGGCCTCAATTAGCACCAGGGGAGGTTTAGATTGGATATTAGGGAAAATTTCTCCCCCTAAAGTGTGGTCGGGGCTAGAGCAGTAGAGGATGCTCCCACAACACAGAGACTTGCCCTGCTGAAACATGTTTCATTAGTAAACCCAGAAAAATGCAAAGAATCAGTAAAAGAATGGGAATATTTATGTTTACAGGCCGATGGCCCTTTTAAGTTCCTCTTGAAACAAAGCAAAACAAAACAAAACTTTAATCAAATACAGACTGTTTCAAAAATAAACCTTGTGAAGCTTTCAAGAGAAAACCATGGATTTGTTAGGAGACCTGGACAGCTGGAGAGGAAGAGCCTGTGACAAGCATTTTGTGTTTAGCTTAACTTGCAGCAGGGCCTCAGCCCGAGTTCCTTGGGTGACCTCAGGCAGCACTAAAGACAGGAGGCAATTCCACTGCTTGGCTGGCACAGATACTGAGAGATGAGAGCAGTAGGGAAAGCACCTGCACCCAAAAAAGGAAAAAAAAAAAAGGAGAGGAGAGGGAGAGGGAGAAGAGAGAAGAGAAGAGAAGAGAAGAGAAGAGAAGAGAAGAGAAGAGAAGAGAAGAGAAGAGAAGAGCTCTCTTCTTTGCAAGAAGAATGGGCATCAACCATAACTCTCCATGCTGGGTGAGCATGGCTGAGTGGGGAAAACGACCATAAAATCTCTAAATCCTATAATTTTAGGGGGTTGGAAGAGACCTTAAAGATCATCTTGCTCCATGGGCAGGGACACCTTCCACTAGAGAAGTTGCTCAAGCCCCATCCAGTGTGGCTTGGTGATGCCATGAGACACCAGCCTGGCTTTGCACCACTGGAGACACAAAATTCTGCTGTAGGGTTTCCGTGGTGGGAGCACGGCCCCAGCCAGCAGCAGGAAGGGAAACGTGCCCCACTCTGCTCTCCACATCCAGCCCTTCTGGAATGCAGTTTTGCTCCCACTGCTTCCCAGGACAGGAGCCAAGCAGGGCTGCTTTGCTCGGCGCTCGCCGTGGCGCTGCCCCCGCCCAGGGCTCTCGAGAGCAGGCAGATGGAATTTTCTAACCCTGCTATTTCCAGATCAAACAAATCCCCTGCGAACACAAACCCCCAAGTCTTCACACGCCGGGCCCAGCCTGTGGGAGAGCTCTGCAGATGGTGCTATTCTTGTCCTGGGGCTGGGGAAACTGAGGCACAGCTGGGTCATCAACCAGAAGGAGACGTGGGGAAATTCTCCTCTCTGCCATCAACCCTCAAAGCTGCTGGGACCAGAATCCCCATCTCCTGCCACAAAAGTGATGCCTTGGTCAGTACAGCCGTGCAGGTGGGATAATTCAATCACTGCAGGACATGGAAAGTGACGCCCACTGAGATATTCTTTATTTATTGAGGAAATTTGCTTTATTCAGGGCTGAGATGGGGAGGTTCCCTCTTTGAGCGCCTTTTTTTGCTTCCTTACGGCGGGTACACCCTAAGGGGTATTTAACCCTTCCTCTGTCCTGTTGACATTCAGATAAGGGCGAATTGGGGTGTTAAATGATTTGCAGGATTAATCCAGGCACTCAGCCAAGCTCCAGCTGACGGGGGGCTGGGAAGGGAAGACCCTGCTGGGTGTGGGGCACGGTGCATCTGTCTGTGGAGCATCCGGCTCTGGATGAGGCAGGGCTGCATGCAGCCCCACCTTGCAAAAAAACCCCCAAAACCAAAAACAAACATCTGGGTGGATGTGCAGCAGGCAGAGAGATTAGATGAGGTGCAAATTCATGTAGCTGAATTATCTCCCCAGGAAAGGACTTCCCATGTCTGTGGCTTTGAAACCCATTCATTCAATCCTCCATCACCACCTGCAGAGGTGACACCCAGCGTGTGAAACACACACAGGGGACAAGCTACACTTCAAAACAGCTGCAAAGGAGGGACTGGGCTGCTCAAAGCAGCACCAACTCATGAAGTAGTCAGAACTGTGTGTAGTCAGTACAGGAATGAGCTGTTCTCACCACAGTGACTTCCCAAAACCCGCTGACCCCTCCACACAACTGCCAAGCACGGCTGTAGGAGCTGGGAAAACTTTAAAAACTGATTCTAAAATACGTCAAGGAATGAAAAAAATATAAACCAGTGCTAGCTGGATGTCAGTCCTCTCTGCACGCTTCTCGCTCTGCTGCCTGAACTGCAGTGCAGGTTCATGTAGCTGAATTATCTCCCCAAGAAAGGACTCCCCATGTCTGTGGCTTTGAAACCCATTCATTCAATCCTCCATCACCACCTGCAGAGGTGACACCCAGCGTGTGAAACACACACAGGGGACAAGCTACACTTCAAAACAGCTGCAAAGGAGGGACTGGGCTGCTCAAAGCAGCACCAACTCATGAAGTAGTCAGAACTGTGTGTAGTCAGTACAGGAATGAGCTGTTCTCACCACAGTGACTTCCCAAAACCCGCTGACCCCTCCACACAACTGCCAAGCACGGCTGTAGGAGCTGGGAAAACTTTAAAAACTGACTCTAAAACACGCCAAAGAACAAAAAAATAATAAAAAAAAAAGGAATCAGAGCTAGCTGGATGTCAGTCCATTCTTCTTGCTCTGCTGCCTGAACTGCAGTGCAGGTTCATGTAGCTGAATTATCTCCCCAAGAAAGGACTCCCCATGTCTGTGGCTTTGAAACCCATTCATTCAATCCTCCATCACCACCTGCAGAGGTGACACCCAGCGTGTGAAACACACACAGGGGACAAGCTACACTTCAAAACAGCTGCAAAGGAGGGACTGGGCTGCTCAAAGCACCACCAGCTCCTGAAGTAGAACTGTGCAGGAATGAGCTGTTCTCACCACAGTGACTTCCCAAAACCCGCTGACCCCTCCACACAACTGCCAAGCACGGCTGTAGGAGCTGGGAAAACTTTAAAAACTGACTCCAAAACACGCCAAGGAATGAAAAAAATAATTTAAAAAAAAGGAATCAGAGCTAGCTGGATGTCAGTCCATTCTTCCATTCTGCACGCTTCTCGCTCCGCTGCCTGAACTCCAAGGAAGGGAAAAAAAAAAATCTACTTACAGAGACATGATGCTTCTCGCCGTGGCTTTCCCCCCTGCACCGACATTCCCGAGCCTCCAATCCCTGTGCCGTGGATGAAGAGCTCTATCCTGCCCTGGACAAAGCCCCACAGCTCGCTCCAGCCCCGCTCCCTATTTAAGGCGCTCAGACCCCGCCTTTGCCGGCAGCCCGACCCCCAGCGCCTCGCCAAGCCTCGGGAGAAGCTGGGAAGGTGCTCCACACACACTCCAAAGGAGAGAGAAGGGCACCGGTTTTAAATCCGAACAAGCCGGCGGGTCTGGTTTTGGGAGCGCCGCCCGGAATTTTGGTGCGCTCGTGTCGGGAGTGAATGAGCAGCATCAGCTTGTGGCACCGGTGGGAGGTTTGGGGAGGCTGAGAGCATGACTAATAGGGAACATGTGGGAAACGCATTCTGGCAGAAGCTCCTGGGCTGTTGGGGGTGAAAAAATAATTTTTAAAAATTAAAGGAGAAAAGAAAAAAGGAAGGGAAGCTCGCTAGTGGGAAAAAACTGCCCTGAGGCTCCTGCTTTGCTGCGCTGCCAGGAAAAGCTGTCCCTGAAGGAGGTGGTTCCCCTCTCTCCAAGCTGGTGGAAGGAGCAGAGAGCAGGTGAAGGGTGGGAAAGGGGTTTTGAGCACCTACAGAGAGTTTTCTGCCTTCTTCTTCCTGCAGCTGCAGGAAGGGATAGCTGGGATGGGGATGCACGGGAAGCCTGAGGCAAGAAGAAGAAAACTTCTTTCAAGAAGAAAACCTCCACCCTGATGGTCCAAGGAGCTCCATCCATGAGGAACTTTGGCATTGCTGTTCCAGCAGCACCAGGGCTCGGGGTGTCAGTGCTGTTAGCAGAATAAATAACATTTCTGCTGTGCTCAGAGTGGAAATGGAGAGTCAGGGCAGAAAGTGCAGCCAAGGATGAGATCTGTGAGGGCAGAAAACGTGGGAAGATCTGCACTGGGATTAAAGGGGGTGTTGGAAACCGTATGGTTTATCAGGAACTTTTATCCCTGGTGCTGACAAAGCAGGGTATTCAGAGCTCTGGCTTCCCAAAAAGCCTGAATGGACCTGGAAGGACAATTCCTGCTCACTAGAACTTGTTGCCTGGGTGCTCTTGCAAGGAGCAGCACCTGCATTTTATTGCAGTTCCATTCCTCGAGGTTTCCTGTTATAAACTAATTACTCCCTTATCTTTACTGATAAGTTTCTTCCCTGTTTGGAATTAGTCACCCAAGACAGGCAGGAAAAGCCCTATCAGCTGAGTGAGGTGTTGGGATGAACACACCTTGGTGGGAATATGCCACGCCAGGAAAACCAGGGTCTGGGAGGCATTTTTGGGGAGTAAACCTCTAAAAAAGTTAAATTACCACAACCCTGGCTTCATGTTTCAACTTCAGCATGTGGCACACTGACAGCTTGCTCTCCCAAAGGACACAGGGAGGTTCCAGAGGAGAGCACCAGGGCTGCAGATCTCTAAATCCCCCAGGGCTGGAGATCCCCAAATCCCCCCAGGGCTGCAGATCTCCAAATCCCCCAGGGCTGCAGATCTCCAAACATCCCCAGAGCTGCAGATTCCCAAATC